ACAAATGTAAACATTTTCTGGTTCATTTATTTTCATCCATTGGTGATTATTTGAATACTCATTCATACATAAAACACAATCAATAACATTTCACTTGGAATATTAAACAGGGTGAGTAAGTGAGAGAGAGAGAGAGAGATAAAATTGTTCACTAAATGGCCAATTGCAAGTTCATTGGTGTGAGATTATTTTAATAGCAATTTAATTAGTTATTATTGAGATGGAAAATTTTCCAGAACATTTTCTTCAGAAACATTTGATAGCATTCAGCTAAAATTGTGGGTATTTTAAACAGAGATAATTAACTTGAATCTGCAGAATCCTTCAGAATCACCATGGGTGGAAAGCAATTAGCATGATGATGCTAATTACCTTTTATATTGTTGAATGAGACAACAAAGTTCACAATCAATAATATCATAAATTTCCGCCTCATCTTTTGTTATCCTTATCATGAACAGGAATCTGATTAATTAATTGTTCAAATCTTATCTTCCTCTTATTAAAACTTTCACCCCACCCGAATCTTGATAATAATAATGCAACTTAATTGTTATAAGATGATTATCTAATATCTTTATCATTAACTTATCACATTAAATTAACATTTGTAAGAGTAATTTGTTGAAAGAGATTCAGTAAGATTGAGTTGAAGAAGAAAAAAAAATTTAGAATTTTTTTCTTCTCATTTTATCCTCGCCTCCCCCTGCTCATTCTGGAAAAGGAAACGGAAACTATTAGTTTATTTTCATCTCTCTCTCTCTCCTGTCAATGTTTATCTATATATTCATTGAGAGTTGAAATTTGGTAAACAATTAAGTGACTCGGTAAAGAGAACCGTTAATTTAATAAACAATTTAAATTCATTGAATGAATCAATTATCATGAATCTCTCTCAGGGAGATTCAGTTATTTGTGGGAGACATGGGGATGTAATTGGTTACAATTCATGGTTCGTGTTCCGCTTATTGTTTTTTTCATCCATTTCGAACTTTTTTTCCAGAACTTTTTCTTCTACCTTTTCAACTTGTTTACATTCAAAAGTATCGTTGTTGTAGTTTATCCGTTTTGTTATTCAACAAGGGAATTGAAATTCATCATCATCATCATCATCATCATGAGTTAATATCATGAACAAGGTAAAAGATAACAAGATTCAAATGAACATGAACATTGTTCTTGTTACTTATTAGTTGAACAGTTTGAAAGTTTAATTGCTTGGGAATTGATGAAAGAAATGATAACTTTAAATTGAACGGTTTTCATGGAGATGAACTTTTATTTATCATCTTCATGGTGATTGTTAGTTTGTTACCTGATCAAGAATAATGGAGGAAAAAATCATTCTCAGTAACTTTAAGTCGACAGTTCGGAATGAAAGGTGAAAATGGCAATGGAAGAGAAATTTTCTTCTTCTTTTAAAACATTTTCCGAACAAAGTTCTGATTCTATTAAAGGAGATTCACTGAATTTCATGCGATATATTATCGATAAATCATAATGTCCGTCATGAATTTTTTTCCATCATTTTTTTCAAATCATTAATCAGCTTGATTGTTGTTAGTTATTGTTGTTGTTTATTATAACGAGTTCGATGATGTTACATGAACTGAACAGAATCATTACCAGGGAATCGTGAATTCTAACAAAAAAAAGGTTGATAAAAATGTTACAGATAAACAGAGGAAATGTTAAGAACGTTGTCATGGTAACCGAAATTGGTGAATTTCTGTCACTAGGAAGAGAGAGAGAAAGTCTTTCTTTTCATTCCATATGTCACATTCGAGAAATTTGAACATTTAGAACAAAATTTTTCCTTTTTTCCCCTCTCAATCTCCAACTCGATGATTAATAATGAATTATTCAACTGCTAGATTTCATAATTAAATAAGACAATGATAATTATAGTAATATGATGATGATGATAAGATAATTAGGTTAATTCAAAATGTCAGTGATGATTATTAAAGTATTAATAGAAAAAGAAATTAATTTCTCTTTCGATTAGAACTTTTTTTTTCTCTCTCTCACTTTCGAATTGAAATTTTAAACTAAACTTTAATTCCCAACATGATTTACCTTTCATCAAGAGTTTTCTCCTTAATCATTGGGTTGATTGTTAGACAATTGATTTAATTATAATTGTTCAGCGGTTTTTCAATCATAAACTTAATTGTAATTTTATCTTAATCATGTTTTTGCCAATGTTTCTGAAAGCAAGTCTCTGGTTTATTTACCTTTAATTATCATTGTAATCATTGTTTTCTTGTTAATTTCCAACCCTGTGAATCCCCTGAAGATGAAATAATGTTAATTGTCTCGAAACAATGTTGATTAAATTGTTAACGAACAGAAAAAGTTCACAAATAATAAAGTGTCTAGTTAATGGTAATCTTGATTGTGATAATTGTTTAATTTAATTGTTTACTTTTCGTTCAGCAATCATTAAAATTTAATTTTCTCTCTTCCAATTTAAATCATTGGTAAATTTTGATTCCAAATTAACTTGTAATCCGTTTTTCTTAATCATTGTTTTTACTTTCATTCATCTTGATCCTTAGTGTGATTAATAGTTTAATCTTATAGTTAATTGTTATTCAAATTTGATTAGTATTTTGATTAATATTAAGATTAATGCGAAAAATTAAACTCCAAGGTTGGAAAATAATTTGATTGGTGAAAAACATGATGATGGTGATGAGAACTCATTCTGATCTTGTTGTTGATTTGATTTCACATTCAATTGAATTGTTGATCATCAAATATCATGAGTGGCACTTGATTGTTCAGCTTTCAGAATTGTGCTGATTCATTGACATGAGGCACTTGAGAGTTCATGATGGAACCAATTGAATATCCACCATGGAGGCTGAAAGGAAAACACCATTGATTGAATTCATATTTAAACCGATGATGGAACAATTTATTCAATTCTTATTATCTTTTCAATTAATTTACGATCAATAAAACTAATTGTAACTGATTAACAGGATTGTATCAACTTTTATCTCATTTCAATGAATAACTATTGACTTAGTTACAAAGATTTAGTTTTGACTTTAATCATAAAATCAATTATCAGATGATTGTTGATTCTGATTACAATGAGATGAAAAAGTTAATCAATTGTTTTCCCTTAATTGTGATTAGATAATTACCAAGTTTTTCAACATAATCATAAATGAATTTTTCAATCAATCAAAGTAAATAATAATACAATTTAATCAAGATTGTTGGATAACTAATCAGTGTTTTCATATAATTAATTTGCTTCAATTGATTATCATATGAATTTACAGTCAATTGAAATTCAAGAATCATAAAATCAAGGGAGTAAAAGGATAATAATCAAAATTTAGAATTGAGTTTTATTCAATTGTTATCATGAAAAGTTCTGATGGGAATTCATGAGTTTCTATCATGTGAGTGAGAAGATGAAACAAAAAACAAAAGGGAAAATTATCTTCATACTTATCTAGTTAATCCAATGTTATTAAAATTACAAACTGAATCAAATTAGTTTTTCACAATTTAATCAATCTTCCTGAACGAATCACTAGAATCAAAGAGAAAGGGAATGAGAGAGGAAGAAAAAACAAAATCGAGTTCTAAAAAAGTTCTAATCCTTTTAATAGGATTTTGTTTCAAACTGACGATTTTAAATTTCGTCTAATACTTATTATCATTATTTTAATCATCATTATCATTTATTATTACATGGAAACAGAATCACCATCATCATGAATGCCAAATCATAGTGTCTCTAAACTGCCATGATAATAATAATAATGAGAGAGAAACAAAATAATCAGAAGAAAAGAAAAATTAATTTCCAACAAAATTTAGAATAGAAAAATTTTTCTCGAATTTGCAAGTCGAATTGTTTTTTGTTCGTAAATTCATCGATAGACTTTCAGGGAGATGAAAAGTTCTGACAAAAAAAGCTGAATGTTTTTGTTTCATCCATGGTGGAACTTGTATTGTTATCATCGAGTCAATTCTGATTGTGAATCATCATCATGATCATCAACTGAATTCTGTTTGTTATTATCAAGATGAATCAATATTTTCATTATGATTCTGATCCTTTTCATGGAGATGATGTAGATTCATCATCTTCATCTAATATTGACCTTTATTCAGGTTTAGATTTTTGTTACTTTACCCAGAGTGTTGTTATCCACTTACAACCAGTTATCATCTTGATCATCATGATTATCATCCTGATGATGATCATCATCGGTGATATTATATTTATAAGAATCGGTATTAACTATAACAATGTTTTCATCTCCAACCTATTAGCTGAATAATCTTCTCCTCAGGAAAAGGAAGGACGAAAAAGTTCAGAGATTAGAAGAAGCAACTTTTTTTTCATCTTCTTCTTCATCATCATCATCAGTTGTTAACCAGAATCCATCATCACCATGAAGATAATTATCTCCACATCTTCCACTTCCTGATTCACCTTTTAATGTGTAATTGTGTTGGTCATTGAAGATGATTAGTTAACATCAATATAATAATATTGATTATCAGAAAATTGAATAAGATTCACTTAATAATCAACTGAGACAATTTAATTATCTCTCATTAATTTGATTTTTTGTTCTGATGAGTTTTTTTCTTACTCTCTCTCTCTCTCTCTCTCTCTCTTGCATTGATTGACAGATTCTAAGGTCATCTCATGAAAATGTATTCAGTTTATTGTCTGAATCTGATTCATTTCCATGATTAAGGTTTAATGATCAAAGGTTGAGCACATGAAGATGAGCATGAGGAGTGGGAAAGTGGATAAGGAAGTGGATTTTAATGATTAAAACCATTTCCAGATATATAAAGTTTGCAATCATTAGATTAGTATCATTATCATGTTAAATAGATTCATTCCTTTATCATGGAAATCGTTTCTCTCTGAATCAGAATTTTCTTTCTTTTTTCTTCTTCCTTTTTTTTTATATTCTATTCCAATTGAATATCTTTCTATTCTGTCAACTTACCTTAACATTGTATTTCTTTGGTATCCGAGTTAATTTGAAACGTTGGTAAATTGTTGAAACCTTTTTGCATGATAGTTTGAGATAATATGATGAATTTGATGAAACATGAGATGTAATTAAAAGGATGATGAAGCTGAGAGGGAAAACTGAAGAAACTGATGACAATGATTTATATTCACTTGAGAAAAGTCTGGATCCAGAGTTACAATTTAATTCTGATATGGAACATGATGAAAATCAATTATTCGTGGAATCAAAAAGTTCAACAGTTAATTGTGTGTAATTCGTGTGATGGTTATGATGGAAAACAAAAGAAAAAACTTAAAGAAGAAAACTAAATACACAGAGAGAAAGAGAGATTGATACAAAAGGGAAAAGAGATGCAGAGAAAATGAAGAGAAAATGTTCTATGTTCGAAAAAGAAAAGTAAATGATAAAGAGAAAAAGAGTTCGAACCTTGTTCCATTATTAATCTTCTTTGTTCGCCATCTATTGGTTATGAGAAAAATTAAAGAACTTTTTCTTCTTTTTATTCTTTTCTAAAGTTTGGAAAAAGTTTCGAAAACTTTGACTCGTTCATCTTGAACTTTTCTTACTTTCTCAAAGAAAAACCTTCCAAGTTATTGTTCAATCTTAAATCATTCTTACTATGATCTTATTGTAAAATCTTTTAATTTAATTGTCTCAAGATAATTGAATCAATTTCTTCATCTGATTTCCAATAGATGGAAGCACATTTTTCTCAATCAACTAATTGTTAGTAAATTGTAAAGTAAATTGTTGAATAACTGTCCAGCTAAAAATCACATAGAGTTCTGGTCAAAATTAACATGATAATAAATTCACTGAGTAATTAAAACTTTTTTCAAGTAATAAAAGTCTATTTAAAAGTCTATATCACTTTCCACAAACTTAAATTGTCGATCTGAATCTTGGTAATATAAGTTGATTTTGATTCTAAATGATCAGTTGTTAAACTAATTTGTTAACTAATGATGACCATGTTAATTGTGGTGAATGATAACGAGAATTAACAATTAGTGTGACGAGTTAATTTATTTTATTGGTGATGATTTATGAGATTAAAGACATTAGAGTTTAATTAACTTTTTAAATAACCGAATCAATTTATTAATTGTCATTGAAACTTTTTTTTTAAACTTTTGAAGGTAAAATGAACCGTTTAAATTGTTACACTTGCACATTAAATTGTTACAATTTACTATTTACGATTCTATGATTTTATTAAGGAAACTTTTTAAATTAACTTAACTCTATGGTTAATGAACAATTACTATTAAATGATATTCAAGATCATTAATTGTTAACCAACAAAAACAACAATCGAAAAATTTAAATCACATTTCTCATCATCGTCACTAGTTAATTATCATCAATCTCTTTGGGTGACAATTAGACAATTAACAGGCCATTAAGTGAACATTAACTTAATCGAAATTGATTCTATTCAATTTCAATCAACCAGTTTACCGGTTTAAACACATTGAGAATATTAAATTGTTGTTGCTGTTATTTGGTCTCAAGTTGATTGTCCAAATAAAAGTGCAACAATCAGATTAAAAAGGATACACACAATGTGATTGTTTTGTTAATTACTTTTTATTAGAAAAAATCATCATCAGTTTCAAATGTATTACTACAAATTAATCAGTTTACATCTAGTTGAGCATTTTAATTAAATTGTTAACAATTTGAGCCTTGGAAATTAACAGTTAAATCTTGTCTAATTGTTGTTGTTGTTGTTGTTTTTGTTGTCTCTTTGTTGATTGTTGATTGATTGATTGATTGATTTCAGATAAATTAAGGTGAGTTATTATGTGTTTGTATGAGTGAATTGGTGATTGTGATCTTTGTATTAACTAAATTAATTGAATTTTCAATGATTGTTGATGGCGATGATTCTGTAAATTAACTGTAACCTTTGTATTAACTTGGATTCAATCAGTATCCATATCGGTATCTGTAAGGATAACCTACAAAAAGTAAACAAATCAAAGACAATCAGTCAATTAATAGCTCCAAATTAATAGTCAACAATTAATCACAAAGGATAACAATTAACTAACCATGTCCATATCCTCCGTATCCTCCGTATCCACCATAACCACCATGACCATAGCTGCGACCGTAGTAAGAGGGTCGACCATAGTAACCTAACGAATTGCGAGCACAAAGAAAAAATTGATTAATCCATTGAACGAAAATGAAGAAAAGTTGACAATTAAACCTGCGAACAATTAACTAACCATATGATGCAGGATAATATCCACGGGAATAGGTTCGTCCATAGTATGGCCTGGCATATCCTCGGCCATAACCATAAGCGGCGATGGTTCCAACTAAGGCACAGATGATGAGAATGGCAATAATCTAATTACAGAAAAATAAAGGAAACAATTAACAATCAAAGCAATTAAACACATGAAAAAGTACCAATAGAAACAAAACTTACAGTTTTATTCATTGTTGTTGATTGTTGATTGAGAAACTTGCAAAAAGCAGCAATTAACTAAACACGTTGAGTAAATGTCTTTGGTTAAATGAGATTGTCCAAGTTACTCCAATCACCTTATATATATACAGGTAACCAAGTGACCCTCAAGAAAGCAAATGGTTGACAAAGTTAATATTAATATTAATTATAATTAAGAGGTTGCAATTAGATTGTTAAACCCGCCTTCCAAACTGAATTTAGTTTGCAATTAGCTGGAAAACTAATCACAAGCAATTGAAAGTTTCATATTCACTTGATAATGACGTAGATATATGAAGGTTGGGAGGGATCTTACTGATCATCCTGATCATCTTGATCATCTTCAATTGTGATTAAGTAATAACGATTAGCAATATTATTGATTCCCAGTGTTTTTCGTTGAAATCAAGTTTACTAATTTTCATGGTCACCTTGAAATTAAATGACCAGAAAGATTAACGTTAATCTTTCTGATGATCACTAATCTGATTTTGTTTATTTTATTTTTTACTTTACTGAACTAATTTAAACTTTTAATCTAATCCGCTAATCTAAAGGACAACTTTTTGTAGTTAAAGATTCACAATCAATAATATTAGTTAATTTGTTGATTGTCTTTACGATAGATTTGGTTAATCAGTTAATCGTCCTCGGATGTTGAGGATAATTTTGTTTAAACATTGTTACAATCAACGGTAATTGCAACAACAATTAGCGAAAACAATTGAGAAAACTTTTTAGATTAGTTGTTAATGTCGATGAAATCAGTTGAATATTAATTAACCAATTTATGCAAATCATACAATCAACTAATCAATTGGTTTTGGGTCTATTTGTTTGGTATGGTAACAATTAACTATAACTAATCAGTGTAATTAATTGGTTTTGTTAATTGCTATTACAATTATGACTTGTGACCCTTGAATTTATTATTTTCTAGGTCAAGGTTAAGTAAATTGTTTACAAATCTTAATTGTTGGCATTGATTAATTTTAATTAACTTCAAGTTATTACACACAGAGAGATGGTAATATTATTATCCAGTCCATAGGAAATTTGATTGTTGATAATTAATTACAATCTAGAAAGTTAATCATGATCAATGATGATTACGCTGATCATCAGGTTGATTATTAATTGTTGAATTTGTTGTTTCTGGATCAATTTTAATTACGTTTCAAAGTTTTCATTTTAAATCTCAAAATTGAATGTATAAAATTTACAATTTTTTCTTTCGTTAATTGTCTTCAGGCAATTAGTTTATTCAATGATTAGTTAATTGTGATCAAGACGAACCATCAAACTGCCTTTGGTTATAATAATATTTTTCAGATTGAAAAATTTTTACCATAAATGTAATAACTTATTGAAGGTAAAAAAATAAATAAATAATATTCTTGATGATTTTTGCTTCTGATCAATTAACAATTTGATTGCAATTAAATATCAGGGTAATTAAGCATGTTGATTTCACCAACTTAATCACAATCAAAATTAAATCAACTAAATATGTCGATCAATTGATCAACTTAAACTTGATTTAAATTAAACAAGAAAACATAAAGAGTCAAATCAAGTTAAACATTTACTTGAACATCATCAACTGGACTAATTTATTAATAAAGAAATGAGTTTAAATAGTGAGAAAGGCGTTTACAATGAAAAGGTAAAAGTTAACCTTATTGGTCAATTTGAAGTGACCGTTGAGTTGAGTTTGTCTTTGCTTCATTAACAAAGAAAAGTGAACAGCATTGAAGCGCCAAAGGAGATGATCAATTTGGATGAGCATATGGATGAGATTAGAGCTTAGGAGCATATGGAGGATCAACAAAGGAAAAGGTAAGTTTTAGGTTTAAAGGTTAAGGCGCCAGTATGAGAGACCAAAGGATTAAGGGTAAGTATTGAGCTTAATTTTATCTTCTTCTTAATGACCTTTAACCAATTATAATGTTTGGTCAACATGGGAAATGTCAATAAGCTACAATAAGCGAAAAACCTTATTTATGGGAAATAGAAATGGACCAAACATTATCGGTAATTACTCGGTCAATATTAATGGTAGAAAAATGAAACATGTATTGTTCAATTGTTCATCTCATGAGCTCTCTAAATATATATATAAATATAACCTTTGACATCTTGGTCAACATTTGGTTGGTGTGTGCGAATTACTTGTTTATGTTGAAAATTAACTGAAAACTCAATGTTTTCAATAATTGTTGATATAACCAACACCCTCTCTTGCTCCAAGCTCGATCTCAATAAATGTTCAAAAAGTTGCAGCATTTTCTCAATGACGGTGAACATAACGACTTTGTAAGCATATCCGCCGGTTGATCATGAGTTGGAATGAAGTCCAATTGTATTGTACCTTTCTCTTGATGATCACGGATGAAGTGATAACGAACATCAACATGTTTTGTTCGTTTATGAAAAACTGAATTTTTCGACAATTTAATTGCTCCTTGATTATCGGACATTATTTTAACTGGAAAATCAATCGAAACTTTTAGATCTTTAAGTAGTTGTATGTACCAAAGTATATCTTTTCCACAGTCTGCAATTGAAACGTATTCGGCCTCAGTGGTTGATTGAGCAACTGATTTCTGTAAGCGAGAAGCCCAAGAAACTGGCGAACCTCCTAAAGTTACCACGAAACCTGAGGTCGATTTTCTTGTATCGATGTCGGCAGCATAATCGGCGTCACAATATCCAATTAATTTTAAATTGTCACGAGTAGATGAGAAGGTGATTCCATTGTTGATTGTACCTCGAAGATAACGAAAAATTCGTTTGACCGTTGCCAATGAGTAGCATTGTAGCAACAGTTATATTGACTTGCTTTATTTACTTGGAAGGTGATATCTGGTCTACTGATGATTGAGAGGTAAAGTAAAGCACCAACGGCTTCCTGGTAAGGGAAATTTGTATCGGTGGTTGATTAGTTGATTGTAGCTTGAGATTCGAGTCACCTGGTGTTACCACTGATTTACATTCACTCATGTTGAATCTTTTTAATAACTCGTTGATGAAACATGATTGTTTAATTGTTATTGATGATCGATCGTAACTTTGATGAATTTCCATTCCTACAAATACTTGAGGGGAATGAACTTTAACTTGAAACGTTTTCTTTAAATTGTCAATTAAAGATGATAATTGTTGTTGGTTTGAGCTGACAATCAAACCATCATCTATATATATCACACAAATAGTTAATCCATCATGGAAATTCATGAAAATACACTTATCGGCTTCTGATTGTTGAAAATTGATCGATTGGAAAACTGGTTAACTTTTTATTCCATTGACGTGGTGCCTGTTTTAATCCATAGAGCCCTTCTTTAGAAACATAACTCGATTGGTACCATCGTCGAATCCTGGTGGTTGCTGCATATAAATTTCTTCATCAAGTTCACCATAAAGAAAAGTTTGATGTCGAACTGCATAATGTGCATTCGATGAGCAACACAAATGGATAAAATTGCTCTAATTGAATCATAACGAGCAACAGGGAAAAGTTTCAAAATAATCAATCCCGGCTTTTGAGAAAAGCCTTTGGCCACCAACCTCCTTATATCTTTCGATAGAACCATCGGTGTTCCTCTTGATACGAAAAACCCAACGACAGGAAATACATTTTTTACCTTTTGGCAACTCAGTTAAAGTGTAAGTATCATTTTCATCAATTGATTTCATTTCATCTTTCATAGCATTGATCCAATTAATATTATCGTCAGAAGTAATTGCCTCTTCATATGTTAAAGGCTCTTGATTAGTGATAACTGCTTGACAGGCAATTTGATTAATTAAATTATTATCATCAATTGATTCAGGTGGATCGTCTATTATTTCCGTTGTGTCACTGGAGTTGTCATCAAAATTATCATCATCATCATCTTGTTTTTATTTTCTCCACATAGTAATTCAAGATCAACTTGTTCATCAAAAGCTTCTTCAATCACCTTGGATCCATCACAATCTTCTTCATTGAACTTTATTTCAGTGCTCACGGACACTTTACCTGTTGATGGATCATAAATGCGATAATTATTGATGGTATTGGTGTAACCAAGGAAAATAACTTTCTTTCCCTTTGGATCCCATTTCTTTCTCATGTGATCAGGAATTTTGGTATAACAAACACAGCCAAAGGTCTTAAGGTGAGTAATTCGGTTTTTCTTCGTGAACAGTTCAAGAGGGCTAACATTTTGTTGACTCTTATTCGGAATTAAGTTTAATACATAAAGTGTACTCATCGCCTCAGCCCAAAGGAACTTCGGCAATTTGCTATTAAGCATCATAGACCTGGCTAATTCAGTAATTGTTCTGTTTTCTCTCTCGATTCTACCATTTTGTTGTGAATAAGTGCAGTTAATTCATGAACAATATCTTTATTTTCTAGTAAAGTTTTAACTCTAATGTCAATAAATTCTTTCCCATTATCACTTCTGATGGTCTTTATCTTGTTTTCGGTCGTTTTTTCAGCGTATCTAATAAACTTATCGAGATTAGAAAAAGATTCTGATTTTTGTTTCTGGAAGAAAATGGCGCGAAAAGAACTTTTTTCGTCTTTAATAACAAGAGCATATTTACTTCCGTTCAATGAGCTAACTGACATTGGACCCTGGAGGTCACAATGAATAGATTCTCCAGTCTTAACATCTCTCTCTTTCACTGACTTGTAAGTTTTTCGACACATTTTACCTTTAATACAACCCTCGCAGTGAAATTTACTTGGTTCATAATCGATTTTTATTTTAGGTAAAATACCATCTCGAGACATTTGAATAATCTTATAAACGTTAATGTGAGCAAGTCGCTTATGCCAATCGGTAAGTGTCGCTTTCGATACCAATGAAAATGAATCTTTATTGTCTCTTTGTTTTATCATTAATTTGAAAGTATTTGAAAATCTATTAGCAATCATGACAGTTTTACCTGAATTAACATCGAAAATTTCAGTTGAATTAGATGTGGATCTTAATCCAAAACCTTTGGTGACAGTTTGACCCCAAGAGAACAAATTAAAGTTTCCTAATTTAGGTACATAGAGAACATTGGTCAATTCACATTTTATCCAATTGTTTCCATTGAAACAACTAACAAGAATGTCACCTTTAGCTATCGCTTGTATTTTCTTACCATCGCCGATAGTTAATAAAATCAGTTCATCTAATTCATGGAAACGAGTAAAATACTCAATATTACTTGTCATGTGAAAACTTGCTCCAGTATCTAACAACCATTGAGAACAACTTGATTCATTTTCATTGACAGTGAAAGAAACATAATTATTATCAGAATTTTCTTCATTATTATTATTGTTATTATTATTGTTGTTCTGATTGTTTGATCTGTTTGAATTATTATCACGATTACGATTACTTTGATTCGATCTGTTTCTATTACTTTGATTCTGATTGTTGTTGTTATTATTCCGGTTGTTTTCTTGGTTGTTATTACTTGTTGTCTCGATTGTTGTTATTTCTGTTATTTGATTATTGTTGAACCTTTTGTTCTTGTGGAATGATCTCTTATTATAAGAGTTGAACTTGTTGTTTCTCTGAAAATTTCTGTTCCTATTCTGAGGACATTGAGGTAGCAAATGATCAGCACTTCCACAACCGTAACATTTTCTCACATTGTTACTTTGATTTTCTTTGAAATTATTAGTCGAAACTAAAGCATCACCATGTTTATTATTTTTCTCTCGCTCATCTTGCTTTTCATTTATTAATAATTGAGATTTCAAATTTCGTAAGTTTATATTAAATAGAGATAAGGGAAATTTAGCATCTGACGAAACGACCGAAAACTAGGAGGTAAGTCATCAAGAACTTTTATCATTAATTGAGTGTCATCAACATTATAACCTAAATCTCTCATTTGTTTAACTACAGATTCTAATTCAGCAAAATAGCTTGTAACCGTGTGAGATGAGGTAAATCTTAAGTCAGTCAACTTACGCCGAATTGTCCACTCGTTATTTGTTGTCCTCTCTTCTCTGTGGTCGATAATGTAGTTGAATATTTCGCTGGAGGTTGAACAATTAATTACCAAACTAATATGTTCCTTATCCATTGAATTCATGAGAAGCATTCGCGCTGTAGCATCACTTGTTTTCCAATCACTTATTGATTTGTTTCGTCGGTTGATTGATGCGGCTGATTCGGTTTCAATCTCTTCCTCTGTAAATGGAAGTGGACACAAAGATGAGCCATTGGCTATTTCCCAAACTCCTTTAGACTCTAGAACAGCCTGAATATACGTTTTCCAATGTAAATAATTATCACTTGATAATTTAATCGTAATCATATCTTGATGATCCATCATGATGATTTTGTTGAATTGTTGATTAATTAATTGTTGGTAAGGTAATTGATGAGATGATGAAAGAGAGAAAAATAAAACACACAAAATTTGTCGCAAAGATTAACACAATTTGAGAGAAGCGACTGAGCCCATAACCTGTTGATTTCACCAACTTAATCACAATCAAAATTAAATCAACTAAATATGTCGATCAATTGATCAACTTAAACTTGATTTAAATTAAACAAGAAAACATAAAGAGTCAAATCAAGTTAAACATTTACTTGAACATCATCAACTGGACTAATTTATTAATAAAGAAATGAGTTTAAATAGTGAGAAAGGCTACAAAAGGTAAAGTTAACCTTATTGGTCAATTTGAAGTGACCGTTGAGTTGAGTTTGTCTTTGCTTCATTAACAAAAGTGAACAGCATTGAAGCGCCAAAGGAGATGATCAATTTGGATGAGCATATGGATGAGATTAGCTTAGGAGCATATGGAGGATCAACAAAGGAAAAGGTAAGTTTTAGGTTTAAAGGTTAAGGCGCCAGTATGAGAGACCAAAGGATTAAGGGTAAGTATTGAGCTTAATTTTATCTTCTTCTTAATGACCTTTAACCAATTATAATGTTTGGTCAACATGGAAATGTCAATACAATAAGCGAAAACCTTATTTATGGGAAATAGAAATTATCGGTACTATCAATATTAATGGTAGAAAATGAAACATGTATTGTTCAATTGTTCATCTCATGAGTCTCTAAATATATATATAAATATAACTTTGACATCTTGGTCAACATTTGTGTGTGCGAATTACTTGTTTATGTTGAAAATTAACTGAAAACTCAATGTTTTCAATAATTGTTGATATAACCAACAAAGCATATGATTAACACTCTAGTTGATTGAATTAACTTAATTTAAAATATCATGTTAAATATTTGTGACAATTAACTTTAATTGTTACTGAATTAAAAACAATTTTATTTACTATCAAAAGGGTAAATAAACTTATCCAAGGTTAGGGTTTGGTAATTAATTGAAAGTGATTAACTTAATTAGAGTTAAATTGTTGAGCTATTTGGTTTAATTATCATAGATTTAGTTGAGTGGGAATTTAGTTAACCAAATAATGAAAGATTTAATTAAGTTTTAATTTACTAGGATAATCTAACAGGTAATTAGTTAATCGTTGTAGTGTTAAGATCATCGTCTTCTTGATTGGTTTTGGCTTTAATTTTAAAAGTTAATCAACCAAATTGTTTGATTAATTGTGATCAATTTTGAGCGACAATTTAAATTGTGTAACAATTGTATCCGGTTAAAGTTTTAATAGTTGTAATTATCAACAATTTACTTGGCAATTAGCATATTCAATGAGGTTTACAATTAACTCGGTGATTTAACCAAAATGATAATCAATATGTAAAGTTAATTGTTATCATCAAAATTATAACAATTTACTAATTGTTGACATTGACAAAGGTTGATCAAGATTAGGACAATTGTAATCATATCATTTATGGTTAATATAATGATAGGTTTTAAATGATTTAGTATAAGTTGTTGATAGTTAATTGCAATTAGTTTAAATTTTTTCCACTCAATATATTTACAGGGTCAAGTGTATTTATATGTTTGTAAGGCCAATGGTTAAAAAAAATCAAGTAACAATTTATAAATTGTTCAGGTAAGTTGAAGGTCATCAAGGACTCTTGTTAATTTGTAGCAAATAATTTAATCAAACTGGATTAAATGTTAATTTATAATAGCTCAGGAAATGAAAATCAAATTTAGAGAGGGAAAATTAATCGTAATCAACGTGAGCAATTTAATCCTCAACTAAACAATTAACTTTGATTTCTTGTTGATTGCTCAGGTTTGATGGTAACAATCATGGGAAATTTATAATTGTTTGAAAAATTATCAAATATATTGCAAATCAAATCAACAATGAGTTAATTGTTTATTTAACAATTAGCATGATATTGATAATTAGACTGAGACTGTTAATGATTAGGATGATGATTTAAGCTGAAGATTTTTAAATTGAAAGTGACAGTCAAAGTCAAAGTTTCCCCACTGTTAATTGTTGCTGGTTAATTGTTATGAATTTTAGGAAATGTTTCTCATTATTTAACTAACGATGGTTAATTGTTGCTGGTTTCATGCTTGGATTAACAGGTTTCCCCAAAAAAATCAAAATCAAATCAACTGATTGGCCAAATATTAGGTAATCACTAAGATTAACCTTGACCTACAAACAATTAGGCTTGTTAATCACTTTCAATTTAATTATCATCGATCATTGAATTTACCTCCTGGATTCATCCTGAATAACCACAATCGATAACAATTTACTCTGGACGATCAACAATCAATTTAAATTCAAACTTTCACCGATTAATTATGAATCAAAATGGAAATCGATCCCAAAACAATTAGTCAATAATCAACAATAACAATCAACTAATCACTTTAATATCTCTTATTTTCACCAATTTCTAAATCACAATCAAACTTTTAATGACGAGTAAATCAAATTAACATCCATTAAAAGTTAGGATTTCACAATGATCAAGTTAATTGTTAACTACAATTTTCAATTTAAGTAATTAGATTAACTTTCATCTCAATAAACCATAATCAATATTAATGATAATTTATATCAAGATTGAAATGTGTCCTTTTTGATTAGTAGGAAAAGGTAAATAAAATTGGACTCATATGATCAAATTGTAATGATGAGGAAGATGATCAGTAATTGATTTGATGTTCAAGGTAATTAACTTGAATCAATGATTGATTCTTGTGATCATCTTGAACAGTTAATTGTCGGACCTCCTCACCTTCATATCTGAATGTCACCACGAGTGTGTAAGTGACGAGAATACGAAAGGAAATGTTCAAACTCGAAGGCGGATTTTTCTCTTCCATTTTCTTCCTCCCCTTTCGTTTGTTACACTTTTCCTTTTCTCTCTTCAATTTTTGAGGGTCATCTCACTTTCTCTCTTTCGCTCTCTTTCTTACCTTTTGTCTCTCTCTCAACAGGTAACTTACCTGGTTCCTCATTTCGTCTATAAATAGTGAGTGTAAATAGTAACTTATATTCACTTGAATACCAAAGATACTTTGAAAAAGTTTCACTTTTGTTTCTCTAAATCATCTTAAACTTTTCAGTTTTACCTTTTCAATCATGAATAAAACCGTAAGTGTTAATTGTTACAATAGTTTTAATCCAATTGATAAATTGTTACCTGTGTTCTACCAGTGATTTAACTCAATTTTGTTTTCTTCTTTCAAATCAGATTATCGCTCTTTTTGTTGTCTTTGCCTTAATCGGGGCCATTTCTGCCTTTGGCTACAATAGTGGATACGGACATGGTTATGGTCGACCATCTTATGGACATCGTGGTTACTATGGATACCCATCATATGGTGAGTACTTTGGGTTGACCAAAGTCTAGTGGTCAGTTTAAGTTCCCGTTTTTAATGGCCTTTTTCATCCCATTTCAATAACAGGTTATAACAGACCTTATGGTCATCATGGTGGTTATGGTGGATACGGAGGATACGGAGGATATGGACATGGTTAGTTAATTGTTATCCTTTGTGATTAATTGTTGACTATTAATTTGGAGCTATTAATTGACTGATTGTCTTTGATTTGTTTACTTTTTGTAGGTTATCCTTACAGATACCGATATGGATACTGATTGAATCCAAGTTAATACAAAGCTTACAGTTAATTTACAGAATCATCGCCATCAACAATCATTGAAAATTCAATTAATTTAGTTAATACAAAGATCACAATCACCAATTCACTCATACAAACACATAATAACTCACCTTAATTTATCTGAAATCAATCAATCAATCAATCAACAATCAACAAAGAGACAACAAAAACACCAACAACAACAACAATTAGACAAGATTTAACTGTTAATTTCCAAGGCTCAAATTGTTAACAATTTAATTAAAATGCTCAACTAGATGTAAACTGATTAATTTGTAGTAATACATTTGAAACTGATGATGATTTTTTCTAATAAAAAGTAATTAACAAAACAATCACATTGTGTGTATCCTTTTTAATTTGATTGTTAAGTTTAATGATTAGATTTATATTAAAACTTATCTCAATTCTCAGTTAATTCAGAGATGGCATCAGATTAGTAATCAGGATTTAGTTCATCTTTTTTTGGTCAATCAATTACCTAAATGACCATGAAAAAAACACGATTTTTGCTGAAAAGTTTTCACATAGAAATCAATCTGATGATATTATCAACCTTTAATTGCTGTTAGTTAGTTCAAACTAGTTGAGTGGATTAAAAAATCTCACTTGGAAGGCGTGTTCATCAATCAATTGCTCTTGATCATAATTAAAACTATCAAGTAATTTGGGTAAATCTTATTTTACCAAAACTATTTGGGAATTTACAACGTTTCCATTTCTTAATTGCTCAAGTTCAATTTTCTTGCAACAATTAACAAAAATGAATAAGATTGTAAGTTGTGCTTCATTATCAATGTTCTTGTTAATTGTTTAGTTAATCGTTGTATCTTTTTTTTCACCCTTGTAATTAGATTATTGGACTTTTTGTTATCTGCGTTTTAATTGGTTCCATTTCTACCTGTATAGATACTCGTGATTATCGCAGGTTCGGACCACCCTATCGTGTAGGATTCGGAGGTTCCAGTGGATATTATCCTGGACCTTATGAGTCCAATGGATATTATCCTCTGTCACATGGTTAGAGTTAATTGTTGATGATTAACTTTTCAGCGGCTATTTTATTTTCTGTTTGGTTTCTTTTCCATAGGTTATTATGTTTTCGGCTACCGACCAAATTATGGACATCGATACGGTTACAATGGACACGGACACGGACATGGGTATGGACATGGATATGGTAAGTTAATTGTTAACTATTAACGTTGATTACGATTGTAATTGTTTCTTTTGTGGTGCTTTTTTAGGTTATCCGTACAGTTATCGATTCGGGCGTTGAATCTGTTCAATTAATCAAATGGAGCTGATAAATGATCATCGTTTTGTATCAAATATAATCAATTGTTGATTAAAAAATAAAGTAATTAATTGTAGACTCAATAAGAGAGACTTGATATACTTTAAACCGGTAAACTGGTTGATTGAAATTGAATAGAGTCAAATTTGATTAAGTTAATTTTCTTTTAGTGGCCTGTTAATTGTCTAATTGTCACCCAAAGAGATTGATGATAATTAACTAGTGACGATGATGAGAAATGTGATTTAAATTTTTCGATTGTTGTTTTTGTTGGTTAACAATTAATGATCTTGAATATCATTTAATAGTAATTGTTCATTAACCATAGAGTTAAGTTAATTTAAAAAGTTTCCTTAATAAAATCATAGAATCGTAAATAGTAAATTGTAACAATTTAATGTGCAAGTGTAACAATTTAAACGGTTCATTTTACCTTCAAAAGTTTGAAAAAGTTTCAATGACATTTAATTTTGTTCATTTAAAGGGGTAAAGGAAATTAACAATTTCTTCAATTATTTTATTCCCTTTTAGTTAAATCAACCAGACATTTGAATGTAATTAGTCATCAAATCAACAATCAATTGAAAAAAAGTTAATTATTTGCTCAAAATGATCAACAAAAAGTTGTAAAGACACTAATCTAAGTGCTTGCAGTAACACAATCACAATCAACTAAATGGTTTGTTTATATTTCTAATAAGTCGGCTTTTTAAAGAGTCAATTGAGTTAATTGTCAACTATTCTTTAAGTGATTAGTTGATTTCGAAAAGAAAAAATCAGGTTAACAGAAAATCCAATAGATGTCGCTACTCGTCGCGCGATCGGAAAAACTAATCAAAAGTTTTGATTCAAAACTTTGAGAATTAAATTTGATCAAATGAACAAAGTTAATTGATTTTGATTGGAAGAAAAACTTTGAAAGTTCAATTAACTCATGAATAGAAATTAACTTGAAATACATAAACAACAATCAGCGAAAATTAAAATTCTCTTGATTAACTATTTTGAAGATGAAAAGTATTTGAGGAAAAAGTTAATCAACTAATTGTTTCTTTTGAGATGATCAATGAAACAATTGGATAGTAATTCTAATCAATATGTAGTAATATTAATTAATAGATTTTTTTGTGAATATAATTCCATAAATTAGAGATAATTAATTTGTTTAAATCGATTAGAAGAAAAAGAAAATAACAAAATAGAAATTGTAATAGAATAATAATTTTTTTCTATTCTCAAAATAATCTGACCTTTAAAAGAGAGAGAGAGAGAGAGAAAGAGAAAAGAAATAAATAAAAAAAGAAAAAGAAAACTAACTGTGTCGAACGAATTTCTTTTTTCTCTTTTACTTTTCTTCTTTTTAATTCAAGAAGGAGTTTAGAGGTCGAAGGTTATACACTGAGAGGGAGAGAAGAAAAAAAGAGAAAGAGAGAGAGACAAAGAGGGTGGATGAGGGTGAGAAAGAAAGAAAAATAAGCAAAGGAGAAGAAGAGTAAGAGTGACCTAAGATTCTCTCTCTTCTGGTATGTGGCCTGTGATCTTAAACGATCTCCGCCCATAAGAGAGTAAAAAGAATATAAGAAAAAAGGTCGCGTGGCCAAGAAGTTCCCACGGTTTGCAAGAGAATCCAGTTAACAGCAACTTAAGAACATGTTAGATGTTTGGATGATCTTAAGAAGAAAATAAGCATCTGCATTTCGTTGCGAAAGAAACTGAACTTGCGCCGAGAGATAAACACGCGTGGGTAACAGGCTCGTTCCAATACACACTTATCATCATCTTCTTTCTTTTCATCTTCTCTCTCTTGTTCTCTTTCTCTTTTTTCTTTCGTTTCTCTTTCTCCGACCGTGGGAACAGAGAGCGTGAGAAAATAAGATTCCGTTGCTGAGTTTCTTCTTTCCCACGATCTTTTCTTCCAACAAGTAAATACCTTTACATCTTCTTCTCTTCTTCTCGCCATCATCTTAAACATCTTTTCTTTCTCCCTCTTTCATTTATCTTCTTCTTCTCTTTCTCTCTTCTCTCTCTTTTCTCTTTCTTCTTCTCCATTGATGTAACAACAACAACAAACGTTCAAATCTCCAAAGACCAAAACCCGATCATCTTTTCGTATCAACTTCATTCTCACTTCAAACTCTCAACAATCAACATCAACTTTTCTTTTTTTTTCTTTTTTCATTTTTCATTTCATTTCATTTTATTTCTTCTTCTTCTTTTTAATTTGTTAATTACCTTCGTTGTCCATCATCATGAAAATGTCCATCACTCGAGTTGATCCTTTGTCCATTGAGATTCCAAAAAAACCTCCGAATAAATCGGCTTCTGAACATCGACGAGCAACTAAACCGATTATGGAGAAACGAAGACGAGCTCGAATCAATAATTCATTGGAACAAATCAAATCTCTAGTTCTTGTTGGTCTAAATAAAGACGTAAGTATTAATCATCCTATTAGATTATCTGTTAATCTGTTGGAACACTTTCGTATCTTTCCAATAAGTTTTACCTTTTCTAATCCATTAATTGAAGAACAAGTTAATTAATTTCTTACCTTTTCTTTTTTTTCTCCTTCAATAGCCAACCAAACACACTAAATTAGAGAAGGCTGATATTCTCGAAATGACTGTCGAATATCTTAAAGATCTTGTACAAATTAAATCGATTGACAAATTATCTGCAATGAAAAGTTTCGTCGCTGGAATTGATGAATGTGCTTCTGAGGTGAAAAAGTTCGTCAATGGTTCAAATGATGTTGATCTGGCGATGAAAAGGCGAATTGTTTCTTCCCTGAAAAATAATTTATCTTCATTAAAACTCACCAATGGTCTTAATCACAATTCTAATCTGGTTTCATCAACAACCTCATCATCTTCATCAACTGGTCCATCATCTCCCATCCTAAGTCCACTTAACATGAAAACCGAACCAGTCTCACCTTTAACCGTTAATCGAGATGCATTAACAACAATCTCCTTTAATTACAACAATTCAACCAAAAGTCAATCACAATTAACTCCACCACCTTCAGCCAATTCATCTAATGAATCTTTCAGATTTTCCCCTGTTCACTTTGATCATCAATCTCATCATAATCTTCACAATCAATATCTTAACCATCACCTTAATCAATCATCAAATTATATCATCTCACCAATTTCACCTTCATCACATCTCATCGACGATCCAATGGATTGTATTCCGTTGATTGTTCCAAATCATCTAAATTAAATCTCGACGATAACGTTTGGAGGCCTTGGTAATTAGTGTCTTACCAACACCAATGGATTAAATTCACCACCGGTGCCTTAACTTAATTAGTTAACGGAAGAAAAGAAAAACTAATTGCCACAACAATTAAAAACTTTCTTTCTTCTTCCTCATCATTATTAACAAATCAACAATTGTTAATTGTCGTTGATCATCAGCATCATTATCACTATTATATTTCCCTTCTATTGATCTCTTTCTCTGTAAATAGATTTAATCAACATCATAAATTGATTAAATATCTATTCATAATTAATCTAATTACTTAGATGCACTTTGTCAATCCCATGAACCACCAAATGCCTTTAATTTACTACCTGTTATATAAAAAGAAATTAATTGTTATAAATTTTATAAGAAAAGATTATATTTATAAATCACAATTAAAAGAAAAATAATAACTTTTACCGATGAAATTAAATTTATCTCCAATTTATCAATTCGCGCGAATCCATATCCAACGAAATTATCTAACGACAATCAGATTAGTTTCATCAATAGTTAACAGTAAAGTTTATCAGATTAACGTTTAGTTAGTAATCTAATTGTTGGACCGTTGGAAAAACAAATCTTTGAATGGAAGTAAAAAGAAAACGGTGACAGTGGAATTAACTGTTATTAATTGGATAATCGTTGGGAGAGTTAACTGAAATCATTGAGAAATTAACCAACCATTAATAATCTGAAACAATTGAAAGAAGAGAAAAGAAGATATTGAAGATAATGATTAATATGTACACATAAAAACAATACAATGATAACAGTAACATCTTCACCATGAAAGAAAAACAAAACAAAACAACAGGATGAAGATAACAATTATCATCATCATCATCGTGAGAACCAAAGTTAAATGATAATCATTAACTCTAACAATCAGTATGTTTGTATAACCTGAACCAAAAATCAATTGATAGGCTGAAGAAAAAAAAAATTAATTTAAATGGTAATGATTAAACACTCACATAATAGTTATAATATTATGATGCGGATGATAATGATGATAATAAAGCAAAAGCATTCCATACATCATAACAATAGAGAGAGAGAGAGAGAGAGAGATATTTACATTTAAATACATTAGTGGCACATTCTCTTACCTTTAATCATTATCATTATATTTTCGTTTTCTATGGCAAAATGATGACAAAGATGATGAAGATTAACAAAAGGTGAATGGTTTACAGTGTCCATAGAGAAAAGATTGAAAAATCCAATGTAAAGGTTGATATTATTTTCCCATGACGAGTGTGCCAGTGACACGTACCTTTTACCTTTGCAATGTGCAATGTGCAAGTATTTGTAGTAATAGTAAAAGTAGTAGTAGTTGTAGTAAAATGGTCCTTTCAACCTGTGGGAAAAAATTTGGAAGAAAGGTAAATATGATGCTTGAATGGTTTGCCCTTTTACCTTTTTTTTTACACACATACACTCACTCACTCGCAAATACACACGGACACAGGCACAAGTCACCTTATAAACAGCCATCAATAAGATTTGCTTTTTTCTTTTTCTATCATCATGTTAACAATGGAAGCGAACGTTTTTTCTTCTTCTTGCTTTCTCTTCCTATTATTTCTTTATCCATTATTGAGACTCGTGTGGTGGACGATGACGATGATGATGATGAGAACCCAACCCTTGTCTCAAGACTTTTTCTTTCTGTAAAGAGATTCGTGTATTCTATTGTTGTGAGTGTACGTGTGTTTGTTGATTGTTTGCAGTTGTGTCGTTGTTCAATCTTTAAATAGTATTTATCAAAAGTGAGAATGATGAAATTGTAACGATAACGATGATTATGTTGATGATTATGTTGATGTTGTTAAAAAAGGTGTGTGACTTTGTTCACGTGGTTTGTTTAGTTGGAGGCTTTTTGTATTTTCTTAATTCATTCATGGATGATGTTTCTTGATCTTTAAGTGTTGAATGTTTTGTTGATTGTTGTTGTTAATCATAATAATGGTGCATGTTTCATGGTTACATGTGAATACTTTTCTCATCATCATGATAATGATGCTGCAATTGAACTGGTTTATGTGTGTAGTTAGTAAAAGTGTGTGTGTGTGTGTCTGGATTTACTTTTTTTCCACCTTTAACCAAAACATCACGCACACCGAGAGAGTGAGTGACTGGGAGAGCAACATGATGTAGAAAAATGTTGATTCCAATCTACATGATTGTTTCTTGGTTTAAAGGTGATTATACACTTGCCAAGTCTTACATATGCTTGATTGCTGGTGTATAATGAAGGTTTCACAGTTTAAACGCCCTTGTTTAATATTAACGAATAAAATTCACCAGCTCTATCATCAACAACCACCATTTTAACCACAACTAATCACGGCCACCAGATTAATCAAGATTCTGTAACATTAACATAAATTAATCAGAAAAAAAAATTAGAGGGAAAAAAATAACAAGTTGATTAAAATTAAACTAAAATTCACAGAAAACAAACAAAAGTATAAGAGATAACTTACTTTCCTTAATGTGAGCAATCAAATTCTCAGAGAATTTTAAAAACCAACAATTTAATCCAAAATAACAATCGAAATGTGAACAATTAATTAGATTCCAACGAAGAAATTAAAAAATAAACAATAAGATTGAAAAAAGAATAGAATTTACAGTTTATTCTAAATAACAATAGATGGCGACAGTGTTTTCGAATTTATTTCCGTTGAGTCAAAGGGTAAAAGTGGAAAAGAGTTAATTTGATTACGATTAATTTGTTTCAATTGTTAATTGTCTTTTAGTTTCTAATTACTAATTGTTGATTTTGTAATGTGTTCAGACTTTGGTAATTGATTGGAGTTTGAACATAAGGTTCTTCTTTTAATGCAAAAAAGAAAAGGTAAATTATCATTTTGATTACTTTCTCAATTTTCCCACACTTTTTTTTTTCTCTCGCTTGTTGAGTTAATTAAACTATTAACAGTTGTAACCTTTAAGCTTTTGTTGATTATCATCATGTGTTTTGTTGGCTGGTTTAACGTTGTCCAAATGTTAACATCTTGAAACTTGTAACCCTTGACCCTTTTCTCTGTGTAAAATTTTTCTTCTCACCCTTCATTTTGTTACCTTTGCCCTCTCTCTCTCTCTTTCTTATATTCCCTCTCTTTGCTTTTTCTTTTTTTCTCTCTCTCTCTCCCTTTCTTTAACCTTAACCTTTATCTTATTCTTTACGTGGACTTATGGTCACCTGCAAATACCTTTGGGCTTAACTTCCTTAACTGCTGTTGGTCATCGTATACAACGTAACCCCTTTAACCACCATTGATGCAATTGGCTATCTCTTTCTCTCCTCCTTCTTATATTCTCAAGCCCGTTTACTTATTGGTTTCTTTTTCAATTACGTTGGTCAACATCGTTTTTTTTTCTCTCTCTCTCTCACAGTTTGACCATTGACCCAAACTGCTCTCTCTCTCAAGACGTGTAGACAAATTCCTTTCTGTCTCTTTCTCACTAGTCTCATTTCTAACCAATTAGTTAATCATAAACTAACATTGATTTTCTTTTCTTTTTCCCTCCTTAGGCCAATCTCACTTTCAATTACAAGTTATCATGTACTCAGCGAGTTAATTATGGAGGGATAATATTCACCATGATGTCTTAGGATAAGAAGAAAATATCAACCCCGCCGTTGATCAACACTACAATCAAAGGAAAACTATTGGACGAAAAGCTAAATTCAATCAATCTCTCAGTGGACAATTAGCTTATAATAATTATTTATTTGTTCTTCTAATCTTATTAATATAGGCTGGATTTACAAATGATATTTTTAGATTTGTAATCATGTCGGCTACAAGAAAAGTGTGCGTATCAAGTAGCACGAGTTGAGCAGATAAATTTGTTAAAGTGAAAGCCATTGATGAGAGAGAAAGAAAAGCCGAAGACATAATCTAACGATCGAGATTGAGGATAAAGAAGCTAAAAAATGAGACAAAAGTGAATCTGAAAAAAAAGAGCCAATAGGAAGGAGATGAAAGAAAGATGAACCAAAGGAGAAGACAAGAAGAGAAAACAAAAAGAGGAGAAAAAAAAAGTCTAATACGAAACAAGGAAACAAACTTGAAAACAATGACAATGAAGGGAACCATCAAATGAATGTCAGAAAATAAGGAGTCAGGATCAGAATCAGATTCTAAAGACGAGGGAAATAAAAAAGAAAGGAAAGAAAAAAGCTCTACCAAGAAAAAGAAAGAGAAATGGTGAAAACGAAGACGAAGGAGAAGAAGATGGAAAAAAAATCAAAGGAAACTAACAAAAGGGTAACTTATTTTTTTCTGGTTAAACTCTGGTTTTCATCGGGATGATTATGATGATGAAAAGACAGTGAAGAAAAGAAAGAGAGTGTACAGGGTGTTGGCGAAAATACCATTCAAATGGAGAAGATGAGTTTTTATCCTTGCGCATCAAAGCAAATCAATGAGTCTCCAGACACAAATACGCAGGGAAAAAAATTCATCCCACTAAACTGTATTTTCCTCAACACCCTGTAGAGACTGAATGAAAACTATGTCATCCTATGGCTCTCTCTCTCTCTCTCACTCCCTCTCTCTTTCTCTCTCAGAGGAAAAACATAGAAAGGGGTGTGGGTGTTTGCAGCGAAGTATTTTAACAGGGAGTCAAATCCATGGGAAGGAATAGAAAAGGAGGTAAATATAATTCGACAGAGAAGAGAGAGAGAGAGAAAGGGAGAAAAAACAAAGAAACAATCGACAGGGAAGAAAGAAAAGAAAGAGAAAATGAAAGACATGGTTATGCATTTGAATGTTTTGATGATGAGAAAGAGAGAAAAGATAGAGACTCGAAAAAGAAAGTAAAGAAAGAGAGAGAAATAAAAATCCATAGAGAAAGTGAGAAAACGAAGACAGAGAAAAAGCCTTCTAAATGGCATCATCTTCAATTCCAATATAATATTGTACCTTTTTTTTAAAAAAGAAAAAATAACAACAATCAAATTACATTCATTTGTTAATTGTTATCACTATTTAAATTATCAATTTTTTCCTTTAAAATTGGAACAATAATCAATTACAATTAGTAACCAATTCTGGTAAACATCAATAGTGAATATAAAAGGGAAAAAAGGTGAATACTTTTTTCCCTTTCTTTTTTTTTCTTTTCATCATCATCATCATCATCTCTTGATCTTCTTCTTCTTTGTTTTATATTCATTTAAATTGTTATTATCTAAATTTAATATTATCCATCATTACCTCATCTTCCACTTGTTTCTTTCTCCATCCTCATCACCAACATCACCAATATCTTCATTTTCTTGTTGTGTGTTTGATAATCAGTGGATATGTTTAATGTTTACAAATATATTATTTCTGCTAATACAATAATAGTAACATCACCATCACCATCATCATCATCATAATCCAATGTTGATAATATAATAATAATTCATAAGAATAATAATTTCTTTCAACCTTAATAACAATAATTTACTAATCTACATGATTAATAATACTTATTAATTTAGTTCTCCTCCCCTCTTATCCTCTTTGTTTTGGTGTTGTTACAATTTCAATTTACTTGGCTAATTGTTGATAATCAATCACATCATCTGATTAACTGTTACCTCAATTTGTTGGAGGAATCACTTTAATTGTGCTGATCAAATATCTCTACTCTCCTTGTGATTGTAATATTATCAACTAATTGTAATCTCAAGTAATTGTTTTCCCTTTTTTTGCTAATTTAAAATCATTGTGAAGGATTAACTCCATCCGGTTATATTAAAGGATTAAATCAGAATGACCCGAGACAGATTAGCTGCTCTTAAAGCGGTAAGTTAATCAATATAACAATTAACTGGACAACAATTATTCAAATGATTACTTTGGTCATCATCATCATCATCAACTATTATTATCCTAACTCCATGTTCAGATTAGGATGAAATGTCGATGAAAAAATTGATTCCATTCATTAAGAGTGAATCATGAAAGTGATTATCTGTAAATTAATCAACTAATTTCTATTGGATTATCTAATTGTAATACTTTAGACTTTAGTATCTCATTAATAATTTAAATTTCTTACCTGTTAAATAGCTCACTGATTATTGTTACATTTAAGGATATTAATAACTGATGAACTAACCATTGTGTTGATGTTGTTTAATTGTTACTGATCATAAATTTAATCATCCAAATGAATCTAATCTCTGTTTTAAATATCATTCAATTTTTTTCATGTTTCAACCTTTGTGGATTTTTGTATTGGACTCAACTCGCGCTTTGACCTGAAACTTGACTCATGGATTCTGGTTGTTAATCTGATCTGTGGTGAACACACTGATGATGATGATATCGATTTATAAACACCAACGATCAGGCTGCTGAAGATGAGGATGAATTCGAGGTGGATATGCCCAATAGTGATGTTAAAAATGAATTTTTCCAACAAGTGGAGGAAATCATGGAAATGGTTGAAAAAATGAAAACGGATGTGGAAGAGGTCAAAAGGACACAAAGTGCGATATTATCGTCACCCGGAAATGATGAAAGTAAGCATAAGATAAACAAACAAACATTATCCTCCTCCCACCTTTCACATATTAACAATCTTCATCTTTCAATCTCCTCCTTCTCCTCCCACTCTTTCACTCTCTCTCTCTCTCTTCAATTCCATGTTCATAATAATCACCAACATCATCATCTTCCTACTCACAATGATAACATCATCTTTTCAACAATAATATCATCATTATCATCCATGTTTCTATTGAAAGGATAACTTTTCAATTTCAACATTTCCTGAGAATGTTAATCTTAAAAAAATGATTCCCATCATGATGCTCTTCCCTGTAGCATGATAACAATATCATTCAATATCTAACAATATATTAATTATCATTTTAGGTTCTTAATGAACATCATCTTTAATAATTTATTCATGGTTTTATCTTAGAGTTAATATTTATAATTTTTTTTTCTTATACTCAACTAAATTGTTATTGTTGTTGATCAATTTACTCACCTAAATTCTGACTGAGTCGGTGTCGATGATTTAATTGATGAATTTCTCTCCCACTCTCTTTCTCTCTCCCTCTTCATTTCAATCATCAATTTCTGAATTCAGTTATTATTAGTTGATATTATTACTTATTATTATTATTATTTATTGATTGTTGTCAAATCTTTTGATTTTATTTTCTGTCCTCTACAATATGAAATACATAATATAAATGCATCATCTCAATTTCCATGTGATTCAATGCTAATGATGGTTGTGTATGTTTCTCATATGATGATTATCATCAACTATTTTCTAATCTTTTCTATTATTTCAATCTATTCCCTGAAATATGAAATATTCATCGTGTGAAATATATAAATAACTTTGATTCTAGAATCTCTAAATTACTGGAATTATTTTTTATTGAATTTCCTCTTGAATACACACCCATTATTATTCATTGAAAGCTCTTGATAGTTTATCTCTTTGATTGTGTGTCTCATTAATTGTGATTAATCAAAGTATCTGTTGTCATTTTTATCAGTTAAACTAATTCATTTGATAGCATGAGGTTAATATTATTGTTATCAATTACTAATATTCAATGTGAATATGGATTCTGACAATGAAAATGTTAATCTTTTCCCGCCTTTATCTTTGATGATAGACAATTAACTGATTACTCTTGGTTAATTTTGTTCATTTTAATTTAATTGTGGCTAAATTTAGTTAATTTAGTTTCTTATCTCAATTACTATCATAAAATATACTCTCTCTCTATATATATTGTATATTATATACACTCTGTATATCTTGAAGCAATTTTCAAAGACTTACATGATGGTGAAATGAATTCTTGGTGAATAATATTATAAGATTTTGTTCTGACATGAAAATATCCTCAGGTTATTTAATCATTCTGACGATGTTGATGATGGTCAACATCATCATCATATAACAAGTAAGATGATAAGTTAAGAATAAGCAAAAAAAAAATAAAAGTTCTTGTTTTCCTGTGATCACAATCTGAATGGACAACATTTGAAGTGTTATCATTTGTTACTACCATGATTATCAGAAAGTCTGAATCAGAAAATCCTTTTTCAACATGATGATCATTATCAGAACATATATTGAATATCCTTATGATATATATATATATAAATCATGAAAGATAAATTTCCCCATGAAATGATGAAAAATAAACCAGAATAAAATCAATTGAGTTTTAGGATAAAATATATATTTTAATATTACATCCCAACAAATTATTAATACATGATAACAATACATCGCCATGTCAAACAAATACAATTAATCAATATATTTACTGTGTGTTTGTGTGAATATATATTTCATGTCTTATGTTTTAGTATTTAATTTCTTGATTCAGTTTTATCAATTGATTAACTAGACTAACTAACATGATAATGTTTACTCAAATTGTAAGAATGAAATTTGATTCAATCAATGTAAGAATTTTCCTCAAAACAATCAGATAAATTTGGTTTTCAATTTCATGTAATATGAATTGAAATTTTCTCATCATGAGAGTTAATATGATTATTATTGTTATTGTTGCTGATTACCAGCTACGATAATCAATTGATGGTTAATTATCGTGGTTAAAGATGAGATTGATTGGATTCTCGGTGTATTGACTATACATATTCATGTTATTAGGATATTGGGGTTGAATGGGAAATAACAAATTGATAATGTAAACATAATCTTTGCATGGTTGATACATTTACTATTGTTATTATCATATATTGTTACGCAAACTCTGATTTCTGAATAACTTTATTGGCCTAACCCTCTTATATATTTTATCATGAAGATAATTGCTGTTTTGATACATTAAAATAACTATTTGTAACCTTATATATATTTATGTTTATCTCTATTTACAAGATATTACAATTTCATGTTGATTATGATCATCTTAAATTGTTAATTATTGTTTATAGTTATTTCAGATGAAAATAACTGTCATTTTGATTGTATAACGATTAATATGAAAAAGAGATGCTATTATTCAGGAATTGATTGTGTATTTGATGAATTGGAAATATTTGTGTTACATTTATCATGAATGAATCAAATATCTAAATCAGATAATATCAATCTCATCATTTCTATGATGATGATGATGATAAAGTTGATAATCAAAAACTTATCAATCATTTGGCAATAGTTTCTCTCTCTCTCTTTGAATCATTTGAAATATGAATAAGATTTTTTAGTCCCATGAATATCAACTCATATCTAAATTGTTACAGATCAATTTTATTCATATCAATCATAATCTAAATTATTCTTTCCTGATTTTATTAACTATATCACCATGATGAATATGATTAGTTGATGATTCGTTATGTGTGTGTGAATCAACACATAATTAAATAATGAACTAGAGCAGGAGTAAAAAAAGATATCAATATGATTTGATCAGTTGATTAGTTAATTATTCAACATGAGAATCACAATCAATGAGTTAATAATCAAAATTGTCATTTTTCTAACCATTACCATGTAAACTAATCATTTTGATGGACCAAAACAATACAAAAACAGAGATTCCCACAAAATAATTGTTTGATTGTTTGATAATTCAAGTTGAAAGTTCATTGATTAGAATTAATCAATCATCCAATAAAATCTCAATGACAAATATAACAACAACCTCAATGATTTCATGATTCATATAATCCTACATGCGATCATTTAATTGCTATTGACTTATGATTTGAATCAATTTGATAACTTCTGTAACAATTAGATTATTAGAGTTAATATCATCTTAATTAACTATGAATTCATTTGCACGTTTAACTTTAAATTGTGTTCGTTTCAATTATTTTGTCTAAATTGTTGATTCCTATGAGATTTAGATCATGATGATAATAATAATAACTCTCTCTCTCACTTGCATATATTCAAGTTGATTTAGTGATGATGATATGGTGATTATATTGATTAAGTTAACAGTCAATATGCAAATTGTTTATTCATTAATTTAATTTTGCAATTTATTAAATTTACAATGAAAAGGCGGTCGTTTTTTTCATATATTTCCTGAATCACAAATTCCATTTTTAATTATGATTGTCTGATGATATTTGACATTGGATAATTAGGTTAGGTTAATTATTTGCAATTGAAATAGCAATTAATAATTGTAGAAGATGGAAAATTATTCAATATAATTAATAAGTTGAACATAAATCTTTCTATGGGTTAAACAAATTGTTTCACCAATTAGATTTATATATCAATAGGTAATCAATCACTTTGCACAATTGTTACTAATTGTTACAATCTATTGTTAATTGTGGTCTAACAGTGATAGTAATCAAATTGATTACAAGTATTATTATTAATATGGATGGAAAAGCTAATGATGATTATCATGTTTGATGTTGATAATTAAAAGTAATGTTTTTATCTTGAAATGATCAGTTTGACACTCGATTCAGTCATGTAACATTTACTTTCTCATTTTATCCCAAAAACCCATGGACATTATTTACTATCCTTTCCTATACATGAGGATACACACAGGATAAAAGTGAGACCACATTTTTTTCAATCTCATCATCATCATCATTTCATCATCCTCTTTGTCCTGCATCATCATGAAGGCTGAATCATCTGAATCAGTTTGAAAATGTAATATCAATTTGAACCGTTTTTTTTTTACTTACTCTCAACTCGATCAATGTTCATTGAAAATACTCACTGTAAAGAGTAACATCTTGGGCAGCATGAGTAAAAAGATGATGATAATGACGAATATCATCATTATCATCATGATGATGACTAGATTCTGACTTTAGGATCATTAAATTTGTGTGCAAATGATTGTATCAACTCTCAGTTAGAATAGGAATAGAAATGGAACCCAAAATGTTTGACTTTTTTTTTCTTCTTTTGCAAACTTGAAACAAACCCAATCCTTTTCATGTTGTTTCATGATGATGATGATTTTGATGATATTCACTATCTTGACGATTATCATGATGAGGAACAACAAACAATAACAACAACAATAAGTATTACAAGAAAATAAATAGAAAATAACAATTTGTTGTTGAAAGAAAATGAATACATTTTAATTGTAATAAGTAATGAAAAGAAATCAATTTGAATGTCAATACCAATTTTCAGTAATGATAATTAACATTTTCTTATATGAATTAAATTGTCATTAGCTGATCAATTATCTAAGTTGCTGTATTATTTAATTGTCGCTGAGATAATAGCATTTAAAACATGTCAAAATTTGTTATCAACTTCGCATGACTTTTTCCATGATGATGATAATAATAATGATAATAATAATTCATGTAATATATACTCAATGAAGCTCTGAATTGTTAAGCGCAGGTACATTGGAAATTCCCAGTTGATTTAATAATAAATCAAGTCTCTCTTTTGAAATAATAATAATAATGATGATGAAACAATCTAGAAGAATAGAAAATTTCCTTTGAGAGCCACACCCAATTTTTAAGGAACAATCAAAAAACAATTAATCTACGAGCGATGATGATGAGAGATGGAAAATAAAAACAATACCCAAAAATAGTTTCTCTCTCTCTCTCTCTCTCTCTCTCTCTCTCTCTCTCTGACTCTCCCTTTCCCCGTCTTCCTTATCTTCCTGTTATTGGTATTTCAGCCTTTTTCTGTTAATCAATGATTATTAAATTAATAACAATCATAATGATGATGATGATGATGATAAAGCTTATAAAATATTCAACATTTACCGTTAGTTACATTGAAACAAAGCTTGAATGTTTGTATATCTCATCTTGTTGAAATTATTTCATCAACAATAACAGTAATGATAATATGAGTAAAGGTTACTAAGGTTACCAGAACTGGTTAATATTGTTATCATTATCATCATCAATATATGATGATTGTTATCATTTATTATCATTTTTTTTGAGGTTAAGACAATTGATAATTTTGTTTGATAATCATTGGTGATATCTTTTTTTTCACTCCCAGTTGATTTTTGTGTGACAAGGAGTTAAAATGAAAAGGTAACCAAGCATTAGCTAGATGATAATGATGATGAAGCGATGAAGATGACTGAAGTTTCCGAGCAAATTTGTGATGATGATATTTTTAGATATTGTATTTTTAACAGAATTAGATGATAGAAATGATGACAATAAAACTGGGAAGATGAAGGGTTATCCTGAAATCGATCAGCATTATCATTATAAGGTTTCTCTCTCTCTCTCTCAGTCTTTTTCTCTTTCTTTCTTTCTTTCTTGCTCACTCACTCATCCTGAATAATGGCTTCCTTCAAAATATTAAACCTTAAATAATATCTTGATGATGATAAAGTAACAACAATTTGGATGCCAGAAATTTTTGATCAATTTTGATGATCCAATGTGTTAATCTGATCATCTTTGATACTCTTGATTCTCAATTGTTGAAATGAAATTATTTTAATTCATCTTCTAAATCTGTTATATATTTTTCATCATCTGTCATTCAATTATCTTCATTGATTCTTATTATTATCTTGATGATCATCAATAAATCAATATACTGATTCTGAATTCGGTTCTCTCTCTCTCTCTGATTTGCTTTCTTTTTTGGTCCAGATTTTGTCTTCCTTTTCCTGATGATCGTCACAGTTGATCACAGAATTACCTCTCTCTCCCTCTCTCAAGTTCTCAGATGATGATGATAAAAATGATGAGAATAATATAATGTTAGAGTTAAAATATATTATCGATTGTAATAGTTGAAATAACGATAACAATGATGCTGGGCAATAGTAATAATCTGAATGAAACATTGTAATTATGTTTACTATTAATATTATTTGTACAAGATTGTGTAGTAAAAATGAGATGAGAGACAGTTAATCCATTGTAATCTTAACCCCCACTCTCATATGTTTATATGAATTGAATTTGTTACAACTATTATCTGTCAATCAAAAGGATGATGTTGATGATAATATATAAAAAAATATATTACATTTACCTGATAACATTATCATTGAGATTGAGGTAGAGACTAAAATTACAACTCAAAATCTGATATTTTGTCACAATTTCATCTTGATTTTTAATGATTATCCATCTCATTGTGTATACACATATAAATTATATAATAATAATTTGATTAACATGCTAACAATTATGATAATGAACATGAAAATTAGCTTAACCCATTTCCGTTTTCCGTTTCTCTTCCCAAAATGATGGTTACATGTAACATGCTTATTTTTTAAGCAAAATTTTCATTCTTCATCCATGAGAATGGATAAATAGAAAAATATAATTTTCTCTATGAATTTATCATCTAATTTTAATGTTTCTCTCTTTCTCTCTCTTTTCTATTGTTTCTCTTTTACAGAATTGAAGGTTCAATTAGATAGTCTAATGACAACGATTAAGAAAAATTCTAATGTGGTTCGAGGTCGATTAAAAGCAATGGAACAAGAAATAGAGAAAATGGAAGAATCGGGTGATATGTCAGCCGATTTCCGGATCCGGAAGACACAACATTCGATGCTTTTACAGAAATTTGTTCAAACAATGACTGATTATAATCAAACTCAAGTTGATTATCGTGAAAGATGTAAAGCAAGAATACAACGACAACTTGAAATTGGTAATTCAAAGTAAATCAGTCAATCAAAATCAATCAATCAATCAAATCACACTAACCTCAAGTGTATAAGTTTTTTGGTTAATTTTTTTTCCTTTCACACAATCAACCCTTTAATTAACAGGCAATATTTTTATATACTATTTTTAGAGTCAAGCTAATTATTGATTGTGTTTCTACATATACATATATATATATCATTTAAATTACTTTTTGATTGATTTTGATTGTTCACAATTTAAAACTGTTAACTTATAATTAATCATTTGTTGTTTTTTTCCTTCCTTATTTTGATTTATCCTTTTAAATTGTGTACCAATCAGCTGGTAAAACCACAACAGCGGAAGAGGTTGAAGAAATGCTGGAAAGTGGGGAAAGTGCTCAAATATTTACCGAAGGAGTAAGTTGATTACAATTAAGTTAATTGTTTGATATTAATTGTTATAATCTATTACAGATTGTTACTGATACAGCTCAGATGAGGCAAACATTGGCTGATATTGAAGCTCGTCATGCAGATATTAAAAAATTAGAGAAAAGTATAGTTGAATTACACGAGATGTTTTTAGATATGGCAAATCTTGTAGAAAGTCAGGTAATTATCAACATAATCTAATTAATTTAATCATAATCCATAATTAATCTGTTAATCTTGCAAATAGTAGACACACAAACACATATACCATGAGTTTCAATGTTGATTTTAATATTTACATTACAACGTTGTTATTACATATGAGTGATGAATAGTCAATACAATGAAATTCAATTTACTAAGAAAATGAAATGATAAAATTGATTGATTGTTGATAAAAACAATTGAACTAAATTAATATTTGATTTTTCTCGCCTTAATTTAGATTATACTATTTCATGTGTTGACCTGTGAAAATTGCAATTGATTGGTTTAAATTTGATTCGTTTAACTTGATTTTTTGATCTGATTAAAATTGAATCAATGATAAACAATGAGGATAATATATTGAAAGACAATTGAATTATATTTATGGAAAATGATGATAATCAAATGATTATAATGAAAAAGTCAAAATGATTACCAGAAAAACCAGAAAATAACATCAACAAACCTTTTTATTTACTTTCCTATGGGTTAACTTTTATTCAATACTTTTTGAGGGAAAACTTTTTTTTTACCGTTATTATTGTTACTCTGGTCGATACAATAATACAATTTTGTGTTTTCTAGTGGTAATATTATATTATTATTGATTTTATCATCATCATCTCTCAGTTATTGTGTATTCAATTTTACTTTATCTCAATGGTCATCTCTTCAGATAAACTCATATGGATTCCAAGATTGTGTAAAAATAAGTTGTTGACCTTAACATACAATCAAAAAGTAGATAACATTTGAATTATGGTTACATGGTTACCTTTTACCTTCATCATGTATTCATGATTCATTTCAAACTGGTATTAACTATTATTACCCTTGACTAGATGATAATATTAATAGTTACAGTTGATCATTTCAATGTCCAGTCTTGATTGTGATAAATAATTTGTAATTTTCAAAACAAATGTCAGGAACTTTTCACCAATAGTGATTAGTGAATTTTGGGTTGATTGTTACTCATCAATATTTGATTCAGTTAACCATTTTGGTGCAAATTGATATTAATAACATTTGAATGTTATCATAAAAATTGGTGTTTTATTTAATTTCTAAGGTCAACCAGTAGCAATTGATTCATTTACTGATTTAATTAGTGGCTTAGTTTTATAATCAGCTCATGATTTGCCTTGATATCCACTGAACAATATTGGATGTTGTTCAATCATCGTAATCAATTAATTAGAATGTTTTTTTATGTGTAACTAACTATAATTAAGATAACAATTAAACTGTCAAGATGATTGGACAAATACAGACACACTAAGGAATCAAGTTAACAAGAAAAGTGTATATTATTATTATTATATATTGAGAGAATCAGTTGTTTATTGTTAAGGTCTATTGTATTGGTTGATTCATTGATTAATTGTTAATTGTAAAAACTATCATTATGATGATGATGATAAAAAAAAGAGTACATATGATGATGATGAAAAATAAATTTCTCATCATTCATGAGAAAATATTTACTTTAACAATAAAAGTCATTCATCTTTTTGCTATTTTTTGGTTATACTTTTTAGTTCTTGTTGGCAATTTACTTGAATCTCACTTAGGAATGGAAACACGTAAGGAGAGAGAGAGAGTGGAAGTGGGAGTTGATGATGATGATGATGATGATGAAGGTGAAAGAAGAGAGAGAGGATGATGAAGAAGATGGAAACGTCTTGTAAGGTGTTTTGTGTTTTTCAAGAAAAAAAATCGATGAAAACGATGAAAACACTTGGGAGTTTGCGTTGTGTGATGTTCACTTGGTTGTTGTTTTTCACGTCCCATGGAATAGATTCTGAGTTTTATTTATCATCATGAAAGATGAAGATGAAGAAGAAGAAGAAGATGATGATGATGATAGTAAGAAATAACGTTAAAACCTTAAGATGACTTGAGGTTAAAATGGGGTCATCTTATTAACGAAACAACCGAATCCTTTACCATGTTGTCAATTGTTCATTTCACTTTTTTTTCTGGGTTAAAATTTCATGTTACTTTTTATTTGATTATTATTATTATTTTTCATCAACTGTTAACAGTAATTGGATTTTCTTGTTAATACTTAATAATCAACACACCACCATCATCATCCTTTAACAATCAAATGCTTCTTTAAGGCTATTAATTAATCATGATGATGATGATCGTCATCATTGATTACTCTTTCAACTTATTCTGTCTCTCTATCTTTTATCAAATTATGGTATTGATTATTTTTGCTAATTGTTATAGAATTTGAATTATCAATTCAATCGATTCTGATTGAATTAATTGATTCCATATTCTCACATATGTATATTCAATTGTTGATGGTTGTAAATTGTGATTGACTCAGAAAACTAAGCAAAGCTTATTATTGATTTTCCATTTAAATTGTCAACTATTAATCTTGTCAATTGAAATTTTCCTGTAAAAACAAAAGTAGATAATTAAACCAATTTGGTAAAAATTTTCCACGCTAATATATCATACAGACAATTGAGCAAATTTAAAACAATTAAATTTGATTAACTTAATTTCTCATTACCTTTGTTGCTTATTATCACACTAACTAGTACTAATTAATAATGGTTGTTGATAATTTTATCCATAGAAATATACTAATAGTAATATGTAATTCATTATTGATGCTCAATTGAACCAGAATTTCACCTGAATATTAGATATTAGATTATACTTACAGGGTGTATTTGAGAAAAAGAAAGTAAAGAAAGAGGAAGATATACTGAAGAGACTCGAGTGTGTTACTATTTGCAAGAGATTGAGGAGGATAAAGTTGAGAGAGTATAAAATACAATATTGAATTTCTTGTTTTTCTCCCTTCTTCTTTCTCATGATTCTCATCTGAAAATAAAAACTCAGGGTGAAATGATTGATAGAATTGAATTTCATGTTGGAAAAGCTGTAGAATATGTTAAGGCTGGAACAGAAGATACTAGGAAAGCATTGAAACTCCAACGTGAAGCTCGTAAGGTAAGTTATCATCCTCATCCTCATCCTCATCTTTACTTATTATTATTTATTTTTTTTTACTCCGAAAGACAAAAACAAAAACCAATCACTTTGCTGATGATGATGATCATAGTAATGGTAATAATTCATTCAAGTATTACAATCAGAGTATGACGAGCATGATGATAAGGTGAAACCATTTAAAATGTTATCATGAACTTTCTGAGCAAGTTCATGTTCAGTGTTATATTCATCTCTGAATTGTTATCATTACTATTCAAGGTTATCATTTTCAGATCTTTTTTTTTGTTTCTATCTCTTTTCACATAATTGCCTATTAAATTGAGTGCGATATTTTTAATTGATAATTATCATGATCAAATTTTGATTGATTAGTTAACAGAAAATGTTAACAATTTTTTTACGTATCAATTTTGTTTTGTTAATCAAATTTTTTGGATTATCACAATTCTAATTATGTTTACCGTTATGATTTAATTGCAGAAAAAATTGATGATAATTGCTTGTATAGCGATCGCTGGTCTCATTTTGGTTCCAATGGTTTTCAAGTTTATCCCGTTACCATTTTGAAGAAATTAAATCTTAATCAGTTCCCTAATTTGATGGAATCACGTGTGACAATTAAAACAGACTTTAACTATTTAATGTTAATTTTAAACAACTTCATCTACACAATTTTTCAACAATTAAGGATTATCATTGATTCATCAACAGCAGCAACAACAACAACAACAGTAACAACAATACAATCAGCAGCAATATATTTATTGATTGATTTTTTTAAATATCAACATGATTGAGATATTAATAGCTGAAGGTGGGAGATTGATGGAGACAGGGAGTGATTTATGCTAATAATGTAACAATAATATTACCAATATATTACCATAACAATAATACGTAATTGTAATAAGACTAATAATAATAATCAAGGACAATTGCAATCAACTAATGGTCCAGTTAATTTTAATGATGATAAACTACTCAAGGAAACTGCAAAATCCACCGGAATGATTAGTTGATGATAAACGTTTTTTTTTGTTTTCTGTTGTCATTGTTACTTAATTACTATTATCTATCCATCGCTAATTGAATCTTCTTGATATGGTTTACTATTTCATCATCTTCCTCCTCGTCATCCTCATCCTCATCTTGATCATAATCCTCTGTTTCAAATACACTACACTTCCAACCTTCATATCAAAGGGAGTTAACAGATTTAATAATAATAATAACTCAAAATCATCTCGTATATGCAAATAACAGCAACACGATGATAATCATCAACAATTTGGCGACAACAATTAAATCAAAATCAATAAGATCATCAATTTAAATCACCAGACAAAAATGTCCAACATAAAAATTGCATCGATTTATTAAATTGTAATAACCAATTCAACTAATGATCGTTACAATTTAAACAAAACACTAATGGTTAGTATAATTGTTTAGATTTTTTTACAATTAAATCAGTCAACTAATGATTATTTTTACATCTTGATTGTTTGTAGGCTGAAAAATTGGTTAAATATTATGACCTAATTTTCAGGTTCCTTTTTTTAGTTAACTACATATAACCATTGTGATTGTAATGACGATGTAATCATGTAATAGTAACAATTAGTTGATTGTTATCTTTTCACTCATTGAAAAGTTGAATTGAAAATGAATTCATGTGAATATAAGAGTAACTCAAGATGGTGAGATAATATTATCTGATTAACTGAACACATGATGAATTTACATGAACTAATGTTGAATATTTTTAGACTTTAACAGTTAACGTTTGAGTATGAGAAGAATAAAAAAATCACTTGAATATTACCTGAGGCGATTTTGAGAAGATAAAAAAAGTTCTGGTTTGTTCACTTCCCTGTGTGTTAACCTGAATCTTTTTTTTTTCTTATTCACCTGAAAATCCCATCGGTTTTTCATGAGGAAACTTTTTCTTTGTATCCTAAAGTAGTAACAACAAAATGGATTGTGAATTAAAAGGAACCAGTAAATCACCTTGAAATTTTTCATTCCACCCTGAATATCCTCCATGTTGAGATACATCGCAATGCTTTTAACAGATTCCCAATATCTCTGGTAATGTTATTTCATTGTTGAAAGGTCATCATTAGAATCACTATTAAGGTGAATGGAAATTCAATCAATCAAATGTTGATAATCATCGAAAATGTTGTTTTTTTTTTGCTTCTCTACCTGAACATTAATTTTCTTTTTCTTTTTCTCTCTCCAGGTAAATGATATTATGTATTACGATTGAAATGGTGACAATGACATTGCAATACAAAAGGATATTTAACTAATGGTATTGCAAATTAATTGATGATTCAATTTGATTGAATAGTGAGAGTTGCAGCTCAAAAGATGGACACAAATAATTATTGCTAAACTTTTTTTCTGTGCTTTTTTGTTGGTACACAATTTTGGCTAATCAACATTTCCATTGGGATTAATTTAATATTTACCTCTGGGATGGATGGTTAAATGATAGTGATAATATATAAATCTATGGTTTTAATTATGCGGATTATGATAAACTCCCATCTCTCTGATATTATGATGATATTATTATTGTTTATTGTTTGATGCTGCTTTTTGTTGGGTGAAGCCTTTTTTTTGCTGGTGGGTTTTGTTTGTGTGTCAAGAGATTATCCCGGAAGTGATTGATATGGAAACCAGGAAATGAAGTGAAAAACTTTCACTTGAAAGCATCCAACCAATTTAACCAGCCTGCCAAATGATTTCATCTTGCAATTAACTAATCCAGTTAACTTTTTACTAAGTCACTATTAAGGACTCTCTCTCTCTCTCTCTCTCCCACATACTTAATCATCGCAATTAACACTCATGTTAATTTGAACATATTATCTCATCAATTTCTCATTCTATGGCCGTTGTTACTTTGTAATCTTTAATTGTTGCTGTTTTCGAGAACCCAAACAATCAATTGTGTTGAATTTTTCGGTTTTTTTTTCATCGAACTTGTTTACACGATTTGATCCTCTTGATTTCGCTTCTTCCTTGGACCTATTCTGATTCCTCGTGAAAGGACGAATCTTGACCTGATTTCAATTCACTGACAATTAACTTGGATTAATGCAAATATTTAATTAGCTATTCGATTTGTGTGCAAATTGATGATTTATCTCTTTCTTTCTTTCTCTCTTTTTCCAAATCATTCGAAACAACGAAAACTATTCCCTTCGATCTCATTCAACTTCACTGAAGCTTCTGCTTGACGCCATTTTTTTCGCATTTTTATCTTCACTTTGTCATCTTATTCTGGTTCCTTCTCTCTTTCTCTCTCTCTCTCTCTCTCTCTGTCAGGGTAGTTAATTTAATTTCAATGATTTAAATTTTCTACCCAATTGGATTCCAATTTGATAATCAAATTTTGATTATAGTTCTTGTGGATTACATCGTATGAAAAACATCAAGATGATCAACTAATTATCTAACCTAAACTTTGCATCTTCATTTAATTCATTGAAAACTATGCTGCTGATTTTCATCAAGTGATCAACAATTAACAAAACCAACTCACCCAGTGTTGATAAATCACATGTACATCAAATTAAATTGCACACAATTTGTTTTTCTTGGATAAATTGAAAGTTTCACAAATACACACACACACACAATCAATTAAACATCACAACCACCACATCAGCAACACCATTACAAACAATTTAAAAGCAATCAATTGATTTAATCCAACATAACATTTAGTAACTACAATTGCAAAGGTTTTGATTACTCTTATATACTTATAATATATAAATATACTAATTAACGAGTGTGTTCAACAATTAATCAAAATCAATTGATGAAATGAAAGTTTTCAAATGATTACGAATGTTAAATCATTAACATCGCCCGTGAACATCAACAACAATTTAATCATATTTCTGTGGTTTTCCAGTGATTAAGGGCAGATAAAAGCAACAAGCGATGTCAATCTCATCTTCACCCACCCTGACCCACTCTATCTCTCCACCTCTGACCCGCTCTCCATCATTTCCCACTCTCCTCTCAGAGGAAAATCTGATGTGTGACAATATATATTTTTCTTGATTCTCAAAAAAATAGTCTTTGAAGTTTACACCTTAAACTTGCGCAATTCACATAACAAAGATGATAAACTAACTGTAAATATTTTGTGAGTGCAAAATCAATTTTTCTTCATCATTTATCCTCCATCATCATCATCATCATCATCCTTATCATCTTCTTAATGGCACAGAAAAAATTGAATCTTCTCTCTCTCTCTCTCGTTTCTTGCGATCATCATTCCCAATCAATTCCCTGTTTTCTACTAATCTTTTTTTCCTCTGATGATGATGAATAAGAAGAAAAAACTTAATAATCATCCGCATCTTCATCATCACAATAATAACGATTACAATAATACTATTAACTATTAATTCACTATTAACAACAATAATAACATAACATTACCAATATTAATTACTAATAATTAAGAAAACTATTAATTGCTGATGAAAATAATACCAAATTATGTATAAATTTTAAAGTTATTATATGTTAGTGCGCAAAGAAATCAGATTAACACTTATAATTAACTTGATTTGTTTTTGTTGTTTTCCACAATTAACACAACTAACAAACAATAACAATCAATCAGCAGTTAATCAGATCTTTAATTTGTTTCTATTTTAATTGTTACAATTTGTCTCAGTTTCTTTTTCTAAATATATTTTGTATCTTTGGGTTTCCATTTGTTTTCTGTTGAATTTGATTTTTTTTTCCTTCTTGTTAATTGTTGAAGTGCTTGATCCATAGTTTGATGGATATGATGAAGATTAAGATGATGATTAGGATGAGGATTTAGAGGAGATTAGTGGTGAGAAAGAGAGATGATTATGATGATGAGATGTAATCGTTAATTGTTGTGATACTTTGATCACTTTTTTTGCATTTCTTTTGGAGGCAAATTCTGGAAATTAACTCTAATAATTAGTGCATTTTGTTAACTACCTTTTCTTATCTTCTTATCATCTTAATTATCATCTTCATCTTGATGATCATTTTTTTCATCTCTCGTACAATTTATATACTTAATTATCATTCTAATCATCTAATTGTTTTCTTTTCTTGTATCTTTAGGAATCAGTTGACATTTCATCTTTGTCTCAATCTAATTCAATGTTATCCATTTTGGAATCAGATTCTGCAATCACAATTAACCAATTATCTCATCTTCCAATAATCAATCACAATCAAAACTAATTTTTTCATTTAATTTCTTTCTCTCTCGCTGTCAACTTGGAAACAATTTAATATTAGATTTGAAAATGTTACAGTTTTTTGTCAATCACAATTAATTTTCATAATCATTGTAAAGTTTAATTTGGTTAATTAGTAAGTTAATCATCTGATTGGAAATATTTTTATTACAATTAACATTTTCGTTTTGTTAATCATTTGATAACATTGATTTAATTGTGGACAAAGATGTTGTGGAAATACAATCAATTAACCTTAATGATTTAATTAGATCTTCCAATTTAAATTGCTCTGAGTTTTTCATCTGATTAACTGTTGATTTAAACAATGATTGTTTATTGTTTGATTGTGTGTTATTTGATTTTTTCACACCTTAAATTTAATTTGAACCAATCAAATTTTATATATATCATGATAATGATAATGGTTAATTAGTTAATGAAATGATTACCTGATTACCTTGTGAAACTCAGCGTCTGATTAATTGTGTTGTAAAGGATAATCGTGCCTGATGAAATTACAATTTGGACAATTTAATCACAATTTAACCCTGACGGCAATCAATTGATTAACCAATTATTATACATAAAACTTTGTTGGACCCAATTACAATCAATTTCTCAGAGGGAACAACAATTAACAATTAAAATACACAAGAAACAAACTCAACATGAATCAAGGAATCGACAAATTAATTGATCATAAACAACAACATCTATCATGAAATCGTAACAATTTAACCATAAATTGATTGGAAAATTAACTTTTTTTTCTCGTTGATCAACAATCAACCTCCCACTCGACAAGCGATTAATTTGCATCAATTTTAATTGTTCTCGTTTTTACAACACAATTGATGATTTAAACTCTCTCCACTCAAATTTTGATTTAATCTAAATTAACCCAAATATTTACTAACAATTAACACAACCAACACATACACACACACACGATTAATAACAATTAACTTAACAATTCTCCAACTATAGCAATATGATTGGAATAGGCAATCGTATAAATATATATAAATATAAATATTATATATATAATGATGAATAATTAAGCTACAATTAAATAGCTTGTTAAACAACTATAATTAAATTAATTGGATTACTTTAAGAAAAGATGCCTTAAACAACTAAATAACAACTCTTCAAACAACCACATTGATTGTGCTCTTTTTTTTGCAAACATATATAATAAATAAATTCAGTTTTTAAACAACTAAATTAATTTTGTCTCCTCTTGTTAATTGTTTGAGATTCTTTTTTTCATTCTAATGGAAAAAAATTCAAATTTATCGCTGAATCGAAATTGGCGCTCAAATGGTTCCACCAATCAGAAGCTTTGAAATTTCATCGGGAAAGTTTTCAATTCAAAGATGAATTGATTAACTGTTGTTGAACATTTCGATCTGATTAAATTAGTTAATTATTCACTTGTGTATCTTTTTGAATGGTTAATTAGGTGTTAATTAGTTTGGGAGGTTTTGATTATTTACTTGAGAAGTGAAAAAATGACTCAATGTTTTTTACTTTGTTGGGCCGTAGGATTTTGTGGTCACTATATGTGATCGGATAACTTGTTCAAAAAAGATGACTAGATGCTATTTAGAAGAAACAAAAGTGAATGTCAAACATAAAGTTAGTAATCTAGATATACTATTGAGGTTATCGATGGTTGCGAATCAGTAATTTTCATTCTTTGAAACGCATAATAACTTGTTGCTAACACAGTTAGGATATCGAATACTCTACAAACATCTTGTGAATAAAAACTTAATGCTCGTTATTCATTTTTCTAGAACATAAACCAGAATAATATACTCCGAAATATGTATCCCAGAGCAAATGGGATGCAAAGAATCACATTCGTTGGGTATTTTAATCGTCCAGTCGGAGCCAATTATCCGCCACAATTATTGGTCGCTACAATAAACCAGCACAGATCACCTGATGTACCAGAATGGAGAGAGATCGACGTGTACCTTTATTAGGAAGCGCAGATCACTGGAACGGAATATTGTCGGCCAATTGGTTCTGTGACTGCTAAGCAAACTAGGGCTCGAAATGATGTTGCGGATGCTATTGGTCGATATGAAGCAGGGTGACGTGCAGCTGCGTATAATATTAGAGATATTCTTGGGAATGGGAATCGAAACCGGAACCAATAAAAAGTTTCATTCACGAGCATCTTGTACAGCGGTAATTCAGTTTCGTTTTACAACATAATCTTATATACAGGGCTATTCAGCTATTTTTACCGATATTTTTTTGCGATTTTCCCAGCAACTAAGAGTCAGAGAGACACGAGACTTGAGTGGTATGAGTTTGAGCGATACTCAATTGTTATATCAAAAGATCAAGGTCATTCAGGTCATCGGTAAAATAACACGTTTCAAGGTCATCTGAAGGTGATATTGTTATTCTCCACATTTTTAGCTCTTGAAAATGAGTTTAGAGATCGTTTCTGTTACAGATCTTGAGATATTACAGTTTAATTGGATAACTGTTGAAAATCTTTTATTCTATTATTCAGTCTTATCGTCGCGGCAAACCTCCCTCTCCAGCCTAGCATGGCTCCAGAGACCATTTTTAAACAACTAAATTAATTTTGTCTCCTCTTGTTAATTGTTTGAGATTCTTTTTTTCATTCTAATGGAAAAAAATTCAAATTTATCGCTGAATCGAAATTGGCGCTCAAATGGTTCCATCAATCAGAAGCTTTGAAATTTCATCGGGAAAGTTTTCAATTCAAAGATGAATTGATTAACTGTTGTTGAACATTTCGATCTGATTAAATTAGTTAATTATTCACTTGTGTATCTTTTTGAATGGTTAATTAGGTGTTAATTAGTTTGGGAGGTTTTGATTGTTTACTTGAGAAGTGAAAAAATGACTCAATGTTTTTTACTTTGTTGGGTCTTAGGATTTTGTGGTCACTTGAATTTGCAATGAAAATTGTGATTAATTGTTGATTTTTCTTGGGAATCTTGTTAATTTTAATGATATTGTGTTGATTAGAGGTTTGAATATAATCAAAAGTGAAACAATTAGTTAACCAGGAATTGAAAACCGGTTCCATTGCTCAGGCTTGGAAAATGAATGAACATGTGACTTGTGTTTACCAATTTTTGCTTTTTCTGTTTTAATTGTTTTGATTTGTGTTTCTTTTTTAAATTGTGCTAATTGTTGAGATTAATTTTTTTCTTTCATTTTAATTAGTCAATGAATATCTTAAGATTAACGTGATCCTGTTGTTATATTGATTATTTGTCTTCCTCCAAGAGGAACAACTCAAGTTAATCTACCAAAAGGAAAACATATCAACAAATATAATGTTTTCCCTTTTTTATGGTCTATGGAAATATCTATTCAAAAAAGATGAATTCTATGTGCTAATCCTTGGACTGGACAATGCTGGTAAAACAACGTTCCTTGAACAGACTAAAATCAAATTTAATCGTGGTTACAAAGGTGTTAATCTTAATAAGATAACGACAACAGTTGGATTAAATATCGGAAAGATTGAGTATAAAGGGATTGTCATGAACTTCTGGGATCTCGGTGGACAACATGAGCTCCAATCTCTTTGGGATAAGGTTTGTTTATCCTTACTGATTTTTTCCTTCTTCTAATAGTAATTAGTTAATTTCTTATTCTATTTCCTTCCAGTACTACTCTGAATCTCATGGTATTATCTACATAATTGACTCGGCAGATATTGAACGGGTTGATGAATCTAAGGAAGCCTTTGGTTTGTGTTTACCTTTTTTCCTTGAGTGTCACTTGGATTATGTTTAGTTAATCTAATTCATTTTCTTTGGATTATCTCCCATGAACAGATAACATGATTGCCAATGAACATTTAGCTGGTATACCTTTGTTAATTGTTGCCAATAAACAAGACATTCCGGTAATTGATTGAAGAGCGAGGATTGAAAATGATTTCATATGATTAATATCTAATTACTGTTGAAATTGTTTCCATTATTATTATTACAGGAAGCTTTATCTCTTGATCGGATTAAGACAATATTTAAATCAACTGATCCCAAAATTGGTCAACGAGATGTCCAGTCGATATCAGTTTCAGCATTGAACAGGTATGATTACCTTTTTGTTGTTGATGATCCATTTTTAATTACTTTCTCTATCTTAATTTAGCCAAGGAATCAGTGAAAGTATTGATTGGATAACTAATTGTATTAAATGTAATTCAGAATCCAGGCCACCTCATAATGCTGATGAATAGACATCTACTAATTCACTAATCATCTTAATCACATCATCACATCATCATCATCAAAATGAACCAAACCAATTGTATATTATTGATATTCAAATGATAATTATTTATCATCTGATTATATATTTTTTATTTATTATATATATTCAATTACTGATGATACTCATACCTGTCGTTAATTGTTAATTGGTTGGTTATATGGACGGAATTTAAATTGTTTGCTCAAAATGGTGTTAATCTAATTATGTTTTACAACAACAGGAAAATCGAGATGTTTTTAATCAATTGTGATAATATTCGTGGCTTGTTGATTGTGAGTGTCCGTTAGTTGGTCAATTTATTGTATTAGATTGATTAATCGAATTGGAATTTACTTGACAATCTACCGATCAATTTGATTTCTATCTGAAGCAATTTAACTAAATGAAGACAATAATCATTGAGTGTCACTCATGTTGATCCTGGAATTGTTTCAATCAGCAATATTCAGCTACTCGAATCGCTGAGTTTTCTTCAAGTTAATTAACTAATTTACTTTGAAGACAATTATGCCATAAAGAGAGAGACTAATTCGCAATTGACCATTGGACACTTTGGACACTTCGATCGAGCTCATTGATGTTTCTAAAATTCGAGCTAACCAACCATCTAAAAAATTCTATGGACTCAACTCGAACGCTGATTAATTTGAGAGAGTAAAATATCAGTGATTACATTGGTCAATAGTTTTCTCCTAATTGTTTCACTTTCTACGTCTTAATTGTTACAATCAACATTGAATTTTCAAGAGTCTCTATCATACAGACAGATGAATAGATAAACTTTATCTCATGTCTTCAACCCAATAATTGCAATTCTTAATTGTCATTTAATCATCTAATCTGATGGTCGGATTGCCGATTAATCAAAAAATCAATCCAACAATCAATCGTTGGATTAGTGAATCAAAAACTGAATCGAAACAACTTTTCAATTCATCCATCAAATCCAACTAATTAAACTCTAATTGTCGGGCTGTCGTTTTTTTTTATTAAATTCATTGAAGCCAAGACTTGATTTAATCCGCTAATTAAAACCTCAAGATCAAACAATCAAAACATTTATCACGTGTAAGTTATTTACGATTAATACGATGATTAAATCAGATTAATTGTTATCAATGTCTTTATTTACAATTAATTATTTAGCTGATTACAACAATCAATCAGAAATTATTTTTCCAAAGTATCAAATCAATTGATGGATTTAATTTTGTTTCAATAACCAATTTCACCAATTAACTAAATCTTATTGCTTTTCCCAATTGTTGTAATTAACATTTAAATTGATACAATTGAGGATCATTTGATTAAAAAAAAAACTTCCAACAATTAATAATTGATGTCAACTTATTTTCGGTTCCCGATCAATTAATTAACTGCTTCAATCTTTATATTTATTGTAATTTATTAATTGTTTTCAAAGATTATAATTAATTTTCTGATTACATTAATGTGTAAATATTTGTTAATTGCACTTATCCAGCCTGTTAATTGTTTCTTGATGAAACAAATGATTTAATTTTCCTCCAATGATACAATGTAATACTCGTAATTATAATCATAATGGACAGAATTTTTAATTGTTTCCTTCACTAAATTGTGGCAATCAAGCTTTTTTAACGATAGTGATTATGGTTCCATAGCTTTCGGTTTTATAGCTTTTACTTTTATCTTTGTAGGTCACTTTCCGTTCACTGGTTGACTTAATGTGATGATAAACTCGAGCCAAAGTGTCACATTCGACATTTTCAACGGAATTGTGACAATTTTCTGTATCAAAAGTGACCACGGTGGCAGAAACCTCGTTTCTTTTAATTAATCGTTCAGAATAATTTTCGGAATCAGTTGACTCTTCGAGTTTCGATTTGCTTGTAGCTCGAATTATGTGTAACTGAACTTGACCATTTTCATCGACTTCCATTTGACGAGGAGCATTTTCGGGATTTTCCTCCTTTGGATCCATTAATGGTCTCAATCGAACTCCACCTCCATAGGAAACGCTTTTCGAAACCGTGTACTTGAAATCTTGCCCTTCGTTGGCAAAGGTACTGTTGACGGAGGCCACTAAACAATGGGCTTCCTCTTTACTATCCCTCTCCAAGAACAATTGAAACAATGAGTTCGCGTTAATCTGACTTGTGGCATCGGTGGTCTGGTTACCGTCCGAAAGGTTCGAGCTTATATTTCCTGTACCTTCGGAGGCTTGAATGTACTTTTTCTTACAATTAACTTCGAGACAAGGAACTGGATTAATTTGAGATAAACTGTGTTTCGCAAAAATATCCTTCACCTCTGAATCTGATCGTTTATCCCAATTTGTTAGATTCCAACTAACTTGACCACCGAGTCTATTTTAGATTCGGTAGGAATTAAATTAGAGTGAGTTAGAAATTAGTTGATCAATATCATCAAAGTTGTGGTCATTTACTACTGAAATTGTCTTAATTGCGTCTTAATTGTAAACAGCTAATCTTTAAGAGCTTTTAAGTGTAACAAAATTATCTTAAATCTTTGAATAATTAACTAATTGGTGGTGACAATCAACTTTGGTCAACATAATACACAAGGGAAGGTTAAATTGTCTACAATACAATGAAATAGTTGTTAATTAGATCTTATAAATGAAACTTACCTATCAACTAGAAAAGCGGTTAATTCATCAGGTCCGATTAATTTGAATTCTGGTTTTAAATTGTAAGATTGCCCAGAGACCAGAATTAAACTGGTTACCAAAAGAAAGCACAATTTACCAATGGTCATTTTTAACTAAATTAAATCCACTAGATTGTCAATGAAAAGAGCACAGAATGAGATTAAAACGAAATGATTAAAAGTCTCGTCCGTGTTTCCTTTTAAAGTGGTCTAGTAATTGTCTCACCCTCTCCCACCTCACTCTCACTCTTACTCTCTATCTCTTTTCCTGCCATAATTATCCCTAATTACTACAAGTGCAACTATATCAACGATAATCATCACTTATAATCATAATTAAACATCAACTAAACACTTACAAGATTCAAAAGAAAACCATCAAAATGATTCCAAAAACTGTAAACCAAATTTCGCTTGATGTTTCATAACAAGAAATCCACTAATAAACAATTGAACATTAAAAAGTTCACCAATTTATCGTAAATGATAACAATTGGAAAATAAGTTTCATCGCAATCGAGTTATACTAAAGTTTATATAATACTATTACAGACACTTATGTATACGCGGGTCGTTGGTCTAGGGGTATGATTTTCGCTTAGGGTGCGAGAGGTCCCGGGTTCAAATCCCGGACGACCCCGATTCTTTTTGCTTCTATTCTTGTGGTTCGAATCGCACTGCCATCTGGTGGTTTGTAGATCATTTGGTTAACCTCGGATTCGGATAGTTTGTCATTGGATCCGAATCCTTGTTGTTTTCTTTTCATTTTACTCGATTGTGTTTACTTTTAATTTGATCATGTTAATTACTCGATTAAGTCGACCTTTGGTTATTTTTCCAAAATTTCGATATTTTTCTGGTGGTCATGGACATGAGAAAGTTCTTGATGACTATGATGGAATCAATCGGAGAATCAATCCAGTAATTAAACATGAAACCTGGTGGGAAACTGTAGTTCCACAAGGAGAGTAAGTTATCAATTTAGATTTTTCATTTAATTTCATTTGATTTGATTTTCTTTTTTCTTTTAACCAAATTCTATTCTATTCTATTCTATTTTGTTTTGTCTTTGTCTTCCCAAATGTTATTCTCGTTCTGATTATTGTTGGATCTTTAACATTAAATTCTAATGATGTTACTTTTGCCTTGATTCTCTTTTTGTACTCTCTCATGTCTTTTTAGGCTCTTGATGAGTTGTACTTGTTAAACTGTTTTATTTTATTCTATATTCTAATTGTATTTTCTTTTTTATATAATTTCTCTTTGGACAGGTCGTATGGTTACCGAAACCCTCGATGGGCAGGTCCATTAGACAATGGTAAAAAGAGCTACTATTATGGTTTGGCTCTCAGTTCATTCATGTGGACTTGGGTGTTTTATCACTTCTATTATGAAGGCCATGAACTTTACTCGAAACCTTATGCAGACCCGAGAACTGATTTACTGTCCAATGAATATTTGGGAATTCCTCCTGATGATGAAGGTTTAGCCCCTGAAAAGAAATGGGTTAGAACCACTGCTATTCCTTATGCTCATTTTAATCTCTACTATTATCCTAAATCATTGCTTGTTTCTGGATTCAATGATGAAGGTCCATTCAAGATGTAATCCTAATCCCTGGGAATCCAATCAAAAACCTTTGTTGTTAATTAATGACAATATATATTAGTGTAAAGAGTCAATTTCAACTGTAATTATCTGTTACCTGAAAGCAAAAACTCTGACCAAAAAGAGTAATGTGTTAATCAATTCACAAGCTAATTAAATTGATTTGGAGAAAGTAACAAACCCTAATGTGCAACAATTCAAATGACACCAGTCCAAAGTGAAAAGGAATCAATGGAATTTGATTGATTCTAATTAACCTAATAGTCTTTTCCATCCCAAGTAATTAAACAAATCATCTTCCAAACCAATTTGATCATATTTGATCTGGTTTGCTGCGAATGGGAAATTTAACCCGATATTTAATTGTTTCCACATCGATTATTGTTATCATTGTTTTCATATTGAATTGATGATTATGTGAATTATTTATCACTTAACTATCATCATATTAACCACAATTAAGAGACAAAAGATCAATAATAATAACAACAATCAAGGAAAAACTGATGATCATATTTACCTTTAATCATTATGGTCACAGATTGATGAGTTTTTAAATTCACCAGTGAAAAGAAAAAATTAAATCACTCTTACTATAAATTACTATGATTACAGTTGTCTCACCATTAAATTAAATTCCTAATCATCATGGTCTCGTACCCTTAATTGTTGTTATATCAAATCATCGCACTGTAAATTGTTAATGGTGCATAAAATTATTTCAAGAAATTGTCACTTACGATTATAATAATTATATCATAGAGATGAAGAAAAAAAAATTTCAAATTATCTTTTCACTCTTCCAACAATTTAACACTTTCTTAATCACAATTACCATCATCATTCAGTGACAATCATTAGGTGAATAAAAAATAAGGGATTCCAACAATCAGTAAATTGTAACACCAACAAAGATCCTACACTAAGAATCATTGAAGAGCAAAAAAAAAATCATCGAAACCTGAACCTATCAATTAACCTCAACAATCAACTCAAACCGGATTAAAAAAAATTGAGCAAATGGTAACAATCAACGAACTAAATTAATCCATTGTTTTAAAAGTTTTATTGTTATTAAAATGAAGGAGCAATTAACTAACCAAACCAACGTGAAGATGCAAAACCAGAGAGGGAGAACCAGAGTCTCATCTCTCTCTCTCTCTCTCTCTCTCTCAATGAAACAATTTAAACTTGTGGCAAAAAGATGATGATGATAATGATCACAATCAACAGGTAACAATTACTCATGCAAGGGACAATTTAAATGCGAAACGGTGATAACTTTTCCCAGAGACTTTTGTTATTAGACAAAAAAACGGTTTCAGTTTATGAATGAAAAGAGCGACTCTCAGTTGACCCTCCCTAAATGATTAACCATCATCATCATCATCATCGTAATCATCATTATCATCATCACCCTCTTCTCATCAAGTGTAACATCGTAATTGTTACAGACTTATGAACATGAATTAAATGAACTTAGGCCGTTGGAATCAGTTGACTTTCCAAACTCCGGAAATGAGTTTCATACGAACTTCCCTCGGGCTAAATAAGAAGAAGAAAAAATTTCTTTTACTTTTATGTTAATCATTATTACGATGGAAATTAAATTGTCTTCTTATATCATTGATAAATTGTCTTCGAAATTCAACAATTTAATTGTAATATTGAGGTTCGGCTCTTGATTTGTTTTTCACTCGCAATTATCGTTGTTACCTTGACTTTTTTTTTCTTCATCTTCATCATTCACTGTTTCCTGTTTTCGAGTTTAAATTTAATTGTTACAATTAATTTTTTTTTTCGTTTCTTTTAATCTACAATTTATTGGACAATTTATATTCCCATGTATCATTAGTTTAGAATATTTGATTTACAATTAATTAATTTCTTCCATCTGACATTGGAAACGATTTAATCTACTATTTACTTTAATTTCGAGCTTCCTGTTGCTCGGATTTAATTATTACTTTTTGATTTGATTGTTTGATTTAATTTTGTTTTTCTCTCTCCTCTATACCATAATTAATTTTCCTTTAATCATTAGATGATTGTAATAGTAATTAGTTTAATTGTGTCGCTTTTTTTTCTATTTGATTTTCTTTTACTTCCTTTCGGTTGATGGTGAAACTTTTTCACAATCAAGGGTTAGGGTTTTGTTAATTAAATTCAGAGGCAAATGTTAATTTAGTTGGTAATTAAGATTTAATTATGTTCTTATTATATATATATAAATATATTTGTATTCAAATTTTGTAACAATTAATATTTACAATCAATTAACAGGTAGTAAATTAAAGGCATTTGGTGGTTCATGGGATTGACAAAGTGCATCTAAGTAATTAGATTAATTATGAATAGATATTTAATCAATTTATGATGTTGATTAAATCTATTTACAGAGAAAGAGATCAATAGAAGGGAAATATAATAGTGATAATGATGCTGATGATCAACGACAATTAACAATTGTTGATTTGTTAATAATGATGAGGAAGAAGAAAGAAAGTTTTTAATTGTTGTGGCAATTAGTTTTTCTTTTCTTCCGTTAACTAATTAAGTTAAGGCACCGGTGGTGAATTTAATCCATTGGTGTTGGTAAGACACTAATTACCAAGGCCTCCAAACGTTATCGTCGAGATTTAATTTAGATGATTTGGAACAATCAACGGGAATACAATCCATTGGATCGTCGATGAGATGTGATGAAGGTGAAATTGGTGAGATGATATAATTTGATGATTGATTAAGGTGATGGTTAAGATATTGATTGTGAAGATTATGATGAGATTGATGATCAAAGTGAACAGGGGAAAATCTGAAAGATTCATTAGATGAATTGGCTGAAGGTGGTGGAGTTAATTGTGATTGACTTTTGGTTGAATTGTTGTAATTAAAGGAGATTGTTGTTAATGCATCTCGATTAACGGTTAAAGGTGAGACTGGTTCGGTTTTCATGTTAAGTGGACTTAGGATGGGAGATGATGGACCAGTTGATGAAGATGATGAGGTTGTTGATGAAACCAGATTAGAATTGGAGATTAAATTGTTGATGGTTAACGATGAGAAATTATTTTTCAATTGACATTTTAAACGACGTTTCATTGCCAAATCCATGTTCGAATCAATGTCAACAAATCGTTCAACCTCAGAGGCACATTCATCGAAACCCGATTTAAGGCTTTTAATTACACTTGATTTATCGATTGATTGAATTGAGGTCATACCCTTAAGGTATTCGACGGTCATCTCGAGAATATCGGCTTTCTCTAATTTCGTATGTTTAGCTGGCTAAGATTTTCGAAGAAGAAAAAAAATAAGAAGAAAAAAAGAGAAAAAGATTAGTTTAAATTGTCTAATTAACTGCATTTTAAAAGATTAAAATAATCGCATTGGAAAGGAAAACAATTAATCTCAATAAATACTTACGTCTTTGTTGAGAGCAAGAAGGATTAGTGATTTAATTTGTTCCAAACAATTATTGATTCGAGCTCGTCTTCGTTTCTCCATAATCGGTTTAGTTGCTCGTCGATGTTCAGAAGCCGATTTATTCGGAGGTTTTTTTGGAATCTCAATGGACAAAGGATCAACTCGAGTGATGGACATTTTCATGATGATGGACAACGAAGGTAATTAACAAATTAAAAAGAAGAAGAAGAAATAAAATGAAATGAAATGAAAAATGAAAAAAGAAAAAAAAGAAAAGTTGATGTTGATTGTTGAGAGTTTGAAGTGAGAATGAAGTTGATACGAAAAGATGATCGGGTTTTGGTCTTTGGAGATTTGAACGTTTGTTGTTGTTGTTACATCAATGGAGAAGAAGAAAGAGAAAAGAGAAAGAGAAGAGAAAGAGAAGAAGAAGATAAATGAAAGAGGGAGAAAGAAAAGATGTTTAAGATGATGAAGAGAAGAGAAGAGAAGAGAAGAAGAGAAGAAGATGTAAAGGTATTTACTTGTTGGAAGAAAAGATCGTGGGAAAGAAGAAACTCAGCAACGGAATCTTATTTTCTCACGCTCTCTGTTCCCACGGTCGGAGAAAGAGAAACGAAAGAAAAAAGAGAAAGAGAACAAGAGAGAGAAGATGAAAAGAAAGAAGATGATGATAAGTGTGTATTGGAACGAGCCTGTTACCCACGCGTGTTTATCTCTCGGCGCAAGTTCAGTTTCTCTCCAACGAAATGCATCTGTCTTCCAATATCTTCTTCTTAAATTGGTCTCACTGTTTTTCTTCATCTTCTTCTTACTTTGCAACCGTGGGAAAATCTTTTGGCACGCGACCTTTTTTTCTTATATTCTTTTTACTCTCTTATGGGCGGAGATCGTTTAAGATCACAGGCCACATACCAGAAGAGAAGAGAGAGAAAAGACAGAGAGAGAAAGAGAGAAACTTAGGTCACTTTTACTCTTCTTCTTCTTTCATATTCTTACTTTTTTTTTGTTATTCTTTTCTCACCCTCATCCACCCTCTCTGTCTTTAGTTGTTTCTTTTTGTTTTGGACAACCTCAATTCTTACAATCAAGTTGTTCCAATTGTTGTAGTTTACTAATTCTCTTACCTTTTAATTGCTCATCACTAATCTTTAGGTTTTGTCTTTGTGGTTAATTAACAATTTAATCAAAGCTTTTTCTTTGGCGATTCTTTTGTGTTTACCTTGAGGCCTTTTGGAGATTAACTAATTATTGTTTCGTCTTTCACTTATTACTTTTCGATTAAGAATTATTCTAATCACTGCAAATTTTGGAGATTAAATCTTTTAGTTTTGTGATAAACACTTTGAAAATTAAAATGTTTAAGTTAATTAGCATTAAAATAGGGAAAAGTTAAAACAATTAAAAAGATTAGAAAAAATTTACTATTTACTCAATAGAAACTTTAATTTCTACTAGATGGCAGCACTTTCGAACTGTTGCTTTGATTGAAATGTTTTCTTTAATTATTTTTTTCATATTTTCACAATTAAGCTTAATCATGTTTACGACTTTTTTTTACTCTCAAATCAATAATATTAACACTCAGTATCAATTAGACGACCTTGATATTAACCAATAAGACTCAATAGTTGTGAGAATAAAAAAAGTCTCATATTAATATTAAACTTAAACGAGAAAAAAAGTTACGAAACTATTGAAACAATTTAAAGTTCATAAGATTTAAATGTTGATCAACAACTCGAATGATCTAAAACCAAAGAAAAGAAATCAAAAAGAAAGAAAAAGAAATTACAAGTAATTCGAATGTAAATCAAATTCTAAGCAAAATCGAACATTTAAAACTTAAAAAGTTTTCTATTATTCGCTATTTAAATTATTTTCTTAATTTCAAACAATTCACCAGAAATTTTGATTTTTTTTCTCGAGTTGTTAATTAATTTCCATGAAAAAGTTCTACAATTAATTGGATTATTTGCAAATTCGAAAAGAGAAAAGAAAATTCAAATTTCGCGGTGAATTTTTTAGAAAAAAAAGCGACAACCAGCAGATGGATCTCATGTCGATATTAACTGAAATCCTTTTTCTTTGGTGTGAGTAATTTATTTGGTGTATCAATTTGTAAATTTGTTTATTTTATTGTAATTAGATTAAATTTTTGTGAAATATATCATCAATTAATTGTAAGTTATCTGTGACAACCACAATGGCTTCTGGTTATGAAAAATCGGTTGCGATTAAGTCCCACGTGAATGAGAAAGACAACTTGGTAAGTTGAAATATATAAAGAGAGAGACTAAAGAATTGGCTGTAGTAATATAAAGGTAGAAGCAAATATTATATTGGAGATGATGAAAATCTGTAGAAAATGCTATGTGATTACACACCTAAAGAAGTCACACTATTCGACCAAGTCATATTCTTTACTATTTATTAATGAAAACCATTGATTCTATTTAGAATGTAATTTAACTTATCAATGGGATAACCAATTTATTTATCATTTTATTTTCTATTCTAATTTTCTATTTTTTTCTCTTTCTCTTTCTCTCTTTTTCTCTCTGTCTCTTCTACCTTCACCCTCCCTCTGTCTGTCTTCTTTCTTTTTCTCTCTTTCTCTCTCTCTCTCTTCCTTTTTTTCCTGGCTTTTCTCTCTTTTTTTTTCTATCTCCTTTTCATTTCACAGAATGATGATGAAGATGGGGAAATTATTGACTTTGTATTATCACTTGACTATGAGAAAGAACTGCAAGAACAACTGATAGCCCATAATGATGCTGATTTATACTCTTATAGAAAATTAGTCAAGAATTATCTTCAAACCAAAAATAATCTAATAAACCATGATAATTTAACTAACCATGACAAAGACACAACAGCAATGGCCGCTGCGGCTGCTGCTGCGGTTCAGCAACAACAAAACCAGGGCCTCCAACAGCATCCATCTTCTGGTATGGGACCTCCGCCTCTTCCACCGCCCGGTCAACCCGGTGCAGGGAATAACCATTTTCCTCAGAATACCTATTATCAAGATCCATTCGCGGCTCAAATGGGACATCTTATTCCTGCGGGACCACCACCAACCATGATGCCACCATATTATGGTTTACCACCTTGGGGAATGTATCCAGGTATGATACAAGGTGGCCAAGGCCAGCATCCTCAAGCACCTCCACCTCCACCTCCTCATGTACAGCAACAACAATTAATGGCTCAAAGAAATGGACAAAGGCCATTAACTCCACAAGGACCAAGTGATAATTCCGGTAACCCACCCGGCACTGGACTTCAACCACCACCACCACCTCCCCCACAAGGACAATATAAAATGATGACACCCCATGGCTATTATGATCAAACTGGCTCACTTATTATGGGTGGTTCAGCTGGTTCGGCTCGAGGTATGAACACGATAATGCGTCTACTGCCTCAAATGATGATCAGTCCAGCACACAATCAAGGCCCAAATAGTAATATGAGGATGATGCCAGGTCAAGGTCAGACCGGTATTGGAAACCATTCCGGTCCAACCCAACTTTTCTCATCAAGCACCTCAAATGTGAATAGTAATCCATTGTATACATCAGAAACTAATTCAGGCCTAGGATATCCAGACAATTCTTTAGTGTCATCATCAAACCTTGCTAATGGTAATCATTCATTTGGTTACAATCCAAATTTGTCTCATAATATTGGTAATGGTGGTTATGGAAATAGTGCTTTGGGGCCTATTGGTGCCTCTCTTGCGTCTGGTATCAATTTGGGTAATAGTTCACCAAGACGTGAATCTTTTGAGAGTAGAAGACCTGACAATTCAATCAGCGGTGGTATTTTCTCGACGAGCTTAGATGGTAATCAGTTTTCTCGACATTTGAGTAGTAAAAATGGTCAATTTTATGGTCATTTTGGCAATACTATTGGTGCATCTCCTGGACCCGGACCAATTGGTCTTTTACCACCCAATCAAAGTTTAACTCCATCACCAACCATGAATGGATCTAATGGCGACCTTAACCTTGGAGCTTTAGGTGCGAACAGGATGGTATCCGCTGCCCCTGGAGCGGAGGCCAAATATTTAATCAGAAATGGCCCAATAAATGGAAGTATGTTTGGATCATCTAACTCTGTCGGATTTCCCAATAGACTTCTACAACGAAAGTAAGAGTCTTATAATTATTGGTTATCAAATTGATTTTCTTATGATTTGTCATAATCTCAGGATTATTTCCTTTTCAATCATGACTTGGCTTAACTCTAACCTTGAATTTGTTTATTTCATTTAATGGCCATTATTTTATCTTTTTCATTATCTGACACAACCCTTATTAATTGTTTCCATTGTTTATATTATTTTTCCCTTCAGTTCCTCTATGGACAAATCAACTGGGCGTAGCCGTCTTCTTGAAGATTTCCGAAACAATAGGTACCCAAATCTCCAATTACGAGACCTTACCGACCATATTGTCGAATTTTCTCAAGATCAACATGGTTCGCGGTTTATTCAACAGAAATTGGAAAGAACCACTGCTGCTGACAAGCAACTTGTATTCAATGAAATTATCGCTCATGCTTATAATTTAATGACCGACGTATTTGGAAATTATGTTATTCAAAAGTTTTTCGAGTTTGGTACACCTGAACAGAAACAAGCACTCGCTATGAAAGTAAAGGGCCATGTCTTACCTTTGGCTCTTCAAATGTATGGTTGTCGTGTAATTCAAAAGGCTCTCGAGTCAATTTCTCCAGAGCAACAGAAAGAAATTGTTAAAGAGCTTGATGGACATGTATTAAAATGTGTAAAAGATCAAAATGGAAACCATGTTGTCCAAAAGTGTATAGAATGTGTGGATCCTCATGCTCTTCAATTCATTATCGGAGCTTTCCAGGGACAGGTATGTTTTTTTCTTTTGTGATCGATCATAGTTATGATTATTTCATCTCTCTCACCTTTTATTTTTTTTTCTCTCTTTCTCTTTCCATTACTCCCTTGTTTTTACACTCATCCAATATTTTCTCACTCATTATCCATATACTCACTCTTCCTCTCTATCTCATTTTCTCCCTCCCTCTTCTCTCTCTCTCTCTTTTTTCTCCTTTTTATTCTCTTCTATCTACCTTTCTATCTTTCTGTCTTTCTTCTCTATTTTCCTTTTATTTCACATTACTCAATTGTATCCATGTTCTTTTTTTATCCTCTTTTTTCTCTTTCTCTTTTATATTACTGACTGTATCTCTCTTTCTTCAGGTATTCTCACTGTCAACCCACCCATATGGATGTAGAGTTATCCAAAGAATCTTGGAACACTGTACGCCTGAGCAAACTACCCCCATCTTAGAGGAATTGCATCAACATACTGAATCTTTGGTTCAAGACCAGTATGGTAACTATGTGGTTCAGCATGTTTTAGAACATGGAAGACCAGAAGATAAGAGTAGAATTATCGCTAATGTACGAGGAAAAGTATTAAGCCTCTCGATGCATAAATTCGCCAGGTAAGAAAAGAGACAGTGAAAGAAAAAGTTGTAACGTTAGTTGAAAGAGAGAAAAACAAAGATATTTGTTTAGTGAGAAAGAAAGAAAGAGAAAAAAACAGCATAAGAGTGAATGTAGAATCTCAACTCTTGACATAGTTGAAACAAAACAAAAACAAACTAAAAACAAGAATGTTTGTCGATTGTTGTCAAATGATATTTAACTGTCTCTCTCTCAATCACCATTTTCCTAATCATATAATTTCTTTTTCTTTTCTCCTTATTTAGCAATGTTGTGGAAAAATGTGTCACTCATGCCAATAGGAGTGAAAGAGCTCTGCTTATCGAAGAAGTCTGCTCATATAATGACAGGTAAAGAAAACAACTCACGTTTCCCTTTCCCTTTTCATTTTCAACTTCATTCTCTCTATTTTATATCTTCTCCTTGTTCCAATCAATCTCCAGTTAACAAGTAAACTTTAAATCATGTGTTTTAATATTAATCATACTTGTTTTCTTTTCCCATCTTCCTCAGTGCTCTATACACTATGATGAAAGACCAGTTTGCAAATTATGTCGTGCAAAAGATGATTGAAGTAGCTGAACAACCTCAACGTAAAGCACTTCTCAATAGGATCCGTCCTCATCTTGCCGCTTTACGTAAATACACCTATGGGAAACACATTCTCGCCAAATTGGAAAAATTTATGCCCAAAAACAGTGACTATGTAATTAACTAATATAAAACTAATCAAATTTGTGGTTGGAAGAAAAGATGATGATGAAAAAAACACTAATGTGAAATGGCTTTTGTTTTCTTTTTTGGTTTTTTTTGTTTGATATCTTTTTTTTCCTCAATTTTTCTTAATTGTTCAAGGTATTATAATTATAATCTGTAAAACGCTTGTAACTCTTAACTTCCATTACCTTTCTCTCTCTCTCTCTCTCTTTCTTGATATTTGTTCATTATTCTTTTCACTTTCTATCTTTCCCTTGTTTCTCTTGATATTCAAATGGCCTGAAACAAAAATCAGTAACCTTTTCTGATTATAAATATTATATAATAATTGATAATTATGATAATTACCCTCGACATAATCCCCTCCTTCCTAAACCCTTGTCACACTCACTCACCACCCTAATCCTTAAACTAATATTCCCCTTGTCCAATCTACTAATTGAATATAAATATGTATCTCTTTCGCAATGTAATCACACATACACCACAACAACAACAACAACAACACACCATACAACTCTACATACACCACATACACCACACATCTACACACACACACACATACATACATAAATACATACACACACATAAACACCACTACAACAACAAACCACAAAAAAATCCGGGAAGCGGGAAAATCTCACAACACACCAACCAACAACCATATATATTATATTATATATTATATTATATTATAACATAACACATTACATTATATAAACAAACCCACTACATACAATGCACTTTTCTAATTGTTCAGCTTGTATATGTTGTAAAGTCTCGTTCACCACAGACTGTAATAAGGTTGTAGAACTACACTCTCTCTCTCTCTATCTCTTTCTCTTGGATAATTATAATTAACTAATTAAATCAAACACGTCTCTCTCTCTCTCTGTAATATGTATCCTCTTCACAAAAATTAAAACAAAAACCAAAATGATTGACCTGATGAACGAATAATTAATTGACATGTGAAAATATCGAAAAAAAGTTCTAACCAGATTATTCCAAATCCTCTTGATTCCTTTTTAATCATTTCACTTTCTGCCATTGTTATTATGTTACAATTAACTTGATTATTCTAATTAATGCAATTATATTGTAAATGATTATTATTCTTATTAATAATAATTCGTCTTGTAATCAATTCGAAAAGTTTTTGCCTCGTTTTTTTTTCTCAATTAATTTTTCTCCAACCAAATTGTAACACTAATCGTTAATTGTGATGTTTTAACTAATCACTATTAACATTTGATTGGGACTAAATTGTTGACTCCTTTTTCTCATATTGATTGATTGTTTAAATCAATTTCCATGGAAATGGAATTTTGTTTTTCTCGAGTTCCATTAGCAATTTATTTAAATTATTATTCCATCATCGCAATGATTAGTTTATTTTTCGTTAATCATGATAGTAACAATTAATCGATTGCTCCAGTTCCCTAGTGAATTTAATTGCGACATTAAAACAATTAGCAAAAGAAAAACAAAAACATTGATCGTTAATTGTGTAATATCATTTGAAGTAAATTAACATATTAATCAGTAATCAGGGTGAAGGGTAAATTAAGTAAACAATTAAATTTAATTTCCAATCTTCAAAATGGTTCTTTAATCAATTGGAACGTAAATTATTTTCCTAATTATAATTGATTGTAAATTACCATTCAAATTAACGGGATTTTTTTTACCTTTCATCCACCTATTTACCATTAATAGCTTTGGATTGTAATTAATTGGAACAGTTAATTGTTACTATTTATAATTAAATTTTGATCTATTGTTCATCGGGTTGTCAGTAGTCATGAAGTCATCAGCTGGATTAAACCAGGAAATAAGTTAAGACTTTGATTGGTTTAATTGCTAATCAAAACCGAAGCACAAACAAAAAAAATTCAATGGCGACTTGGTCAACCCATTTTATGGTCTTTTTTTTGATAACTGGATTAACAATATCGGATTAACAATTAATCCATAGATCATGGATTAGGCTTTTTTTGAACGTCTTGATTATCATCTAAATTAGTTGAGTTAATCTTTATGATTATCGAGCAGATTATAAATTTCATTAGTTTTCTATTCATTTCCATTGATAATAATACATTTAATTGTACTTTAACAATTAAAGGTTGATAGTTAATTGTAAAGATAATCAATGAAAATATATTTTCTTTTCCTTAATTCCTAATAACCTTTTCTCTGTTAATTTATTCAATGATTTTAATTTATCTTCTCTAATCAAGTTAATTGTTGTTCTAATGATGATGATTCTGTTGATTACAATTGTAATGATGATTTAAATTGTTTTCGTTTTCAATTGTAAAAAAAAAGCCAATCAACTTTTTTTTTAATTCTTGTAACAATTTCATTCTCGATTATCACGAAAACTTTATTATCTTCCTTGATCTAGTTCTATGTAATTTATGGTTTTTTTATTGTTATTATCTAATTCGTGATGACACTTAATTGCTTCGACTCAATTTTGTTATATCCCAAGAAATAATCAACAATTAAAATAAGTTAGAACATAAAATAGAAAAGTACTCGAAACAATCAAAAAGTTTTCGTGTAAACTTCAATTCTATATCATTGGTTTTGATATTAATTCGTGAACTTGATCACTGTGAATGTTTTAATCAGTTACAATTAATCATTGTCGTTAAGTGCTAATTGTTGGTTGACATTGAAATCAAAACGTAAACAACAGGGGAAAAAAATGGTAAGTTAATTGAGTATTTTAATTAGATTGGAGTGATGAAACTCAAGTTGAACAAAAAACCAATTTACTTAATTGTTTCAGGCTGATGAGAACATTGAATTTGATTGGAAAAGTGTTGATTCAATATTTGATTTCGTTGTGAAAAACTTGGACGGCGAGGATGTGCCACTTGAACAATATCGGTAATTACAATTAACTAAATGGCCTTTTATCAATTAACTAATTGTTCATCTTTGTCTCAGTGGAAAAGTTTGTTTGGTTGTTAATGTTGCGTCCAATTGTGGACTAACCAAATCAAATTATCGACAATTAAAGGAATTGTACGAAAAACTAAAAGACACCGATAAATTTGCTATACTCGCATTTCCATGTAATCAATTTGCCGGACAAGAACCCGCTTGTGAAACTGATCTGAAAGAGTTCAAATTGAAGCAGAAAATTGAGTTCGACTTTTTCGCCAAGATAAATGTCAACGGCAAAGAAGCGGCTCCATTGTACAATTACCTGAAATCGAAACAAGGAGGAATTCTGGGTAATTTCATCAAATGGAATTTCACCAAATTCTTATGTAACAAACAGGGTATTCCAGTGTCCAGGTATGGACCAAGCACCGAACCTCTGGTAGGTCGAAATCATTAGAACTTTTCATTTTATCGAATGTGTTTTTTTCTGTTTCTTTCCAAACTTGAGTTTCTTTTGATTTTGTATTTTGAAATTCGTTTCTGGATCAATATCAATCATCTATCGTTGATTGTTGGAACAATTAAATATTTGTTTTATCGGTTAAATATTCATGACTTGTGATTATCAATCAAATCTATTGATTTTCATGTAAATTGTTCAACTGTTTGTGATTCGCGTTAATTGTTGTACTTTGAGATTGTGATTTTTTATCATTCATTTGTTTTTTTTATTCTTGTTTGATTTAATTGTTCACAGGAGATCGAGAAAGATATAATGGCAATTTTAGATGATTAATAAATCATTTGGAGTTTACTCAATTCTAGTAACCATAGATTCATGTGAATTGAATCACCATTGGAGCAGACAATCAACTTTGGTAATCAAACAATAAACCAACAATTTAGCCACAATTAGAGACGGCAAACTAATAATAATTAACGTCTAGCAATTTAATCAATCACATACATAATTAAAATGTCAAAAGACAATAATTATGAATGAGAGTCAATGATTTAGTCAAAAATTAGTAATCAAACTGTACTCATTATCTAATTGTAACCAATGTAATATTATTAGATTGTTTAAATTTACTAATCAGTGACAATCAATAAACATCACAACGAACAAACAAATTAACAATCAATCAATTTCTTTCACATTAAACAAATAGAATCTCAATTGTAATAACAAACGTGCTCAATGTTCATTCATCATTCACCTGAATTTTATAAACAATTAACTTTAATCAAGGATCTGATTAACTTAACCAACTATAGATTAAGTTAATTAATAGTTGTTTCTGTTTGGTTCCTCCAGAGATTTTGGATTCTGAGTATCATGTTGATTTGAATCAACCATTGATTCAGTCAAGTGGGTTTGATGAACTTACTTCAGACAACCTTGGAATAGCTTCCAACTCTTGGTTACAGGAGGATGAGAGAGAGAGAGAGATGATGATGATGAACAGGAAAAGGAAACTCTTCTTTTCTATTATTATAATAATAGATTAAATTGTTTGAAGGTCGAAATATTCTCGCGATTAAGCCAATTCATATTTTCTCTGATTGTTAATCAATTAATTCTCTACTTTTCTTGACCTTGAATCTTTTTCTACAAATAAATTAGATTGATCATGTCGATTGTTTGTTTCATCACCTGATTGGCTTTTGATTGTTTACAATTTAATTGTCATTTCGATTGGAAGGTTTTCATTTCATCTTCAATTGATTCTTTCATTTTTTTCAATTATTTCTCTATCATCTTATAGATTAGTTTACTCGATTGATCGGGTATCAATTTCTAACTCTTTTTCTTTTGTTCTATTCTCAATTGATTCAGTTTGATAATCATTGGAATTATTTTCCAGTTGTAGTTTCTTTTTCTACCGACAGGTGGAGTTAAGAACTTCAGGTTAGTTTGTTTTGATTTTTTCTCCGAAAAAAAAAAGATTTGTTAACAATTTAAATTCGTCCATGATTTAGATCATGCAAGAGCAAAGTACTTGAAATTATGTTCGGCGGTGGCCTTTTCTTTTTCTCGACGAGCTTAGCCGATTGGAATCAATTTTCTCGACATTTGAGTAGTAAAAATGGTCAATTTTATGGTCATTTTGGCAATACTATTGGTGCATCTCCTGGACCCGGACCAATTGGTCTTTTACCACCCAATCAAAGTTTAACTCCATCACCGACCATGAATGGATCTAATGGATCGACCTTAACCTTGGAGCTTTAGGTGCGAACAGGATGGTATTCACTGGAACCGAATATTCAACCAATGAATCAATGGCCCGATAAATGAAAGTATGTTTGGATCACCAGAATTTCCGTGTTTTCTTTTTCTCTTTTATATTACTGACTGTATCTCTCTTTCTTCAGGTATTCTCACTGTCAACCCACCCATATGGATGTAGAGTTATCCAAAGAATCTTGGAACACTGTACGCCTGAGCAAACTACCCCCATCTTAGAGGAATTGCATCAACATACTGAATCTTTGGTTCAAGACCAGTATGGTAACTATGTGGTTCAGAATGTTTTAGAACATGGAAGACCAGAAGATAAGAGTAGAATTATCGCTAATGTACGAGGAAAAGTATTAAGCCTCTCGATGCATAAATTCGCCAGGTAAGAACAAGAGAAACAGTGAAAGAAAAAAGAGAGAGAGAAAATTAACAAAAAAAAGCTAAAAAGAAAAATGTAGAATCTCAACTCTTGAGAGAGAAAAGAAAAACAAGTCTAAACAAGAATTGTTGTTGATTGTTGTCAATTGATATTCTCTCAATCACCATTTTCTAATCATATCATTTCTCTCCTTATTTAGCAATGTTGTTGGAAAATCTCTCCCCTACTTCGTAAGAGGCGTGACCGAATTTTGGGTTTGGTGTAACAGGATTTGATTTGAATTCTCTTCGTAAGAGAAAAAGAAAGAAAATTGAAAGTAAATTAATTATCCTTCGGACTTACTTTCTCTAAATCATCACTACAATCATCATTTTCTCCGTTACTTGATCACTGTGAATACTTAAATTCAGTTACTATTCTTGTGTGTTAATCGAAATCAAAGGAACAATTTGAAAACAATGGTAAGTACATCTTTCAATTAGATTGAATAAGAATTGGTGACAGAATAATTTACTAAATTGTTTTGGTTAATTTTCTAGGCTGAAGAGAACACGGAAACCGATTTGAAAGGAATCAATTCCATTTTTGATTTCGTCATGAAAAATTTGGACGGAGAGGATGTTCCTCTTGAACAATATCGGTAATTATCAATCAACACAAATATGAAAGGAAATAATTATCAATACAATCAACCAATTATCATCGATCTCTCTCTCTCTCTTTCATCAAAGTGGAAAAGTTTGTTTGGTTGTTAACGTTGCGTCCAATTGTGGACTAACCAAATCAAATTATCGACAATTAAATGAACTGTATGCAAAACTAAAGGACACCAATAAATTTGCTATACTCGCATTTCCATGTAATCAATTTGCCGGACAAGAACCCGCTTGTGAAACTGATCTGAAAGAGTTCAAATTGAAGCAGAAAATTGAGTTCGACTTTTTCGCCAAGATAAATGTCAACGGCAAAGAAGCGGCTCCATTGTACAATTACCTGAAATCGAAACAAGGAGGAATTCTGGGTAATTTCATCAAATGGAATTTCACCAAATTCTTATGTAACAAACAGGGTATTCCAGTGAAACGATACTCACCAACAACCGAACCCTTGGTGAGTTTAATTGGACAATTCGAGAAATTTAATTGCGTCATGTGTGATGTCCGATAATTTATTAAGACGTAGTAACTGTCAACTCAATCGATTGTTATTCGACATTTTGTCGAAAGAGAAAAAGAAAGAGACTCAACAATCGATGTTGAATTTTCAATCATCGATCATTTTGATGATCTCATAAACATCATCATCACCATTAATTTGATTACAATCAATTCAATGAGAGTAAAAGTTTCAAAGTCTATTAATTAATCATTTTCTTTTACTTATTCATCCTTACAGCAAATCGAAAAGGATATTACCAACTTATTGGAGGAATAAACAAATTAATCAGTAATTAATCAGCCAATTGGAACAACCGCAACAATCAACAGTACTTAAAACAATTAACGGAAATCCAATCATCACAATTACATTCGTAATACTGATCGTTAATTTCATCACAATTCATTCAATGTTTTCAACTTCCATAATTTTTTTTTTCTAATTCCTGATGAGCGAGAAAAAGTTTTATTTTATTATTATTATTTTCCTTAACAAGAAATTAATATTAATTATCCGGAATTAATAATTCTATGTATCATAAAATCAAACCTTAATTGTTACAATAAAAACACTGATTCCAATAATGATTTAATCAATTGTCGGAGGAAACAATTTCTCTCCCTTTCCCAGGCTTACCCACAGCAATTGATTAAATTATCATTTTTTAAAAATATCAAAAAGAAACGATAAACAATCAACCAATTGAGAAGAAGAAAAAAAAATTTAATCACAATTAAAATCGTTAATTTAGTTAATAAGCTTCGTCGAGATTTTTTTTTCTCTTCCATGGAAACATATGATCGTATCTACACTTTATCATCTCCATGTTATTTTACTCTTTCTGTGATTAATTCCTGCAATTAATTAACTACAATTGTCTTTCTGATAAACAGTCTAATTAATTAGTGTTGTTCCTCTAATTGTGTGCCTTTAATTGTCTTCCAAAGAAACACTAATATTCCAACAATTTAATAACATCAACATTCTGGTTTTTGTCTTTCTCTTCATTGTTTACATTTGGAAACCTTTTTGATTTCTGTCAATTTTTGTCTCTTGTGATTAACTAATTGTTACGATTTAAATTACCATGGATTCACCTCGAGTTCTGTCAATTCAAAGTCATGTTGTCCACGGATATGTGGGCAATAAAAGTGCTACATTTCCATTACAGGTAATTTGATTTTCTCTCAATTATTTGATTATCTCATTAGTCTATAGATGAAAATGATCAACAGTTTTCAACATTTTCCTTTATTTTGATTGGATTTTTTTCTCTTTTTTTTTATTAATTGTTTACCTTAATTGTTACCCTGTTGTTATTTAGATTCTTGGGTTCGAAGTTGATACAATTAATAGTGTCCAATACTCTAATCATGTCCACTACAAGGTCACTAAAGGACAAGAAGTTCTTGGCAGTGATTTACATGATCTTTTCCAAGGAATCAGTGGAAATGATTTAATTCAACAATACACTCATCTATTAACTGGTTAGATTAATCATCGAGATTAATTGATTGTTCAGTTAATTTGATTCGTATTCTTTTTACTCTAATCCATTAGGTTATTGTCGTTCTGCTTCATTCTTGTCTGAACTCGTTGGAATTGTCACCGAGATGAAGAAATTAAATCCGAATATTAAATATGGTAATTATCACAATTTAATCTGTTAATCATTTGATTGTTTCACAATTAATGAGTTGAAATTATTTTCCTTCAATTTGAGTTGATTTTTCCCGCGTCTTTGATTGTTCAAAAAGCGCCAACTAAATTCAATTCAATTTGATTTATTGTAAACCAATTAACTAATCTTTTCTTTGATAAGTAAATTAGTTGATTGTTGATGAGAATCGGCCTGATCTTTACAATTAACTTCATTAGTTTCTATTATATTGCAATCTAATTGTTATAATGATCAAAGTGAATTACAAAGACACTAATCATATTATTAGATGATTAATTTACTTTTTATCAATCAAAGTTAATCTATTGTTAGATTTATTAACATTTAATTGTTGATCGTTATTTTTTCCCCTCGATTTTATTAGTTTGTGATCCAGTTATGGGAGATAACGGTAAATTTGTAAGTATCAATCTCACTGATAGTAATCAGATTTCATTCATTGATAAATTTACTTGTGACATTTGAAAATAATCACAATTAAATGATGATCTTGTTGTTACAATTTAGTACGTTTCCGATGATCAGGTTAAAATTTACCGGGAACAATTATTACCATTGGCTGATATTATCACACCGAATCAATTTGAAGCCGAGTGAGTAATTAAAATGATCTCATTATGATTGTATACAAATTGATTGATCGATTCATTTTCCTAATCACCGATAACCTTTTCTTGTCCTTCCAGAGTATTAACTGGAATCAAGATTGAATCAACTGATGATATTATCAAAGCGATTGATATTTTACACTCGAGAGGCGTTTCTTGTGTTTGTATCACCAGCACGGAGATCGGAGATGAGGCCAGATTACCTTGTTTCGCCAGTCGACTGAACGGGAATGAGAAAGAAAGGTTTTCTCTGATGATTCCCAAAATCGATGCTCGATTCGTTGGGACTGGTGACCTATTTGCCGCTCTATTATTGGCCTGGCTTCATAAATCCAACTACGATCTAAAAGGTTCATTGGAAAACACTGTTTCGACCATGCAAACAATTCTTAATCGAACCTTTAATTACGCTAAAAGTATTGGAAAGTTTGACGATGATTCCCTCGAACTCAAGCTAATTCAAAGTAAAATCGACATCGAAACTCCAACCATAACAATTAACGCAACCTCAATTCCTGGATAAAGATTACGATTAATTCACACAATCAACTGATTGTCTCTCATTTACGGACGCGAGTACTTTGTTATCCTCATTGGTTAATTTAGATTTAATTTAATTTATATATATTTTTTATTATCAACATTTATCTTTGATTTAATCTAATAGCGTTTGAAAAGTGTTCAGCTAACTAGAAATAATTTTTAAACTAATTGTTAATTGTTGTCGTTGATTGTTTCTGATGAGCATGAAAAGAGCAAGAAATTAAATTATTGTAAATCAGATACACAAAGAGATATTAGGATTAACATACAAGTTAAATTATTACAATTAACAAGTTAATCCCGTAATCATAATATGGTGTTGATCAATTTTCTTGTTAGTGTTCAATTGTTACAATCAAAAATTGAGTACAATTAGTTAATTATTATTACATAGAATGATTAATTTAAGGTTTCTCCTTGTAAATTGTATAACAACAATTGATTTTTGTGTGTGTTTGTTTTTGATTAGATGATTAGTTGATTACAATGATTTAGATGAGAGTTGATTATGAGTTGATTGTGTAATGAGAGACGATGATGATTAAATCAACGATGAAATTTTAGTAAAAAGAGAAACAATTAATCAACTAATCATCTGATAATTTATGATTAATCAAAATCAAAGATAAATTAGTTAATCAATGAGAAAATACAATTACGATGAATATTATTAATAAAATTATCTTAATTGTTTACCAAATAAAATCAATTAATATATAAGGCAACCAACAAATTGATTAAAGTAATAATTTGACAGATTAACAAAGTGAAAATTGATTGATTGATGATAATTAAATGATTGTTGATTAACGTTAGACGCACAAAAGAAAAGTAGGTTGATTAACAATTAACAAGGAACAACAATTAATAGTAAATTAAAGTAAACAGGGATAATCATAATGTAAGAGGAATTGAATTTGATATATATATAATTAAATGTAAATTAGAAGGGGAAAATTAATAATAATAATAATAATAGTTAAACTAATTGCTCTTTTGTTTCTTCTTGTAATTAAAAGATTAATTCAAATTGTGATCATGTTAGATTGTTGTTAATTATACAATTAGATTCTCGATTATCAATTCTGGAGGTGCAACTAAAATCGTTGGATCATTTTACCACAATTTGTATTGTTATTAACTATTCCTTCCTGATCATCGATTGTAATGATTACCGGATTATTAGTTGTGACATCCCACTTGGATCGGGTCAAGTCCAACCAAAGGATGACCATGAGCGGGTAAAAAAAGATCAATGTAACGGCATGGAAAACGGTACCTGGATAATTTTCAATGGTCGCATTGAAAACGGTTGAATAAAAGATGGACGAGATCATGGGAGCACAGGATTCAATGCAGGCCAGTAGAGCGTAAACTTGGCCGATCTCATTGAAATCGATGAGTCGGGAAACAAGTGACCGAAAAGCGATCGGTAATGTACCACTAAAAGCACCGGCGATGAAGGCAATAAAATAGGCATACGATTCAAGGATTCCACCTTTAACTATGGTTGAAATCATTATGGAAATACAACCAATACCGGCAACCGTTGTATCGTGAAGGTGAAACTTGTGTATTAAAATGGCCGGTGAAATGGTCTGGACAACCGAGGGAATCACCGTTAGCGCTGAATTTACGTAGGAAAAATATTCCGCATCCCAATGGTAAACTTTCTGGGTAAACTGATAGCCGATCACCGCTTCGCCAAGATGACCGATCAGGGCTACCGTCATTCCCATCATTAAATGCCACAATCGTAATCGTCCACTATTGGGACGACGACGGCAACAAGTTTTAATCATACTACGAACATTATTTAAATTGAAAATATCCTTAATCAAGTCCATTGTTTTAGATGATGTCGATCGAGTTGATTGTATCAAATTGTTACTATTTTTAACCAGATTTACACTCACACTGGTGTTAATACTGGTTAAACTACCATTTGATTTGATTCCTCCGTTTGATTTAATCATAATTGTCTCATCAACGACCTGTAATCCTAATCCAGTTAAATCGGTTTTCAATTCTAAAATCTCATTACCAGATGAACCATTGAGAACACTGTTAATACTGTTATTTAGATTATTAATTATCTTCTCATTTTCATCTTTACTATTGTTATTATTGTTATTGTTATTATTATTGTTATTAATACTATAATTAAGATCATTGTTAGTACTCAAAGTGTTATTATTGTTACTACAATTACTGTTTAACGAGGTGCTGGTTGCGCTCTTGGCAAGTGACCGCTCATTCTGGGCTGAGACTGGTTCCTCCTCTTTGAGAAACAACAATATCCAAATGATTCCGAACGAATTTGCTGCAATCGTGATTAAGAAAACGGCAATATAATTACGATACTGATTCGGAAACCAAGGGTCAAGCGCTAAGATTTTACCTCCAAGTGCCGTTGCCACCGGGAAACCTAATAGTTAATAGATTGTTACGTTTAGCAGATTGTTTTGTTTTTCGTAATTAATTTGGGCAACTTTTGGCTTACCTGAAAATGCAAAAAACTCCAGAACCGAAAATCTTACTGACCGATACTTGACCGGGGTCATTCGAGTGGTATAGATATATGTACCTGCGAAAACCAGGCCAATACCTCCAGAGAAACCGATGCTTATAAATGAATACAAGGTTGTCGCTGGATCTGTTTATTCAAATTCAATTATGATCAAGTTAATTTCTTTTTTAAATTGTTCTATTCGGTCAAACATTTCATTTCACTTTCACTCAACCATCAATCTAATATAACTCATCTTGTCTGGTTAATTGTTGATAATCTAATTGTATAGTTATTACACCTTTTGGGCTCGTGGTTGATTAACTGTTTCAATCGTAATTTTTTAAATTGTTGTAAAATCTTAATCATGATTTATACATATATCTTTGTATTGGGAAAAATTTAGGTCGGATTAATGTTATTTATGGGACGAATCAGTTTAAGGGTTTGAAGTAACAATTGGAATCCAGGAAATTGTCAATTAACTGATTGTTGCAAAAGTTGTTGATCAAGGCTGAAGAAGATGAGGATGATGATGATGATGATGATGAAGCCTTTACGAAGGAAGGAACAATTTAAACTCTTCGATTCAAATCGACATTGGTTAACATTCAATCAGATGATTGATTTCATTTTGATTGTTAACCTAATCATCATCATGATCATCAAAATCAATGATTATGACGATGATGAAGATGAGAAAGACTAAAAGAAAGACCTTCGTAAACTTAACCATTAGATTAATGAAGCTCATCAGAAGATTTAATCAAGATGATTAACTAGAAAAATGAATGAAAATCTTGTGAAATCATGATGATGATCATCTTTTTATCATCCTCATCTCTTTCATCCTTCCTCTACAAAATAACTCACACTGAGAGAGTTAAATTGATGTTTATTGTTATTGGAAAGGGAAATAATGATTAACTGATTACGATTTAGAAAGGAGGAGATTAAGAAGAAAAAATTGATTGCGAATTAAATTTACCACTATTAATATCAATTCAGAATTTAAAAGGAAACAATTAATCAACGTGTGTTTGTGTGTATTTGTGTTAAACAATCAACGAGAGCACAAAGAGTTAAATTTAAGTTGGACAATTGATTGGATTGATTTTCCTTGGATTAAACAAAATTGATCTGATTAAACTTACGTCTTTGAAAATTAATTGCATCATAAATCACCATGAATGCTTGGATAATGGCACCGACCGCCGGGGCAGAGAGTAGGTACTTAAGGTGGGAGGGATAGGAGTCAATCCAATAGCCAATGAACAGGGATAAAACCACCCCGGGAGTGGTGGCGATTAGTGTTTGATAGTTTTTCATGGTTGTCGCATATTCGAGGACTTTGTTTTTCTGTACCTCGAATTGAGGTTCAGCAGCGCCCAAGTCAAGACAAAATTTGGGATCGTATTTAAATTCATTGAGACAAATTTTGTCCTGAACTAGTTGATTAAGGGTAACATTGGGTAACATGAATCCAAATATATACACGAACATGAATACATCGATACGAAGTAAATTAATCAGTTCAAAAACCTCCTTTAATGTAAATTTATTCATTGTGATGTTTTGATTAGCGTAATTAAGATGATCTGATTGTTTAATATTAGATTATTGTCCCGATAGTTTGAGTGAAAAGTTTGTTATTGATTGTTGATTGAAAAGTTTTCAAAGTCAATGGGATTGTTATTGGGATTTTGTTGTTGTTTAATGAAATTCACAATACACTTATTAGAATGATTTTAATTGTTGCTGTTGATTTTGTTGTTGATGATGATGAAAATGATGATAATAGTGGTGGTGGTGGTGAAAATGATGATAATGATGAAAATGACGTTGAAAACATGATGAGGGTAATAACAATTTAATTGATTGAATGACCATCACTTGATCACAAATAATCATTGTCCATGTGCATCCAACGAAATTTAAATTGTAATTAAACCAATTAACCTAATCTAAGTTTTGCAGGACCGATTAACAATTAAAAGTAAGACTTATACGGTTCTTAACAATTTAGATTGATACACTAGTTTAATTGTTGATTGAACTTTACGATTCTCGTAACGATGATTAGTATTATCGGACGGGAGGGAAGATGAGGACTGGAAGATTGAGTGAAGAGAAATGATTTTAAGAAAAAGCATCTTATGCCTCCAAGGTGATGTTCATCTTCCACTTTTTATCATCCTCATCATCTTCATCCTTTTCTTTACAATTTATCATCTTAATCATCATCATCTTCTCACTCTTTCGATATCAAATTAATACTATTTTTATTTTCCATTGAAAATCAACATTCAACTTGTCAACTCGATCCATTCATCTTTCTCCTTAATTCATTGTCTGTCTGTCTCTTAATCATCACTTTCTATTCAATGATTAGCTCAACACATGATTAGATTAAATTTCTCATCTAATCCCAAGGATAATCCCATTTAATTAGATAGAAAAAGATTTAATTGTCTTGACCAAATAATATGACAAATAATCCACAAGTTAATCAACTGATAAAATTTTAATTCCTCTTGTAAATTTGACCACAAATACTTTGCAATTGTTTGTTGGCTATTATTTCAATCAGCTGATTGTTGTTTCTGGTGGTTAACAATTAGCTAATTGCTTGCATGATATCAATTCATGATTAATTGTTGGTTAACCTTTGATTTGATTGTCATGAAAAGTCTGAGGCCCCTTTTCAGAAACGATATTGAACTTGAATCTATCAATGAAATTGATATCCTTTTGTTGATAATCAAAATGTCTTGTGGTTTCATCGCAATCATAATCATGATTAAGTTAATAATAACATGATCAAAACTGAATCGTCCAAATTGTGGCTCTATTAATGAACTAAATCAACTCAATCTCTCTCTCTCTCTCTCTCTCTCTATGTTTGATTAACAACAATTTAATCAAATCAATTCTCTAAAATTTCAAATCAATCCCAAGGCTTTTTGTTAACCATTTATTAATTTAGTTTACGTAAATTGTTAATTCTTTTCAAATTGGAATCGGAAATTTAAACTCATTTAGCAATTTAATTCTGCCACAAACTAATTGAAACGATTAACACTCACTACCACTTTTAATGAACAACAATTAAGATTTAGTTTCGTCTTCTATTATAATTTAGTTAACCAGTTAATTGTTCCGATTGATTTGTTTTTGGTAATTTTTCAAAAGCAATTTGCTTTATTGTTAATTGTTTCATTTCTCTTGTGAATTAAACAAAATTTAAATTGTTTTCATTGGGTTGATTATACAAATTGTCAATTGTGGTCATCACTTTTTGTAATTCCTGGTGGTCAGTGGGTTTGATGTATTGATGCGGATTAATTGTTATAATTTGATGACAAATTGTTTTTGATTAAAAATAATTAAACATTAAAAAGTTTCTCAAAGGATATCAAAACATGGGAGGATTAGGAATAGACTTAATTGTTGTACAAAGATAGTTAATTAATATATATAAATAAAACAATAGAAAATATTTACAATTAATTATGATATGTCATCATCTTAATCTTCATCATCAATGATTCAACATGAGCACAATTAATTGTACAATTAATTTGAATCAAGTGAGAATCAGATGGAAGCAAGTAAATTGTTCACATTGATAATATACTAAGTATATTATTAATTAGGACAATTATTATTGCTAAGATTAATCAATTAACTAACTAATCAAGTGTGTATATTATATATATATATAAAGTGGTCAAGTTATCACTGATAACAATCAAAATTAAGCTTAGCAATTATAATTTAGGATAAGGAAGGGAAAATATTCCGAATGGAAAGTTTAATTGTTGATTAACTGTCCCAGACAATTAGTTGAACCTATTCAAACATTTCTTTGAGACGTTGACCACACAATAGAGCTCCTTTATTTGCCTCTGGACTGACCATTGTGAAGTTAAGGAAACCATGGGGCAGATCCTCCATCACATCAACACCGATTGGCCCTTTAAAAGATAATCAATTAGTTAATTGTTTCCATTTAATTGTCAAATAATAATAATATGTTTACCTTTCCATAATTTAGCCATTGTAATACTTTCATCGAGAAGTGGACAAAACTCTGAGGTCAATATTTTCATCGGTATTTTGGTCAAACTATCAAACTTATCGTAGGTCATTGGTGAGGCGTAAGGGGTGTGGGTCCGGTCAGCGAGGGCTTGTAACTTTTTTGAGAAACTCGGCTTGTCACAAATGAACCAAGGTTGAACTTGAGATGATGACATAGAGATGACCATTGAGTATGTGGCCAGTAAGAGCCGTTTGACATTTTCGGCGACACCTTCACATGGATCCCATTTGGGTAAACTTATATTTCCTATTAGAAACATGTGATTTAATAGTTGGTTAAATTGTTGGAGATAATTTTAATCACGATTGTCTATACTTACCTTCAGTAGCTAATTGATCGTCAACAATATTCCCATAAACACCTCCACATGTTAATAATACTCCTGGTGATAGGAGAGGGTCAATTGCCCCCATAACTCGAGATGGACCGACCAGCGGTGAAAGGAGGAATGCACCGTATATGGAAAAGATTCCGCTTGGAAGTTGTAACCTTAGGTCACTTGGATCACGAGTTAAAAGGTCATTTAGAGTGAATAAAAGTGAAAGTGCTAAATTAGCACCAGCTGAGTCACCACAGAATATAATCTTTTTCGGCTGGAATCCGATCAGCTGAGCTACCTCAGGGTCACCAGAGGTAACCCAAAGGTAAGCGTCAAGAACTTCTTGTAAAGCGATTGGAAATTGTTGCTTCAAGGAATAGTCAACCGAGAATATCGTCATGTCGGGCACATCGTAAGCCCATTGTCGAAGGTAATTTTCATGAGAATCAGGTGAATGGGTAATAAACCCACCGCCATGACAGTGAAATAAAAGGAGACCTTTACTAGTGTCACGATTTGATTTATAAATGAGTCGACATTTTACCGATTTTTCATTAACCGATTGGGTCAATTTGGGGTCACCTGAACGGTTAACCACAATATCTTTACCGTCTCGAGTGTAAACGTAGGTACTTTGAGGGGCCACTTGAATATTCCGTGTTTGAATACCTCGGCCTAAAAAGATCAAAGGAATGATACCTTTACAGACCACTTTGTAGTCTAAAATTTCCCAGATATCGAAAGGGTAAGAAATTGATGGGCTTTGAGTCCATTTAGTGAAAAGGTCAATTCGATGATCACGAGACCAAAGGTTCTTCAAAGAGAAGGGGAAAATTTCACCGAAAAAGGCAACGGCCAACATGTAAACCTCGAAAAAGATTCTCATCGATTTACAGAACCAAAAAGCACCGAAAGTTGTAAATAGACGTTGAAGTTGATTTTGATTGGTTGAAGCTTCTCGGAGGATGTCGACCGAGTAGACAGTCGGTGGGACGAATAACGGTAAAATATTTGAAGAGATTGAAGGTGATCTTTGTCGATAAAAATATGAACACTCTGAATTGAGATCGGTGGTTGTGGTCATTTGGTCAATCTTCAAATTGGATTGGGTATTCTCACCTTCATCCGTGATTGTGATGTTTGATTCATTTTTATTATTCTTATGATTAACTGATTGTTGATCAATATATTGTACACTTGAATCATCTGAAAAATTGTTGAAATTTTCATCAACTTGACCGTTTTTTGTGATCTCTCTGAAATTTAAAATGTGATTTAATAGCCTCAGGTAACCGCAAGTCGCAATCTCAAGATCCTCATAGACACTTGGATCTTTAAGACGACCTTTAATCATGGTACACAGTTTGGTACAACTACGAATGAATGTCCAGTATCCGTTGGCGTTGACCGATTCAAAGTTATATTCGTGGGCAAATGAGGCCACTTGAATGACCCCAGTGTAAAGTTGCTCAATGTTACGATACAATTTGGTCTCGGTGGAAATGGCCTTAACTTTCATCGAGTCAAACAATTGGGCGAACGCTTTTTCAGCATTGTGAACAATTGAATTATTTACAAGAGAGGGTACAGTTGATGATGATGGAGATGATGATGATGATGATGATGAAGATAAAGATAAAGATGATACATTTTCAACGGATGAAGGTGGATTAAGGTATGAACTTGTATCCGGATTAGGTGGAGGGATAAATAGAGACTGAATAAGATCAAATAAAGATTGAAAAACCATCGTTGTTAAAATTATTTGTCAAATTAATCAATCATTTAATTAATTGTTTGTCTTTGATGGATATTGATGTTCAGGGTTAAACAGGTAATTGTGACTGAGTTAATTGTTACAATTGTTAGTTGGTTTTAAATAGATGACAAAACAAGGTAACCTTGTTAAGGTGATTGCTAATTGTTAAACTGGTTTTCTGGTTTTCTGGTTGTTTCCTTAATCTCCCATAATAAGGGATTACACAATTAAAAGGGAAAGGGTCAAGGGTTAAGTTGATACAAAAGTAACAATCAACTGGCCAGTTAATCAATGATTAACTTTGGATTTTCATTGATACAATTAAATGAGTGAAAATGAGTCTCTGGTGTTTATTGAATTGACTTTTTCCTTGCTTTGTATTACTAGCACACTTTTTGTTTACCAATTAGTTAATCACTGATTAAATAACTGATTTAATCTGGTTAATCTTTCTAGTAACTGATTAGGGAAAACTATCTTAATGACATTGTTTCAATTCCCAAATTGAATCAGTTAATTGTTGGGTTTCCCTTTCACTTAATTTCCTTATCAACCTTTGCTCTCCCTCTCTCTATGAGATTTCCTGAATATGATTAGTAATCAATTGATAACAATTAACTTTCATGTGATTATAATTAAAAAGGCTCTGAATTTACCGTAATTAGTATTGAAAATAACAAAATTGTAACAATTAGATTGTGCAATTATCAAAGTCCAATCAAGATAAACGGACAAAACTAATTAATTTACCATTGGTAAAATAGAGCAATTAATTTATTTATATTTACTTTTCATTGATTGTAATAATTAAAATGATGATGATAAAAACAATCAAGTAATTGAAATCACATTGTGATGATTACAATTAACTGATTAACTGAAAAAAAGTTACAAAAAAGTTTGATAAACAATCGTGAAGTAATTTACTAATTATTTGGATAATATTTTTCAAGGAGAGATTGGGAATTATATTATATTATTAATATCCACAATTAAATGCAACAATTAACAACAAGAATCTTATGTATGGATATTAATAGATTATTATTACCACTATTCAGTTAAATTATTACAATCATCGAATCTTAATTGTTGAAAATACTTTGTTATGATCAAGGGAAACTTTTTCATTACTCTTCATATTGAGATTACTAAACTGTTAATAAGTCCTGAGGCTTTTTCACCACAATTAACTAATCATATTTAGTTTAACATTGAACTACCGATTATCTGAATTATAATAAGATTAAGATTATCCCCTTAAGGGTTAATATGTTTCTCTTATTTTAATTAACTTTTTTCTTGCTTCCCTTTCCTTTTCCGTCTTTGGAAACTCATTCAAGTTCAAATGAGTAACTTTCAGTTTACTTTTACTCGAGACAGTAACAAACTCATTAACCTTGCAAATGACCACACTGACCACTAATCCTTTACAATGAACTATCATAAACATAAGACAAAAGCTCACTGATGACCATGAGATTAGGCTAATCCATTGGATTAGCGCAGTCGAAAAATGTAACAAACCAGTTTGTTGATTAACTGAAAAAGAGGAAAACAAAAATCCAAAGAAAAGACTAGAAATTCACTAATCAGGTAAAAGGAGAAAGTGAACAATTAACGATGATTTGTTGATTGTTACAATTGATTGATTGATTGATCAACTGATTGGTAAAGGATTTAATTTTATCAGAATAGAGATACAATCAATTAATCGTTTTGTATACTGTTAGTAAACAATTAAAATCTACAGAATCAACTAATTGTACAACAACCAACAAAGATCAACGTAGTCTTTTAATACCTTGAACTGAAGTTAATTGTTAACAATTAAGTCCATATAGATTATCAATCAAGTTAGTCTGATTTTTGTTCATTATTTAATTTAACAATCATGATAATAGTCATGGTCAATAGTTTATCAACAATCAACTAATGATTAAGGTTTGGGAAATGTGATTAAATCCAATTAGAAACCTTGGAAGATGATTTTTTGGTTAATCTAATTTGGTGAGTGTTGTTAGTTTATATTTATTTTTCTTCGTTGATTACAATTAACTAATTGTGGAGATACAAAAAGTTCAGGGAGATTGTGATTAATTTAGATGGTGATAGTTGATTTAATTTTGGTATTTATTAAGTGATTAACAGTTAATAATCAAAATTAGAAACGAGAATCAGTTCAAGATTAACAGGATTGATGATTCGATGAGGAAATGAAAGGTTACAATTAAGTAATTACCTGAATATTTTTTAACTTTCCAACAATTAAAAGTTACTATTTTTAATCATTAGCTTAATTGTCAAGGATTAACTAAATTTCTTGTTCAACAATTGTCTTCTTGATCATCGTAATTATCAATATGTTTAATTATGTTTATCAAATGATTGGATAAATACAATTAACGTCTTGGTTTGCTGATTGCTAGTAATTAAAGTTTAATTAGCATTTAATTATTATTTAATTATTACAATCGAGTGGCTCAATTTAATATACTTTTAATTAGCTTTCCTATGTGATTAATTAAGTATTTTACCTTTGATTAAATTATAATTAAAATACAGTTTAAATTGGTTTTGATAATACTCATCTGATTGTCTATTTGTTTGCAATTAATTTTAAAATAATGATCACAATTAACTTTTCATCAATCATCTGGCAAGTAATTAGTTGATTTTGATGGTTGATTGTGGCAATAATTAAGACAGAAAATTATGATTACTCTTAATTTTTACATGGCTTGAATGAACAATTAGCTAAATTGTTGATCAATTGTATTTATCATTAAGTACATTTGATTAGATTGATTTTCAATGGTTAATTGCTGATTGTTAATTAATTAATTTATTATTTATTAGTAATTTTTTTCCAATAAATGTCAAAAAATAATGATTCATTTTTGTTGACATTTGATGATATGAAATTTTCATGATTAACTGATTAGTTTTCAAATCTAATTGAGTTTAAATCGGGAAAACCATTGATTCATAATGATTAATTTTGATGGAATTAATCAGTTTTTCAATCAGTTTTAATTTTTTTGATTAACTAGTTGATTTAAAGCCAATATCATACATTGGATCAAGATGATTTAATCAATTTAATCAATGAAACAATTAAGCATAAGAAACGAAAAAGTTTTTCATCAAATGAACAACAATTGTTTCTGTTTGTTGATTGTTAATTGATTGTTAATTCAATTTGTATCGATTCAGGAAGGAGATTAATTAATTAATTGGATTGTCGTTAACAGGGCAAAGTTGATTAACACAAACAACAACAATCAATTAATTGTGCCCCTTGTCAGTATAATCATCAAGATCATCATAGAGATGTAAAAAATAATCAAATTGATTAGCTGAAAATCTGACTGATCGTCCCAATTAATTAATTATTAATTGTTGAATTGAGCAAAGGGCAATTAACTTTTCAATGATATTAAATTAAGTACCACTCAATTATATGATGAAAGTGAAAGTTAATCAATCTGATAATTAAATTCATTGAATCTAATAAATTGTGAAAGTTTATAAACAATTTATTTTTACTTTTCTGATTAACTGATGAGATGAAAAATTCATGTTAATCAGTAACAATTTAAATTGTTTGATTTTCTATCAAGGTTAAAATTGTATTTAAATTGTGTGACAAATTGAGAATCAGTTTATTTGCTGATCTATTGATTAACTTTAACTCTTTGAACAATCAAACGGCACAGAATCAATTGATTGTTGGTTAATCTAAAATGATAAATAATAATAATCACATTAGTTGTCAAGGCAATGGAGCGATCATTTTGATTGCAATTTAAATTGATTGTTAAATTGTACGCATCGTTATTATTGAATTGTGATTGACCAATTTTTCATCATCAATTAATTGTATCTAGTTGATTAATTAAGACACAAACAATCAGGATAAGAAACTGGGTGTTAATCAGTCAATCAAAGAGTAACCATATTGACCTAATTGTTTTATAATCATTTCCTTTTGGTTTAAATTAAATTTAACAATCATTTAAATTGATTCTCAAATCAAAATGATGATCAAGTTGATTGTTAGATGATGATGATGATGATTATTGCCTGATGATAACCATTTAAACACAATTTAAAGTTTCATTGTTTCACTTTACTATTGATTGGGATCAATTGAATCAGTTCACAATTAAAATGATCAATGAAAAAATAAATTGTTTTCCCAACAAATACTAATCAAATTTACAAATTGTTGGTCTTTTTTTGTCACAATTAAAAACCTTTTTTTTTTAGCTAATTGTTTGTAGACTTTAATTGTGATGATTATTTGCTTGACAATTGAAAGTTTTTTCAATAGGAAGCTTTTCTTGATGCGAGAAACAAATCAAACAATTAATTTAACAATCAGTTGATTGTTAAACTTTTCCTATCTTTACAATTTAATAGATATTGTAAATATCATCAATGACAATTGATTGAAATGTTAACGATTAACATTTATGATAGCAATTAAGAGGATAAATCATCAATGTGAAAAAAACAATCAGATAATAATCAACATGATTACTGAAATTGAAACAACTATTAATAAAAATCAAGTTGATTGTTGTAAGCAACAAATAAAGTCCCATTAATTATTATTATTATGGTTAATCATGATAATGATAAAGTCTCATGGACATCAGGTGATTAAATAACAAAATTAGCATAGAAAATTAAATTAATCACTGAATCAAATGAACTTCACCGGGTCATCATTATTATTGACGCCTAATTGTGATTAGATAATCATCTTGGAGCTAAAAATAAGATATTTTTCTCAACGATTCTCAAGACTTATGATTATTATCATTAGAAAATCGCCTTGGGGCAAATTAATTGCTCGGTTAAATTTGGTTGTTGTTGATGATCAAGTTGTTGTTGTTTTCTTTGATCACAATTAGCAAACAATCAACGTAAACACTTGGGGCAATCATTAAGAAAGAGATGTTGAAATCCAATTGTAAATGCTAATGTAATATTAATTATTTACTGCTGATGATGATGAACAATTTAATTGATTGTTGAAGAATCGAAAAATTGTTTTTCTTCAATTCTGTTTACTTATACATTGTATTAACGAATGGCGATGAAAAAAATTATCGAAAGAGAGAAAGATTGAAATGTCAATGGAACTTTTAATTTAGAATCGAATCAGTTTTTCCTTTCCTTAATTTCACCTTGTTCGTAGTTTATATAAGTTACCTTGATTAAGGAAGTACATTAAATCTAAATCATCGTAAGTTAATTGCGAAAAGAGTTTAATTAAAAAGAGATTAACAAGGGCACGGATAAGATGATGAACTTGAGTGATCACTAAAATTCATTGGACATTAATATTGGACAATGACACGGAATCGATTGGGAAAAACTGAACATTCAATTTGTAAGATTTAATATCGATCAGTAATTAAAAGTAATTAGAACATGAGAATTTAAAAAGGTAAAGGAAAAGTAAACAGATGAAAATGTTAGAAATAGGGTTTAGGTTGAACAGCTGATCGACTTGAGGAACCGAGAATTGGAGCAGAGGATTGAGAAGATTAGTGGATTAGGGGATTAGAATGATACTCGAACTGTTTGGGTATCTATCGAATATGTTGTGTCGGTTTTGTCGAGTTCTAATTTGTGGTAAATTTTGGTCTAAGGTTCGGAAAAAGGGATCATCAGCAACAGAGAAATAACAAAAAAGACTTACCAGTGATGACGGAAGTGGCGATGAGGCCGTTGAAAAGGGAGGCATTTTGATTGAGGTGTTGATTGGTGATGGAGAATCAAGTGAGGGTGATGGTTGAGCTGGACAATGGTCAGAGTCGATTTGATGGAAATTGATTGAAAATAACAAGAAAATGAGCAATTGTGTTGATGTGTGATGTTAATTATGATGTTTACTAATGTTACCGTAATCAGAACACTTTTCAATCCAAGCAACCGGATTTCTTAAGCTTATTTTCAAGTTCATCCTTCTTTCTGTCTTTATCTTCATCATCATCTTCTCTTGCTCTCTCTCACTTTGTTTTTCTCCCTCTTCTTCCCAAAATCCCTCCCTTAAACTGGTTCCTTTTCTCATCTTTTCTTCTTGTTTCCTTATTTTGTTTGTTTCTCATCTTCTAATCTTTCTTACTTCTCTCTCTCTCTCATTAGTCTCTCTCACTTATCATCACAATTGTAGGCCTTTCATTGAGGATAAAAAAGACCCGTTATCATCCAATATACTCCAACGGAACCATCATGATTGATAGAATCAAGCTAATCCATCAACGGAACTTTAAATAGACGAGAGTAGATTTCAAATCCATTTCAAGTTCAATGACATTCACTTTTATTTGGATTTAATTTCCTTCTTATTATCATTTCTGGTATTGATTTTGGTTAAAAATGATAAACAATCAGTTAATTATCATCGAAAACCCAAGAAAAAACAATCAAACTAATTGTTTACATCAAACAATTAGGGTAAACATGTGAAAGAAACTTTTTCAATTGTAAATTACCCGCGAGTTTTAGGTTTTAATTGTTAATCATTTTCGAAACTTTTTCTTCCATCGAAAGTGATTAACTTGATTATCTTATTATTAATCTGTTATCTAATTAACTGGGAAAGAATAGAAATTAATTGTTGAATTGATTTCAATTATAACAATTGGAATAATAAAAAAAGTTTTCAATCACAATTTAAGAAAATCAATTTATCTTATCAAGTTTATCCATTGGATTAGAATGAGTTAATTATTTACTTTTAATTGTGACAATTAATATTGATTTATTTTTGATGTTTTCATCTTTGATGACAATTGATTATCATGTTTAATTGTTTACTATTTTACTTTTTTTGATCACAATTAACAATTAGATTAGGAAATTTTGTCTTGTATTGGATTTTCATATTAACAGTTCAAGGGCAATTTAATTTTAATTACAATTTAAAAAGTTGTCATGTCAACGTAATAATCAACTTCAACCTACAACTGTCATCAGATTTAATTACAATTTATATTAATTGTGATCAGAACATAAATATTATAAAGGTAACATATATTTTCACATGTTGATCAACAATTAACTTTACTGGACACAAATCACTTGCTGAGTATTTAAATTACTCTAATCCGTAAATCATCATCATCTTAATTGTTAACAATGAGAAAATTTATTGATTGTAATTTTCCTTTAAAACAGTTACAATTAGAGGTATTTACTATACTAATTAACTTGATTGTTGGGGAAAAAATTAATCTGATACTAATCATTGACATCTAATTGTGTCCAAACTTGTAAACTAGTTTCAAGTTAATTAACTGAAAAAAAGGTCACTCATATAATCACCACAAATTGATTAATTTAATTGTCAACAATCAGTAGTAAATTTTACCGTTTTAATTATCACATCTGATGGAAAACATTTACTTACTAAATTAAGGATTAATATGGGAACAATTAGATTTAATTGTTTGACTCTTGTTTTCACTTGATTTGATTGTGTTAAAACCTTCACTTTATTAATCAAACCAATAGTTGATCAAGTTAACAATTTAATTTAATCATTGGTGAAAAGTTATTAAACTATTTAAGGTCAACCAATAGAGTTGATTGTTTGCAAAATTAAATTAAATTGTTTGACCTTCTAGGATTTTATTGATTTGCAAACAATTTAACTTCCTTGATTAACAATTTAAATTACTTTGTGATTTACTGAAAAGTTTTACTTTTCAACTTAGAAATGAACAATTTATTTAATATTACAATTGGAAACAATTAACAGATAATCAGAGAAATCAAATTTACTATTGAAAGTTAAACAACATTGGAAAATTAAATTGTTACAATCAAGGCTTAATCATTGCGGGTCTTTTTCCGGCATTGAGGTTTAATTGTAAGTGATTAGATTGATTTACCAATGTAATTAGTTGATTTTAAATCTAGTTTTTTATTGTTTCACAAGGTTGGACTTTAAATTGTTAGCTTAATTGTTTAATTATGTTATTGATGCAACTGATTAACTCGTTATAATTGTGGTAATTACATTGACAATTAACCAAAATCACTGGGAATTAATTTTCATATAACCATGAAGTTTTTTTAATTGTGATAATTTAATATCAACAATCAAGGTCTAATTTATAATCAGGAAATGTTACAATAATGATTAATGTTTAATTAGGAATAAGATTTTTTTTCAAATTAAATTAACTGATCGATTAATTAATTTCCCCATAAATTGTTGACTGTTTGATTGTTTAATTTAATTTTTTGTTTCATAAATTGTTTACTTTTTAATAATCAATAAGAATTGATGGAAATTATTAATCAAGATTAACTAATTATTTGATCATCAATTTGATTGTCTTGTTTGTCTTAATTGTTTCTGGAAAAATTGAAAACTAACTTGAACTTTGAGCTTGTAACAATCAAATTAAATTGTTGAAATTGATTGTTACTAAATCAAATGTTAGCCAAGCAAATTTAAGGTCAATTGTCAATGGGAAAATCAATTTGATTAGATTACATTTGACCATCAAAGTTAATCAAACTTATTAACCATGGTGATCAATAAATGATTAATAAATTGAATAATTTAACCACCAAATTGAAAACAATCAAATTTAATCCATTTGTCTGTTGATTGGTTAACTTTAATTGTTACTATTAAATAGGATTAAACCTTGGGGTGGTTTTGTATTATTAATAAAAGAGACTCGAAAATAATGAAACAAAATTATTAACGATTAACAATCAAGGACAATTAATAATTTCTTAATTATTGGCAATAGGAGATAAAAGGTGAATTAGTTAATCTTAAAAGTCAATAGTTATTAATCAATTGATTTAATTGAAATGTAATCATTTGACCAGAAAGATAATCTAATTGAACATTGAAAAAAATTGAATTGCAATTGATTTGGTGAAAAACAAAATTTGTTTCTCAATTTACTTGAAATTTTAAAGATTATCAATTGGGATAATTATAGGAAATTGATTGTTACGATTTGATTTAGTTATAAATTGCAGTTGAAACAATTAGATTTACAGTTAATTGTTTCCCAGTCTTTAGCTTAATTTTACAGGTAAGACGTTTAAAGGACCAGCCAATGAAATTGATGCTGTGTTCATATATCGTTACAATGATTAATGTTAAATTGTTTACAAATCTTCCCAAACAATTAGGAATTACAAATGATCATTATACAAAAATATAACAATAATAATAATAATAATCAGAGGTAAATGATTGATTGTGATTAAGGAAAAATATATATGAGTAGTTCACATAGAGTTTGTATTGCTCGTGATGTTGAGATTTCATTGTCATCAATGTCATCGAAAAAATTGGAATGTAAATTGTTGGTTGATTGTTGGAAAAGAAGAGTAGAAAAAAAACAATTGCACTGATTGAGATTAACAGTAATTTGGATGTTTTGGTTGAGAATTTAAAATTTTTTTTCCAACGAAAAGAGAAAGTTTGAAATAATCGAAAAGTTCGCTTGTCCATTTTGGAAACTCATTTCAGTTCTATTGACCATTGTTTCCGTTGGCGATCGATTTGTTGTTATTATTTTCTTCCTCTTTCGATGTCATGTATCGTAGAGCAGCATGAATTCTGATATGTGCCAAAGCTTCAACGAAAAATCTATGGTAGTTATCACGAGCTTTTAGAAGCCATTCTTTGGCCTCTTCGAACTTTTCTTGCTTCATGTATGCAAGTCCCATTTCCATGGATGCATAAGGTGGAAGGTAAGTGTCATCTGAGAGTAAATCCTCACTGAGAACGAGAGAGAAAAAGTTATTTAGATTATACAGTTCATGTGGAAATGACATTCTCTTTGTCAGAACTTACTTATCAAGAATCTCTTTGAAACACTCGATTGCACCAGAGATATTGTTCATATATCTTAGAATTGTTCCTTTGATCAGAAGTAGAGTTGCTCTTAAATCGATGAGATATTCTAGAATAAAGAAAGAGGAAAAGAAAGTAATAAGAAAATGATATATTCTTTTAGTTCTAAAGTTATCGTTATCAGTAATTTCTTTTTGTTCAATTCGATTCTTACCATTATCTTTTTCATCCTTTTCAAGAGAATCAAGTTTTGAATTGATCTTTGTCAACATGGGCTCAAGAAGTTCTGGTTTTTCCTCGACGTTGGTAAAAACATTCCAAAAGTAGAAAAGTTCCTAAAGATGAGAAAAAGAAGAACGGAAATAAAAAATATTCTTCTTCCGGATTTTGTCATCTAGTTTTCTATTCTTAAAAGTTTATCATTTTTTTCAAGAGAAAAGTAGAATAAAAAAGTTCTTAAAGTTATGAATTTCATGATGATTCTTTTCAAGCATCACTTGTTTTCCAACCAATATAACAATCAACTACTCAGTGAATTAATTCTGAGAGGATGAAACAGAGTAATTTTCCTAATGAAGATGAGAGATGGAACAATTTATAAATCTTTTCGACTGAATAAATGATCTAGAATCAGTCGAGTATAACAAATATAACTCAAGAAAGTGAGAAAAATTAATCACAATTAAAGTCGATGATTGTTATCACTTTACTTTTCCCCTGAAGAAACAACAACTCTAATGAGAGTCACCAAGATTTTGAGAGCAAAATCACCATGAATTAAAATCCAAAGCTAATCATTCAACTAATCATAATTAATTAATCATTTTGGTGGATAATCAATTCTTACATAGGCAGGTAACACCAATCGTTTGTTGTCCTTAAGGTAAAGTGCTGCCTTTGTAACTGCAAATTTTTCCTGAGGAATTGTTTTACCAGCAAAACGAATCTTGAGTTCTGGAACTTTTCTGTAAATTGAATAAAAAGAAAATAATAATAACAATTAATAGACGAAGATACAAATGCATCGATGTAAATCAATTTGATTCCCTTTCGATGGAAGATAACATTATTTTCACATGTTAATAGGTGAGAGAAAATTTACTGTTGACACTAGAGAACAATTAACTAATTGTCTTTATAAGACTAATGGTAATTTACCTCATGGCTTCATCAATCTCTTTCTTAAGCTTAGCATCCTTGGTTTCTTCATACATCATTAACTTAAATGTAGCATATTGGTAAACATTAGTTGCTGGTGAATAGGAACATGTCTTGGATAAAGTTTCTGCTTCTTTAATTGCATTGGGCCAATCGTTTAACAATCTAAATTAGAAGATAATTAATTACAATAATGAAACAACTCTCTGACCATTGGTCATTTATTGTAAGGGAAAGACACATACGCATAACACCAAACCATTTCCCATCGACAAATATTATGAACTTGTTTCCATTCAGTGCAAAGTGAGATTGACTTTTGATAATATTGAACAGCCTGAAAAGTATAAGAGGAAGATTTAATTAATTAAACAATCAACAATTAGTATTCAGGCGGAACTTACGTCTTTTAGGTTACCCTTTAATTCATTGTATCTTGCATAAAAATAAACAGTGAAAGCTGACTAAAGATAACGGGAAAAAAGAGTGATTAGTAAATTGTTTGAGTGAAACTTTTGATGATAATTAGAGTTAATTACAATTTGAAGCTTACATTTGGATGTTGATTGAATTCCTCAATTATGAAAGATTCAATCAAGTCAAACTTGATATTTTGAACACCTGATCAAACAAAATGCGCGGTAAAGATTAGTTGGTTTTCTTGATTTGGTTAATTCTTTTTTTTTACAATTGAATTTCTATTGACCAACAACTTACCCATTATTGGTTCTATGTTAAGATAGAAACCAGAGATACCCAATGATCCCATTTCACTTATTATACATGAGCGGGTTCTCAGTCCTTCTTTCAAATAGGCTTCAGCGACTCGTCGGTCCCCTGCAAATCCACAGAAATGCAATACTTTGAGTACTTTATCGGGTAACATTGATACGAACTAGATGAGTGAACGAAAAAACGTTAATTCGTAATCATGATTAGTTATATTCTTAATATTTACCAAGTTCATTGTTCCAGCAAGAATGAGAACACCAGATCTAAAGTTAATTTCACTTTTCTCTGAACCAAATTCAGTTCGAGTCTTCATAATTTCTTCCAATGTCCTGAGAAAATTAAGAGAGAGAATTGTTATGTAATTAATTGTTTCATAATCTGGAGGTCAAAACAGTTCAAATGCAAAAAAAATGATGGTTAAGATTCACGATTAACTTAATTGTTAAAAGGAAGAAGAGGTTTTAATATCGCTCTCCTCGAAAGTTAAGATGATTATGATTGAACTTTAATGATTAACTCACTTGAGCAATTGATTAGATGAACGAATGGCCAATGCACTTCGGATTAAAGTGATTATCCTCTGGTCGGAGAAAACATTTAACAGGGTAAATAAAAATTCAACGACACAATAAAGTAATTCAGCATGAATTTGCTCTGTTAAATTGGAGAAAAAGAAAACAATCAGTAAGCAATTAACTTGAAGATTTAATATCAATAATGTCCAGTGTCTTCTTTTAATCAACAATCCAATCAATGGTCATTTCGTATATTATGTTAGTATAGTAAAAAGATTCTAGATTGGAATTGATTTTTTTTTTCATAACTTTCAAGATTTAAACTTGTTAAATTGTTGTGATCATAATTGTTTGGGACAAAAGTTAATCACAATCTAAGCGGAAAATAATCAAGTTAAACAATTAGATTTGTTTTTACTTGGCAATCCTTTTAGTGGGACAAAATGTTAATTTGATTATAACTTTGATAAGATGGACAATTTTCAACAATTTATGATCTCTAAATTGTAGACAATCAACAAAAACTAACAGGACTAAATTGTCCTGATGCAATTAAATTATAATTTATCACGTTGATTATAGTTGATTGTTGTTGTCCATTAGATAAACATTGGTTACAATTAGATGGGAAAGTAAAATCAATTCTGATCAAAATGATTAACAGTCCAGTTCATTCACCAAACAACAATCAAATATCAGGATAATAAAAAGTGATCATAATTAAATTTGAATAGTTATTGATCAATAGCAATCAACTGACAATTAAATGTAACTTTGTATTTGTATTTGTGTGAAAACTAAATATCATTATCAAGGTTAAATTGTAATTAAATCTAATAATAAATAAGTTAATTCTGTAATTGATTAAGTAAACCCGTTTTTTAGTAACAATTAAGTAATTTTTTTTAGCAAATTGTCAAAGATCATTATTAACACAGGATAGTTAATTGTTCAATGTCATTGAGAAGATGATTAAATGTAAATGATTGACTTGTAAGCATCTGCAACGATGACAGTTAAATCATCAAGAAAAAAATATATATCTATAGATAATTGAATCAACAACAATTAGAAGATGAAAAGAAATTAATTGTTGATTGGTTAATCAACAATTAAACCTGTAAAATATAAATGAAAAAGTAAAGTAGCAAAAAACAGTCACCACGTCAATGTAATTTAATCATCTGACAATTTAGAAATGATCGTTAATAAATAAGTTAGAAAGTTAAAAGAAAGTGATTAAGTAAAAAATATCACCACAATCAAACTAATCAGCCTGAGGGTTAATTGTTCATGAATCTATTAATTTTGTTAAAATATCAGAAACCTGTTGAGATAATGTTGAAGAAGGAAAAATAAAGTTAAATTAAATTGTTAGCTGATTATAATTGTTGATTAAAGTGTAAAGAAAACCAGCAACTATTTAAATTAAATTAAATTCGATTGTCTAATTAGCTACTAACCATCGGTGTATTGATTGTAATCAACTTTACGAATCCAAGAACTTAAACTTTCCATCAATGTATTTGCACGACGCTTCTTGTTAATCAAATTTGCTATTTGACGAAGAGACTTCTTACCAATTTCTAGTTGAGCCTGAAATTAGAGCAATCAACAATTAGTTAATATACTTTTCTGTCACATTAACAATTAAAATGTCATAATTGGTTAGTTTTAATCAATATGTATTTCTAAATATATCAGGTATCATCACATACGGATTGTATTGCAATTGTTTCATCAATCGGCTTGGAAATAGTAATACAACAATTTGACTCACAATTGAAATCAATTAATATCATGATGAGGTACGAGTTATGATTAGATGGTGTAATTGGAGATGATTAACTCACCGGTTCCAAAGTGAAAATGGCTGACATGAAATCAAATAGAGATTTAGTGAAGGCATAGTAAATTGATTCGTCCATATAACGTTGACAAAATTTGGTCGCATCTTCAAGTTGATTTTTGTAATATAAATCGATCACTGGTTGTGGATAAAATGATTCTTCAAGTGTAACAACCCTAAGAAATATAGATAAAAGAAATTAAAATCAAGTAATCTTAGCAATAAAGAAAAGAAAAAAAGAAAACAAAGATAAAGTTAAAAAGAGAATAGAAAAAAAACTTACAAATTTTCTGTTCTCTTGTTTTCCAAATCATTTTTCTTCTCAATTTCTTGATCAATTGATTGTTGCTCATTTTTTGATACTTCAACAGGCATTTTGATAGAATGGAAATAATTTAAACAAACCACAATCACAATAAAAGTAACAAATTCAAAAATAATCAATTAACTAATGAAAATTTATTACAAAAAATCAAGTTGATTACAATTAAGAGAAAGTTAAACCTGTCAAGACAAAAGATGAGTAACTAATCAGAGTTCAAAATAAAAATTCGTTACTTTAGATTAACAGATGGCGCAACATTCGCTTCGATCGCCGATTGGACGAAATAAAAGAAAAGTGTGTTGATTAGCCTTATAAGTCACACTTTCGAATATTTAATCCGCCAGATGTCGCGTAATCCGAATTAGAATTTGTTTCTTAATGGAAATTCATTCATTTGATTTTTATTTTCATTTCTTTTTTGATTTTTTACTTTTTCTCTCTCTCTCTCTTTCTCTTATTTTTTGTTTCTTTCTTCAATTTAAATCAATAATTAATCATCAATTTGTTGTTTAATTAATTGCCTATTTCTTGTTTACAGTTGAAAGTAAATTGTGTCTTGTTTTTCACTTGTTTTCTGTGTTGTCTTGATTCTAAATTGTTTGTTCTTCGTGATCAGTGTTTGTTCACTTTTGTTTCTATTTAGAATTTCCATCGTTTTCTTTGTTAATTCTACATTTAATCATGTCTGGTGATACTCCTGAACCATTGTCAACAGAACAACCTGAGAATTCAAATGATTTGGAAAAGAAAATGAAATCAGATTTACTTGCTAAGTGTCATGAACCAAAAGATTCACTGTTTAGCTCAACCAGTAATTATACCAACTATAGAGGGCTACTTAATCTCTGTATCATCCTTTTGGTAATCTCTTTTTTTTTCCTGTTTACTTTGTTTCTTTTTTACGATTTTAATCACCTTCAGTTTGCTAATTGTTATCTTCTTATTTTTCTCTTTTAGATTCTTTCAAATTCTAGAGTTGCTCTTGAAAATATACTTAAATATGGAATACTCGTTGATCCCTTCCAATGGATAACATTTCTCGCCGATCCAACTGTATTACCATCTATTCAAATTATTTTTGGACTTAATGTTTTCATTCTTATCGCTTATTGGATAGAGAAATTTTTATTATCAACCTCATTTATTGGTGAAGTTTCTGGGTGTATATTAATCTGTGGTAATCTATTGGCTCTTCTGGTTCTTCCACCTTTCGTTGTTTTCAATGGTGATTGTCACCCTGTTGGTAGTTCATTTGCTTTAGGACAAGTAGCCATTGTTTGGTTGAAATTAATTTCCTATCATATGGTTTGCTATTGGTGTCGTTGTGATATTCGTAAGAAACGTATTGAAAGTCGGGGTAAACTGAAACGTTCCCGATCAACTCAAATCGAGCAAACCGATCAATCCAATAAAACTCAAACAAACGGCACATTACAAGCTAAAAATGGTGAAATTGTCATTCCAAAAGTTTCTTATCCTGATAATCTAACCTACTATGATATTTATTACTTCATGTTCACCCCAACACTTTGTTATGAGCTCAATTTTCCAAGGTCGGCACGAATTCGTAAACGATTTCTTCTTCGCCGTGGATTTGAAATGGTAATTTCATTCAACTTATTCTCACAATAAGTTTCTTGATATCCTTGATTAATTACAGAGTTTAACAAGGACTAAACGTGTTTCTAACCTCTTCTTAATTGACTTTTTATTCAAATTTTTAGTTTTTATTATTTCAATTGATTCTTGGATTATGTCAACAATGGATGGTTCCAACGATTCATAATTCATTTAAGCCTCTCATGGAAATGAATTGCATAAAAATGTTCGAAAGACTGTTGAAACTCGCCGTAAGTTCCGATTCTATTGGAAATCATCTCTTTAGTTTTACTCGAAGTTAGAGAAAAATAATGATAATTACCCACAGTAATTATCTATTTTCTGATAACATTATTGCACTGGAATACAAGTGCAATCAGTTTCTTCTTCATTTAATATTAATAACTTAATCGTTTATAATTAATCTTTAATCACTTCACTTTCTCTCAATTCAGGTTCCAAACCTATTGATTTGGCTTCTATTCTTCTATTGGTATTTTCATTCTTGTTTAAATTTTATCGGAGAACTGTTGAGATTTGCCGATAGAGAATTTTATAGAGACTGGTGGTGAGTAGAAAATTAACCAATTGCAAACAAAAAGAATAACAATTTATATGTCATTTTCTAATCATTTCCTTTTTCTCAATTTATCTCAACAACAACAAAAAAATCAAAATTTCTTTCCTTCCTTGATGAACAAAACATTCACATCGTTTCTCTGTTTATAAATACAGGAATTCAGAATCAGTATATTATTTTTGGCAGAATTGGAACATTCCTGTTCACAAATGGTGTTTACGGCATTTATATAAACCTCTTCTTGCCCGAGGGTTAACTCGATGTCAAGCATCAACTGCCGTCTTCTTTGTGTCAGCATTTTTCCACGAGTATCTCGTCTCGATTCCATTGAAAATGTTCAGAGTTTGGACTTTCTGCGGAATGTTGTCCCAATTACCGTTTGCCACTTTCGTCAGTCGATACTTGAACAATTATCCACAATGGGCTAACGTGGCCGTTTGGGTTTCCTTAATTATCGGACAACCTTTATGCATATTAATGTATTACCATGATTATTATGTCATGCACAATGATTTATCGCCAACAACAAACTCATCAAACAGTTAATATCATCAAAAGTCAACCAAACCGTCAAATCGTCACTGATAAAGCTTAAATCCAGATAAAACAAACAAGGATTAGGCACAATTAACAACAATTTGAAAGTATAAGAAATGAAATAATCTTGAACGTGTTTAGTTTTAATCGAACAAAATTTTCAGCTTTATATTTATCATCTTATGGTAAAAATTGTGTATCGATCTCTTTCTCTCTCTTTCTTCCTCGTTTTCGTTGATCACTCAACGTTAATTGGTTAATTGTTCCGTCAACTGTGTACATATTGCAATAATTTGCAAAACTTATCAGAAATGAAAAAACAACCAAAATTGTAACATAAACATAACACACACACACAACATGTAAATAATCAACAGAAATTATTATCAATGTGTTATCAGTGTTTACTCATGTAGAGATTGAAACGAGAAGAGGAATCAAAGTGATAAGCCTAATTAACTTAATCAGGCTAAACAATTGTAGTCAAAACAAACACACAGGATGAACATTAACTTTGGTTGTAAATATATTTACTTATTAGATGATCACTGGTCAATTTTTTTCTAATTTTAATTCAGTTTAAGATGAAATTATATTATTTATGTAACATTAAGAGCACAAACTGTTATTAAAAAGTGTAAAACTTATCAATGAATTAAATTATCAATAATTTTAAATTCTGTTGACTTTTTTCTCATTAGACTTTAAAACATATTAAATTTTCATCAAGAGAGGGATGAGATCCCAAACTCGAGTAAATTACGCTTTTCATTTTCATCCTCATCTTCATCTTCATCTCTATCTTCATTTAGATTTTAATAATTGTGATTTTTTGTTTGAAATTTAAATGAAAAAAAGAATCTGAAAATGAGAGAAAGTGAAAAGACTAATGCATATCTGATGGACTTTTTGTTTGGAAGGCAAGTTTTGAGTGTTCGATGGGTTGTAAGTTTCGTCTTGTGAAATTGTCCGGGGTTTTAAAGAGTTAGCTCGATGGCTTATTCGTGGTCTGAGATTTTTCTTACAACTTTAATGTCGGCTGGAACTCTTCTGCCAATTCGATTAATATTTTGTTCAAAATATCGGAAACGTTTAAACGCTTCAACATTGAATCCTTGTTTCCCAAAAGAAAAACAATTGATGGATCATTAACATGATTGTACAGCGCGAAACAGCTTCGTCGTTGATTGATCCAATACTAAAGAGATGATAAATGCTTGTGTTTTTTGTAAACTCTTCTTATAAGCTTCTCATGGAGATACAAGGTGTCAAAATGGGAAGGTCAAAGTTGAATAAGTTCAACTGGTTTGGGTCGTGGTGGCGAAACTTCAATTGGACTTGGTTCAACTCGAACTGGCTCAATATCATAAGGTTTATGTTTATTGGAGTCATTTCCCATTTTGCTTTCATTATGGGCCTCTGATCCTACATGGATTTTTCCGAGCTCGAAAGGTGATGTGCTAAGGTCAAGATTACGACGAATGCGAGATGAGAGAGGCTTTTGAATTTCTTCATAACTAAACTTCATAATCCTTTTGTACCAATAAGTCATTAAGTTTTACACCATTTTCGCTGATAAGCTCGACTTGATGAACACCATCAAACTCGTAAACCCTACAATTATTATATGGAATCTCAGCTTCATCAGAAATTTGATTTTCAAAAATTTAGAAGCTTCCCTATTCCAACCGCTTTCGAAAAGTGGCTTAACGAATTTTAATACACAGTTAACTGCCGGAGTGGGAGTCGCAACCATCTCAGGAGGTCGTAAAGCTTAAAAATTAACAATATCTCGATTACCATAGTCAATAAATTTAACTTGGATCATGTTGATTATGAATCTTAGAACTTTATCTCAGTACCAATATTTATCACGATCAAAACGGGCAGCACAATAGTTACCAGGTTTGAGTTTATTAGCATCAGGCCATTCATTGACTTTTTCGCAGATATCATAAAGCTTTCCTGTAATAGCTTCGGCTTCGGGTGTGTCCACAGTTTTTAACAAAAAAGTCTGATGGATGACCTAACAGAATGAGAAAACCATCTCGGTAATGGCGATAAATTCGAGTTTTATTTCCCTGATGTGGTTAACTTCACTGTTCAATGAGATTTTGATTCTGGGTGTAATGATTTTGTCGGGTTCTTGGATGAAATTGCATTTCTAAAGATTGACATCGTAGTCCACAGTAAGAGGTAGTTTGACATCTTGAGCAGACAACAAATTTCCCATCCTTGAACTTAAAGCGTTCGATTCAAATTGATTCTAAATTACTGATTTTCTATCGAAAGCGAACGCAATAGAATTTCGGAATTTTCTCTTAACAAAAATTTTCCAACTCCATGACCTGAAACCCTGAAATACTTTCTCTCCACCAGAAAAAACTTCAAAGGTAAAAATGATCTACGAGGTTAAAGAGGTTGTGACCCCAGAAGAAAAGTAAATTTGAATGTTTACCTTGAGCTTATTGCAAATAAGATTAATCGTTTATTGGAAAGTCACTTTTATGGAGACACAAACGCCAAGTAATTAAATCAGCTGAAAGTTTGCTAATGATTAATGATTAGATTGGGGATAGAAAATTTTGTTGACAAATAGAACAAAATGAAAGGCGATCAATCAGATTTAAGAAATTCTTAATCCATGAATTCGCCCGTTATCCTGAGTGATGGTGACATTATTCCCTAACAATTTCGTTAGCATTTGGAATAAGTATACATGTAGTCTTTTGGATTCACGGCCGATTTTATTCTTACATGACGATGAATAAATTTACGGAATTGAGGCTAATCCAAAATCTTTCGCCTTTGATTGTCAACAATCAGTTAACTGTATTTTCTCACGCGAATTTTTCGCTTCAAACTTTTAAGAACTTTTTAGTAAACAAAATTGAATTATGTCTGTTAAGTACAAACTTACTTATAATTCGTGCATCGTTTGCACGTAAAAATTCATAAGCGCACCAATAAAATCTGAACAAATTCATCTTTCGAATAAAAAACTTGACTGAGGTCATCGGATGGACTCTTTTAAGAGCATTCGAATATGCTAAGTACAAGGAGTCAATCAGTTCGATCGGTGCAAAGATTGAACCAAATACAAAGATAAAAGAGCGAGATGAAACAAAGAATCAGTGTAACTATTTCGTATTTTTAACTCATGTGCCGTTCTCAAAATTATCACCAATCCAGGGAATTTCATCCAACAGAATGACCGGAATCATGTTAATAATATCATGGACCAAACTCTCATAACTCAAATCTAAAGTCTCTAAAATTTCAAAGGAAATTGGTATTAAGAAAAAACTTGTTGAGGCTGAGCAGAATACCCTGTAGATGGGTTGTAGTGCCGTTTCGTCAGTCTATCGATAATACCAACGATAAAAAGAGAACAGAACCAATTGTATATTCGATTTAAAGAAGCCGCCAAATTGGAAGTTGATGTTGGTGGAGCTGTTGGATAACCGAAAAGAGAGAAAGTGAGAAAAATTATTTTGATTGGAGAAAATGTTGAATTAGTAACTTTTTGATTCCAATTGATTGTGATCTCGTTTTATCGATTGGTGATCAAAGTTAACGTCTCACTTGTAATTAGTAAATTGTTGTAAATTATCTAATTCGTCAACAATGTAGTCTAAACATTTTCTTCTAAAAATGTCTCTTTAAGCTTTTCTCTCTCTTTGGTTCTGTCTCCCTCTCGATCTGTGTTTAGATCGCAAGTTAATATCAATCATTTTCTTCGCGTTTTTTTCTTGTGTTTTTCTATTCTTTTTTCTCACCATTTTAATTGTGTTTCTCTCTTGTGGTTGATCATCTTTTTTTTTCTTTTTGATTGCTGCCAATTTCTACAATCAATTGTTCAACATGGAATGTACCTTCTTATTAATCACTGCAAATGTTGGTTCCCTTTTTGAAGATGTAAGTCAACTGATCATTTTTTCTCTGTCTTTTTTTATCTTCTCTCTTTCTCTATGAGCTTTTTTTCCATTTTTTTTTTCTTCTCTCTTTTTCCAGTTAATCTCTGTTGTTTTTTGTCTCTCTCACTCATTTTACTTCATTATTTTTCCTACCTGATTGTTTTTAATCAATCACTATCAATGTCATCTATTTGCTTCAATAATTAACTTGATTGATGGTTTTAGATGGCGAGGGTGATGATTGAGTCTCAATTTTCCCAAGAAATTCACTTAATCCATTTCACATTCGTAGGGTTTATCTTCAGGGATTCCAATTTTTCATTTTCTTTTCTACGATATTTTCTTTGATAATCTTATTCCCATTTTCTATCAAATTGACAAATTCTCTTTTCGTTACCATTTTCTTGTTACTACTTTCAATTCCATAAACTCTCAATAATAATAGAAAATAGAAGATAGAAGATTGTCCAGAATTATATTCATTGATATTATCTATTTGATTTCTCTTTCATTCTTATTGCATAAACAACTAATTTAATATATTTTCTTTTCTATTCTTCTTCCCAATCACTGTCAATCAACTAACATCAACAAAAACAACATGTAAAATAATAATACATACAATCAACTCTGCTCAGCCTGAAGGTCTTCTTAAATTATGGCTTGATGAATTTTTCAAGGTAATTATTTTGGTGTCTTCTTATTATTATCATTCATCTAATACTATTACTATCACTACTACTACTACAACTACAACTACTACTTGTAGGTTCTTACTACGATTACTATTGTTATTATAATACTTGTATTAGTTTCATTGAAGATCAACTAATGAAAATTAACCATCTCTCATTCAAGTGATTTAATTATATTTTCTCTCTCTCTCTATTACATGTACACCAGACCATAAGTGAATCTAATCCAATGTTCATCGCATTACATTGTCAAGAAGTTGGCGGAAAAACTTATGAAATATCCATGAAAAATGTACAACAATTTGTCAAGTAAGTTGATTCTATTTATCTCTTTGGCAATTATCATTAAATAAACTACGTTAATTAAGATCTTTACTACCAAACAGAAATCAGTGGTAATGAAGTGCGATTAAAATGAAACAGGTTTTCTCTTTAATAATAATGGTTTGATATAATTGCGAAAATCTTACTAACTTGATGATTTACTAACTGATAATAGTAATTAGATAGACGATTTAATGTTAAATGTCACACGAAACTTAGAAAATATTCAACCCATTAGATTAAAATCAATCTAATCAACCCAAATGTTTAATATCCTAATGATTGATAAAACAAAACAACCAACTATTATCATCTTTACATGGGCTATTAAAATTATCATTATTATATCGTATTAATAGTTAGATAGTAGTAACAATTAGATTGTATTGAATGAGAGGGAGAGAGAGAGAAACAAAGAAAAACAATCACAAACTCGTAGATTAATCATCAACAGGTATTGTTATATCAGCTCATGAGATGAACATGAACAATTATTTATCATTACTTAACTACTTCATCAGATTTTCCACCATTAAGACATTGGTGAACTTGTAAATTACATATTAATCACAATTACTAATCAATGCCACTGAACGGAAAAACAATATGACTACATGATGAATTAGTTATATACTTTTCCATCATTAATTTACCTTGTCCTTGATCTTTTTTTACTGTAAAAATTAATTCTCTTTTTATTTTCCCTCTTAATCTAATTTAGTTACCTCGTTGAAAGCGAAACACTACAAAACTATTCAAATGCTCGAGTTTTCTTGGATGAAGATTTCACGTGCACCAAAAATTTCACGGTAAATTTTGATTCGAAATTGGAAGATGAGGAATCAACATGAAAGATGATGAACAAGGAGAAAGGAGAATAAAATAAAAGGAGGATAATGAAAATTGAGAAGAAGAAGAAGAAGAAGAAAGAAAAGAAAAGAGAAAAAAGGACAAAAATAATGTGAAGATAATCGTTGGAACGAACAAATTGTTACCTTGATCGTTCGTTATCATCACACCATCAATATATAGAAACAAGGCAATCAAGTCCAACGAAAAGAAGCCATATTTAAAATTAAGGTTTCCCATAGTTTCTCAATAATAGTCTCACTATAAAGTCAATATATGTCATCGTTTATCTATTTACTACATTATTGTTATTACATTTATCAGTCGAGTATGATTACAACACTAAATACACTCAATCTTAATTTTCACACAGGAAAATTGTTGTTAAATCAATTGCTCTTTTCAAGAGTCTTTCTTTTCTCTTCTTCCTATTTATCCCTGAACTTTTGTCTTCCCTTCCAACTAATATATAGGGAAACCTTTTATATTCTGATTTATGAATTTTCAAGGAGCTTCCTATTACTATTAATATATCATTTACTACAATTATACAGCTAATTTCATTTGATTCACAATTAGTATCAATGTATTTATACACAATTATGTACATGTAGTTTAGAAAACGTATTATGCTTTATACATTTACATGGGAATACAAACTCTATTGTAGATATCAAGTCCTTGGAAAAACTATCAACAGTAGTTAGTTTAAGACGAAATCAAGAAAAAAAGAATCTAAATTGTTATCTAAATGATGAATTTTCATTTGATTACGTTCATCATTTTCATCGATTTTTTCACCAACTTTTACTTTCTCGATTATCTTCAGACTAATCTCACTATTCAAAGTATAATTACTATTCTATTCTCACTAATAATACTCTTTTTTTTTGTTCTCTTTCTCTCTCAGGCTCTTGGAAGTTTCTATTTTATTCATGAAGCTGTAAAGAACATCAAGATTTGGAATTTTCAAGGTGACAACAATTCGTAAATTCTCTTGTAAAAATCTCTCTGTTTATTTCCTTTCTCTCTCTCTCTCTATCCCCTGAACTCTCCTGATGAAATGTAATTTGTGATTATTACAGAAGCGAAAAGTGATTCTAATTCTAATATTCGAATGGTGATTAATGTGTTTGTCTACATAATTGAATTACAATTGATTCTGATTATAATGAAAACAAATTATCCTCTAATTTTTCGTTATCCTCACAACCAATCAACATGATTAGGTTAATTGTGTAAACCATTTTATCCACTAAATCAATGTTTCTGTTTATTATTAATTCTCTCATATCCAGATAAAAGTTTTCATCCTGTTCATGGAAAAGAAATTTTCTCCGGAAACATTGAAGAAGTTTCTTTCAAAGAAAAAGCCAAATTTCCACAAGAATTTTTTCCAGAGGTTAGTTTATTTTAATCATTTCCTTTTCTAATTATTTAAGTTAATTTATTAATATATTTTTTCTTTCTCCCTTTCTCCCTTTCCTTTCTCTCTCTCTCTCTCTCTCTCTTCCTCTCATCGATATCACCCAAATCGATGAAGATATTAATATAAATACAAATGATTAATTACTTTGATGTTAATCTATCAATTCAATTGTCTTTTCTTTTAGTGTAAATGGTCACGAAAGGGTTTTATGAGAACTCGCTGGTTCTGTAACGATATCATTTACGATTTAACCAACATTCATCTTTTTCATGATGCTTCAAACTTCATTGCCATGGAATCAGTAAGAAGATTGTTCAATTTTCTCTTCTCATCTCTTTGATAGTCTAAATTAATTAGCTTCGTTACTCTTTGATTACTATTATTATTACATCTCTAATTTTTTATTATTATTGTTCCCAACATTGATTGTCGTTTTAATTTGATTGTTGACGTAATTTAGTTAAAATTCATTAGCATTTCTTAATTTCTGTAACCTTCCTAAAGATAATTTTATCCTTGAATAGTCTTGTTAGTTGATTATTCCTTCTGAGTGAGCGAGAGAGAGAGAGAGAGAGAGAGAGAGAGCAATTTATTCATCATTTAATCAACAAAATCAAGAACGTATTTCTCTCTCTCTCTCTCTCTCTCACTCACTCACTCACTCACTCACTCACTCACTAGATCTTTAAATTGTCAACAATTTGATTGTGTCTTGTGTGTCAACTTCACTCACACATCAAACGATTAACTCACTAACTTACATTTAATTATAATTAACTATAAATCAGATTAAACTTCAACCAACACATGAAGAGCATTAATCAGATGATAATAATTTAGTTGATTGTAACAAGTAATAGTTAAATTAGTTAACCTCGATTTGATTATTATGGTCAATTAATATATAAGTAGAACACAATATCATTACAATTAACAGTTATTATTATTAAATTATCAGGGAAATTAATATCATTATTTTAACTAATAAAACAGTTCTCATTGTGTTTGATTTGATTTTTATTTTCCAAATCAAATTTGATTCAAGTTAATTACTATTAATTAAGAGCCGATTACTATCATATTGAAACATTAAGACTTTCTTGATTAGTAATGGTTGTGATGATAATTGTTGCTCCTATTATCTCATTAATATAATTCTGAAAGAGACTTGTCTTGATTAGTAATATGAGATTTAATTGTGATTAACATGATTAACTCTCTTCTTAATGTAATTCTATTGACTTAATCTGTTTTTACACTATTTTCTTAGCACTTGATAGATAAAATTACATAATTAAATCATGAGAAAGATTAGATTAGTTAAATTATGACAATAACTGTTTTCCATTAATTACAAATGTCATCAAATATTGATCATAAATTGTTGCTCTTTCTTTGTGTTGATTTTGATTGATTCAAATCAAATTAACTTATCCCTTTGATTATATCAGATGAAAATAGTTTATTGTTGTTTCCTGTTAAAGAGATGATGTTGATTAGTCTAAAAAAAGCATCATTGTTATCATCTAATTATCATCTTAATTAGTAGTAGTTATTATAACACAATAATCAAATTGTTACCGAGAAAAAGTTTCAAAAATCACTTTCATCACAATTTATCATTACATGGACAATCAAACCCTTAAAGTTAATTATCAATGATAATTAATTGTATCACAATTGACTATTCCTATTGGTATTTGACTAAAATAATTAATTGATATGATAATTTAGTTACAATTATAATCAAATTGCCTGAGATGCAAGTAAAATTGTGTAAACAATTTCAATCGACAATTAAATGTCGAGGTTCATTGAAAGGATCGGTCTTAATCATCTTAATCATCTTAATCATTAAAAATAATCAAGATGATTGAAGAGAGAGATACATTAAATTGTTAAACCCTTGCTTCAAGTTCAATTTGCCTATTAATCTTGATTTGTCAAGTTGATTAGTTGATTATGACAACAGAAGATTTGACGTATTTAGTAATCAAACAACATCATCATCTTTTTCCGAACTTTAATTGTTAACAGTTTCTTAAAGTGACCATGGTTACTATGATTACAAATTAATCAATTAAACACGTTATCAAATTGAAATTGTTTTCTTAATCTTGATGTTTTTAAATTGCACTAATCAGACATTTTAAATAACGTAAAGTACATTTAATTGCACTTTGGTTAATCAATCTCTCTCTTTCTAATCAATTTTCGAGGCTTTTCACTCGACCTAATATTTGATAATGATAATCACTTTCATCTCAATAATTTAAACAAAATAATCAATCAATCGAGCTGCTAATTAATGTCTTGATCAAGTGATTTCTTTTTCAAATTTAATTTGATTGTTAATGAGTTGAATTAATCATTGCTGTTTTTTAATTCGCTTTTCTTATTATCTATCACTTGATTGTCTTCCTTTTTTTTCTCAATCATGTTGATTAGTTGATTTCTGTTTAATTTTCATCAAATCAGATTAGAACTTTGAGAAATCAAGATAAACGTTATGTAAATTTTTGTTCACATAGAATAATTAGATTTTAATTTAATTGATTAGCTTAATTGTTATACAATTTTTGTAGCTCATATTCACCATCTATTAGGTTGAAATCTATGATTTTGTTTGATTGCATTTAGAAATGTCCATTGACTTATGATTAGCATTGCGAGGGCGTACAAATTTAGGAGACAGAGAGATTAAGTAATAGAAAGAGGCATGATTAGGATGGCAGCAATTAAGTTGTTGATGAATTTGATATCGTGCTTTGAAAATGCGTTCAATGAGATTAAGTAAAATTCAATTAATGAGAAGAAAAATATTGTCAAATTATGAAGAAGATGATTAATAGTAATCAATTGAGATGCGATTGTGATTCTTGAGAAAACGTAAAAAAAGTTTTGTGTCTCATACAACAATCATTCAGTTTTTTGGGTTGATTATGTTTCGTTTTTTTTGTATAATAATATGAGAGATCGAATCTGATTTGTGTGTGTGTGTGTTTGTCTTTTTGGTGATGATAATTAAGTTAGAAAATTATTTGGAAAAATTGGCAAAGTGATAACCTTTGTGAAATTTACGAATCATCAGCTCTGATCTGTCCAAATGATGGACTTCGATTAAATGACGGACAGTTGAATTACGCTGTGAACAAATTCTTGGACAGACTGGACATTGTCTCGCATCCTTAGCCAGGCAATTTCGAAGTGCTTCATAATCGATCATACTTGAGACCACATCACCATCGATATCATTTTTAATCATATTGATATTTGTCAGATTATTGAAACCATTTAAATGGTTATTGCTGGTGGAAGATGAACTCGTATTATTATCCGTTGGATTAGAATTGGTTTCGTAATCATTCATCTTAATCTCAATTTCTTCATCATCATCATCTTCCTCTTCTTCGGGATTATCATCACCGTCATTGTTTTTCTCCTCTTGGACTTCACATTTTATCTTTAAAAAATTGGTCGGATTAAATGTCGATTCAGTGAATGAAAGATTTTCAGCAACAGGCCCTTCGATCATGGGTAAAAATCCACCCACTCCAGCACCTTCACTGTCATCTTCAAAATCTGATTCATCATCGGGATCCTCATCCAGATCACAATTGTCACCTTCACTTGCACCGTTATTATTACCACTGATGATTGCATTGACCCGCCTTGGATTAATTATTGGTTGACTAACAATTAGATTGCCACCATTTGAACAGTTACCATTGCTTGTTGTCGATGCGATGAAAAAAGTCGAGGCCATGTCCATACGGCCATTCGGATGGAAATCCTCGATTGACATTTCGTTAGAATATATTTTTCGAAGCTCTTCTTCTAATTGCACATTTCTTTCCACCAATGTTTCATATCGTAAACGCCAATTGCTCCCGTTTTCTTCACGATTTTGTAATGCCTCGAATCTCATCTTCCAATAGTCTCTTTCTTGTTCAGTTTTTCGTAGATTTCGTATTGTTGACCTTAATCCCATTATCGCCGATTTAAGTCCATCGTTAAGCTTCAATACAAAACTGTAAACATTTTTCAATTGTAGAGTTGATGTCTCAGCATACTGAGTGTGTCACCGAACAGTTTTCAATCCAAATCGAGGGCAGAATATAATTGATGAAGAGACACCAGAGTAAATAGGTGGAGAGAGAGAGAGAGTGAGAGAAACATATTAGAATAATTGTATTTTTATCGTAATTATATGATGATGAGGATAGAAAATCAAGACAAGGTGAGGGAGAGAGAGAGAGAAATTGATAATGATTATGACGGATATTGAGGTGAAGGCCATAGTTCACTTTAGAACCCAGAGAGAGAGAGAGAGAGGAAACAATCAAGTGAAATTCACATTTGTAGACAGAGAAGAAGAAAGAAAAGTGTAATGAAAATAGAAAAGAAAAACATGAGAAGATGTTAATTCTATTTTGGTGTGGACATGCGAGAGAAAAGAGAAAACTCATCTTAGGAAAAACGTTTCATAGAAAATGAAGGAATATTTTTTATGGAGATTTATCGATACATGTACATGCGAAAATGGTTGAAACGCGTTAATTGTCGATTAATTTGAATGATAGAATACTAACCTTAAGGCAATGAACTGCTCTCTGAAGCTCTAATTCTGGTGCACTTCGTGAGATTTTGGTTTCCATTGAACATACAGATTAATTTTGATTTTCTCTTTTGGTTGTTGTTGTTTTGATAATTTTCTAATTACAATAGTTTTTGTTGTTGACTAATTTTGTTTCACAGTTAATTAGAAATCAATGTATTGTATATAACTTCATTTAAAGGTGATTAGAAAGGTAGAAAAATACAGGGAAAATTAGATAATATTTGTAGAAAATATTACCAATGGTTACAGTTAGAATCACATATACACAGAATAGAGAGAGAAAGAAGATGAAAAACTCGAAGATGAAAAACCTCAACACATAAGCTCTCTTTTTCTATCTTCTCTTTCTATCTTCCTCTTTCTTCTTTTTTTCTCACTTGTGATTTACCATTCATTGGAAGAGAGAGAAAGTTAAATAGACAGGGAAAATCGAGAGAGAGAGAGAGAGACGAAGGGGAGAAAAGAGAGAGAATTGTTTCTATTATAAAAATAAAGAGGCAAATAGGTAAACTGGAGAGATGATGATGATGATGGTAAGAGAATCCAGAGAAAGTGAAAAGAAAGAAGAAGAAGGAAGAGGAGGAGGATAGAGAGAGAAAGGAAGAGAGAGAGAGAGAGAGAGAGAGAGAGAGAGAGAGAGAGAGAGAAGAGAATGTTCGAAAAAACATTGGCTCAGATTTGGAACCCAAAATAAGAGAGGAAAATGGTTTCAACAGAGAGAAAACAAGACTAACATGGAGAAGATGAAGACGAAGATGATGAAGATAATGATGATTATGAAGATTGTGTTTATGTTTTAACCTTCGCTGTTTAACCTCATTTCCATTGATAATTTTGATAGAACCAAAATCGATAATGAAACAATTAAAAAGAACGAAATTCTAAAAGTTAGATGAAATTTAAATCGAAACAATTTTTTATTCACTCGACAATTCGAGAGTAACTTTATGTCCATTTAAGTTCTTGAATAATTTTCCCTCTTAAAACGAGTTAGACTTAAATTGTCACAGACAATTAACTTTTGATCGACATCAACTTTCAATTTCTAATTTCGTTTACCTTTACGTTTACGTTTTTCTTTTCTTTTAATTGGAATTTTTTTTCTCTTTTTCTTCCAGTGTCCATCTTCTTACTCAACAATCAGGCTTCATGCTCTTCAATATGTTCTGGACAGATTCTCGAACGATGCTTATGAAAAAGTTCCTCTTTTCATCTTTGGAGATTTCAATTTCAGGCTTGACACTAAAGCCGCTATTCAGGTTAATTGTTTTCTATTTAAAGTTGATCGGTGTCGATTGTTTTTCTCAATGAGAATTCATTTTGTTTCAATTTCTTTTCTCTTCTTCATCTCTTCATGTATCTACAGAGAATCACTGAAAATTTTGCCCAAGTACAAATGAGAAATGAAAATAGTGGTGCCATAGAAAAGATACTTTATAATGACCCGGATTCTGATGATAAAACTGTTCTTACTTTGGAAAAAAAAGTATTCGATCTGATTGATCATGATGAAATTTTCCTCAATGAAGAAAATCGTGATTGGGTAAATAATTATTCTAAATGCGAGATGTTCAGTATTGATTAACTCTTTTTCGTTATTCTTTCGCATCAAAAGCTTCTTGATATGGATAAAGAAGTTAAGTCATTTGAAGATCAACTTTTCGAGTGTGACATTAACTTCCCTCCAAGTTATCCGTTCACCGAAGATTCGACAAGTTCGTCTTATATGAAAACTCGTTGTCCCGCTTGGTGTGATAGGATTCTCATGAATAACTTGGCCATGGAACTATTAAAGGTATCGACTGTTACTATTTCCTTTACCATGTTTTCCTTAAGACATTTTTACTCTGTACAATCAATGATCTTATATGAAAATTGATTTTTGTTTACACAATTGATACTAAATTTATCGTTAAGTTAATAATGTTCATTTGAATACTTGCAGAGTCAATCGGAAAATGGTGTTAAATATGAAATGATTGGTAAACATGTTCCAATGGGCGATCATAAGGTGAATCTTTTTCAATAGATTCTTGCAAAAATCTGAGTAATACCAATGGAAATTAATATTCTCTCAGCCAGAAAAATATCGAAAAAGCGTCTCTATTATTAAACCCTAACCGATTTAAAATAAGATTGTTAATTATGAGACTATGTTTAGATATCTATCATTTGTTTATCTAAACGAAACTCCATTGGTACCATTTTCGTTACTTTGATGTTATAAATATTTACTTACGAAGATTTTGTTCTCTTTCTCTCTCTCTCTCTCTCTCTCTCTCTCTTCTTCTTTCTCTTTAGCCAATTTCTCTATGGTTTAAGGTGATTTCTAGTGCAGGTAAATGGCGAAGTGGATTTGCTTTATTACCCAAACGAAAACGTGATGATCCTTTGCATGATTGTGATTATGAGACCAATAGTCATAGTGATAGATCCAAACCTCGCCTGAGAACCTTTTCCATTCCCTCTATCAGTCGACCCATCAAATCGCACCCTAAAGCACGAAGAACCGCATCAGCTGTTTCCGGCTGTAAGCCCATTTACCATAATCAAGATTGGTACACTCGAACCCAAGAATTGTTCCGTTCTTTTCGAGAGTCAACATATAATTTAACCAAAGCTTCATCAAGTAGATTAACAAGTCACCATTCCAGCTCTTCGGAAGAATGGTATTCAGACTTACCTGTAGATCTCAACAATGCCAATAACAATAGTTTGGAGATGAGTAAAAACACCAATAGCCAAACGAACACGGGTAAACTTGGACCAATCGATTGTGTGACTTTAGAAGCAGATTCAAAGCTAAATAATATCGTCTCTTATTTGGAGAGACCAAAAAAACCTAAAGGTCATCATAATCTTGAGCATCGTTTAAGTGATGTAAAGGAAAGTGTTGAACTAATTGATGGTCAAGGTGAAGATGAAGATTATGAATTAAATGAAGACAATTCAATGAAAAGTAAACAATTGACTGGTGATTCTTTAAATGGATTCAAAATTAAATCATCCGAGTATAATAAGAAAACTAATGAAAGTAAATCAAAGTTTATCTACAACAAACGACGAGAATCATGTCCAAAGTATTGCTCCGTAATCTGAGAGACTGGAACACTGACCACAATCAAATCCTCCATCTAATCAACTCTTTTTTTTGACAATCATATTACACTCACCATAATTATTTTTGTTTAATTAGTCTAATTTTTTTAAATATTGTTCACATCTTGATTAATTTGTTCAACATCAACTTGCCTCCTGATGAAAAGTGAAAAGTATTGACCATTATACTTATATGAAAATCCTGCGAGATTTTAACCTGAATCGGGAAACCAAATGATCGACTTGGTCTCAACTATCAACGAAAATCGACAACTTAATCAAATTATTTTGTTGATCATCTTTTAGATCATCTTTTCGTTACAATTTAAATCTTGTTACCAAATGACCTTAATCTCGAAATGAGACTGAATCGATTTGTTGTTGCACGTTCACTCGAACCACCGTTAGAACATTTTTACTTTTTGTTTCGTCCAATGGTTAACCCTTTTTACTTTTTATTTTTGAATCTCGTTTATTATTCACTGACCATGATTATTATCACCACCAATTGCATGTGCCTTTAAACTGACCACCAATTAAATGCTGGTAATCATCAAATAGACAATTTCAAATTCTGTTATTGGAAAACAATTGATATTTTTTGTTATATTTTCCATAAAATTTTCATTCTCTCTCTCTCTCTCTCTCTTTTAATCAAGATAACATTGAAAGGCAATCAGGAAGAATCAGTGAAACAATTAAACAACAACATATCAATAACAATCACAAAGAGACCAAATTAATTAACGATCAAATCGATACCTGTTGTACCAGAACCGATGAAACCGGGACCCGTTATGTTTGCGTCAAGTGCGGGGATAAAGAAGTTCCAGTTTTTCGAGAGACAACAGTTTAATGATGATTAACTGGTGTTGATTAATAAATTCTAATATATATCAATGAAATTGTGTCAACAATAATCAACAAATAATGAAACGATCAACAAATATCATCATCGAAATGGTCACAATCATTTGAAACGAAAAAATTTATTGTCTTTCCTCGGAGAAAATGAAAAAATTAACCAAACCATTTTGTTATTCATTTCAATAAGAAGAAAAAGAAGAAAATAATTAATTAATCATCTGTATCTTCCGTACCAATTTAACTTAATCTGTCCTCTATTCCAAACCTTAATTCCCTTAATTATCATCATTATTATTACCATTGGATGTTTCATTTGTTAATTGTCTATTAGATTGTTTTGAGAAATGCTACTCGATCAAAATAATGTGAAAATAATTTCTTCATACAATCAACAACAAAAACTCATTCAAGTTAATCATCAGCAATTAAATGTCACGTTTTAAATTAATTTCATCCTTTCTCAACAATTAGTAATCCCAATGATCACAATTAACTGAAGCTCCACTAGTGTGATTGGTGAACAACAGATGGCGCTGCTTTTTCGCGTTATGAGTTATCAGTGCTCTCTATCGGTGGGTGGGGCAGTTAGTTTTTTCTGTTGCTGTTGAATAATTGGTCTGGGTTATTGGAAGCGTTTTTTTGTTCTCAAATTAATTTTGATTAATTAATTAATTTGTGTCCTTTGTGCCTGTTGTTGGTTATATTGTAACTTTTAAAATTGACTTCGTTACTGTTTTAACTGAAATTATTAGTTGTTAAAATGAGAGAGTACAAAATTGTTGTCCTCGGTAGTGGAGGTGTTGGCAAAAGTGCCTTAACCGTTCAGTTTGTGCAAGGAATTTTTGTTGAACGTTATGATCCAACCATTGAAGACAGTTACCGGAAACAGGTGGAAGTTGATGGTCAACAGTGTATGCTTGAGATATTGGACACCGCTGGTACAGAGCAATTTACCGCAATGAGAGATTTATATATGAAAAATGGTCAAGGGTTTGTTCTTGTTTATTCAATCACAGCTCAGTCTACATTTAATGATCTCGCTGATTTGAAGGAGCAAATTCTCAGAGTAAAAGATGCCGAGGATGTGCCTATGATTCTGGTTGGTAACAAATGTGATTTGGAAGATGAAAGGGTCGTTGGTAAAGATCAAGGGGCAAATTTAGCTCGGAGCTTCAATAATTGTGCTTTCCTAGAATCTTCAGCAAAAGCAAAAATAAACGTAAATGAGGTAAATATTCACTTGGTTTTTCTGTTTCTTTTTTGTCTTTCTTTTCTCTCTTTTATGCTTCTTTTTTTCTTTCTTCCTATTTTTTTTCACTCTCTTGTTCATTCTTTCTCTTTCTCTCTGTGTTCACTTGTTTCTACTCCTCTTCTTTTCCTTCCTCTTTTCCATCAACATCCATATTTATGTCTCTCTCTCTCTCTCTCTTGTTTTTCTCTCTCTTTCTCTCTTTCAATCACACAGATATTCTACGATCTTGTAAGGCAAATCAATAGGAAAAATCCGGAAAAGAAACCCAAGCCATCACGAAAATTGAGATGTGTTGTTGCATAACTATTATATTATTATTATTGCTCGTTTCCCTCCCTTCAATCTGCCACCAACACCACCACCATAACCGCAGCCACAAACAACCACCAGCACCACCGCCACACCATCAATAACTCCTCTTCCATTTTTTTTCTATCGCTGCTTCTCTATTTCCCTCTTTCTTTATCTTTTCTCTCTCTCTCTCACCCTTTTTTTCTCATCCTCTTTCCCCTCTTTTAATCCAATTAACGCACGATAATAAAACAAAAACTGCATTTTAAATTGTATTAAAATCATGCAACACAACAAAAAATTAACGAAACAATTGTGTTTGTGTTAATCACAGTTTATCCGCGCTGTCAAAAAGATATAATTATGGAGGCATTTCAATGATTAATCAAAATGATTCGCAGCCTTATTGAATCATCATCATCACCAAACAATTTCAATATCATCACCACTTTCATCATCTCTCCATCGTCATCATCAACCAAACAACATACAAAAAAAACTCAAAACTCGCAAATTCAACAAACATTTTCGTTGTTTTTACCATCTCACTCTCTCGCTCTCTCTCTTCATCTTATTAGTGTTCAATTAACTCAACCACCACAACCAATCACACACCATCCAATCAACACTTTTACCACCACCGATGATGATTTAAGCAAAGAGTTTAACAATTAGTTGAATAAATAGTTTTGATGATGATTATTACAACAGGAAGTCTTACTTTTAATCAAGTTGATAATTTTGTTTGATTTCCTCTTTTCCTCTCATTTCCTTTGTATCCTTTTGTTTTTCTGGTTAAACAACAACATAGACACACCAATCCACTCACTCACTCACTCACTTACTCACTAGTTAACATCCAACCTTGTTTAGTTATAAATTATTAATTGTTATGATTAATTTCCTTTCAGACCTTAATTACTCTATTTATTCACACAGAAACCACACACACACACAACAACAACACACAGAATTACAAACAATTACAATTTCTTTCTCTATGTTAATATACAACATCTCAAAAAACAATAATATTAATTGTGACACTAATTGTGAAAACATATTATTACAATTGAATGTTTCTAAATTTTGATTGTCACTCTTTTTTGATTGTCCAATCAAAAATGAATATATTATACACACAATTGACTTTTATTTACCTCTTTTAATTAACTGTTCTTGTGTCCACAATTAACTGCAATTAAAATGATTAATTTTTCTCTACTCACCAATTTAATCAATAACAATTTTGATACAAACAATTAACTGTAATTATTAAATGAATGCACTTAAATGTTGATCAATTTGCTGGTGTTTTCATCAATGGAAAAACTTTAATTTTGTTGATCAACACACTTTATTAAACATCATCAACTAATCATCGCAAACGATGGTTAAACAATAACATTGAATTGATTTCCAACGTAACAATCAATTTACAATCAATTATTACTCTTTATTAATCATCGCCATCAACTCTGTGATTTTTTCACAATCAAATCTAAATTAACTCATCTGTAAATTGTGATCGGTTAAATTGTGTCTTCTCAATGATCACAATTAAATGTATTATGTTTTATGAGCCGTTGATTGTTTACTTTTATTTCAGGGTTAATAAATTGTTACAAGAGCTGAATTGCAATAACAATTAACTAATGATCAGTTAACTGAATTAAAGTTAAAATTGTCAATTGAGACAAACTTTCTTGTTGTTGTCGCTTAAATTGTCAGCTAATTGTGATTCTCATTGATTTCTTAATTGTCTCTATTCTTTGTCTTAATTGTTACAGTCAATCTGTTAAATTGCTTCTGATTAACATAATCGACCACTGTCAGAATTTAATTGCTCATTTTAATTGTAAACAGATTGTTAATTTACTATTTAAATCCGGTTTCCACTTTTGAATCTGGTTTTCTGGTTGTAATCAAGTAATTGACTGTTCATTGAGTTAATTGTTTATGATTAGTTAACAAAATTTTTGTATCATTAACATAAATAAACGTCACATGAGTCTGAGTAAACAGTAATGATTAAATTTGATTGTTTGCTTTGATAATCAGTTGTAACAATAATTAACTTTGATTCATTGAAATAAAAAGTTTTTCAAATTTTACTCCCAATTAAATTGATTAAAAGTTTCATTGCCAATTGTAATCAAATTAAGATGAAAATTTGATTGTGTGTGAGACTATTTCTGTCCGATCATGTTGATTAATTAATCACCAATGCTGATTAATTTGTTAATCAGCATGACAACTGATTAAGATTCCGGAAGCAAAGTATCAGATTAACAAGAAATCAAATTTATCAAAGATTGAAAATAAAATTGTTAATGACGACAATTGATTTCTATGAACAATCAATCACATTGTCAATTAGTAAATTGTATTGGAGGATTTACAATAAGTGAATAATTAATCACAATTTAAATAGAATCAGTATTGACCTTTGTAATTTTGATAATCTACAGATAAAGTTTAGGGATTATCTCTCTTGTTGGATTAACTTTAATCTCAATTCCGTTGGAAATTCCTATGAAAAGCGATTAGTTGATTAACTGAATTAAATTAACCAGAATCTCTGATCATCAACATTATCTTTGTATATCATCAGTTGATTGTGAAAATTTTCATTCCAAGACAAGGAAGAGATTAGTTTCCGATTGTTAATCGCTTCTTAATCATCATTGACGCATCTCATTTGTCTAATCAATTTAATTGTCAATTTGTGATTTGCGATTGTCTGTTTTAATTTTGACCAACAATTTAAAACACTTACTCAAATTTTACCAATCAGTTGAATTTAATTGTCTACAATAAGAAACTTGATAAACAACAACAGTCAGTTAATCATCCTATCAGCAACTTGTAAACAATTAACAGTTAATTCATTCAATTTGTAAACAAGTGTCAACTTAATCATCTTCATCTTAATTGTCCAATACTTGATTGGTAAGTGTTTAATTTTGAATAATCAAATATTACAATAAGTAACAACCTTTGAGCAATTAAAATTTCAAAACAAATCATTGTCTCATCTTTTGTCAACACAATTAAGACCAATCCAACTGCAATGAATTCGTTATCAATTTTAATCATCTTAATTGTGAGTTCAATTCCACTGATTAAAACGGCCTGGGTTCCCAATGGGTCACCTTCATTGGGCCCGATTCGCATGGACAAAAAGAGCGACGGATTCCTCGAGGTTGGATGTTACGGCGATTATGATAAGGCCATGTTCGCGCGATTGGATAGACTCTGCGAAGAGTGTTATGAATTATATCGAGTTCCCGATCTATTTACTCAATGCAGGTCAGTAATTAACTAATTGTCGACTCTTAATTTAGACACTAAATTGGCCTCTTAATTTGTTCTCAGGCAAAGTTGCTTTAGAAACGATTATTTTCCCAAATGTATTGAAGCTCTTATGGTTACCAATGAGAAGGAGAAACTTATGGAAATGGTTGACATCTTAAATCGAGGACGAATATCGTTTCATCAGACAACATAATTAAATTAATCATCGACACAATTAACAGCTAATTTAATCTCTTTCATCAGATTTCAGTACTTCTAAAGTGAGCAATTAATTCTGCTTTCAATTAATTTGCAACCTATTTTGATTTTAGGCTTTTGATTTCTTGTCTTTTCGTTTTCCATTTTAATTTACAATTGACAATCTAATTTAATGAGCAGCGACAAACTTTTTGACGAAACTTTGTCAACTTTGCTTACGTGAGAGACCGTCAAGAGACCCTTGTATTTTAATTACGAATATACTGAAATAAAATCAATTGTGATTGAATTTTTTTGATCATCGTGATACCAAAATAAATCAAATCTTCATTAATCAATTTTACTTTTTCCCTTTTAGTTAATTGTTTCTTTGCTCTCTCGAACTCTCTATCAAATTAGTCGACTTATGCTCGCGAATTTCAATTGATTTATTCGAGTTTCTCATGAACGGGTACTCAGGTCGTATTTGGACTATTTGGGATTTCGGGCTGAATTTTGATATCAAAATATTGCAAAGAAATCTCGTAATTAGGGCTCGATCTTGATTCAAAAATTTCGCTCATCTTAATCATTAAGGTGTGGATGTGGATTAATTTGCTAAATGTTTATCATTTATTATTATTATCAATAAATTTAAGTATTTTGCTTGATGATTCAAATGTTTAATCAATTGATTGTTGGTGTTTTCATGATGATTGTCAATCTGATTATTATTGTGGATTTGCCTTTGATGATGTGATTGACTTTAGTTTTTTTTTTGATTGTTGTTGTGCTTTTGATTTCGAGGCAATTGATTAATAGCGAGAGATAAAAAGTTTTAACTACAGAGATGATAATTTGTAATTAAGCTAATTGTGAAGCTTTTATAACGGGGATTGAAATGTTGTCCATGTTTTTGCTTTTCTCAATTGTTTCTTCAAGCAGAAATTAAATCCATCGAATTGTGATTTTGCCATTTAATCCACACGGCGACTTGTCAGTTATTTCCATTGTTGAATTAATCAGCGAGAGGGAATTCGTTTATCTGTACCAATTAAATTTTCTGTAACAATCAATAACAATGAGGTAAATGTAGATATTTATCAATAGGGATGATGAAAAGATGTCGATGATTGAAAATGTTTTTCAATAGTTTGGTTTCGTTAGTATCATGAGTAAAGGATGATGGCGATCGGGTGAATATTGGTACTTGTCTCGTTCGTCCGAATACGCTGCGTGCATTGACCAAATGGTAGGGTCATAATTGTCTTTTCGTTGAACCATAAATCGTTTGGCCGCCAGATTGGCAAATTTTTCAAACGATTGATTTCGACTCGGTGCCACAATGTAACATTGACCATTCCCTTTGAGAAGGGACCAAATGGTTGACTCAAGTGATTTGTGACAATTTTCAAGGTATAAACAATCCGAAATGAGGATAACATCAATCGTATCAATAAGATTATCATATTCGTCTTCTTGAGCCCAAGTTAATTGTCTCGCCTCAATGGAAACATCTTCAGGTAAAATCATTCGTGATCTATTGCGACTTATGATTGTATTCAAATTGTTAATACAAACTGGATTACCATCGGTCAATAGGACTTGTGCTGGTCGGCAAGTTGATGCCAAAATGAGGCCACTTAAACCAGTTAGACCAGCGCCTAACTCGAGTACAGTTTTATCGGTGAAAAGTGATCTATTTTGAGACACCAGAAGCCTAGAATTTTCTCTGAGGGCCAAATACAAATGGCTCCAGTTGAATCAGACGAAACCAGAATCTCGGTAAAGGGTATTTTCCCTGCAGGTAAACGAACCTCGACCTTAACCTCATTGGTACCTTGACACTTTGCTTTGTACCAAACATTGGAAACTCTCGGTCCATTGGGTCCACCATTTGTTTCCTTCTCAATGATGACCAAAGTGATTAATGGATAACCATTGAATAACCTTATGGATCCATCATATGGAGCAGAGGCTTCGAGGCCTTCGTAAAAGACTCGAGCCAATATGTGCCATCGAGCTCGTGCCAAAGTCCTTCGGAGACCATTTTCTATTTGCTGTTGCCTTGTGTCCGTCGTTGGCTCAGTTTTAATCATCTCTGTTGGTTGATTAACCAGGTAAACAATCAGCTGGAATAGAAAATGTTAAAGGAAAAAGAGACACAGAGACACAGAGAAAGATAGACAGAGGTAGAAACTGAATTGATTATCCAGTATTAATCTGAATCTCTTCTAGAAAGAACAGCAATTAACTTGGTTAAACGATGATAATGGCGACCAACAGTTGAATTCAATTAAAACCAGACATCAATGGTAAATGGGAACAATAACAATCAATTGGAATGTAATTATCAGAGGCAATACAATACATTACATGTATTGACATAAGACATAAGATGTTGTTGTTGTTGTTATGATTATATTATCATCCAATAAAAGGTTAAACTGAATTCAGTTGAATGGTCGATGAAATAAAATGATGGAACATTGATTCAACTATAGAAATACAAAGAAATTGCTAAATTAATAAGTAAATTAAAAGAAATAAATTAAATTGTCAGAGGATGGAAATGGAAGAGGATGGAAATGGAAAAGTGGTAAACAGATGAGAGGAGTAAATAGATTAACAATCATGGATTAGAACCAGAAGAATATAAGTAAATTGAAACATTTCAAAGATGATTAGTTTTAAATTCAACTGTAATTATATTGAAAGTGTTTCAATTAATCAGAGAAAATTAAACTCTTCAAATCAATAATTAGTCTTAATAAGATTTTAACTCTCATCGCACTGGTGAGGCTTAGATTAGACAAATTAGTTAATCAGAGGCGATCAAGGGCTAATTTGGTTTGATTGTCTTAGGTTCGGTCTTTTTTTCAGTAATTAGATCGTTTAATTGTGTATCCATAAGGCAAAATGATTAACTGTCAACTCAATGTACTATCTTAGTGGTTGACATAAGCATAAGAACAGTCAGTTTTTATCAATTTTTCTGAATAAAATCACAGCTTTTGTCCAGAGATGAGTCGGATTAACTTGATTAGTGTAAATTTAAGACAAATAATCAATTGTCGGCGAAAAAAATTCTTTAGCTAGTAAGCTAATAAGCTAATTAACTAAATCATGTGTTTAGCATTAGGACAAAAGTACAAGAACATTTGGAAAGAATTAACTAATTACTGAATGAAAGAGTATAAATTCTGAGAAAAATCCATTTCTAGGCCAGTTTTAGTCCCTCTTTTCAGTGGTGAAGTTTTCATTTAGTTTTCATCAAAATTTTTCGATCAGTTTTTTTAATTATTGCAGTTACATAATGCCTCGTGCTTCAGCATTAAGTGCTTATGAAAGAGGACAAATTGATGCTCTTAAGAACGAAGGACTTTCAATTCGTCAAATAGCTTCAAAAATTAATCGTTCTTCGACCGTAGTGTTCAACTATATCAAATTGGGTGCAAATTATGACTCTTCCCCTCGATCAGGTCGTCCCCCCTCGTTAGATGATCGTGATAAAAGACGAATTCTGAGAATGGTTGCTGAGGGAAATTCATCTTGTGCTAAAATTTTAGCAGAAACACAATTCACGGTGTCATCTCGCACCGTGAATCGTGTAATTAAGGAATCTGGACTATTCGAATGTGGTATGAAATAGAGCCAGAGATAATTCATAATCTTATTAACTCAATGAAGAACAGAATCTTTGATGTTATTAGGCTCAATGGTAGTCAAACTAATTATTAATTTCAGAATTGATTCATTTTCTTATACTTTTGTCACTAACAAAAATAAATTTTCTTACATAACTTTTTTTCTGATAGAACTTTTTTCTTTTTTCTTATTTCTTATTGTTAATCTAACAATTCTCTACAAGTTGGTATCATTTTTGAATTTTTATCACCACGATTTCTGAATTTATCGAAAAAACCGACTGTTCTTATACTTATGTCATGTATTGATAAAACTTAATTGTATCAAAATTGTTTTCCAGGTTTCGAGGGAAAATTTTAATCATTAGCACTTCGATTAGCAAAAATCGATCATCAAACCAACTTGACAATCACAATTTTCTACCGTCAAGGATATTAAATTAAAGATTAATTAAGTTTCCAATAATTAAAATTGTTCAGTTTGATTGAGAGAAATAAATTTAATTTCGTTTACATTTAGTCGTTTAATACTTTTAACGATTCGATTCTGAAGTGAAGTTTAAATTAATTTTGAATTCAAAATTTAAGAAAGTTGACAAATATAAATTTCTTTAAATTTGTTGAATTAAATTGAATTTTCGGTGAAATTAACGAACTGATTTCAAATTTTCGTTAATTTGAATTCCATTAGTAGTGACATCTAATGTCAGTTTAGGGAACTTTTTTCTAACACCTGATTTCTTTTTATTTCCTTTTCCGTTTTTCTTTTGTTTCGATGAGCGATTAGTGAGATTCCACCTAATCGATACCCATCGAAGAAATTTCACCAAATCGATTGATCGATCGTCTCTGTGCGAAAGAGAAACAGTAAAGAGAAAAATTGAAAGAAAAAATTAAAGGGAAAAAGAAACGGAAAAAGACAGAAAAAGAAAGAGAATCTATCGAATCGAATATTTGAATGCGAAATCGTCGATTAGTTAGTAGCAACTAATCGATTAATTATTCGGCAATCGGAATAATCGGCCATCTCTTTTTTGTTGTTCATTTAAAAGGTTCTCTGTCTCCTTGATCTTTTTTTTGTGGTTCCTTTTTAGTGCTAACAAATTGTCTACTTTTGTTACCAATCTTGTCATCATTTTGTTTTATTCTTTTTTGCCAACAATCAACTAACTCAATTTATTAATCATGGGTAAGGAAAAGACTCATATTAACATTGTCGTTATCGGTCACGTCGATTCTGGTAAATCAACGACAACCGGACATTTGATCTACAAATGTGGTGGTATCGATAAACGAACAATTGAAAAATTCGAGAAAGAAGCTGCTGAGGTAATTATATTTTCTATTTTAATTGTTACTAATCGTTGACAAGCTTTTCCAATTTAGTCCGAGTCTTCAATATGGTCTTTGTCTTTGTTTCTCTTTGACTAATCTTGACCTGCCTTAGCAACTAAGAGACACTTGACCTTTTTGTTATTTTTTCCTGTTCTTCTGCCTCCGGGCAAGTTTCTTTGTGTCAATTGCCATTATTAACATATTTTCTTTCTTGATTCTTTCTTTCCTTGGTTCTTTCATCTTTCTTTCTAAATTGAATTTACAAATGAAATGATCATTAGATGGGCAAAGGTTCTTTCAAATATGCTTGGGTATTGGATAAATTAAAGGCCGAAAGAGAGCGAGGTATCACTATTGATATTACCTTATGGAAATTGAGACTCCAAATATTATGTAACCGTTATTGATGCTCCTGGTCACAGAGATTTCATCAAGAACATGATTACTGGTACTTCTCAAGCTGATTGTGCTGTATTGATTTGTGCTGCTGGTGTGGGTGAATTTGAAGCTGGTATCTCGAAGAATGGTCAAACCCGAGAACATGCTTTATTGGCTTATACTTTGGGTGTGAAACAAATGATCATTGGTGTAAACAAGATGGACTCATCTGAGCCAAAATATTCTCAAGCTCGATTTGAGGAAATCTCAAAGGAAGTGAGTAGTTACATCAAGAAGATTGGTTACAATCCAGTTACTGTACCATTTGTACCCATTTCCGGATGGAATGGTGACAACATGATTGAACCTCACCAAACATGCCTTGGTACAAGGGATGGTCAATCGAGAAGAAGGGAACCAAATTGGAAGGTAAAACACTTTTGCAAGCTTTGGATGCTATGGATCCACCTTCACGACCCAGTGACAAGGCACTTCGTCTTCCACTTCAAGATGTTTACAAAATTGGTGGTATTGGTACTGTACCGGTTGGTCGAGTTGAAACTGGTACCATTAAGCCAGGTATGATTGTTACATTTGCACGGTTAACTTGACAACTGAAGTAAAATCAGTTGAGATGCACCACGAATCATTGACTGAAGCTGTTCCGGTGACAATGTTGGTTTCAACGTTAAGAACGTTTCGGTTAAAGAATTGAGACGAGGTTATGTGGCTGGAGATTCTAAGAACAATCCACCTCAAGCAACGGAAGAGTTTGCTGCTCAGGTTATTGTTCTAAACCATCCTGGTCAAATCTCTAATGGTTACACTCCAGTTTTGGACTGTCACACTGCTCACATTGCTTGCAAATTCAAGGAGATCAAGGAAAAGATTGACAGACGAAGTGGTAAAAAGTTGGAAGATAATCCGAAATCAATTAAATCTGGTGATGCTGCTATCGTTGATTTGGTACCAAGTAAGCCAATGTGTGTCGAAACATTCACTGACTTTCCTCCATTAGGACGTTTTGCTGTTCGTGATATGCGACAAACTGTTGCCGTTGGTGTCATTAAAAGTGTCAAAGCCAAGGATCTTTCAGCAGGAAAAGTTACCAAAGCCGCTGAAAAAGCAGCCAAGAAGAAATAATATGTTAACATTTGCTTAATCATTGAATCAATAATAAAAAGACTTTCAACATTTTCCCATTATCGTCTTCTCTTGATTATTATCTAACCATTTAACTCTTGCGATAGAAGAAAAAATTTTGATCAGACTAGAAATTAACTCGATGAACTGGTTCATCTTTCACTCTTATTCAGCTTCAAACTTTGTCCTTTTGTCAACATTTCATTTAGAGCTGAACAAAGAGCTTCAAGTTTAAATGTTGATCTTTCGGAGCTTGAGTCTTAATTAAAACTCAATTAACAGAAAAAATCTCGAGAAGATTTATCACCAAAGATCTAAACAAATGTGATCATGACTCCATCAAGATGATCATTAGAACCGAAATGTAATTAGAGCCGATCAATTAAAGAACAATTATTGGTATCAATAATAGAAAGGATCAAATTTTTTTCTTTAAAAATATTTGCATTTCTATTCAATAAACTGCTCTTTTGGCTTAGAAAAAGTTGACAACAATTAGTTTGATTACAATTTAAGTTGAGAATGTAAGATTAGGCATAATTATTTGATGATGACTCTTGATTAAAACGACTCATCGCCGACGATTAAATTGGACCAATACGATAGCAGTAGTATAGCTAAGAGCTAAATCATGATCGCTAAATTTGAGTTTTTTAGAATCAGGTTGATTGAAACAATTCCAACCATATTCTCCATTACCAAAAACTCCAGAAAATAAAACATGAGGAAAAATTTTATGAACAATATTTGATTCGACATTTAAATTGCCTGAATAAAATTCAGCCCCGCGTCCCGCACAAATGAACAGGAATCCGATTGTTTTTACGTCGGCATTTATATCGTCAACATCGAAATCAAGGTTACTCTTTAATTCCGTTAATTTGGCCTCCGCTTCTCTTGATGTTCTTGTGTCCAACACAAAACTGGCCGCTTTCACGTTCTTACCTACGAACGAAAGAGTTAACATATCGACCTCTTTTCCTTTGTAAAATATTTTGTCCACTAAAGCGCCTCCAATAGGGATCGGCCTTTCATTTGAATTCAGCCATGAATTGAATCGATCTCCTCCCTCGAAATTAATTGATAAAATGATCGAACATTTAACTGGATAATTAGCATCATTAGGATCTGGTTCGGGACTTTCTTCGTCTTTCCAATCGGTAATAATAACTTTGTAGTCGCCCCAATTTCGGGCAGCAAACGAACCAGAAATCGCGTCCAATTTGAAATGATACTTTTCCAGTTCGATGGGCCTTGATCTTATTGAGGGTTGACCCACAATTCCAGCTTGCGAACAAATAATTAGTTGATGACTTTTCAGCGGTAGATAAGTTTTGACGCTTATTTTTCTGGCTAATGTGATACTAGAAGTGAAAATGACACCGAGAGCAGGCAAACTCAACAATTTCTGCTTAAAATATTGATCCAATTGGGTGATAGCAGAATCCTCACTATCTGATTTGTAGATTTCACTCATTCTAACAAGATAACTGAGAAAGAGTCGCTTGTCTCTACCATCTAGAACTCTTTCTAGCACTTCTTGGTCTCCACCGATCATTCTGAAACCTTTAGAATCGTAGATCAGATGAAAAGTATCAAAATAAACGCGATTTTTGATAATACTACTGATTATCTTATGCCAATGGTGGCAAACTAATTTAACATCTTCTAATTGTCGAGCACTCAGATTGTCCAAAATGGTTCGTACCAAAAGGTCATTTGTACTAATCCGGGATAAAATATCTTCACTATGGAGAGAAACAAACGAGAATAATTAAATCCAAATAAGAAATCAATTAATTTGATTCCAAAGATCAATAAATACCTTGTAGCAGAATAAGTTGACATGTTAATCAAAGGGGGACAATCAAAGAAACGCTAAAATAAATTCAATCTTAAATCACGTTGATAAAAGTAACATTTTCTTTCAACTAAACAACCTTTAAATGGTAACAATTTAAATTGCAGTGCAATTTTGTATCAGCAACAAACCAATAAAAACCACAGACTTGAAGAGACTAGATGATCACCAAATGTCAAATAATTTGAATAAAATTGGTTGAAGTTGAAAGAACAATCAATTAACTGGATAGTCAACATTCAAAAACATCAAAATCAAATTGCGACATTTTCATGTTTTCATTGAGTAACCATAGACACAACCGAAAACCCACTGCGGGAAAATTAACTTTAAATCTTATTCAAAGTAAACAATTAAATTAACCGGTTTGGTAAAATCAATCAACCGTTAATCCTATCGCAGTGATTCTTGATTATTAAATCATTGAGAATCTGATAGTTTTCTTAATTTCGAGTATGAGTTGTGTCTGGTTAGATAAAATTTGGAAACCGCATCCATCCTTTAAATTTTATCATTGGTGTGATAATTTAACATCAATTAAATCACCCAAAAAATGTCTTAATTACAAAGACAATTTCATGGACAAACATCAAGTCCATCCGAATTTAGGAAATGATTCTTCCTCCAAAAGGAATACCAAAAGTTATCTCTTGAAAAGACATTTTTTACTCTTGTTATGTTCGGTTAATTGATCATACAACAGCCTGCCGAAAATTAGGTTAACTTAGGGCGAGATTCGAATCACAAAAGAACAAAAAATTAAGAGATGAATAAAATGATGGGGGTAATCAGGATCAATATTTCTCTTGATCTTTTCTCTCCACTAGGATTATTCTCGATAAAGTAAAATGTTGATTAGTTGAACAATAACTTGGATTTGATTTTCAAGAAGCGGCCATATAAGCATCCAAATCAGCGTCAAGCTGATTTCTTGTCTTTGCCATGTAAGCATCTTTATCAACTGGATTTCTGTTCAGATTTTTTCTTCTTTGTTGATTTTGTCTGTTGTTGGGTCTTCGGTTTTGGAATCGCTTATTGGCATTTCTGTTACCTTGATCTTGTTTGAAACCACCATTACCACCGCCACGAGCTCGAGCTCCTTGTTGACCAGATTTACCTTGTTGATTATTTCGTCGATTAAATTGTCTTTGTCTCTGGGGTTGACGTTGTTGGTTGTTTTTAAAATTGTTGTTATTATTTGTGGTGAGCCGACGATTTTTCAAGTGTTGGTCATGTCGTTGTTGATTTCGACGAGCAGCGATGTTACTAGTTCCTGGTCTCACCGATCGATTACCTTGGTTGTTATTCTGCTTATTATTATTGTTGTTGTTGTTATTTCTTGTTAATCTGTTGGCCACAGGTCGTCGACTAACAGCTTTATTATTAAACGATGTATTTCCACCTTGTTGTCGATTGACTCGTCGTGAATTTTTAGGTACAACTTTAGATGCACCCACGAAATTGCTTCGGTTTAATTTTGGCCTTCTTGTATTTAAACTTGTAGAGGGAGCAACTTGTAACCTCTCGATTATACTTTTTTTGGTGGTTTTTCTGGATGCAGCAAATGTTCGATTTACAACAGCGGCAACATTACCTCGACCTGGCTTAGGTTTGACTGTTTAAAAGAGAAAGAACCGTTAGTTTTTAGACAATTAAAATATACAAGAAGAAATAAAAGACTTACCTGATATACGTTGCTTTATGCTTTTTCTTAATCTTCAGAGCAGCACGAATTGAGGGTTTACTGGCCAAGGCAGCGGCCAATTGCCTATTTTTCAATGATCCTCGAGCCAAAGGTTTAACTGATACTCGTTGAGGTCTCACAACTGGTTCAATATTCTTCTTGATAAGAGCTGTTTGTTGAACCATTTTAAACCTTTCACTCAAAGGTATTTTAGAGGTAGAGTGTAGAGTAATTTTGCCGGGTACCAACGACGCCATTGTATACACAGAATTAACAATTACCAGAATCACCACCAACCAAAATAGAACCAAAGTAGAGAAATGAAATATTCCACTAAAGATAATAAATCACAGAAAAAGATTAAAAAAATTAGTTGAAGATGAATTGAGACTCCAAATCTATATAAACAAACAGATGGAAAGGAAGATAGAAAGAGAAAGAAAGAAAAAGGCAAAGACTCTTTGCCAAAGAGTAGAGAAAAAGATAAGGAAACAGAAAAAGAGAAAATAGTAACACTCAACAGAGAGAAAGTAAGAAAATCAGCCAATCAAAGTAAAAGTGAACAAACAATGAAACCAAATTTAATTGATTTAAACAATAATAAAATAACTTACCTGAGAATTACAATTAAATTAATCACAATGAAGAAAAAAATCAAAAGTGTTTTTGTTTATTCAAAAATCAACTGAAAAAAATTCTATTCTATTTGTCTATGGATAAGGCGGAGCTTCGAATGTCACGTGACCAAAAGCGCGTCAATTTATTTTCCATTTGAAAAGAGAATCTGACAAGTGTTATGATCGCAGTGCGAATTTTAGTTCAGGGCCAGTTTAAGTTTCGCTCGTAAACGTAAATGAAAAAAGGCCTGGAGGGCCTAAGACAATCTAATCAAATTTGACACTGATCGCCTCTGATTGGTGTCTAATTTAAGCCTCGCCAGTGCGATCGGAACTAAAATCTTAACGAGAATCTTTTTGAGATTAATTGTTGATTTAAAGAGTTTAATTTTCTCAGATTAATTGAAACACTTTCAATATAATTATAGTTGAATTTTAAACTGATCATCTTTCTAATTTACTTTTATTCTTCTGGTGCTGATCCTTGAGTGTCAATCTATTTATTTCTTTGTTCATTTGTTTAGCGATCATAAATTAATAAGATTTCACTGAGAAAGCAATTAGATTAACGCTTTAATGTGAAAAGTAAATTGACCAAGCTAAACAAAAGGTCAAAACAAAATGGAAATGAAATCATTGCCTTAATTTGATACAATAGTTTGTAAATAGTTTTGTTTTTGTTTAAAAGTAATTGTTTGATTGATTCGGTTGTTGATTTGGACAAAGAAAATTTGATCAATTTATACAAATGACTTGAAATCTGAGGATAAATTGATATTTAAGAGGAAAAGTGAAAGATAATAATGATTAGTATCCATCACACAACCAAGATTTTCTGGAAAAGGACTTGGTTTTTATCACAGAATAATAATTAATAATTAAGATTTAGAAGTCTTTTTTGTTTCAATTGGTGAAGCAGAGAAAGAGGAGAAAATTAGGAAAGTAAATTGGAAAGACAAAATAAATGGTTGAAAGAGGAAGAGGATAATCAAAGGTGAGAGAAAAGAGGAAATGGTTTATGAGAGAGAGAGAGAGGAAAATCACAAGGCACTTTTGTAATTGGTGCTTTTATTGAATATCGATGTTGCTATTAGAAGCCATCATCACCGATAAACTAATATCATCCATGTTTGGAATCACAAGAAGTTTATTGAATTCTTGTTGTAACTTTTTCTCGATCCATTCGATTGCATGGCTCATTGAAACTCTGTGTTCACCGAGACGAGGTCTTGCTGAAAGGACTAGATTAGGATCTCCACGGAATCCATACCAAAGACGATCGGATGGTGGAGGTGGAATATTAATTGAAAGGATTCCTGACAATTCTTGGACAAATACTGTCAAAACCAGTGGAGTATTGGAAACTCCTTCCATTGCTCGTTTTATGTACTTGTAATCGGTTGCTTGTTGGAAGTATTTGGATGCCGCGAGTTTATCCACAAATTTCAATAACTTTGCTCCATTGTTTCCTAAATGATTGAAGAAGATGGGAAAAGGACGAGAGAGGAAAAAAAATGAAAAAATTAAATTTAAAAGGAAAGTTACAAGTAAACAAAAGTATCATGAGCCATACGAAGGCCATTAATACCATATGATTTAAATGATCATCTGAGTGGTTTGCAAGCAAAACAACTTGTTTGCAACTCTGATCACTTTTGAAAAGGTTAAATTTATTATTTGTTAAGATTGTTAAATCTAAATGATAATTACCTTCACTGTCGACAATTTTTTCCTTAAACTCATCCTTTTCATCATCTTCTGAACTAGAAACAATTGACTCAGGCTCAGAGAAATCATCGATCTCTACTGATGCGCCCATTCCTGTTCCAAAAGGTTTCATTTCTTTCTCAATTGTACCTTGATCTTTTAACCTCATTAGATTTAATTTAGTTTCAAGAGTCATGGCAAATCCACCACAATAATCAATTTGAAAATCAATCCAAAGTCCACCTTCATTGATAACTGGAGGTTGATTAACGGCAAGAAATCGAGGTAAATTTTGTCCGAGATCAATATTTTTGAGAGTAAGAGTTTGCATGAAATAAGGTAACTTAATTCGTGACAATTTACGTTGAATCTTTTTCGAAGCCCAATTTGACCAGTGGGCATTATTAAGAAATTCGAAAAGAACTCTACCCAACATTGCATTAAACCAGAGTAAATGACTATCATCAACAGGTAGTGTTCCAGGTAAATATAAAGAAATTCGATGATTTAATATTTGGTGCATATAAGCTTCGTATTTGGGTAAAACAGACGAAGGAGTGACGTCTTTGGATTTCAAGGTTTCTCTGGTTGGTGTTAACGGAGAATGATCTGTGAAGGATATAAAAGATAAAGGGAAACAATTAGATGATAAAAGTGAAAATTTCATCAAAATCTGAAATCTCTAATGATGAGGATTATTTCAATTGATCTCTAAGGGAAACAAAGTGGATGGTTATCAATAGAGACAAAACTGTTTCTACATCATCAATACATGATTAAACCTTAATAAGATGTATTAATGTCATCTAAACAAATATAATCTTCTGATTATAAGTAATTAATTAATCACCATTTGAATTGGAATCGCTTGTAGGTGTGGGTGTTGATGCTTGTTCACCATCCGATTTTAATTCTTCAGCTGAATCAAGGAAAAAGTCTCTTGAAGCATCTTTAAGTCTCCAGTACCATTCTTCCTTTGATCGATGAGTTCGAGCGAAAAGAATAAGTTTTGTTGTTCGAGATGAATTAGAACCATTAGAACCACTTGATTCGGTGTAACTTTTGTTACCGTCGATTTCCAAGACAATGGGATACTTTTTGACCCAAAGATACTTTTTCTTATTACGAATGCTATTTGGAAGCCAAAGATAAAGACGTTTCAAGTTTATTAGATCGTAGTGTCGTTGATAAGCGAAATTGGTGTAACTGTTTTCATTTAATTTACGAGGTTTGATATTTTTGGACTGAGGTTCAGAAACTCGAAGACACGTTCCTGTGAGACGGATGAAAACAAGTTGAGTTTTTCCGTGTTTTTTACTCGCTTTTTCATTTGTTTCAAGTTCTCGACTGGACACTAGTTCGTGGAACCATTCTTTGTGTATTACACTTTGACTATCGATTGAATCTTCTTTGGTTTGTTGTATTTCTGTGAGAGGTGTTGATGGAGGTGAAGAGGAAGGAGAGCAAGTGGTTGTAGAGATTGAATTGGAAGATAGAAGTGGTTGAGGTGATTCATTCGATGCTTTGATTACAGCTTCATTTTCCTCTTCCTCTGAAGGTTTCAGAATCAAATTGATCAAGTAAATTGCGAGAAGACCAGCAGAAAGGAATGAAATGATTACTCCAAGGATGAAACCATTAATGTAAGAGGGAAAGGGTAACCTTATTGTTACTATGATTGAAAATAAGGCTACGAAAGATGAACATAAGAGTACAAATCCTGATTGACTTTTCAATATCCACCAATCGTGATTAGTTAATCTTTGAAATGGTTGACCAGATGATTCGGACGGAGATAAAGTGGTCGACGATAATGTTGGTTCACAGTTATTTTCATTTTCATCACTTCGTATCACGGATCTGGAATTAAGCTCATTTGGTTTGGTGGCTGTTGTTGATTTAACAGTCGAACTGCCTGTTGATGAAGATACTGTTGGTGGTCGTCGGAATAACCAATCATCATCTTCTTCGTTATTGATTGTTGAATCTCGAAGTGAGAAAATATTATCACTATTACTGAATTTAACATGATTATCTTTATCTTTCGATGACACTAATGAACTTGGAAGAACAATATTCTCATTGATTGGTTCCGTTAATGAGAAACTACGAAAACTTTTTTCACCAATTTCTCCAAACTCATTAACTGTTTCCGTTACTCTTTCAGATGAAAACGAGCCACTGTGAGAACCACCGGATGATGAAGATGGTAATGGAATGGAAGATGATGATGTTATTGTCTGCGTAGTGGTTGTGCCTTGAATCGAATTGGAATCTCTGTCCTTTTTGTTATTTTCCTTTTCTCGAGCTGATTTTTCTTTCCTTTCCTCGATAATTTGTTGAAATTTCTTCCAAGATTCGCTGTACCATTTTGAGCTGGAACCAGGGGATGAAGATGATGGAATACTCGAATCATCTGATGATCCATGTTGATCAAAACTGCGACCACGATTTAATTTTGAGGTGAAAAAATCTTTCACTGTCATTGTGTGAATGGAAGAAGCAAAAAAATTAATATCACAAATATAAATGAAAAAAAGTAAAAATAATTAAATTAGTCACGCAATTAAAACATAATAACATTAATTGTGTTGTTGTTATTTTGATGATTATCATGATTTTCAATTAAAAACAAATAATGATGGCAATAAGAAACAAGCAATTCACTAGACTCATAACCTTGCGGATAAATTACAATCAATGATCAACAATTAGGTTTAACAATAAAGTGAATAGAGGAAACAACAGAAATTAACTGAAATCAAAAAAGCGAATCAATTTGCAACCAAGATAATCAAAATCTCAATAAAAAAAATGATTCTGATAAATTGTAACTTTTTTCTTATTTTAATCAAGCAAAATAGAGATTAATAGATAAGTGATTTATCAACAAGATTAAAATATTGACAGAGACTTAAAATTAATTGTCAAGGAAAATAATATTTGTCACATAAAATAGTCAATTGAAAAATAACAACGGAAAATGATGTTTTCATTTTTCATGTGAGATTTAACAAGAATCGTTCAGGTTGTTGTAAATTATTATTGTTATGATGTTAATTGTTAACAATAGTAATTGTTATTTAAATAAAAGGCTTTGATGATTAGAATCTAACACTTTTTAATGACCTAATACTTTGTGTTGTCAGAAACAACAACAAGGTAACAGGAAAAATATTCCAAAATGGGAGATTGATTAAAGTTTGTTAACCATTGAAATTAGATTTGAGTTAACTAATTGTATTAATATCCTAGGATATTAATGGTAATATTTTGTTGCAGCTATTTGAAAAGTCTAGTGTAATTATGATGGAAGAGTTAAATACCTGAATTATCAGAGATTGATGATTTAACCTTTGAAGATGTTACTGTTGTTGCTGTGGTGGTGGTTGTGGTGGTTGTGGTTGATGATGATGACGATGATGATGAAGAGGAAGATGAAGATAATGTTGATGAAGATGGTGATGTAGAAAGAATTACATCATTTAATTTACTTGTTTCACTTTTCATCGGTGTAGATGCTCGAGAATTTGATTCACTATCAATACCAAATGAACGGTCATCAATGAAATTATGAACTTCCTCCAAATGATCATCACCAGATTTACTATTAAATCTAAAACTAATCGATCCTTTTGGTTTGTTACTGGACATGATGAATTGGAAAGGTGAGAATAAAGCAATTGATGGGAACTGAAATGTTGTTGATCGGATTAAGATGAAGATAAAGAAAGATACGTTTTATGTAAACAAAGAGGAGAGAGAGAGAGAGAGATGAGTGTTTGTTCTTTTTAAAGATAATTAAAATAATTGCAAAGCTTTTGTATGAAAAGAACATAAATTAGTGAGAAGAATTGATACCAAAAGATGAAAGGCGAAAAGAAGAGCAATAAAAACCCAAGAATTGACGTTGCTGATGTAGAATAGTTTTTCTTTTTGCAACTTGTTGAATCGATTGATGGTGAAACTATTGTGTTGATGATTATTGTCAAGTCACAATGGTCTTTCCTTCATTTCTCAAGAATTAAAGAGAACAAAAAAAATAAACAATCACTGGCAATAGAATTTAAACAAATGATGATGATTATCCATCTCAATAGAAAACTGGGTAACCAAATCTAATTATCAACGATCATCTCTAATTGATCAAACCAACATCAACATCCACTCATCATAATCTTCTTATAAACATGATAGAGAATATAAAATAATAGAAAAAAGCACAAATGTTAATTACGAAGGTAAACACAGAGAAAGATTTAAACACTGAAATGAAATTCTGATAAAACATAAACATAAAAGAGAAAAAGAGAAAAAGACAGCAAATTAGACAGAGAAGAAAAGAAAGAGTCAAGTGGTTGTCCCTTCGTTTGCGCGTTAATTTTGAAACTTCAATTTGCTAATTGTTTCATTTTGTTTTCTTTTTAATTATTTTGGTAATTGTTTCATCTTTTGACATAATTGTGACTTAATGGTTGTGATGTTTGTTCCCTGGCAACCTGTTGATTAAATTTATTCTCAAAGTCGATCAGCTCATTTTTCCAATTTTAGTTTTAATTTTTTTTATTATTTATCCAATGTGATAATTACATTGAATTTATTTTAGTTCTTCAGCTGAATCGAGAAAAAAGTCTCTTGAAGCATCTTTAAGTCTCCAGTACCATTCTTCCTTTGATCGATGAGTTCGAGCGAAAAGAATAAGTTTTGTTGTTCGAGATGAATTAGAACCATTAGAACCACTTGATTCGGTGTAACTTTTGTTACCATCGATTTCCAAGACAATGGGATACTTTTTGACCCAAAGATACTTTTTCTTATTACGAATGCTATTTGGAAGCCAAAGATAAAGACGTTTCAAGTTTATTAGATCGTAGTGTCGTTGATAAGCGAAATTGGTGTAACTGTTTTCATTTAATTTACGAGGTTTGATATTTTTGGACTGAGGTTCGGAGACTCGAAGACACGTTCCTGTGAGACGGATGAAAACAAGTTGAGTTTTTCCGTGTTTTTTACTCGCTTTTTCATTTGTTTCAAGTTCTCGACTGGACACTAGTTCGTGGAACCATTCTTTGTGTATTACACTTTGACTATCGATTGAATCTTCTTTGGTTTGTTGTATTTCTGTGAGAGGTGTTGATGGAGGTGAAGAGGAAGGAGAGCAAGTGGTTGTAGAGATTGAATTGGAAGATAGAAGTGGAAAGAAAAAAATCTCTTAATGGTCGTTCATGTCTCTAGCTAGTCGATCAGCGAGTGACTTTATTCCAACGGTATCCATAGTAATCAGACAGAATAGGGAATGATAATGACACTTGACCTCGTCCATGGTCCAATCATATCCCCTGACCTCATACGTACGAACAGCAGTCAATACAAAGATCCAATTCATGGGCGAAGATGATGGTCGAAAAATGATTAATAATAAAGTGTAGCTGGTGGTCATTAAAAGTAACAGGACCCATAGAGTTTTTATAAATTTCAACTAAATCTAAACATATTTGGTTGATGTTGTGGTTACTATGGTAAGGTAACTTTGACCAGATTGAACGAATTTGTGAGAGAGAATCAGACATGATGAAACTTTTGTAAAAGTAAAGCAAAAGGAAATTGTTGATGTTTAACAATCAAGTGAGTAGAGAAAACAACAAGAATTAACTGAAAGCGAATCAATTTTAAACCAGATAATCAAAATCTCAGTAAAAATGCTTCTTCTAAATAGAGATTAACTGAATCAGTCAAACTAATAAGTGAATTAACAACAAGATTAAAATTTTGACAGAAACTTGAAATTAATTGTTAAGGAAAATAAAATTTGTCACATGGCACAAATATTGACAAAGAATATAGATTCGTAAGACCCTTACGGTCGTCAATGTGACTGGACAACCTCGAGTGTTGCCCTCAGCGGTCACATTTTTATTCAACCGCTTTGGAATACAATCTTCTTAAAACTTCATTTGTCTAAAAATTCAGTCTTTCAAAAATTCAGTCTTCTAGAAATTCAGTTTTTTATCAATACGACGCAATAATAGCTCAGTTTTAAGGGTAACAAAGAAAAACAACTAAAGTAACTGTTGATCTATCATAATTTTGGTATCAACTTGATCCCTGTGATGAGATGAACAATAATAACACAAAATCCAATTTTAAATTCACAGGTAAAGTTAATTAAATTAAAATTCATCAGGAGCGAAAAAAGTCAACAAGAAGAAAAGAGAAAAAGACAGCAAATTAGACAGAGAAGAAAAGAAAGAGTCAAATGGTTGTCCCTTCGTTTGCGCGTTAATTTTGAAACTTCAATTTGTTAATTGTTTCATTTTGTTTTCTTTTTAATTATTTTGGTAATTGTTTCATCTTTTGACATTATGGTGACTTAATGGTTGTGATGTTTGTTCCCTGACAACCTGTTGATTGAATTTAATTCTCAAGGTTCATTTTTCTAATTTTGGTTTCATGTTTTTCTTCATTGTTGTTGTTTTTGTTTTGATGATTATAGAAAATTACAATTGATTTTCAATTGATTCTTCATCTGGATTAAGTGTTTGACATACACAAAGAATATTATATAATAATTGTAACGATTGCCGATTTTCTGGGACTAATCTGATCTCTTCATAATCATCTGGTTCAAACTCTTCTTCATCTTCTCCTTCATCATTGTCTCCATCTCCTTCTTGGTTGATTGATTGGCCATTTTTTGGTTCCTTGAAGTTTTCCACCTGAACCATCATATAGATACATGGATGGTCAAAGGTACTCTGGTCAGTGGAAATGGCATGACAGGTTATATCGAAATAGGTGAAATTAATTCCACTGGAATCTTCGGGATTAATCCAAGTTAAGGTTTGTTCGGATATGTATAGATTTCCTTTACCAAGGAATGTGTTTCCATTATAGAGACTGACAGCATTTTCTAAATGTCGAATTGAATCAGGATCCGGAGTAATTATATTCGGTTGCAACGTGATAATCATCCTGAAATCACCTCAAGAGTACCAGAAGTTGGAGACAGAAAGAGAGAGAGAAAAAAAAATTCAATGTGGGAAAAGAAAAGTTAACACAAAGAATATAAGAGAATCTGGAAAACAACAATCACCACCGAGGAGAATCAACCAAGCGAACAGGTTACATAACTTGGAATTTAAAGACAATCATGTTCACAATTAGAATTAGAAAAATTTCAAGCTAATCAAATATTCTAAGGTAAGAAAAATTTAAATCAGAAAAATATCTTAATTACATGAGAGAGAAAAAGTTACTCATTTAATTTTTCTTTCTATGGTAAAGTGTTGATGTTGCGCAGAGAGAAACATGTTGATTAATTGGAGAAAATTTTCAAAAATCTAATCTAATCTTTTCTTTTGATAGTTAATTATTATCAATGAGATGACCATCAAACCACCAACAATTAAACAACCATGGAATCTGGATCATCGGTAATCAATCAATTAACAGGATGAAAGACAATCATCTAAGTGTAGAATTGATAAAAAGGCAAAAGATCAAATATCTCATATTGGAAATGGATCATTTCTGGAACGAAACACAATCAGTTTAATGGTCAATCCTTGAAGGTCAATTAAGCGAAAATTAACTAATTGCTACTTGAAGTGAATCAATTTTAGACCTTCCTTGCAATCTGATAGCAACATTGATTGACCAAATGGACAAATCATCAACAATAACAATCAACTGGTTGTTATTGTTTCTTTATGTCAAAGTTTATCAGAATATTTAAATTTTTAAACAATTAACTGGTTAATTTGTATCGTAAGTTAATTTTAGATACACTTTAACATGAAATTAACATGTCCCAACGATAAATTAACAGTTAATCATGAACAAGAAACTTATTAATTACATTATGTACAATCAAAAGTAACTCATTCCCAGATAATATAATCGCAACATGTTATCATGAATATTAATCATCAGTAAGTAAGTGTAACAATTAAAAGTGACCCTCACAAGATTATTGAATCTTAATCTAAATTAACAACTAAATTAAATTGTTGATGACCTTTTAATGGACCAATCGACAAAATAAATTGTTGTGATTTGTTTGTTTTTTTTTTCATCAGACAAAACAAACACTAAGAAAAAAAAGTTTTCACCCAAATTTTGATGTAACTAAAAATCAACCAAAAAAAGGAGATCATCATCTTGATCAGTTAATCCGTGATTAAACTTGATTAAAATTAAAGTTAATCATCACAAATCAAATGCTTATGTATTTCTGTATCACTTTACTCACGGAAGTTAACATTTTAATCTGAAAAATTTGATAAATTACAATTTAGTGGATAAGATAATCAATCAGCGACAATGACCACAGAGTAACAAGTAACAATTAAACATGATTCTCACTGATTGACATCTAAATCATTTAAATTAACGGAATTAACGAAAAGTTAATCTGGTTAGATTAAAGGAGTTACCATGATAACGAAAAAGATTTATGTTTTTACGGATTTTCTGAGTTCAGACAATTAATTAAATTGTTGAGAATCAATTTCTATTTTTTTTTCTTCTCATTTTCTTCAAATAATTAAGACAGTTGATCACAATTAAAGAAGACAATCAATAAATTGCCAAGTCACATGGGAACTATTTAAGTTTAATTGAAATACAATCAGCCAATTAATTGTCACTATCAACTTTTAGTACTATTAACTAATTACATATTAATCAAGAAATGTAATAAAATAGTGATGATGTTAATCAATTTAAACTAAATCAACCTTCAAAATCACAATTAATAAGGTCACTTGTAAATTGTTGTATACCAATTAATGGATAGGGTTAATCATGAAAAAAGGTTGTAGTTGATTAATTGTCAAGTTTTCAGCTCAATGATTTAAGTGTGTTATTTTTGGTGACCTCAAATGATAATCAAATTATCAAATTGTTGTAAGTTAATTTGATTATTACGTCAATTAAAATAACTAAATGAAATTAAGATGATGATTCAAAGTGAAGGTAACAATTGAAACTTTCATTAGATCCTGTTACACTGAATTGATTTCTTGTTGATTGTAATTTTGGTACAAATTAATTTGATTGATTGTGATGATCAGATGATGATGAACATCATCACAATTAACAAAATGACAGAAAAAAATTAAGGTCATTTACGTCAATCAATTAATTGCACCTTAATCAATAGGAATACAATAAAACCGAAATCAAATTAACCATTGACATATTATTTTAAACCCTAAGGCAGTTAATTTATTTGATTATCTTAATATAATCAGTTAATTGTCGATAATTTTCTTGATAATTAATCATTAAACACACCTTTCTTTTAACTATTGTATCATTGTCACAATTAAAGAAATTAATTAAGATACAATAATTTAATCATCATTATTGATTGTCTATGATAATTGTTAACAATTAGATGCAAATTAAAATGGTTAAATTGAGTTACTCTGTTCACAATTAAACTGATTAGTTAGCTGATTACAGTTGTTAATCACAAATAATAAATATGATTAACTAAATGATTAACTTAATTTTCCTTGACCAAAATCAATATAATATGTAAATTTATTTCTCAATCTCAATCAATCAATTTGATCATTATCAGAATAGTTAATCATCCTAATCACAATTAAACAAGTTCTTAAGTGATTAAATTTAATTCTGATGATAAATTTCAACGAAATTGGTGAAAATAATTAATTGATTAACCATCGACTGGTCAACTAACTTTTTAGGTAAATTTCTGGTTTACGGTATTTCTTGTTTCTGGTTTGCATCATCATCACGTTTATCATCCTCATCCTAATCATCCTCATCTTATTATCATCTTTATCTTCATCCCCTCCCTAAACATCTTCCTCATCATCCCTCTAAGAATCCAAGCCGGATGAAGCCCTTCTAACGGTTCTTTCTCTTTCTTTTTCTCTTTCTTTGCAAGATAAGAGGACTTACCTTTTATCATCTTCTTCATCATCATTATCATCATCTTAGAACTCAAGTTCAAGTTACCTGAACATCTTTGCCCCCTCTCATCATCATCATCTCTCTCTCTCTCTCACTTTGCCCTCTCTCTCATCTTTTTGGTTCCTTTTTCATGTTATATTAGTCAACAAACTGTTCACCTGAATCACTAACTATTATCATCATCTTTCTGATTCATTTCAATTTTGATTCTGTAACAATCAAGGTGATTATTGATCATCACTGATTAGTAAATTGTTTAACTGTGATCACTTTAATTCATCCTAAACTTTAATCAATTTTCATTGTCAACCAATTCATAAAAATGTATTTCAATATACACAAGGTATGTTCATATATCGAAAGTTTTTTCCTTTACAGTTAACTAATTGTTGTTGTGATTTAGTTATTATCATTGTTAATTGTGATTATTATTTGATCATCATTAATTATTTCATTTAGATTGATTAATATCCTTTGTTAATTTTTGTTTCGTGCCAATTTATTAACTCAAATTATTGTTTTTTTAATTTCAACAAATTTCATTGATTTGATTTGTGAAATTAACTTGATCTTAGTTTTGATTAACCAACTTATTTTTAGTCAAACAATTTACTAATTGTACCATTTTCTGTCTTAGTTATCTGTCAGAATTAATAGTCTCGGAAGTGTAAGATTTAATTGTGAACATTAAATTTATTAACCGTGAATTGTAATGATTAAAGTGATCAACCGATCAAAGTTAAATTATGTTGATACGTTGTAACAGTAAACATTGTATTGTCTTTTTTACAGACAATTTAGTAAATTGTTCATGTGCTAACCTACAAAACAATCAACTAATCAACTTGTTTCCATCTTAATTACAGATTTTTGTTCTATTAATTTTTCTGATTCCATTGAGTTCGGCTCAATATGAGGAAGAATATTTTCCAGCCACAAAATGGTACATGAGAGCACCAAGGTCGATAAGTGGACTTTTCCGTCGTTTCTTAGGCCGTCGTAAGAACACAATTAGAACGGTAAGTTGGAACAATTAGTTGATCATTTCAATTTTCGAAAGACACAAATTTAAATTGTCCAACTCTCTAAACACTTTTACCAAGGAAAAGAAAAACATTCAATCAAATGCTACAAAATGGACATTTAAATGATGTGCTAATTGTAATTTCCAAGTGAAAATGTATGTCACCTAATTTGGAAATGATTAAGATGATGATTAACTTGATGATGATGCTTTTTTTAGAGCCGGAAGTTAGTTAGTTAACAATTTAGACTTGACCTTAACTAGTTAATTGCCAGTTTTTATACAAAATTGTTGATATATTGTATATTAGGTCAACAATTAGATTTCTAAAAATAATCAACACTAATTGTTACCTTTTTTCACTCTTCTTTTAATTCTTGGTGACAATTTTTGTCTATTTCCAACTAATCAACTACAATTAACTTGCCAAATTAATTGTGTCTTGTATTTTCCTATTCCTCTTGATTGTCACTCAATCAACACTTTAATCATAATGATACGTTGATGATTATAATCAACAAAGTTAATCAACTCATGTGAGTCAAATGTGGATTAACAAATAACTGTTAATATTTGTCAAATTAACTGAATCAACTACAACATTTAGTTTAGGAAAAAATCAAAGGAAACAATTATTATTTATTTAAACACTTACACAATCAAAACTAATCATTAACCAACAATCAGGTTCATTAATCATTTGACAATTTATTTCCTATCAAAATATAACCTGGCAAGAAATGGATTAAGACAATATTATCATCATCATTATCATTATCATGAAAAAATAGTAACAATCATGATTCTTAATTGTTGTTGAAATTAATTTTTCACAACAATTTCTCATTGAAATAATTGTTAACTCATTCATCGTATTTGCAATGATAACTTGTCAACCATTGATTGACAATCTCCTATTTAACTAATGACAATTTAATGACCATTAAACCACAAACTATTACATGAACAGTTTGATAATGTTGATGGTGATTAACTAATCATGATATTAATCATAATAGTAATAGTTGAACAAGAAAGTTTGTCTGAGACCGTGAACTTGAATGGATTGAGTATTTTTCACCCAAAAAAAAATCATCAATTGCCCTGGAATGTTGTAAATATGATGAGGAAGATGAAAAATTATCTTCATCATGATGATAATCATGTTATCATTAAGAATCCATTGATTATTTAGGATAAATTAAATTCTGACAAAAATAAATGTTTGTATATTTTTCAATTTTGACAGTTGACTCGGTGTGAGTCTTAACTGGTTACAAGAATTAACTAGTTAGTTAGTTAATTTTGTATAATTTCCTCTTGATTAATATGCGTTCCACACTGACTAATCAACTTAAACTGTTAACCCTGACAAACAACAATCAATCAGGAAAAAAAAAACAACAAAATTCATGATTAGCAAAAAAAAAACTGATTAGATCTTGTGAGTTATTTGATTATTAAGATTATCAACACTAATCTTTTCACCTTTTCTTTGCCCTTCCTCATCCCTATCTCTCTTTGATTAGTTAAAGATTGATTAACGTCGTTAAAAGTGATGATTAACACACGCACTCACTTTAATTGTTGCGAACCACAAGTAAATAGTTGATTAAATTAATCTTCTAATTGCAAAATTCATATTAACCGCTAACTTAGTTGTTTCTTGTTCCTCTTCGGTTTCCATGGTTACCCTTCAAGTCGACCAATGAAAAGAGACTTTGATTTGCCTCCAAGAAAAACTAATCTAAATATTGACTTGATTTACTTGATTCTTTGAATTCTTTACCTTTAATTAACAACTTTTATTAATTATAAATCAACGTACTAACAATTTAGAGAAAAGGTCAAGTTACAAGAACAATTAACAGCCTCCCACTCCCAAATAATTAGTTGCCCTCTTCTCTTATTGCTCAGTGAATCATTTTATTCATTTTTTCTTCTTCTCTCTTATCCTTCCTATGTGATTAACTTACCATTTATCAACATCAAGGGTAATTATTAAAACTATTTATTTTCTTTTATTATCAGTTTATTACTTGTTTTGGTGTATAATTAACTGGCAATCAAGTTTGCCTTTGGTTATCCCAAGTTAAAATTATCAAATTATGTTGATTATTTTGATTACCATTATTATTAGATTATGATATTAATAATGGTTGGTGGTAGTTAGAGTAAGTTGATGTAATAATAATAATAATATTAGGAAGGGAGAGAGAGAGAGAGAGAGTAAAGGATTAAGTAGGTTTACATTTTAATAAAAAATCTTCTTAGGCCTGAAAAGATTTGATAATTGTAATCATTTAAATTGATTCAGAAACAAACATGACTTTTAAAGGTATCAAGAGATTTAACTGTAAATTGAAATGAGAAACAACAATAAACTAAAGTAGATGGATGATTAGTTATCAGTTAGTCGTACGTGTATTTAAAAAAGTAACAATTACATTTTATTGTACTTGAAAAGAGATCATATCAATTTACTGATTATCGTGATTTGAATAAATTGAAATAGAAAAAAAAGAAATAGTTTTATCTTGATTACAATTTAATTATAATAATCGTTGATAGTTTTCTAGTTCATGTTGAACATGCAAAAAATAAACTTCTTGTATCTTAAATGATTTAATTTTAAACCAAATGAATTGATAATTCTGATCGTTTATTATTGAATTAAATTAGGAAAACAAAACAATGATTAATAACATCATCAATATAATGATTGAGTAAATTGTCACGAAAAAATTGACAACATGCTAAATAGTAAAGTTTAATTGTATTTCATGATTTCCAATGCAATACAATGAAAGAGATGAATCCTGATGTGATATTAGTAATAGAAATCAAATGTTTAGATTAAAAATCTAATTGAGTTAAATGTGAATCACGAAATCGACCCAGATTAACAATTATAATCATAAATAGTTGAAAATAAGAGAAATGATAAAACTACAATTAGGATTAGTAAACCAATTGAATTGATTATCTATTAAGATGAAAATGTTATCACAAATTTGTACCAATGAGCTAAATGAATTTACTATTGAGATGATGAAATGTTGATAAAAAGGGTGAGAGGAAGTAGAAAACCCGATTCTTAATCATCTTTATCAAAATATCATGTTTGTTGATTAACGGAATTAACATTAATCTTGGCAATCAAAGTAAACACGAATTGAGTGAATCACGATGAAAACAACATCAACATGCCAAGGATAAGGTTAATCTCTAGTTAGTGTTATCTTCATCATCATCATCATTATTACCTTGGCACTTTAAGGTATGAAGATAATGATGATGAGCTTTTGGTATGATTCGGTGGTTCGATATGCACCAACGATCAAAACCGAAGATCAATTTTTCCAACTAAACCCAAAGTGAATTCAGGTTGAATTTATTGTTTAGTTAATTTAACCATGAGAATGATTTTGATGAGGATCATGAGAAGGATGAAGATTATCATGGTGATGAAGATAAAGGCAAGGAAAGTTCACTTGGTTAACTATTAACCATAACAACGCCTACAGAATTAAAAGTGATCAATGAGATGATGCTCAAGAGTAAAGTGAGAGAGAGGAAGATGATGACCAAAAAAAAAGATGAGGATGGTAATGAAAACGAGCAAACTTTGAACTTGTTGATGGTCATTCAAGATTAGTGTTACTGTTGGTGTAAATTAATGTCTATTGATATAATAAAAAAGAAGATGAAAAGAGATGATGATTATCTTGATTCGCCACCGGGTTAGCCTTAATTACCGTTAAATCCGGTTATTTGGTACTCTTTCAATTTAAGAACCTGAAAGCATCATCACCAGCATCGTGTTTTTTTTTTCATCATCTCACCTCATCCTTAACTGTCCGCATCATTTTCACCATCATTTAACCACATTCATCTTGATCAATTGATAAATCTGATTGATATTAACACGAAATTGGCACAAATTGTTTTTCCTGATTGAAAACATGGTAACTGTTTCAATAGTAATACATTTATGACTGTAAATGTATCAATGATTAAGATGATTGTGAATGAAGATGATTAGTATCATCTATTCATCATCATGATACAATTGAATTTAATCTGATGAAAAAAAAACTGTTTATCCTTTTCCACTATTCAACTATTTCATTTAATTGGAAACTTTTAAAACGATCTGCAATTAACTTGATTGCTTTTAATTCAAATCTTAATCACTATTACCTCAAGATTATCATCAGATATTGGAAAATATTTGAATGTGATAAATTTCATTGAATTTTGATTGATTTGTTTTATTGTATTAGTACAAAGGGTTAGACGATTTAAATTGGATAATTTTAATTCCGTTTGGTTAATGATTATTTTTTCTTCCTCTTTTGATTATCTTAGGGTTTCCAAGGAACTGCCATTGCCAATGGTCCTTATGCCAGTCAACCATCATCATATTATTCATCATTCTTGTCTAATCCCTTCTCATCTGGATCTGGACCTTCAGGAGTTTATCCTGGATCATCAGGTTCAGGATCATCTCCAGTCGCTTCTGCCTCGTCTCCTGGTTTCAGCTCAAACTTTTATTCACCTCAATTGAGTAGTTTCACCAATGTAGTCGGTGGATCGGGTCCAATTCCCTCGGCGGGAACCAATTATCCAACCTATTCACCTCCCTCTTCAGGCCCTGGTTCTGGTAATCCAGCTAATCTTGATTTCCATGCAGTTCTTGACCAATTTGTCCGATCAGCTGGTCTCTCACCAACCGGTGATCATGAACCTGCAGCATCAACTATCCAATCGAAAGGAGATACTCCAGTTTTCAGTTTTAAGAAACTTTACTCTTTCCCCTTCTACTTATCAACTGACCAACAACCAGCTGATCAAGGATTTAATCTTCAAATTCCTTACATGAGAAAACACATCCGACGAGCTCTTCATGAAGGTTCATTCATCAAGAATCCTAAATTCTTCGGGTAAGATTAACATGTTCACTAATCCGTTGTAACGCTCAAGTTATAATGATCTTCCCATTGACCCTTTTAGCCAAGAATGAAAATACAAACATGATTTATGTTTGACAATTTAATCCGAACAGTTAATTACATTTCTCATATCAAATTTTTGTTTCTCTGACAAACAATTTAAACCATCCCTTCAGTAACTTAAAATCCTTGTTAAAGTTAATTTTTTTTCTGTTGATTTATTTGATAACTTTGATTATCCGTTGCATCAAGTTTATCATTAACTGATCATTTTTACAATCATACAATTAATTTTTACTACTACAAGTTTAATTTTCAAACCAATTCATCACCATCATCATTACTAAAAATAGTAACGATTTTGATTGTGACAAATTTAGATTGTTAAAAAGTTAATCTTAATTCAACAATCAACTCGATTCGTTCTGTTTTTCTTGTTATGAGCAATATGACATTGATTATTTAATCCGATTCACTTGATTGTGATTTAAATGTGTGAGAGAAAGTTGATTTATTAAGCCAATGATAATCAAAATGATCCATTTTGATTACTGATCATTTTTCATAACCTTCATCACAATTGACTGATTTGGTTTAATCATTTTTTATTCTGAAAAAGTGAAACGGTGATCAGATTTTCATGTTAATTATTGGCTTGGATGAAATTGTTATTTAATCAACGGATGACACAATTAATGGTGATATCTAATTTAAAGATCAACAAATCAATAAACTTTTTCTTCTTGATTGCTGAAAGTGCAATTAAACTACTTTTAGAATGAGTTTAATTTAGTTACTAACAATTTCAAGATGGACTTTAATTTAATCAGTCTATTGTTTATGTTGTGACTTATTCTAATACAATTAATTATTGGTAATCTTGTAGTTGTCTCTTCATTAATTGCTTGGTTTCAATCATTGAACCAAATCTGAATCATTGATCCGGATACAAAGTTATAATTAATCAACAAATCCTTTTGTGTATCTCTTGATTAACAATATTAATCAACAATAATTGTTTACCTGACAGTAAATGAGAAAAGCTAAAAATTTAATCACTTGGAGTGTAAATAATAACAATTTAACCTCTTACACTTGACACAGTTAATTGTATTTGCTTAACATAGTTAAATCAAATTGATATAATATTACAACTGAGTTAAAAGTGATTGTGTTGATTACAATGATTTAGTTGATGATGACCACTTACTATTATTATAAAAGGAAGGACATTGTAAATTTCATCTTAATTGTTTAAGGTTAATTGTTATAATATGAATCTAATTTTTTTTTCTTTCTCTCTTTGTTCAATCAAATTTTGTCAAACAGCGATAAGCAATCAATTCAAAACTGGTTGCACCCAAAGAATTGGTATTTCGGTCAACAAGCACTCCAACAATCAGGATCATCTTTAATCCCAACAACCTCAACAAACATTCAATGGCCAAATGGACAAGAGACAAACCCATTAATCAATGGTGTCGCTCATCAACGACCCTTTTTCCGAGGTGCTGCTAAACAACCAATAGGTGTTAAAGGTGGTATTGTTGGTCATCATAAACAACAATTACCTGTCGCTCATCATTTACAACATGGTTCACCATCAACAATAGGATCTCCCGTTGTCCCAATCCAAGGAGCTGCTTCATCATTGGTGCCCTCAGGACCACTTAAACCAGGTCACCAACAACCTCACCAACCTCACCAACAACAACAACAACAACAACAACAATTAACCCACCTTACACCCTCATCTTCAGTATCTCAATCAACATCAATCTCATCTTCATCTTCATCCTCATCGCCATCATCATCTTCCTCTGTAGTATCATCAGCTCCATCATCTTCCTCATCTTCATCATCATCAAACGCCGGTCAACAACAATCATCTCAACAAGGTTCATCTTCCGGTCAACTAGCTGACCCAAGTATCCTTAGTTCACAAGCTTTCATTGCTCAATATTTACAAGAACAATTAGCTGCGGCTAATCAAAAACCATCAAATATTAAAGATGATCAGGAAACCAACGAATCACAATACGCATCAGCTTATTATTTTCCCAATAATAACAAAGTTCAACAACAACAACAACCTTCATCCTCTCAGCAACAACAAGGTAAACACCAGTCACAGTTAGTCTCTGGTCAAGAGAAAGGTCAACCTGCCTCGGGCATAACATCATCATCATCAGTATCCTCATCATCTTCCCCTGTCTCTGGTGATCAATCGTCGCCCCTCAGCTCGTACCAGGTATCCTATTCATCTGGAGGCTATGGGACATCCTCTTAATTGTAATCAGATATTTAACTAATCAAAACAAAAATTGAAGGATGGACAAAACAACAATCAATATCGTGAGGTTAATCTAAGGATAAATTGGTCAACGTTTGTTTGTTTGTTTGTTTATTTCATCATTAAAATCTCATCAACGATTAATGACCACTAACAATTAGTTAACTCATCAATATAATACTAAAGATTAACCTGTCAAATGAACAAATTACAAAACAAATTGTTCAACCAAACATTTGATTACATAAAATTCATCATCAATCTTTTCATTTTCATCATCTCAATAACTAAGCCAAGAAATAGTCTTCACCTTCATCCTCTTCCTCTCACGTACTCTCTCACCACTAACAATCCTAATTGTAAACTGATTTTACTACCAATTGATTGACCCAAACTAACAAATTAAATTGGATGGAAAATAATAACTTAGATCATGGAGAGAATCGTTAGACCTACAATTAACCTTGAAGAGTGTTTATTGACCTTCTTATTTTTGGAAATCAACTAATATATGAAAAGCCCACCTATTAATGCTAATTAAACCAATCTTAATTGTTCCAATTTGACCGATCATCATGAAGCAATCAAGGAGCAATTTCACCGAGGTGGAAAAACAAAATCTCTTCCTATTTATATTTTAGGTTCATCTTCCTACTCTTACCTTTTTTTCCGATTTTCCCTCTTTTTATGATTTTGCTCCTGATTCTAATTAATTCTGCAACTTTTACAATTAATTTCTAATTAACTCAACAAATGCATATTTTACTTATGTTGACATCTCACCAGAAATTCACTGTCATCAAATGGATTAAATTTATTGTCATAATTTAACGATTTATGATATAAAATGAGAGGATTTCCAATCAATCAAATCTGATTGCGTTATCGAATCAGATCTGATAAATATTTAATTTGTATTGCATTTTGTTTCTAACTGTTCAACTTAAAATTTACATACTTTAATTGTTGAATTTTACACACATTTAATATTGTTTGTAAATCATTTTGACAATCAATTGATTTTATAATTCATTTTTCCTTCTGTTTGATTCAGTTCCAATTTAAAGTGAATCTAAACATCAAGGATAATGTGAAAACTTTGTAGCGACATTTTCTCGCCTATTTATCTGATATTAAACAATCAAAATTAACTCCAACAATTGATAATTATTCAAACTAATACATAAATGATCAATTTTATTGCATTTCTATTAATCATATGATAAAATGAATACAATTTTAATTATAAAGCGATGACCATATTACGAATTGATCTTGGTTTCAATGTTGTTGTGATTGTTTTGCTTGCGAATCCATTGATTGTCATGTCGACATGATCATCGTTCATGTTTAATAAAATTAAGACCAACTTGTTATCCGGCGTAATGAAGGAAGTGGTATGAACATTGTTCGGGGCATTAACGACACTACAAGAGACTCGAGTTGATCCGATTGGTAAAAATTTAGAGAAATGAGCTAATGCATAATACATTGGGTTCTTGTAATATTCTTGTGAGGTTGAGTTAATCACGACTGTTGAGTCAACCCAATTCTTGGCCCAATTTGGTCCACCTGAAGTGTCAACAGCGATTGTCCAATCAGTCCAACCAGATGAATAATGTTGAAGTCCCTCGAGAATGTCCAGAGCATAAGCTTCAGCTCTTGTCCAAGATCCAAGGTAGTCCGAAGCTAAAATCAACCGAAAACGTTTTGATCATTTGGTTTTTTCATATTCGATTCTTCACTTACCAACTCCAGTCCATCCACCTTCAGATGAAAATAGGAAATAATCCGGATACTTTTCATGAGCTTGAGCCAGAATCTGATAAGAAGATGGATAATTACGAGAATACCAATGATAAGCGATTCCTGATACATAAGAAGCCGCTTCAGGATCGTCGAGCAAAGTGTTTACATAAGTCGGAATGTCATTTGTATTATCGTCATTAATCATAAGTGTGAGGTTTTCCTTTCCCCAACCCGCAGCTCTAAGAGCTGGACCGAGGTCAAGCTTAACCCAATCTCTGATCTGAGCGGGAGTCATTGCAAGAGCATTGAAAATGCTTCCTCCGATTCCTTCAGCGGGCTCATTTTCAGTGGTCAGTCCCCACAGTTTAACACCATTTTCCAAGTAAGCGTTCAAGTATTTCACATAATAATCGGCCCACAGTTTATAATAAACATCTCCCGGACCCCAGATCAAACCACCATTTCCATTGATTGCATGATTTGTTTTCATCCACGCTGGCGATGACCAAGCGGAACCGAATGCTCGAAACTCAGGATTTAATTCCTTAGCTAATTTCAACAAGGGAATCTAAAGAATATAAAGTAAGTAAATTTCAACGAAATCGATCTGAGATAAATACCTTATATTTAATATCTTCTTCTGCGAGAGCAAAATGGGACAGATCGAAATCGAGTTCGGTATCATCCAAAGAATATGCTCGAACTGAAGAGTCAGATCCACCAACTGAAATTCGAGCGACATTATACTCGAGTCCATGAGGGCCAAAGTAATCGTTCATTACCCGATTAATCAGCTCACCTTTCAATAATGTTAAGATATTAATCGCAGCTCCATCGGTTAAAGTGCCACCAAAGCCCAGAATCTGTTGCTTTTTATCCGAGACATTAACATTCATCACAAATTGATTGTCATTGTAAATCTTTGATTTTACTTGATCAACAGTAACAATTGTCTTTTCTAATCGAGATGTTTTCTGATCCGATTCGTAGATGATTATTGTACCAGGTTCGATTGTCTTTTCAATGTCCAAAGTGTCACAATAATTTTCATCACAAACACAAACAAACGAATCTCCAGTAAATGTCCGTTTCTTACATTCACTTGCCAAAGAAACAGAGAAAACAATAAACAAACTAATCAACTTTAACAAAATCATCGCAATTCACTTAATTGTACAATCAGACAAACTAATTTACTCTCAATCATCATCAATTTATACACAAATTCAACAATAACAATTTTAATCACAAGAAAATCAGATCAAAGTGTTTCCTATTAATCCAAACAAAGTGATCTCAGTTGATAACTACGCTCGACTTTATGATAAAACTTTAATATCAAATTTCCGAGTTTCAGTTCTGTCAGTTGATTTTCAGATTGATTTCAATTTTGATTGTGATCATTTCGTGAGACCTTCATAGGTCAAAAATAATTTACTCATTCTTGCTAATAATTCCGTTAGTTGAGTCTAAGAATCAATTCATTATCATAATTGTGATAAAAGCATTCATTTGATTCCAGTGAATTGTTATTGTTGTTTATTATGAAAAGTTGCCATTGATTTTAATCAACCAACTAATTGTTTGAAACATGATAAAATTGGGTAATAATTCAATCGATTATTAGTTGTATTTTGTAAGTAAATACATAATTGATAAATGAAATAATATCGTTTACCTTTGAGTTGTTTTCTAATAGCATTTGAACAATAGATTCTGAGTATCGTTGATTGGAACTTCATGTAAAATATAAAATAATGGAATCGAGTTGATAATCAACCGGGATCACTTTGTTTTAATTAATAGGAAACACTTTGATCTGATTTTCTTGTGATTAAAATTGTTATTGTTGAATTTGTGTATAAATTGATGATGATTGAGAGTAAATTAGTTTGTCTGATTGTACAATTAAGTGAATTGCGATGATTTTGTTAAAGTTGATTAGTTTGTTTATTGTTTTCTCTGTTTCTTTGGCAAGTGAATGTAAGAAACGGACATTTACTGGAGATTCGTTTGTTTGTGTTTGTGATGAAAATTATTGTGACACTTTGGACATTGAAAAGACAATCGAACCTGGTACAATAATCATCTACGAATCGGATCAGAAAACATCTCGATTAGAAAAGACAATTGTTACTGTTGATCAAGTAAAATCAAAGATTTACAATGACAATCAATTTGTGATGAATGTTAATGTTTCTGATAAAAAGCAACAGATTCTGGGCTTTGGTGGTTGTTTTACCGATGGAGCAGTGATTAATATCGATACACTTTCAGATACTTTGATTGAACAATTCATGTCCGATTATTTCGGTCCTCATGGTCTCGAATATAATATTGGACGTGTTCCGATCGGAGGATCAGATTCATCGGTTCGTGGCTACTCTTTGGACGATACAGAATTTGATTTCGAGCTCAAATATTTCGCTCTTGCCGAAGAAGATACAAAATATCGAGTAAGTTAAGAAACGAAAATCTAAAATTGTCTTTAATTCCTAATAGCTGATTATATTAATAATTAATCATCAAATGTAATAGATTCCATTACTTAAATTAGCCAAGCAAATGAATCCTGAGTTTCGAGCATTCGGTTCCGCTTGGTCATCTCCTGCATGGATGAAAGTAAATCACAAACTCAATGGCGCCGGTGGTTTAATTTGGGGTCCTGGTGATGTTTATTATAAACTTTGGGCTCAATATTATGTCAAGTAAGTTAATCAGTTGACTCCATGAAAGCTCATTTTTAATTCAATCTCTATTCCTACAGGTATTTGAACGCTTATTTGGAACAAGGTGTCAAATTTTGGGGATTGACAACTGAGAATGAGCCGATTGAAGGAATCAGAGGAATGAGTTGGAATGCCCTTGGAATGACCGGTGAAAATATTCGAGATTTTGTGAAGCTCGATTTAGGACCAGCTCTTAAAGCTGCTGGTTGGGAAAGGAAAATCTCACTCTCATGATTAACGATGATAATACTGATGATATTGATTCTTATGTACCAGTTTTTCTCGATGATCCTGAAGCGGCTTCTTATGTTTCAGGAATCGCTTATCATTGGTACTCACGTAATTATCCATCTTCTTATCAAATTCTGACTCAAACTCACGATAAATATCCAGACTACTTTTTATTATCAACGGAGGCCGGAGAATGGGGAGTCGGTAAGTTTACAACAAGTGTCTGATTTGAGATCATAATTTATTGATTATGTTTGTTTTGTATCTTTAAGCTTCTGAACATCTCGGCGCTTGGGATCGAGCTGAGGCTTATGCTCTTGATATTCTCGAGGGACTCCAACATTATTCTTCAGGTTGGACTGATTGGGCTCTCGCTGTTGACACTTCAGGTGGACCGAATTGGGCCAAGAACTGGGTCGATGCGACAATTGTTATCAATGCTACTGCTCAAGAATATTACAAGAACCCAATGTATTATGCATTAGCTCATTTCTCTAAATTTTTACCAATCGGATCAACTCGAGTCTCTTGTAGTGTCGTTAATGCCCCGAACAATGTTCATACCACTTCCTTCATTACTCCGGATAACAAGTTGGTCTTAATTTTATTAAACATGAACGATGATCATGTCGACATGACAATCAATGGATTCGCAAGCAAAACAATCACAACAACATTGAAACCAAGATCAATTCGTAACATGGTCATCGCTTTGTAATCAAATTGTATTCATTTTATAATATTATTAATAGAAATGCAATAAAATTTATCATTTACATTGTGTATATTATTAAAGTCCAACTTTTTGAAAACAATTCCTCTGAATCAACTGAAACTCATTGATCTCAGTGTCCGTGAAAGTGCCTATGTCAAGTTTATAAACGAAGCAATGGAAGAAAAGTTAAGGTTTCAATTTTATCTTCGCGATTTATTCAATATTTTTCGAAATTGTTGACTGAAAATTAAACTATGACATGAAATCAATTGATAGTCGAATTTTTATAAAAGAGAGTCGCAACTCATTTAATCACGAAAACATTTATTGAATCAATAACTACAATTTGATTACAAAGCGATGACCATGTTACGAATTGATCTCGGTTTCAATGTTGTTGTGATTGTTTTGCTTGCGAATCCATTGATTGTCATGTCGACATGATCATCGTTCATGTTTAATAAAATTAAGACCAACTTGTTATCCGGAGTAATGAAGGAAGTGGTATGAACATTGTTCGGGGCATTAACGACACTACAAGAGACTCGAGTTGATCCGATTGGTAAAAATTTAGAGAAATGAGCTAATGCATAATACATTGGGTTCTTGTAATATTCTTGTGAGGTTGAGTTAATCACGACTGTTGAGTCAACCCAATTCTTGGCCCAATTTGGTCCACCTGAAGTGTCAACAGCGAGAGCCCAATCAGTCCAACCTGAAGAATAATGTTGAAGTCCCTCGAGAATGTCAAGAGCATAAGCCTCAGCTCGATCCCAAGCGCCGAGATGTTCAGAAGCTTAAAGATACAAAACAAATAATCAGTAAATTATGAGTTTATACACAGACTTTAATTCATCTAATTGAGACATTCAGTACTCACCAACACCACCTTCACCCGCCTCAGTCGAAAGTAAAAAGTAATCTGGATAATTATCATTTACCTTCGCTAAGGCCTGGTAAGAGGTCGGATAACTTCTTGTGTACCAATGATAGGCTATTCCGGAAACATAAGAAGCCACTTGGGTGTCATTCAGAATCACTGGAACGTAATCTAATATTCTGTCAGTTGTATCGTCGAAAATCATTAGCTTGAGATTTTCTTTTCCCCAACCAGAAGCCTCAAGAGCAGGTCCTAAGTCAAGTTTTACGAAGTCACGAATTTCCTCCGCAGTCATGCCAAGGCCATTCCAGGGCAAACCCACAAGTCCACCAACTGGTTCATTCTCGGTTGTCAGTCCCCAAAACTTTACTCCTTGTTCCAGGTAAGCGTTCAGGTACCTAAAGCGATTTCAATTATTACCAAAACAAGAATAAAAGTTAAGCATATCGATTATCCTACTTGACATAATATTGAGCCCAAAGTTTATAATAAACATCACCAGGTCCCCAAATTAAACCACCGGCGCCATTGAGTTTGTGATTTACTTTCATCCATGCAGGAGATGACCAAGCGGAACCGAATGCTCGAAACTCAGGATTCATTTTCTTGGCTAATTTAAGTAATGGAATCTATTACATTTGATGATTAATTATTAATATAATCAGCTATTAGGAATTAAAGACAATTTTAGAATTTCGTTTCTTAACTTACTCGATATTTTGTATCTTCTTCGGCAAGAGCGAAATATTTTAGATCGAAATCAAATTCTGTATCGTCCAAAGAGTAGCCACGAACCGATGAATCTGATCCTCCGATCGGACACGTCCAATATTATATTCGAGACCATGAGGACCGAAATAATCGGACATGAATTGTTCAATCAAAGTATCTGAAAGTGTATCGATATTAATCACTGCTCCATCGGTAAAACAACCACCAAAGCCCAGAATCTGTTGCTTTTTATCCGAGACATTAACATTCATCACAAATTGATTGTCATTGTAAATCTTTGATTTTACTTGATCAACAGTAACAATTGTCTTTTCTAATCGAGATGTTTTCTGATCCGATTCGTAGATGATTATTGTACCAGGTTCGATTGTCTTTTCAATGTCCAAAGTGTCACAATAATTTTCATCACAAACACAAACAAACGAATCTCCAGTAAATGTCCGTTTCTTACATTCACTTGCCAAAGAAACAGAGAAAACAATAAACAAACTAATCAACTTTAACAAAATCATCGCAATTTAGTTCAGAAAATTCACAATTAATTTTCATTTTCATCATTGGATTCTCGAAATCAGTTAATCGAGTCCATTGTTCTGGAATAAATGAAATCTCTGAATAGTCAATTTATTACATAAGAACGAATTTTTTTGTGTCCAAAGGTTAATTATGATTCTAATATCTTGAATTGTTATTCATGTGATTTTATTGAAAACCGATTCGTGTCTGTGATTCAGATCATTTGATTAATTGTTATGATCGTTTAGATAAATTAGATTTGAGATCTTCAATCTCTCAATTGTTTCCTTTCGTTTCGTTACAATCAATTAATTTCTAATGAATTCAATTTCCTGATGATAAAAGTGAGTTACGAATTTATTTTCAGGAATCATTCACGAGATTCAGTCAAGTAAAAAACTTTTTCATCTCAGAATCTGATTAATATTCTTGAATTATCCCAAACGGTTAATTAGTTTGTGAGTTTACTTCAAGATGCGATTATGTGTAATGAATTATCCTACATTAGTATCCTGAATGCTTAGGATGCTTGATTTTCAAGAGAAAATAAATTTAACAAAAATTAGTCTAAAATGAACTTTAATTGACGTAAAAATTTGAATTCCAAAGGATCAATACAATCAATAAGACTCCGATTGAATTTTAGCATTGTGAGTTAGATGTTTTTTTTCATGTTTTTGTATTAATATTTTTTGTTTCAATGTTGATGTTGATTTTTGTTTAGTAATTATTGATATTAAATTGAAGAAAAAGAAAATTTAATCAGAGGCATGAGGTTATTTCTTCTTGGCTGCCTTTTCAGCGGCTTTGGTAACTTTTCCTGCTGAAAGATCCTTGGCTTTGACACTTTTAATGACACCAACGGCAACAGTTTGTCGCATATCACGAACAGCAAAACGTCCTAATGGAGGAAAGTCAGTGAATGTTTCGACACACATTGGCTTACTTGGTACCAAATCAACGATAGCAGCATCACCAGATTTAATTGATTTCGGATTATCTTCCAACTTTTTACCACTTCGTCTGTCAATCTTTTCCTTGATCTCCTTGAATTTGCAAGCAATGTGAGCAGTGTGACAGTCCAAAACTGGAGTGTAACCATTAGAGATTTGACCAGGATGGTTTAGAACAATAACCTGAGCAGCAAACTCTTCCGTTGCTTGAGGTGGATTGTTCTTAGAATCTCCAGCCACATAACCTCGTCTCAATTCTTTAACCGAAACGTTCTTAACGTTGAAACCAACATTGTCACCGGGAACAGCTTCAGTCAATGATTCGTGGTGCATCTCAACTGATTTTACTTCAGTTGTCAAGTTAACCGGTGCAAATGTAACAATCATACCTGGCTTAATGGTACCAGTTTCAACTCGACCAACCGGTACAGTACCAATACCACCAATTTTGTAAACATCTTGAAGTGGAAGACGAAGTGCCTTGTCACTGGGTCGTGAAGGTGGATCCATAGCATCCAAAGCTTGCAAAAGTGTTTTACCTTCCAATTTGGTTCCCTTCTTCTCGATTGACCATCCCTTGTACCAAGGCATGTTTGGTGAGGGTTCAATCATGTTGTCACCATTCCATCCGGAAATGGGTACAAATGGTACAGTAACTGGATTGTAACCAATCTTCTTGATGTAACTACTCACTTCCTTTGAGATTTCCTCAAATCGAGCTTGAGAATATTTTGGCTCAGATGAGTCCATCTTGTTTACACCAATGATCATTTGTTTCACACCCAAAGTATAAGCCAATAAAGCATGTTCTCGGGTTTGACCATTCTTCGAGATACCAGCTTCAAATTCACCCACACCAGCAGCACAAATCAATACAGCACAATCAGCTTGAGAAGTACCAGTAATCATGTTCTTGATGAAATCTCTGTGACCAGGAGCATCAATAACGGTTACATAATATTTGGGAGTCTCGAATTTCCATAAGGTAATATCAATAGTGATACCTCGCTCTCTTTCGGCCTTTAATTTATCCAATACCCAAGCATATTTGAAAGAACCTTTGCCCATCTAATGATCATTTCATTTGTAAATTCAATTTAGAAAGAAAGATGAAAGAACCAAGGAAAGAAAGAATCAAGAAAGAAAATATGTTAATAATGGCAATTGACACAAAGAAACTTGCCCGGAGGCAGAAGAACAGGAAAAAATAACAAAAAGGTCAAGTGTCTCTTAGTTGCTAAGGCAGGTCAAGATTAGTCAAAGAGAAACAAAGACAAAGACCATATTGAAGACTCGGACTAAATTGGAAAAGCTTGTCAACGATTAGTAACAATTAAAATAGAAAATATAATTACCTCAGCAGCTTCTTTCTCGAATTTTTCAATTGTTCGTTTATCGATACCACCACATTTGTAGATCAAATGTCCGGTTGTCGTTGATTTACCAGAATCGACGTGACCGATAACGACAATGTTAATATGAGTCTTTTCCTTACCCATGATTAATAAATTGAGTTAGTTGATTGTTGGCAAAAAAGAATAAAACAAAATGATGACAAGATTGGTAACAAAAGTAGACAATTTGTTAGCACTAAAAAGGAACCACAAAAAAAAGATCAAGGAGACAGAGAACCTTTTAAATGAATTAAACAAAAAAAAAGAATAAACCGGAAAAGGAAATGAAGAAAATCAGGTGTATTTAATTAGTTCCAGAAAAAGCCAATAGATGTCACCACATTTTCTCAAACTTAATTTAATTTAAAAGAAAAAAATTTAATTAATTAACAAAATCTAATTTAATCCAATTTATTTTCTCTTCTCAATGTCAACTCATAGTAAATACCTTTTCTAATACCCTTCAATTCAATGAAACGTTCATCTTAACATTCATTTGTTTGCCGGAGAGATGAAAATGAATTCCAATTGAAAACTAATCACAGTTTCTTAATTGTTGTTAATTTAAATTGCTACGAATATAATTTCACTCATTTTTTATAATCAATGAATTCGTGACTAATTCATAATCCTAATCTTTATGAGGATCATGTGTCTTCCTGTCTTTAGATTTTGATAACTGTCTGATTTTAACTTTTTCAGCGCAATTTGAATGACAATTTGATTGTCATCAAGATAATTAAAAGCTGATTATTAACAACGATTTGCTGGTTGATCAACCAACGGGAATTTTGAAAGCAATTACCTTTTCAATTGAAACAAGATTATGTTGATTCCATGTAAACAACGAGCTTAATTGCTGCTGAAGCAAAAAATCATAATCACAAACCTGATGATGAACAGCAAAAATGAAGAGACTCAAGAGTTAATTTTGTTATTCAAATTGTTGGTAATTTAGTGAACAATCAAAGCTAAAAAATGATAACAATTAGACTTAAATTGTTCCTTGAGGCCTAATCAGCCCATTACATAACAATGGGATGAGAATCATTTGTTTAATGAACAACATGATTGTCATTATAAGAAAATGATTCGCTGATTGTTGATTGTTGATTTCTTAATTCTCTTCATGATTATTGACTCATAAATCCTTGAAATGTAATTACCATTGAGATGGAACATCAGAAGAAAAGAATTCACGTCAATCAACAAATAACCTGTTTGATTTAAAAATAATCATCGACAATTAAATTCTATTGACAAAGAAAAGAGAAAAAAATCCCAATGTCTTCATTCAGTTTCTTTGTCTCAATCAAATCACTTCATCGTTTAGTTTAATTGTCTCATTGGAATTAACAATTTCAATCTTATATTCTATTCGGTTAATTGTTCATCTTTGCTGCTTTAATTTTATTCAGTTCATTGGATTAATTTCTCAATACACTTGATATGGATCATTTTCGCTTCTTGGTAATTGGTTTGATTGTCGCTTCAATCGGTCAATCGATCGCTGCTCCAGGTTAGTGTTTCTTAATTGTTCGTAATCTCGTTAATTTGATTAGTTTGTCATTTTAATTTGTTTCATTTGCTTTGATTAAAGTTTCGGAGGGAACGACAGTTGATGAAGATGTTGTCACACCTTTGACATTAATTGATTCTTCGTCAAGTGAATCTGATTTAACGATGATCGAATCAAGTGAAGATAAAGATGAAGATGATGGAACAATTAAAAAAAGAAACAATCGTTTGATGACATCGATTGATAAATTGCGAAAACGAGCAGATCAAAGTCGTCAAGTTCTATCGGGAATCGTCGAGTCCTTCATGTCAGATCCTTCGAATGACGGAAGTAAATTGGAAGAATCGTTAACTAAATATGACGAAATCGTCGAAGACATTGAAGCAGATTTCACGAAAGCGAAAATCGAGTTTGGTCTTCGAATGGAACAGAACATTGGAAATGTGAATAAATCATTAGAACAAATGGAACAACAATTAAATGATCTAAATCAACAATTCATCAATTGGAGTTCCAAAAATCGAGCGAAAATGACCAATCAGATGAGACAAGGAATCTTACAATTCAACGATTTCTTGTCTTCGGGAGTCGAAATGTTTCTCGAAGTATCGGAAAAGGGAAAAGACGTTCTAAGGAACATAAACCGACGAAGATTCGATTCGAACAACAAAAAATCAACTGATCAAGAGAATTATAAAAATTCTGGTTTTTTCATTCCCTTTTTGGGTCAATTGTGATTCAACTTCAATTCACTTCTGACAAACTACTTTAAACTCCCAACGAATCAATTAAATGTAAAAACATTAACCTTATTTAACCTTTCAAATGATTAATAAAGAAACTTGAGCACAATTAAGATTCTCAGTAAAAGAATCAAAAGTCAAAACGTGAGTTTTTCTCTAAGGAGTGTTGATTGATCTTCTTCATTTGGAAAACGCCCTAATCTCTAAGCACCAAGCCCTTTGAAGGGCCAGGATGGGATTCATTCGGAACGCGATAGTTTATGCAAACGTGGAAAACATGAAATGAACTTGAGACGCACCTTTTTTTTGACCTAAAAGTTTTAATCAGAGGATAAAAATTTAAATTTAGATAGGCTCATTGAGACTCCGATTAAAAGGAGGTGAAAAGCTCAGTGTTGGTAGATGTTTTTTGTTTCATATCATGTTTTTGTATTAATATTTTTTGTTTCAATGTTGATGTTGATTTTTGTTTAGTAATTATTGATATTAAATTGAAGAAAAAGAAAATTTAATCAGAGGCATGAGGTTATTTCTTCTTGGCTGCCTTTTCAGCGGCTTTGGTAACTTTTCCTGCTGAAAGATCCTTGGCTTTGACACTTTTAATGACACCAACGGCAACAGTTTGTCGCATATCACGAACAGCAAAACGTCCTAATGGAGGAAAGTCAGTGAATGTTTCGACACACATTGGCTTACTTGGTACCAAATCAACGATAGCAGCATCACCAGATTTAATTGATTTCGGATTATCTTCCAACTTTTACCACTTCGTCTGTCAATCTTTCCTTGATCTCCTTGAATTTGCAAGCAATGTGAGCAGTGTGACAGTCCAAAACTGGAGTGTAACCATTAGAGATTTGACCAGGATGGTTTAGAACAATAACCTGAGCAGCAAACTCTTCCGTTGCTTGAGGTGGATTGTTCTTAGAATCTCCAGCCACATAACCTCGTCTCAATTCTTTAACCGAAACGTTCTTAACGTTGAAACCAACATTGTCACGGGAACAGCTTCAGTCAATGATTCGTGGTGCATCTCAACTGATTTTACTTCAGTTGTCAAGTTAACCGGTGCAAATGTAACAATCATACCTGGCTTAATGGTACCAGTTTCAACTCGACCAACCGGTACAGTACCAATACCACCAATTTTGTAAACATCTTGAAGTGGAAGACGAAGTGCCTTGTCACTGGTCGTGAAGGTGGATCCATAGCATCCAAAGCTTGCAAAAGTGTTTTACCTTCCAATTTGGTTCCCTTCTTCTCGATTGACCATCCCTTGTACCAAGGCATGTTTGGTGAGGGTTCAATCATGTTGTCACCATTCCATCCGGAAATGGGTACAAATGGTACAGTAACTGGATTGTAACCAATCTTCTTGATGTAACTACTCACTTCCTTTGAGATTTCCTCAAATCGAGCTTGAGAATATTTTGGCTCAGATGAGTCCATCTTGTTTACACCAATGATCATTTGTTTCACACCCAAAGTATAAGCCAATAAAGCATGTTCTCGGGTTTGACCATTCTTCGAGATACCAGCTTCAAATTCACCCACACCAGCAGCACAAATCAATACAGCACAATCAGCTTGAGAAGTACCAGTAATCATGTTCTTGATGAAATCTCTGTGACCAGGAGCATCAATAACGGTTACATAATATTTGGGAGTCTCGAATTTCCATAAGGTAATATCAATGGTAATACCTCGCTCTCTTTCGGCCTTTAATTTATCCAATACCCAAGCATATTTGAAAGAACCTTTGCCCATCTAAAAAAATAAATTTAAAAAAAAAGATTTGATAAATTAAAACAGTTTCCATTTTTGCTCTTGTTCCAAGAAAGGAACGAGCGACACGTGTAATATTGAATTCCATCATGGTGGAAAGAAGTTAACAGAAAGGGGAGAATTAGAAAAGAGATAACAGAAAAAGAGCGAAAGAAAAGTCGAAAGAGAACAAGTGAAATAGACAGAGATAAAGAGCAAGATTAAAGACCAAGGAGAAAACAAAGAGAAAGAAAGAGAAAGAGAGACCGAAGAGTCAACGTAATCAAAAAAAAAGAATAAGACAAAGAACGAAAAAAAGATGACAACTGACACCAAAGAAAACAAAAGAATGACCATTATCATAAATAGATTAAGAAACAATAGATAATTACCTCAGCGGCTTCTTTCTCGAATTTTTCAATTGTTCGTTTATCGATACCACCACATTTGTAGATCAAATGTCCGGTAGTCGTTGATTTACCAGAATCGACGTGACCGATAACGACAATGTTAATATGAGTCTTTTCCTTACCCATGATGACAGTAAATTAATTTAAATTAAACTAATTAAGAAATGAAAAAAATAAGAAAAAAATTAACGTAAAAGTAAACCAAATGAACGCAACACAAACGATGAGATGAATGAAGGGAAGCGGAAACATGGAGATGCTTTTGGTCTCTTTAAATAGTTTGCTTTTTCTCTTTTTCCCCTCAACTCTTTCCCTGATCAGTTCTTCTTATTGGTTGAACTTTTTTTTTCTCTTCTCAGTTAACCAATCAGGTTGATCCATTTAACTTCCATCACTTGTTACCAAGAGTAACAACATTGTTTGTCTTTTCAAGATGAGAACAAGTTGATTCAAAGATAATCATTCTGTTAATCGCAATTCAAATCAATCCGATGAATTATACAAATTGAAACTTGGTGAAAATCGGTTATGTTTGCATTCTAGATGAAATCATGACATTTATCATCTCAAGCAGAAATTAGAACAATTTTTTTCCACCATGAACCAAGTTGTTGATGTTTACTTTTTCTCTTTTTTAATTTGGTTATTTTTTCTCAATTATTCTATTGTTGATTAATTATCGTTAAGAATCTGTTCTTTTGTTTATTTCGTTATTTCTTGGTTCTTTTCTATCTCTTTTTCTTCTCTCCTTGTTTCATGTAATTCATCTTATTTGGTATCTTTTCTGCCCCTTTTTCTGCTGTTCTTTTTTGGTTTACTTTTTGGTTAGAATCTGGTTTTTTTTCGTTGTGGCCAATGGCTGATCCAAAGGAGTTACTTCTTGGTGGATTAGCTGCATGTGGAGCTGGTTTGGTAACTAATCCATTGGAAGTTATTAAAACTCGTATCCAATTACAAGGTGAATTACGTTCTCGGGGACAATACACTAAACATTATAAGAATGTTTTCCATGCTTTTTATGTGATCGGTAAAACAGAAGGTGTTTTGGCCTTACAAAAAGGTTTGGTTCCTGCTCTTTGGTATCAATTCTTTATGAATGGTGTTCGTCTTGGTGTTTTCCAATCTATTGATAATCTTGGGCTTACTCGTAATTCTAAAGGTGAACTCGTTTTTGGGTTAACTGTTATCTCCGGTGCTTTATCTGGAGCAACTGGAGCTGCTCTTGGATCTCCCTTCTATTTAATTAAAACCCAGCTTCAAGCTCAAGCTAATTCATCAATTGCTGTAGGCCATCAGCATTCACACCAGTCTTTTACCGATGCTTTTATTAAAACTTTTAAAAATCAAGGAATTACTGGTCTATGGAGAGGTTCGTCTGCCCAAATGTTACGTGTTACTATTGGTTCATCTGCACAATTAACAACTTTCACCAATGCACGAGTCATTTTCGATAAATATTCACCTTTTCCAAGTGAATCAATTCTAAACACCATTTCTTCCGCTATCTTTTCCGGAACAGCGGTTGTTTGCATGATGACACCTTTTGACGTTGTGTCAACTCGCATGTATAATCAACCTGTTGACAAAATAACCAGAAAAGGTCTTCTTTATACCGGAATATCTGATTGTTTTCGTAAAATAATGCAAACCGAAGGACCACTTGGATTCTACAAAGGAGTCTCAGCCTCTTACCTAAGAGTTGGCCCTCACACCATATTGACCTTTCTTTTTTGGAGACAAATAAGAAAGTACTTTGTCACTGACAATAAGGACAAAACTGTGATTTCAACTAAATAATTTAATTGCCGTTTTTTTATTATTCGCAACAAAAACATAATTCGCCACAATTTGTCTTACAATTCTAACCAATTTTAGCTTTTCTAGTCTCATTTTTTTGCTAATATTTTTGTGTCAATTCAATAGCCAATTACAATTACAAAGACTATTAATTGTTCACAAAAAGAGTAACTAATCAACGAAATTTTTTGTTCCCTGTGACTCCTTCACACTCTAGATAAATACAAAGTTTTAACTAACTAATTTTTGTTAATAGTTATTTTATGTACATTAATCAATTCAAATTACCAATTGTATCTATTACGTTGAGATTAATCAAATTACGATAACTTTGATTTGTATCACTTTAAATTGTCCGCTACCAATGATTAACCAAAGACAATTATTTTGATACAAAATCATTACAAAAGCAATAAAACCTAAGCAAGACCATTAAAATTGAGATTAAAATCAACTGGTAATTAACTAATGGTTTCATTAACCTTGTGAATTTTTCCTAATTAATGATCCCTTTTGATTTCGATTTCTTAAGAAAATCGATTTTCTTTTTTCTCCAAATCGATTTTAATCGATCGTCTGCTGATCATGTGCTGAGCTTTAAGTGAATCTATTTACATTTAACTTAATTTCCAATTTGATTGTTTTCCCTCTAATTAAATTAATTTTCTTCTCAAAAATGACCAATTCCGACGAAGAGGTTGTTGAGTCAAATGAAGGTAAAGTCAAGAAGGAAAAGGAAAAGGAAATTACTGCTAAGCAGCCCTTAAGGTGAGTCTCAATTTGATAAGATGGTTTTGTTTTCACTTTGATTTTTTCCCTTCTTTCATTTTGGTTCTTGTTGTTGATAAAATAATCAATGTTTAAATTATCTCCATAATTGTTCAGGACTCTTCCCATGAGGCAAGCTAGGATCAATGCCGCGTTAACATTAGATGTACAATCGCGAGACTCCAATAGAGTTTTAAGATCATCAAAACCGTCAACTAGTAGTAACTCATCGACCACTAAATCTCCTGTTAAAAAAGCCTCCAAGACTTTAACCACAAGCACTTCTACTTCAACTAAGAAAACCGTTAAATCAAAAGGTACTGACGCATCCACATCCACATCAATAGCCAAACGTCCTGTAGTTGTTACTCAACAAGTAATTCGAAGGCCTTCCCTTAGAGCTGCTCGTCGTCGTATCAAAGCTAAAAATATAAAAGCTCGATCATCCAAGTGTCAACTTTTCTTCTGTGACAAATGTGATAAAGTTTATGATCATTATAGCGAGTTAGTATACCATCAACGTCGCCATACTGGGGAAAAGCCCTTTGCATGCACATGGCCTGGTTGTTCTGCCGCTTTTTCTGCCTCCAATGCTCGAGTTCGTCATATGAGAATTCACACTGGTGAAAAGCCTTATGTTTGCCCTCACAGTGAATGCGGGCGAAGATTCACTTATTGGAAGGACCTTAAGCTCCACAAGTTACGCCATTCAGGAGAGAAACCTCATAAATGTACTTGGCCTGGTTGTTCATCGAGATTTTTCCGTCGAGATGATCTAAAGCATCACCGATATACACATACAGGTAACATTAGATTTTTCTTTTTCTCTATTCGAATTAGCTTTTAAAAGTTCGTCTCCATCTTTCCACAGGTGAAAAGCCTTACAAATGTACATTTCCTGGATGTGAATCCGCTTTCACTCAAAAATCTCCATTAAACTTACACATGAGGAAAATTCATAAAATACTTCCTGATAGTAAACCCCCAGGTAATTTTAATTTAACAAGTATTCATGTTACATAAGTTTTAATAAACATTTTCTTGTAATTTGTTTTAACAGATAAATCTCAGGTTAACCAAGTAAATAAAACCAATGAAGCTTGTAACGGTGATGCGGTAATTAGTAATAATATATCCACTCCATTTGAATATCCAGTTTACCAAACAGTTTCCAATAATATAATTCGTGAATCAGTACCAAACAATCAGGTACAAATGCCTGATTCTAATCATATCCATCACAATAATAATAATAACCATGTTACAAACAACATGATGTATGTCAATTCCAATCAAAATGTTCAATGTATGGCAGTTGCTGATAAATTGAGCTCCATTTTGGTTACATGTGACGTTTCACCGGCCACTGTACATGGAGTAAGTCATCAATTTAACCAAGATGTCAATGGTTGGCCTGGTTATACTTATGTACCAGAAACTGTCGATTTAAATCAAAATATGTCAAACACTACACGACCTTTAGGTGCACAACCATTAGCAAATTCATCTTGCATGAAGGAACCAAATGTAATCACTAAACCCTCCGATCAAAGCATGAACCATTTACCGAATTTAGATGATCTCCTTGCCGATGCATGTGCCGCAAGTCAAATTCCAATGGATAACTCGATTAACATTACCAATAATAGTAATAATAATAATAATCTAAATTCAGTTAATCAAGGCACAAGTTCATCTTTCCTTGCAAATGAAACCAATTGTGTAGTAACGACGCTTATCCAATCAAACAACGTTAACGTTTCAACTTCGATGCCGACTTTAAATGCGAATTTGAGTCCAACATCAAGTACCACCGCTCCTACTAATGTATCCTTAACTACTTCTATTTCGACATCTACTAATGAAACTTCGCAACAAACTAATAGTCCATCAAAAGAATTAACTTCAAATTCGATTGAAAAAAATACTACTACTGAATCGACTCAAGAGACCAATTCTTTAGATGCTAATAAGAAAAGTGGAAAGGCTCAAGATTCTGTTAAAACGACTGAAGATGCAAGTACATCCCCCATCAAATCTCCAAGACCAATTCGAAAACGTGCAAACTATCGTATCAAAGCGCCTGAGACAGTTAAAAAGATCGTTGTTGCTATAATTCGACAAAAGCCTGTGATTGAAACTAAGTCATCAAAGAAAAAATCAGCCACAAAAATCGATAAACTTGGTGCTAAAAGAACCATCGCCATACAAACGACTAAAAGACAACCAGCCGAAAAAACTAAAGATGGTAAATTTAAATGCGATTATTGTGAACGTGAATTTAAAGCCAAACATGATCGAGATTGTCACCATATGACCCACACCGGTGAGTTTGTTTATTTACAAGTTTTCAGGCTCTTTTCAACTTACTAAAATTTTCTTATTTATTGTATCACAGGAGAGAAACCAAGAGTTTGTGATTGGCCTGGTTGCGATTATCGATGTATAACCAAGAGTAAATTAACTCGACATCAACGTAAACATACAGGTGAGTTAATTCATTCTTCTTGTCCGCTGCAGTTAAATTCATTTTTAATCTTTAAAAAAAAGTTAATTCAGTCTGATTTACATTTGTTAACAATAATTCAAATTTTTTTCATTTTTTTCTAATCAGGCGAACGTAATTACCCGTGTGATTGGCCTGGTTGTGGTAAAGCATTTTCAACAAGTCGCCATCAAAAGGAGCATAAAAGGACTCATACCGGAGAGAAGCCATTTAAATGTGATTATCCAGGTTGCGATAAATGGTTCGCTCGTAAAGATCATATTAAAAATCATCGATTCACTCACACAGGTAAACCTCCTTTCAAGGATAAAACAGAAAAGTAATTAATGATTTTTGTATCAACTTTAGGTGAGAAGCCAAGAAAGTGTCCATACCCTGGATGTGAGGCCGCTTTCATTCAATTATCGCCCCTCAAAAAGCATATGGAGCTTCATAAACGTGACAATGGTCCAGTTCCTAATCGAACCCGTAAACGTAAAACTGGAGTAAATACTGGAACCAATGAAGATCCAGACCAGTCTATTGTCAACGAGTGTCCCAATAATCAAACGACGACTATTAGTAATGCCTCTAACAATGTTACTATTAATACAAATCCAATCCAATTGGATCCATTGACACTTGAAATGGTCACTAGTCGAATGGTTTCTCAACATAATCCACCAGTTCAAGCGTTCAATATGCTAGTGCAACAACAACAACAAGGACAAGAAAATCAAAACGTTTGCCTAACTGGTTACGAATCTAACAATACAATTAATCATAACAATCAACCAGTTAACATTGATTATGAAGTTTTGTTTAGACATCCAACTTATTGTTGAAATAAGTATACATCAAACAACGAGTTCTAGCAAAACAATTTCAACTCCATTCCGTTTAATTACTTGTGTTCATAAAACTAAAATCTAATTGTCATATCTAACAATTAATATATAAATATATATTTCAATAATAACTATAAAATAATTAACAATTATCACAAAAAAAAGACAAATCTATATACATCATATAAATATGTATATTATATATGCTACTATTATAATTTATTTGTTATGAATGTTTAAGAATGACAATAATTAACCACCGCAATCAATAATTAACTTTAATTCAATTTTCTAGATTATTATTTTGTCCATTTGATAAATGATTAAATGCTTCTAAATATAAACAATTGACTTTTCCCCCTCACAATTCATTGTAAATGATTAACAATCAAACCAATTAAGATGATTATTGTAACTTGAAAGCAATGAAAAAGATTATCAAATAAACCCATAAATTTGTAATTCTTTAACCCTGTTCATGGTTAGTCTTTTAAATTGGATCGATTCTGCTCTTTAATTGTTGAGTGAAAATTTAATTTAAAATTTTGTCTTGATTAAAGCGAACTAGTAATCCAAGGCTTATTTGATCATTCATCTCAATCAAATCAACTTCAATTATCAACGCCATTGATAAATTGTTAGTCTATGTAACCAACAGAATTAACTAGACCCTCTAATTGTTGGAACCTAAATCTCATTGACAACAAACAATTTATTTGGAGGGAGAGAGTTGAAAGTGAGATTGAAGATGGAGAATCAAATTGTTGCTTCCAATTGTATTTTCCTAATTCGCTGCTTATTATTTGTCTCCGTTTAATTTGTGATACAGCGAAAATTAAATTATGGCGAATACAAGTGAAAGTAAAAGATCAACTAATCAACCAGCAATTAAATCAATTCATCGTCCGAGTATAAGTCAAGAGAGGGTCGAACACATTTCCGACCTAATTGGGTCTTGGGGTCCGCTCCAAAAGCGCCTTTTTCTGCTCCTCTCGATTATTTATTGCGCTTCTCCGTATAACAATGCGAGTCTTTTTTTCTATGCGATTAAAAGTGACATTATTTGCGTCGAATCTGATGGATCAGAGGTAAGTGATTAGATCTTTTAATCTCTGTCAGGATTAAAAGAAAGAACCGGTTAACTCGCAATTTATTTCGCTGCATTCGGATTAACGGTCCTTGTTAATTGTCGTTGAAATTTCATAATAGATCAATATTGCTGCTGACAAATGCTCATTCGCTCAATTAACTAAGTGTTCATCTTGGCACCACAACATTACGAGGACAACGGTCGCTAAAGAGGTAAGTCGATTTTAATGACCAGTCGAATATTAAATTTGCTTCTGTTAACAGTGGAATCTTGTTTGTGAACGTTACTGGCTTCGATCTGTGGTTCTTTCGGCTTATCAATTTGGTTACTTGGTCTCTGGATTGTTGGTCGGTTATATTTCCGACAGATTCGGCCGTAAATTGGCCATTTTGTTCTGTATTCTATTGGAAGTCGTTTGTTCCCTCGGTTTGATCCTTTCGCCCAATGTTTACTCTTTCATCGTTATCCGTGTTTTCCATGGCATTGGAGGTTATGGTCGCTTCCTCGCTTCACTCATTCTTCGTGAGTATCAACACAATTGAGTTCGAACTATAAATTTACGAAAAAAAAGTTCATTCTAACAAGTTCGATTTCTAGTTTTGGAAAGTGTTGGTCCAAGGTTAAGAGGTCGAGTCTCTGTCAGCTACGAATGGGTTTGGTATATTGGTGAATATGTCATGATGATTGTCACTTATAATGTGATGAAGTTTAAATACATTTACATGGGAACTATGATCTTCCAGCTGTTAAGCATCGGCATTGTAACGGTGATTCCTGAATCAGCTCGATGGCAGTTTGTCGCTGGTCACATTGATAAAGCGGAGCAAACTTTACGTTTCTATTCAAAGAAGGCTAAAGTTGAAGATCCGGAAGAAAATTTTGAAAACGATGAGCGATTTAATCGTAAATTGGACAAACTGAGAGATTATCTTGTAGTCGAAAAGACAACGACAAAAACAATGGGACTATTTGATCTTCTTCGTTCACCTCATACCTCAAAATTTTGCTTCGCTCTTTACATTATCTGGTTTCTTCGCGCTTTCATCGGTTGGGGATTAGTCTACAGTACTCTTGATCTTTCGGGTAATGTTTTCGTCAACAATGCGATCATATTAACGGCAAGTGTCGCAGCGAACGCCTTCATGACCTGGAAGATCGACTCATTCAAACGAAAGTCCATGTTAATCACCATGTTCTTGGCAACTTCAGTTCTTCTCTGTGCTTCCATCGCCGTCGTCGAATCTCACAAATATATTATTCCTCGAATGATTCTAATCGCCTCGGGTAAATTTTTCTCCTCTGGTATCTACATTTTACTCTATGTTTACACATCAGAACTTTTTCCAACCAACATTCGGCATTTCGGTGTGGGAACCTGTTCTCTGGCCTCACGAATCGCCTCCATTTCAGCTCCATTTTTAGCTCAATTGGTAAGAAATCAACTAATTACTCAATTAGTCTTTCCAACTATCACATTTTCATGATCCAATTAATTCTGAGTCCTGTTTTAGTTCAATTCAAATCTATTTGATACATTGTATAAACTCAAGGCTCAACAACTGATCCAATTGTTTACATACTTTTACCATAAGTTACTAATTTAATTCAATTGAATCTAATTCTGTTCTGTTCATTTAATCCAATTAGACTGCAGTTACAAGTCTTAAATTAACTTTTGGCCTGTTTGCGCTAATGGGAGTGGTCGGCGCTTCGGCTGCGTCATTTTTACCAGAGACGAAAGACAAAGAGATTCCCGATACGATTGAAGGAATGATAGAAATGCATTCGATTGATAATCAATCATAACATCGACAACAATTAAAACCAATAATAATCATTGGAATCATCGTAAATCAAATGATTGAGGAAAATGAAAGTTTTCCAATTATCGTTAACAGAACAGATCAAGACGATGGTCAATTAATTAAACATTTTCTTTGACAATTAAGATTAATTTCCATTGGTAGCTAATTAATAAGCACCTTAATTAATCCCTTTCGTTTCCTCAATAGGTAGATTAATGATAATTTGAAATATCTAATTGATTTTGATTGACCTTTCAATCATTTTAGGTCAATTGATGATTATTTAATTGTTTTACTAAATTAAATCAGATTAAAATCGAGACTGATTCACTAATTACATGTTATTAATTGATCAACGATATTTAATCCGGTTGATGTTAAATTGATTAATACATTATAAGACAATTGAACGATTTTGCTTTTAATTGTGATAATTATGATCCAATTATCAGTACAATTATTAATTAACTTCCGTAATTAAATCGTCCGATCTTGAAATGATATAAATTGTGTTATTGATTAAATTTATTCTGATTTCAACTATTTCAAGATCTTAATTTGACCTCAAATAATTAAAACTTTCAAAGGTCAAATTTAAAAATAAATTGTGATTAAAATTAATTCTTAGGAAAAGTTTCTAACTTTAATTTCATCTTTTAAAACTTTTCCTATGCTCTTAATTGTTACAATTAACCGATAACCTTCAAAGGAAATCACCTTAATCAATCAAACCAGAAACAGTAAAGTTAATTAACTTACCTACAATTAGCTAATAATTAGTGATTGTCAAATGTCATTGGTTGGTGATCAACAATTACAAATCTATTTCAATCAATCTAATTGTTTATTATTCAAAATGGTTGTAATTTTAAATTGTCAAGGATAAAATTGCAAAGACACAAATCAGGGTAACAATTAACCGGAACAATAAGAAATCACATTTCCTGTTACTATTAAATTAAATCACGAATCAAACAATTAACAACAAGAGCGAAGCCCAAAAAAAAAGGTTGAGAGTAAAAACTTAATTGCGACAATTAAGTTTATCGAATGACAATAATCAAATCATGATTGTTTACATCCTCAAAAATCATCAGGAATCAAAGACAATCAGATTTAAATCATTTAATCTAATTAATTGAATGTTAAAGTGAAACAATTTAGCAAAAAATTAATCGTAACAATCAAGTGAATTGAAAAGTTATATTAAAAAAAAACCTTTGATTCAATGTCAACGTTTGATGATCAAATGTAATCACAATTAATATGAATTTGGATTATGATTTAAATTGTGTCGTTAATTATTATGGTAAGACGATTGACCTGGAAGACACAATTTATTAATGAAACAATTTAAATTGTAATAAAGGTTAACAAGATTTAGTTAGATTCATGTTATCAATTTACTAATTGTTGGATAAGAAAAACAGTTCAAAGGTGATTTTAATAAACTAAATGATGATTAGGATGATGATGAATTCAGGAAATGAATTTGAATCTGTTACATGAGCTCTCATTTCAACAATTTAATCATTAACTTGTGAGCCTCAATTGATTTGCCCTCAGGCTTGATAACCTTTACCTTACAACCTTAAACAACAACAAGAGTAACAAATGGTTACAATAAAAAATTGAAATTAAACTGTTCTGTTAAATGATCAGCATTGATTAACCAATTAAATTGTGATCAGTGATGATGATGATCACAATTAAGTATTAATAATAATCATAATCTTTTTTATTGTGAAATCTAAGTTATATTTAAGTAAACATATTAGTTGACAATCAATCAATTGGACAGATGAACAAAACTGTTTCATTCACGTGTAGAAACAATTAAATTGATTGTTGTTATAATTATAAAAACAATCAAATCAAATATTAATAAAATTTCAAGTTTTTTGTTAATTGTTGATGATCAGGGAAACAAGTTACACAAAATCAAATTGGATGAAAATAATCAGTTGAGTTTAGATTGTTATTCAACTTCGCGAGCCAATCGATCGGCAATTAGTTCACGATCTATGGACTTGGTCATTGACGGAGGGAAAATACGTCAATAGATGACGACAATTCAATTCGACGGGAAAAGAAAGAGAAAGGAGGGTCAAATGTTTTCTTTCGTTTTCGTTACCGGTTTATTTTTCTCATTCAAAACACTCTCACTTTCGATATCGAACCAATTTATCTTCATCCTTGCTCTCTCTCTCTCTCTATCCTCCCTTTTCTGTCTGATTTAATCGCCAGATAACTAATACAAATCAGGCTTTTGATTCCGTTTCAAGCGATACGATAGTTTGTCCTACAATCCAAGCGAAACATTTTCGAATCAAAATTTATCTTCATTTCTCACTCTCACTTTTTTCCTCTCTATTTCTCCCTCTCCCTTCATCTTCATCTCCCACTCTCCATCTTCCTCTCTCTCTCTCTCTCTCTCTCTCTCTCTCTCTCTCTCTCTCTCTCTCTCTCTCTCTCTCTCTCTCTACTATTTACCTTACACTTGAAAAAATGGTTGATGTTTAATTCAATTTTGTCGAGTTCTATTCGGATTATTTTCTTGATTCAGTTGCTTCTCATCACTTGGTGTGTGTTTGTTTCGATTGATTTTTAATTCCTTGTTTTAAATCATTGGTAATTTAACACAATTACCTATTTATAACTTTCTCAAATTTTGGATCCACTAATTAGTTAATCAACTGTGATTTACTTTGTCTGTTACTGTTATTGTATTCATCTTTTAATCATTTGTAATCAAAGTTTTTACACTTTTGCTAAATTGTGATCAAGTAAATTGAAAGAGCAAATCTTTTTCCCATTTGTGTTTTTTTCATCTCTGGATTGACAACTTTCACCATTCATACAGTTTATTGATTGTTATATTATCTCCTATTCAATCAGAACAATTAATCGATTCCGTAACAATTAAGATGGACACTTTCTCTGAATCAGAGATTGCAAGGTTTTACAATGGACGAAGTGTTTTCATCACTGGAGCCACAGGATTCATGGGAAAGGTGAGAAAACAATTAACACAATTAATCAAATTTCCCCTCATTAGTTAAAAGTGTTAAATTATTCACATTCATGATCATCAATCAATCATAAAGTTTTCAAGATTGAGCCTTGAACCAATAGCCAACTGATCAAATGGCCAATCAACTAATTTAACGGTTTAACCGCAGCAATTAGTAGTTGAATTTCAACTGAAGTTATTAATCAAATGATAACTAACGGTCAGTTAACGTTGAGATGACCGATAGTCTTAACTAAATGTCATGAAAACGATAAACGATCCTTTCCGTTGACCAATACAAAAAAGGATAATCCCTCTAATCCTCAAATCGTTGTTACTTCCGCGAAAATAAGATTTAAATCCAGTTGATTAGCTTAATTATCGATTTTCTAATTATCTTTTCTCATTGTTTTCCAAACTTTAATTAGGTTCTGGTGGAGAAATTGCTTCGATCTTGCCCTGGAATTAAGACATTGTACCTTTTGCTTCGTAACAAAAAAGGCCTCGCTCCTCGACAGCGACTCGAACAGCTCGTAAATGACCGGGTAAGTTGATCGACAAGTTAATTTGATCACAATCATTTAATCACTTGAATTAGCCACTAATCAGTAATCAACATTTCAAACCTTTCGATAACAATAACAAGCTCTCAATAAAGTTTTCATCAAACTGGACGTTCAAGTTAATTGTGATAAATTGATGATTCCACTAATCAAAATGAGTCAAAATTAAGACAATCAATACTATTCATTTGGACAGTTAGTTGTTGATTTTTTATTTGCACTAACAATCAAGTTAATTGTCAAATTTGAGTCAATACCTTTTTGATGTGATACAAAAACTTTCAATCAGTTTGAAGCATCTTAGTTTTTTTTGGTTAATCGTTACGATTTTAATCAACTGATTGTTGTTTTTTTATCAGTTATTGGGTAAATTTTAATTTATATTTAGACAATTTTTTGGTTAATTGTTTATTTTGCTTATTAATCAGTTGGTTTAATCATTGAGTTAAGTTGCCAATTGTTGACATGGACTGATTAAAGTTTTCATTGACAAAAAAAGTTGTTACTTTTAGTAACTGGATTAAGTTAATTATTGTCAGAAATTGTCAATGTTATTTTTTTTTACTTAAATCACTTCCACAAATTGTGAAGGTTGTCCATTTATAACAATTTACTAATTGATTGTTGATTCCAACACTTTTTGGACTATTTATCAAACTTATTTAGATTTCCAACCTTGTAAGTCAACCAAATAACCGGTGAATTAGTAATTGTCTTTAATTGTAATTAAGGACCGGCTTCTATGGTTAGACTGTGTTTAAGAGTTAATTGTTACTCTAATTGTGTCCATGGTTCTTTAATTGTTCCTGTTCTTCGGTCATGGTTGATTTAGACCAAAAAAAAGAGACAACAATTAAAAAGCTAATTGTTAACAATTCATTCCCAGTTTGATATTGATTAAAAAGTTTCTTGGTAAAGATAATACTCTGAGAATTGAATTGTAATCAGATTTAATTAGTAAGATTAATTTTAGCTAATTAAGAGTCATTAAGTTTACAGATTATACAATGATGATGTAAATACATCTTAATTAATAAGACCAGAAACAATTAAACATTGATTCAGACAATTAATATAAATCCTTGAAAATATTAATAATCATACAAAATTAGGCAATTTGTAAAAACTAATCAAATTTAACCACCATTAGTTAATTGCTGTAGAAAATGAGAAATTACTTTAAAGACAAACAGCTGATTAAGTGTTAATTACTAATTACATTGGTTAATTTTAAATCACTTTGAAAGCTAATCAAAGGTATTTCTTGCTAATCAATCAGAGGACCAGGTAAATCATTTTAAGCTTTTAAATTGTCACAATTAACTAATCAACGATGATTTTTTTGCTATAAAGTTCAATTCAGCTGATTGATTGAATGAATTTTTAATTGTTAATTGCAATCAAATGGTCAGCTAAAAAATAACCTAATCAACTGCTCTGGGTACAATTAGATTAATTATTTCAAGGTTGCAATCAATGATTAGTTGATTGTCTGAAAGTTAATTGTTGAAAATTTAAAATATTCATTGATCCAAATGGTTAATGTTATTTATTGGAAATCATTTCAATTGATTGATTATTTTTGTGATGATTTCTTTGATTTTTTGTAATTAAAAAAATCGATTATTTTTCCTCATCCCATCAGATTTTATAATTAGTTAATTGTTGGGAAATAATTAAAAGGGAATTATTTAAATCAAAAGATTTCTATTAAGTAAAAGACTCAAGGTAATTTAATTATAACTAAGATGTTACGTTTAATTTGCCTGCGGGAAAAAAAGTCGAAAATCTAATTCATTTCTGATTAGTTAATCACTGAGAAATTAATTGTAGTTGATTTTGGTTAAATCTATTGATTGGCGATTTCTTGATTGTCAAAACACTTTGATTGTTGAATAGAATCAATCTCTAAGTAATTACAAGGATAATTTACCTTTGAATTAGCAACAATTTGAAATGAAATCAAATTTGATCAAATTTAATAGCAATAATTTGTATCAATCATACCAACAATTAGCAATTACAATGAAAATATTTACAATGATAATCAGTTGATGTTATCAACCATTGTATCAACAATCATGAATTGATTGATGATTTGAATGAAATTAATTGATGTTTACAACGAGAAGTGAAAAACTTACAATTGTCATTGATGAAAAAAAAAACAACAGCATTGAAATTAATTGGAAAGTAATGATTACCAAGTGATTACAATTACCCAGCAATTAATAGAAACACGGAAAGAAATTGATTTGGAAACTTTTTTGTTTCTTCTCATTGATGATTTTTAATTTTATCAATCGACTGATTTATTATTGTATCTGTTGTAATTTGGTGTCAAGTTGATTCTTAATTGGATAAAGGTTACGAAAGTAACGGAAGTGATTCCGACTTTGATAGTGACCTAGAAAAGGTAAAAGTAAAAGTGCAACTCTTAAAGATCGTCCGATCAGCCTTGAGAAGCGAAACTCGAAGCGAAAAAGTTTCGACTTGGTGATGATGGTCAACACGAATAAAACACTAACAAGGTAAACCAAATGACCGGAGGTCATTTAACTTTCTAATTCGTTTCCCAAGTACTTGAACCTTTAGGAAAAAAAAAACATTGGAGGTTAGAAGACGAAAGTAGTTAAAATGAAAACGTTTCTCAAACCTTGATGACCGTAAATCAAGGTTTAATTAGCATGAATCATCATCTTAATTGTAAACATAAAACTGGGATAAGTGACCTGATATCAACTATTCAGTGTTAACAGTTTCGAGATGATTAAAACCTTTAATCGTGTTTAATAAAACAGGAAAAATAAACGTTGTCCTTCAATCAACTTTCACCTTCCTAATTGTTATTGAAATTAACTTGATTGTTGGTTGATTGTTATCGAGAGTGTATTTGAATACCTGTTACCTGGTTTTGTTTTTCTAATTGTAATCAAAATGTTGATTGTTGGTCAATCAACTTTTCCCACTTTCATCCAATTCAATTACTATCATCACGATGATGATGATGATGATGATCTTGAACCTGAGAGAGAAACTAATTAAACAGCATACAAATTATTTCACAATCAGTTGATTGTTGCAATCATCAATTTTAATTCAATTTAAATCTCTTCTTTAATACAAATCGATCATATTAATTATCCAATTTTCGTTTGTCCCAATGATTTAGGCTTTCGAGCGGGTTCGAGAAGAGAATCCAAAAGCGCTCAACAAAATCATCGCCATCGAAGGCGATATTACCATTGATGGTTTGGGAATATCACAAAATGATTTAAATCAATTAGTCAAAAATGTCACCGTTATCTTTCATTCAGCAGCAACAATTAAATTCGAGGAACCATTAAGGTAATTACAATTGATTAGATGAATGTCCAAGCAAAAGGAGACGAGATAATTTATTAATTGTTGATAACTTTTCTTGTAAATTGTAGAGTTGCTGTTAATTACAATATGCTTGGTACCAGACGAGTTATTAAATTGGCTCATCAAATCCCACAATTAGCGGTAAGTTGATTGAATTAAATCAGTAATCAATATTTTTACATATCGATTCTCATTGGAATCACTTGTTGACCTCATTCAATTAAATTGTATATTATCATTATGTACATCAATGGACAATCAACTGACCTTCCGATAATAATGTTAACAACAATTAAAAAAGAGAAAGAGAAAAATTGATTTGCAAATATCATCGGTTTAATATTGAGGATAAATTACAAGTTAATCAATACGATTGGTTAAATTGTATCAAATTGTTGTTATCTCATAGTAATTAACTCATTGATTAACTATATAATCAGTGAATAAGTTAAACAATTAACAACCTTACAGGAGATACAGGAAGATACACTTGAAGTGTTTAGTAATTAAATTTAAAAGGGAAACCCAATCAAACCTTGAATACAATTAGCAATAGAGTATCAACAACAAACGCAATTAATTAATTGTAAGGTTATTTTAACGGATTAGAGTTTAAATTACTGTTGTCATTTAATCAAATTAGAAACACTATTTAAATATTATCTAATCAACGATCTTGAAACCAAATGATTTGTTGTGTTAGTCCAATGAATTTAAATTGTTGTTTGTAAAAAATACTTTGATTACAATTAAGTTGTTTTTTTTTTGGGATGATTATTAATTTTTGATTGAAAATTGATTTTTAATGATAACCTTTGTCAAGGTTAAATGATAATATGTATACACACATACATAGACAAGATGATTAGATGACAATTAACTAATTTCTGTCTAAATTAACCTCGACTATGTGAAGATGCCAGTTAATTGTTGGTTGATTGTTTGGAAACATATTATTTGTATTTTAAGTAACATTGTAGGATTGTTTTGATTACTGTTTTATTAATCAAGTAAATAGCACAATTTACAATCAAGATTAAACGGTAAATGACCTCAATTAGATTAGTTAATAACCTTCATGGTTTCAATCTTTCCTTAATTGTTGTTTACTCTTCTTCTTCCGTGATTTTTGTTAATAACAATTAACTCGCAACATTTTCCTTGAGCTATTTTTATCAGATTAATTGTCAATTACTTTGTATTTCTTGGTCAAAGTTAATTGTATTGATTAATTTCACTCATTGTTAGTTGATTGAAACGTAAAATAATCAAATTGTTGTGATTAAAAGGATTGACCTCATCAGATTATTTTCAAATTCTTGTCTCAATCAGCTGATTGTTGTAAATAATTAACTGGTTGACCTTTACTTTAACCTATTTGTTTGTTAACAGCAACAATTAACTTAATATGAATTGATCACATTTCTGGCAAATTGAAACAATTTTAATGATTTTTTTTTTCAATCTTTTTGGTTGATATTTAGGCCTTGGTTCATGTGTCAACTGCTTACGCTAATTGTGATCGACAAAAAATCGATGAGGTCATTTACGATCCGAAAATAACACCCCAACAGCTGATCGATGCAACTGAATGGATGAGTGATGAAATGATTGAAAACATTTTACCCAAGCTCTTGGGCGCTCGGCCAAACACTTACACATTGACCAAAGCACTGGCCGAGTCTATGATCATGGAGGAATGTGGTTCTATTCCAGTGGCCATTGTCCGTCCATCTATTGTTACCGCTGCTCGTCGTGAACCTTATCCAGGTTGGGTTGATAATATTAACAATGTAACCGGAATCTTTTTGGCCTCATGTAAAGGTGTCCTCAGGTCACTTTACCTTGACTCAGCCGCTGTTTTGGACATTATTCCAGTGGACATTGTAATTAATCTGATGATTTCGGTGGCCTGGAACACGGCAACAAAGCCACACAATAGTATTCTTATTTACAACTGTTCCTCTGGTGTGGTCAATCCAATCACCATTGGTGACATTGAGAAACACACTTTCCCCTTGGCCATTAAATATCCTTGCTCAGAGCACTTTCGATACCCTGGACTGACCATCAGGTCAAATCGTTTTCTTCACAATATTTTTGTCCTTCTTGACCATTACATGCCAGCTTACATCTTTGACACAATCAGCTCACTTACTGGAGGAAACAGAATGTAAGTAATCACCAGATATTAATTAATACCAACAATCAACTAATCAACTCTCTCTCTCTCTCTCTCCCACTCAATTAATCAGGATGGTCAGACTTTATGATAAACTTCACAAGGCAACTGAACAATTAGTTTTCTTTGCAACTCGTCAATGGCAGTTCAAATCAACAAACATCGTTGACCTCAAAGAACAACAATCAGAATTTGATCGAAAGGTAAAATGAAATGAATTACTCTCAATTGTTACAATTAACTTACCAATCGAATTGCTCTCTCACCCTCTATGTAGACATTTTGTTTCGATGTAAAACAAATCCATTGGCCTCAATACCTCGAAGATTATTATCTTGGTATAAGACGATACATATTGAAAGAGGACAACGCAACAATACCCGCAGCCAGGAAAAACTTAAAAAGGTAACAATTAACTCTAATCATATGATTAAGAAGCGATTGAAAGAAAAGGGAAAAAGATTCTAATCCATTGAAATGAATTGCTAATCGTTCAATGATCAATATCACATAATAATTTAATCTCTCTCTCTCTTGTAAATTGTAAATAATTTAAAAGTCAACAACTTATTGTATCTAATCAAATAATCAAAAGTTGGTGATTGAAAATCGCGATTCTAATTGTTACTATTATTGTGAAGCAAACAATTAATTCATTTCTCTTTCTATTTTTAGGCTTTACTTTACCAATAAATCGATCGAGTTTCTGATCTTTTTTGGACTGTTGAACGCTTTCATGTATCGAACTGGTGCTGGTTCCTATATCTGGTCATCGGCGAAAAGTAAACTACTCGACTTTGTACAATCTCAAATATAAGAAGAAAATTAATCTGTAACAATCAATTTGTCGAAACAATCACGGTGACAATTAAAACGCCGTTAGAACAACAATCAACTCTTTAAACACGAACACACAACGTACACAATTGCGACAACAAAGTACCAATAATGAGAAATTAACAAATTAACTTTTACAAATTGCTACAATCTCGTTAATCAACAATCAATTATCATCATCATCTTAATCATCTCCATCTCCATCATCATCTTCATCACTTTCTTTGATTAATTAAAATCAACTTTAACCCTTTCTTTCAATTTAAACTTTTCCACACAAAAACAACAACAACTTGTAAATGATTTAATCAAATCAAGTTAATTAATTTGATTAACTTTTTTTTTTCTCTCTCTCTCTCTTAATTATTGACTTTTTCTTTCTAATTCTTTCCATTTTCCAACAATTAAATATACAATTAAAATTGCGGTTTTTTTACTTTCTAATTATGTATATATAAATATTTACAATCAACTAATTGTCACGATAATTGCTGATCAACTTTTTGTACCAAAATTAATTTCCAATTGATTATTTGAAAGGTATTCAATTAACTTAATTGTTGACAAATTGATGAGACGAAAAAAAAACATTGAATAAAATTATTATGTGATTAACTGAATTCTGCTTCGTCTTAATTGTAACAATTAACCAGATAATTATAATATATAAAACCTATTTTTTGCTGATCAATCAATCAAATCCAAAAGTAATAAAAAAAATCAATTTGATTGTAATCAATCAAACGGAGACTCAGATTGGTGACAATTAGTTAATGTGAAACTTGATTGTGTAAACGAAACTGATTAATTTCCCCTCGATTATGTTAATTGTTACAACAAATTAACTATCAGAGATTAATTGTCACGTTAATTGTGAACATAATCATGAACAAAATGGCCTCGAAACGCAAATGGTCAATCGTTAGTCGGTTGATGACCATTGAAAATATTTTGTATCTTTTATGTGGATTGTGTTGTTTGTATCAAATTAAATTCATCGTAATTAAGTATTTGTCCTTTGATTATATCACTCGAATCCACTCATTTGTACCTGATCGAACACCTTTACCTGATTTAGTTTTTTGCATTCGATTCATTGAACTAATCAATGTAACTAAATTCATCTCTAATTATCCTGATTTAACTCGTACTCTGAATGTGACCAATGAACATGATTATATTCACTTAATCCGATCATCTCCTGATCGAGTGACAGATTTAATCTCATCAAGTTTAACAATTAAACAATTGACTCAACTTTTATATCCAAAGGAGCAAATTATCAATAAAATCACAGTAATTGACAGAGATTCAAAATCAGAGAGTGATTTATGTTTAATTAAATCATTTTACATCTCAATCTCTTTCTGTATATTGACCGCTTGCTCTTACCGAGGTCAAGTGTCCACTAACATTTCAATGTCTGACCATCACTCGGCTGCAATACCTTTTTTTATGGTTGAAATTAACAATAAATACTTGGATATTGGTCAATCCTTTGGACTGACCCTTGTCCCTCCAAATACTTTACCTTGGGAAAAAGATCAACGTTGGCTTGACCTCGACACGATGAGTGGACCTTACACATTTACGATCATATTTACGATGTTTTTACAAAGTCTCCTTCCGCCTCCATATCAATCACAGTGTCACAATTATCGGGACGATGGTCACGTTAGCCAAGCTGAGGCTCGTAACGATTGTCTCAATCGTCACTCATTAAGTGAACTAGGGGTCAACTTTGATTCCGCCGTTATCGCAGACAATTTGGACCAATATTTTGCACGGAAACTTTTAGCAAACAATTCGCAGTCAAAGTTTGTCAAACTAATCAGTCGTGTGGCCGATTCGTGTATTCAATTAACCTCAAAAATTGATTGTTCATTTATCTCTTATCCAATTCAGGAATATGATAAATTTTACACGGGCTCGAATATGACCTACATTGTCCTTGAACAAATTCGAGAGCCAGTGTTTACTGTTTCAGTTGAACCTCAATGACTTTCTCTGATTGTTGTATTTCAATTGGAAGCATATTGGGAGCTTGGTTTGGATTCTCTATCAGTTATCACTTTCCCTTAATTGTTACTAAATTTTGGCGCAAATTTAAAGGTCATCTCGTTAGACGAAGACAACGTAATCAAAAAATGAACAAACAACAATCATCAGCAATCAAGACCATGTATTTGATTGATCATTGCAAAGATTAAATTTCAAGTCAATAAATTGATTAATTGCGACAATCAAATGATATTAATGACTTTTATTTGGATGGATTTTTATTGTTGATGTTATTTACATTTGATTGCGAGCGATTATCTAACAATCTAATGGATTTTTTCTTGATTTCAAAATACAAATCAATTGATCAGTTTATCAGTTGATCAATTCTGATTAATCTTGATTCTAAATCAACGTTTTCTTGGCTTAATTCCAGCATATAATCAATGCTCATTCAATTTAGTGGTTAACTTCATTGAAATAAGGAGGATAACTAACAATTTAAATTGTAAGGATAATATTAGGACTTGATTAAAATTAAAACGGCAAAAAAACAACAACAAACAAAACAAGGAAACGAAAGAAGCAAAATATTGATGATTAGTTAATTGTTCATCTTAATAACCAGTTAATTCAGCAAATGTTTGATCCATTTCGTCAGTCAATGATTTGTATTTCTCCTTCTCGTGAGATAGTTCATCTAATTGTAACAATTAAAGGAAAAAGAAACAAACAAACAAATGAGAATTTAAGATGCGAACAATTAAAATTAATTCTAATCAGTAATTACCTTCGAGTCTATCGACTTCCTTTAATAACTTCTGGACACATCGCTCAGCAAATTCAGCTCTTGATTCAGCCTGGAATTGATTAACAGTTGGAACAATTAAATTAATTTTCCATTGAGGAGAAAGTAAATTGTTGTTGTTGTTTACGTTTAAAGTTATAATTAAACTGAATGTTGACAAATCAAAATTAAGCCAAATTTGATTTCATCATCAACTTAATTATCGTTTCAAGAGACAGTTAATTAATTTGATGTTTAGTTAGCTAGTTAATTATGTTATCTTAATCCAAATGTTATCGTTTCTCATGCTTAACGAGGATGGAAACTTAATTGTTACAATTAAATAATTGATAGAGAAACATTTTTCTCTTCCATATCAAATTAACTGTTCAATCATATATCTTATATCTGTCACCAGAGGAAATTAATGCAACAATTAAGCTAATCGGTTGATGATTAGGTGATGAAATGATTAAGTTAATTTGGGAACAATTTAAATTATTTACCTCTTGAAGTTTCATAGTTAAATCCATGATTTGAGCTTCATACTCTTCTTGTTTGGCAAGTGACTAAATTGATTGAAAGAAAATGATTAGTTAATTGTGATTCCAAACTGTTACAATCAGTTGATTGCAGTTAATTGTTACCTTTTCTTCAGAAACTTCCAATGATTTAACATTGTTACCAACGACTTTCAATTCTTCCTCCAGTTCAAGTATTTTCCTAATTGAAATTTAGAAAATTGATCATAATCGATAATTAGATTTAATTAATTGTTTAATCATCGTACTTACATTTCACCGGTTTGAGCTCTTTCCTCAGCTCGTTCAAGTTCATCTTCAACCTCGGCCACTTTTCGGGCTAACTGATTGTCACAATTAAATTAAATTGTTAGTTATTAATTCATTGGTTGACCTCGTAAGCGATTGATTAACTGTTCAGTTAATTATCATAACAATCAATCATCAAACATAATAATCAATTGATTGACACATTTCATTGACTATAAAAGTGAAAGTTGATTAAATTAAAGGGAGAAAGGACAATGATTATCCCTTGTGATCACAATTGAATTAATTGATTGACCAACCATAACTTTCATCTTCTTGATTACAATTGTAGTTAACTAATTGTGATCTTTTCGAATCTCAATATTTTCTTGCTTGTTGACGATCAATTTGATTGTTAATTGTTTTCTATTGATTTACCTCATCGTATTTCTTGTCCGCTTCTTCAACTGCATTTCTCGCTTCCTTTAATTGTGCCTCTAATTGTTTCAATCGTTCAGCGTCCATTTGATTTCGATGTTCGAACATTTTTCGAAGTCGTTCACTCTCATCTCCAGCCTGAGAAACTTGTTCTAATTTAACTTGGACATTTCGAGTCTTCTCTTCAGTTTTTTCCAATTCTTCTTCCAACTGTTGAACTCGACGAGCTAAAGTTGCCAATTCGTTCTCAGCCTTAATTGTGATTAAAAGAAAATACGAAAAAAAAGATGAGCAAAATTTGAGGAAAAAAAAACATTGAGAACTTTGATCGCCACCAATTGGCTTGATCACTAAGCTAAAGATGAATTAGTTGATCACAATTAAAGAAAATTAAATCGATACTTACTCCATGAAGAGCCTTTTCCTTATTTTCGAGATCCTCATTTGCTTTAGCCAAATGATCGGTGGCCGAAAGTAATTCCTCTTGGATTTGGGTTAATCTTTTCTCGAGAGCTTGAATCTCCTCTTGAGCCTAAATCGACACGTAAACAAATAGCTGATTAAAAGAAACCACCAACAATCAAACAAAATCACTTATAACAATTAGCGAGAATAAGATGAGAAACCTTTTGCACTTTAGAATCAGCTTCTCGTAGTGAAGCCTCGGCGGAATCGGCTCGATCCATAGCATTGTCCTTCTCGATCTTGAGAAAGGCCATTTTTTTCTTGATCGCCTCCATTTCTAAGCAACAATTAAAATCAAATCACTGGAAGAAAACAATCAACAATCAAAAATTAAAATCAAACCAAAACCACAACTGAGAAAACCAAACAAATCAATCAACCATTAATCAAACCATAAAGATCAAATTAACTATAAAATATTGACGACAATTATAAAAATCTAAACATTCACTTTACCTAAATTAACAATTTAATAAAAAATTTCAAGTCTTTCGACTAATCAATCAATTGGCTGTAAGGATTCAACGATTAGATGGATTAACTGAATCAAAAGTAAATCATGAAGATGAAGATTTAATTTGAATAAATGAATTCTCTTGATGATTATTTTTGACAATCACGAATTTAACTGTTGAGAAGAAAAGATTTGCTCTGTTAATCAAAGCAATTAAAGAAAGAAATAAAGAAAGAGAGAAGGAGGAAGATGGATCATAATCTTCATTGGACTCATCATCTTAATCTCTTTCATCTTCATCATCGTTCAGAGAAATTCTGAGAAAAAGTTCTTGTCATCATTTCTTCATCTCTTCTGACCTCATCTTCATCTTAATATCTTTTAAATCTTCATCTTTCCTCTTCATCTTTAAGAAGTTAATCTTAGCATCAAACATTAAATTCTAATCTAAGAAATGGTTTTGTTAAGAATTTCGAACGAAAAAAAAGTTCTAATCTAAACATAAACTTTTCTTTTTCTCTTTGAGAATTGGCATTAACCATAAAATCGCAATCGAAACATTAATCTCAATTTTCTGTTGATTAATAATCACACAATCAACGATCATCACAATCAATGGTCAATGTTTTCATCTATCAAAACGATTGGTTGATTGTTGGTCCTTGATTATTGATCAATGTTTAGATTGAAGGTCTAAATTGTTATTAAATCTGATTGTTGTTCCTTCCTAATTGTTGTATATCATTAATATTAACATATTGATAATGATTTTGTTTTTCGTTGTTGATTATAAATTATTATTATTTTAAATCAAATCGATAACAATTTAGATTAATCTGAATATAATTGAGGCAATGAAAATATTATCATCATTAAATTGTCAATTCCAAGGTAAATTTGGTGATGTTTAATTGTTTACTAGTCTATCATTTGGTTTTACCTTATTTTTGATCATGTGGACAATTAATTGTTACCTTTTCATCAATTTGTTAATTTTGATTAAATGTAATAATTATAATGATTACATTGTGATCTCAGTGGTTCCTAGAAACGAATTGGAAATTGATTTTATCAACAATTTAACTGATTCTAAGGTAAGATTATCACTTCTCCTCCTAATTGTTTCCACTAATTTGATTAAGATTATTAATATGTTTGTTAATTGTGTCTATTTAGCAAGCTGAATATTGGTTTTCATCAGCGACACTAAATCAACCAGTTAAATTGTTATTAAAATCAGAAAATCAACAATCAGTGTTGATTAAATTACTCGAGAGGAAAGTAATTCCCAATTATGTAGGAAAGTGAGTATTATAATAATCTTATTGTTTCATTGTTACAATTTGTCGAGTTTAATTGTTAGATTGATCAGTGAACATCAAAGGACAGTTAATGAGAAAAATGAGACAATTAATGGTGACAATTTATTCCGATCTTATCATCGACTTTATGGAATCGAAAATTATCTGAGAAATTTGGTCACTCGATTTCCAGAGAAAGTAATTGTCTCATCATTCGGAAAGTCTTTCGAAAAGCGAAACTTGACCTTAGTTCGGATTAGCGAATCTTTAATTTCTCATAAAAATACCACTCGAAGACGAAACAGGTCAAAGCCCGTGATCTATATTCAGGGCGGAATACACGCAAGAGAATGGATCAGTCCAGCGACGGTCATTTACCTGGTTAATTATTTCACCCAATTTAGTGACTCAGATCCAACAATCAAACGACTTTTAAACTACTTTGAATTCTGGTTTGTTCCGATCGTTAATCCCGATGGTTATGAATATACACATACCCATGTAAATATGATTCTATTTGATCGATCATTCACAATTTAATTGATTTTCTTCTACAACAATTAACAGGATAGATTTTGGAGGAAAACAAGATCAGTAATCAATGAGAATGATCCTTGTGTCGGTGTTGATCCGAACCGAAATTTTGATTTCTATTGGGGAGGTAAGTTGATTTCTCTAACTGATTTAATCTATTTCGTGATATTAACCTTATTCATTGTAACTCAGTTGTAGGAATCAGCGATGACCCTTGTAGTGAAATCTACCCTGGACCGAAGCCTAATTCTGAGCCTGAAGTGGCAGCGATCGTCAATTTAATTAGTCCAAATGCCAAGAGAATCAAAGCTTTTCTTGATTTCCATTCGTATAATCAAAGTTGGTTAATCCCTTTTGGATTTAGTTCCCAAAAGTCCAAAGACTTTGCAGATCTGGTAATTGAAGAATCGAATTGATTGAAATCTAAATTAATTTGCACCCTCTCTAATTTAATGATTAGTTTAATTAGTTTTCTCTTCATTCTAATGATCGTTTCGTTAGGAACGAATTGCCAAAAAATCCACCAATGCTTTGGCTTTGATCCATGGAACCAAATATTCAGTTGGAAACAAAGCTAAACTACTTTGTAAGTTTGATAACAATTAAATCCGTTGATTATTAATTGTTGCTCTCTAGATTCTGCCTCTGGAATAGCTGATGATTGGGCTAAAGGAGTTGCCAAAATTAAATATTCATTTACAATTGAATTAAGTGATAAAGGTGAGTTCGGATTTCTATTACCACCGGACAGGATAATTCCTGTTGGTCAAGAAATTACCGAAGCAATTAAAGTGTTCAGTCTGGAATTAATGAAAGAAATTAATCAACGACGAGTTAACAGAAAGAAAATCAAAAACAATCAACACCATTGATCTCACAATCAAATTAACTTTAATCACTTTCCAAATTGAGATTTTAATTGTATTAATTATTCATTAGATTGATTCAATTTTCGTCAATGTATCGATTTCATTAGCTGAATAAAATTAATGATCTTTAGTGTATCCAAACTATAGATTTGTCTTTTTTTGTTGTGTGTCGATTGTTGATTAATTAATTATTGGTTATTAGTTCATTTAATTCCTGGTAGAAAGGAATTAGTTGATTCTACTTTAGCTGAGTTAATTGCTCTCCATGTTTCCCGGAAAGATTCAACTTTAGTTGTTGATTTGAATACGGGACAATTTGGTGATTCGGTTTCTCTTGATTGTCGATTTTGATATGATTTAGTTGATTTGGACATTAGACGATTACGGAGATTCGCGTTCATTTTTAGAGATTCACCTAAGGCCAAACGAAGTCTTTTCACTTCAATCTCCAGATTAGTTATATGATTGATCACTTCTAATGGAATTGCATCTGAATTGATAATCACAATTAAGAAGAAAACAAAATCAATTTTCATTGGAAATTTACTGTTATTTTCTTTCTCTTCATTGACTTACCTTTTCCTGATTGTTTCGAGATTAAAGAATCTAATTTGGCTGATGATTCCTCTAAATTGTCAGGATATAGATTGTTGACAATTAGTTTAAATTGTAGATCTAAATGGTAATAGAAACAAAAAATCAGAGTAAATTGTTAATGTCACAGCGATTTTAGGAATTAATCATTTACCTCTATTTTGTTGACTCAATTCTGCGATTTGATTGTGTAAACAATTAAGAACAATTTTATGTTGATCTTTAATAAATTGTAAGTTCTTTTCAACTAATCGTAACTTTAAAGTTAAATTGTTAGCAGAATCCAAAGTATCACAATTAGAATCATAACTTTTCCAATTATCAATATCGTCGAAAGTTTTATTGGTCATTAAAAGTGAAGGTGATGAAGATGTAGATGAATTTGTTGATGATGGAAAATGAGAATTGGACATTTTAAGGTTCGAAGGGCAGTTTCCATACTACTGGTCACTTGTGGATCGCCACTACTATTCCCACAAGCTACTGTTGTTGTTTCACTTGTTTTAACAATTGGAGGTAATTTGGTGATTATCTTTGATCGTTTAGTCAAAAAGGGATTAACAGGTAGACTAATCTCATCCCCTGAGGCAATGATTTCATCACCTGATTCAATTAGACGAGTTAAATTTTCTCTATGAGGTAAACAATGTGAACAGGTAAAAGCACCAGAAGACTGAGGTCCAGTCTCCATTGGTGGACATTTATCCAACCATTACAATCAAAATGGCCAAACAATTAACACATGATTAGGATTAACCTATTAACGAAAAGATTATCACGTCAATTTTTTTTTCTTTCACAACAATTAAGATCAGCAATCAAGAGACATTTTGATCAAGGTAACATTTGAAATCTTTTTTAATGTTGTTCAGTTAAGAAGCAACTTGTTGTCATGGCGAAGAGAATGTTTTTTTTTTCTATTCTTTTTTTGATCGATAATCACTAACGAAAGGTAAATATTATTTTCTTGACGATTATTGTTATTTACCAATCCGGTTATTCGTCAGTTAATCATTACAACTGTTTGATTATCTAAATCAATGATCTTCGATAAACTTAAGTTGGAATCTTATCCTTGTGTTTATATGATTTTCTGGGTTAATAATTTGAAACCTTTTTCGTTTTGCTTTTTCTCAATGTTTGTTACCTGTTCTTTGTTTATTGATTAGTTACAGGTAACAAGATGTTCCCGGTTGACATTGAAATTACCCTTCGATTGTTCAATATTATCGAAATCGATATGATAAGTTTATCGATCTGTTTATCCTTTTCACCGCTAATGATTGGTGAAGTTCGTTGGTTTAATTGGTCCAATTTTCGGTGAAGGTTATTAACTTATGGTTCTAATTTGATTAGCTGACCTTTAGCTCAAGAAATTAAAGGTAAAAATTAAGTTAATCATCAATTTCGACTATTCTCCTTTGTATGAAATTCTCATGTAATTAGATGAGTTTTTGTTATTGTCTTGGGATGGAAGTTCATTATTGATCACATTCGAGCTGAATTTCGTTCTGTTGAAATTTTTATTTGCGATTCAAATTGTGATCTTCATGAATTTCTTGAATTCTTATTGTGATTTAATTGTTTTATTGGCTGATGAACTTGAATCACTGACAATGGAACCTGAATTGAATGAACTTATCGTCATGAAATATGTTATCACCAAAGTGACCATTGTTGGTGGAATCGCCGGAGTGATTGTTGTCCCACCAAAGATTTTCACGCCGAAATCTTGATTGTAAATACGTCCCAAGAATAATTGTGACTTTGGAAAAATAGAAGTTAAATTAGTTCTAATGGTCAAATTGTCGAATCAAGTGAACTTACTTCGAGCATGAGTGTTGGATCTTTAGTGGACATACTAATGTTAAGAGCATTTCTTTTGGACCATCAGCGTAACTCGGAATTGAAGAGATACTTTGAGTTATTACAATTAACCGAACAACATTGAAGAAACATTCAGTAATATGGTAAATAAGAAAAGCCGAACTGGTATAGACAAGATCGTAAATCAAAGTGACCATTTTGGGAACAACAAGAAAATAAAAAACACCCAAATACACGGAATGCTGCGTGTCAACAATCTCGATGAGTTGACCGATTTTCTCATAAATGTTTCGATAGAAAATCATTTGATCTACTCGATCGGTATCGTTCTGTTGATGAGATGACCTAACGTGACTTACTCTGTCCATTTGTCGAGATATACTATTAAAAGCACCACCGATAAAAGCCGAACAAGTATTAATATGGTCAATCAGTGTGATGAGATAAAGCACACTGACCATTGAGAATCCTCTTCGAATGACCTGAAGTACCATTACCCAGAATATATTCGCATTCGGAGCATACATGATAATCACCACGATTATCCAGAATTGGAATATTGCGAAAAAAATCAACAAAATTCGATGGGCGCTTCTGATCTTTCGAATGTCAGAACGAACCTGATTTTCCCATGAAAAGTAGATTGAACTCCAAATTTTATCGAATTTCGAACAAAAACTAATCGGGTTGTAGAAAGTGAGGTCATAATACATCGACATATCTCCAATTGCGGTTAAACAAGTGAAAAATATTCGATTGTTAATCTCATTGAGAAACGAATTTTCTGTGTAAACTTTATATACGAGCAACGATCCTGATGATAAAAGAATCAACGTAACAACAGTTAGACCAGCAATCGAATAGATCTGAGCTAATCGATGGATAATAGGCCATTTGGGATAATGTCGATAAATGTAACTCGATTCAACTAAATAATATGATAGAAAAATTTGTTCACTTCGATCAGTTTTAGTTTCGGTCAACGAAGACACTTTATTATAAATGGACTTGGAAAATGATCTTCGATCATTGATCAACATTATCAAGATGATTATGATTTGTCTCGATTTAGATTCTCATGAACAATCAACTAAATTAACTATCAAAATGTACGGAACAATCAAGAAACATTAATAACATGTAATGTAAACATTGACCAATTCACTTTGGTAAATAAACTTTAATCAATTTATTATTAATCAATTGAAAGTATATCACAATTAGAATCACATTTCCTCTTAAATTTGACAAAAAAATACATGTAATAACCAACAATTAGTTAAATTGAATAACAATTAATAAATAAATAGTTTGAAAGGTTAATCTTATTGATGGATTATCTCAGGCAATTGATTTTGATCATGATAAAGGAGGAGCAGTTGGAATTGTATTGTAAAAATTTAAATCAACGGTTGATTGTTGATTAGATGGTGTTGTTGGTACATTTGGATAATGATAATGATGATGATGATGTTTTAATTGTATTGATTGTTGATGTGGATTAGGTAAACAATAGATTTTCCTTCGGGCCCAACGAATGGCTAGAATCATGATTCCAATTGCAGTGACAATTAAAACAATTGCAATACAAATACAAGTAATTCCAATGATTTGAAAAGCTTGACCAATCTCTGGATCCGATGTGATATAAAGTAATTTAGAAATGACCATTCCAAGAATACCAAATAGTAAAACAATTAAGCCAATAAACAATAAAGAGATTGTTAAATGTGATGTTGTAAAAACGGCCAAAAATTTGATCCCAGAAAAAGATGAAGTCAATTGATCTCCGTTAATTGGTTGCTGATTGTTGGCCATAAAATTGCCTCCATTTTGATTGTTGGTTGGTTGATTGCTTGACCTTTGGTCCATCCAAACAATTAAGCGAATCAAAAAAGAGTCGCTAAGTTTGATTGGTTATCATTTTAAATCCTTTGCTTGATTAATTGTTTGATGATTTACTTAATTCACTGGGAAGAAAAAATTGTTAACTTGATTGTTTAGATTTGATTAAATTGTCTTTTTCCTTGGATACAATGGTAAAAATCAATATTTAAGTGGACATTTTAGATTAGAATTAGTAATCAATAAAAATGTCATTAAATTTTTCACCTCGATATTAATAAATTCAAATCAAATGTCACAATTGTTGACAATTTAAGTTTAAATGTCAACATGGGAATTGATTTTGATACGTCAACAATTAAGGGTCAGATTAATTGTGGAAATTGAATGGTTGCCAATATTAATAGCAGTCGGTTGATAATCATAATTGTCTTTTTTTTCCTGTTCATCGTTAATCTAAAATCAATCTTGTTAATTTAATCATTGATTGTCTATAATTTATCAGTTCAATTGATTTTCTATTTGATGTTATCATTGATCAACTATAGTAGGAAAATAAACTTTTAGATCAATGATGAACAAGGAACAATTTGAATTTCTATCATGTTTTGAAACTCTAACAATTAAAACCTTTCCTCATTTAACTTGGTAAATAATCAAAAAGAGATTATAAATAAAGTAAAGATTAACTAATCAACCAGATGAAGACGTAATTCCCAAAGGAGTGATGACAAATTGGATGATACATGATAAGTCATCATCATTCACATGATTGTTTTGTGATAAAAGCTGATTCCACATGAAAGTTGAACATCTAATTATCGATGGAAAAGTCAACAACAATCAACTAGAGCGAGAGAAAATAAAGAAAAATCTAAAAATATAAACAAAAAGAAAAAAAAAGAAATTAGAATTGAAATTAGTAAAGAAAACAAAATGGCGATCACATGAAATTAAAACGTTAACCAGTTAACCGTTAAATACCTGAAATAAATTACATAACAATTTAACTGATTGGCGGGGAATCACCTCAATCATCACCCTACAAACAATCACCAATTACAATTAACAAAAGAATAGAAAAGAAAAGAAAAACAAAACAAAATTATCATCCCATCTCAATGGAAAAAAAAACAAACAACAAACAAAACACAAAGAGAAAAAGAAAAAAAGAAAACACTCTCTTGCTAAATTGTTTCCATCACAAACAAGTTAATCGTCGTATCCGATTAGAAGATTTAATTGTAATTAACACAAAACAAAAGAACAAATTAACAACAATCAAATTAAATCCAATCCTTATTCTTATCCTTATATTTGGCGGTAAAAAGCTAAACATTATTGCGAATTGGATTGTTTACTATTCGGTTTCCATGGTAACCTGAAGGTGGAAGTAGATGTCACCACTTTAGTAGAACAGTAGAACGACGAATGCATTTCCGAAAGCTTTACTTTCTTTAGTGAATTCTCTTCTCCACTCTCTGCTTCTTTTTCTCTCTCCCTTTGAATTTTTTAAGTATTTGTCTCCACTCTGTTTAAAAACGAACAAGGTGGAGATTTTATTAGAAAAAAGAAACGTCTAAAACCATCAATCAACAAAATTGAGAACAAAAAAATCTAAAAAAATAGAAAATATCCAAAAAAAAGAGTAAAACAAAAAAAAACCCAAAAAAGATGAACAATCCTGCTGGACCGAGTTATCCCATGGCCTCCTTGTACGTTGGTGATCTGGCCCCCGATGTTACCGAAGCCCAGTTATTTGAAAAATTCTCAAGTGCTGGACCAGTTCTTTCCATTCGGGTATGTCGGGATATGATCACCAGACGATCTCTTGGCTATGCTTATGTTAATTTTCAACAACCTCCTGATGGTAAGTGTTAACCTTTACTTTATCTTCTCTTTCTTTTTCTCTCTCTAGTCTTACTTGTGTTCTTCTTTCACTTCTGTGTTGTTATCTTTTTTGCCTCTCTTTTTTCCCTTTACACTCTCTGTGTAGGTTTTCTAGTCTTGCTCTATTCCTTCCTTATTCATCCACCTCCAACTTACCCTATTTTTGAACTATTATACCTTCCATATCTTTTATTACGTTGCTTCCCTCTTCTTTTTATATCCTTTTTTGTGTTGAATTTTTATTATTGCTACGCAGTATTTTTCTGTTGAAGGTTTAGTGCTGATAGTCTATATATTAATATCTGTTTAATCGATGACTCCCTTTTCTCCGTTTTATCCTTTATACTAAATTTCACTTTATTTATCGAGCACTCTTTTCTCATGTAGCTGAAAGAGCTTTGGACACTATGAACTTTGATGTCATTAATGGTAAACCAATTCGTATCATGTGGTCCCAACGAGATCCTTCCCTTCGAAAATCAGGCGTGGGAAATATTTTCATTAAGAATCTTGACAAATCAATTGATAATAAGGTTATGTACGACACATTCTCCACTTTTGGCAACATTTTATCCTGTAAAGTTGCTGTCGACGAGGAAGGAAACTCACGTGGCTATGGTTTTGTCCATTTTGAAAATGAAGAATCAGCTCTAAACGCCATTGCTAAGGTCAACTCTATGTTGTTGAATGGTAAAAAAGTATTTGTCGGACGTTTTGTCCCAAGAAAGGAGAGAGAGAAAATTATTGGTGAAAAATCAAAGCGATTCACCAATATTTATGTCAAAAACTTTGGTGATGAAATTGACTCCGACGAAAAGTTGAAAGACATGTTCGAGGTCTATGGTAAAGTTGTGTCCTGCAAAGTTATGGGCGATGACAATGGCAAAACCAAAGGATTTGGATTTGTCAGCTTTGAAGAACCAGAACAAGCGGAAAAGGCCGTTGACGATTTGAACGGTAAAGAATTGAGTGGAGGCAAAACACTTTATGTAGGCCGAGCTCAAAAGAAAGCTGAAAGACAAGCTGAGCTCAAACGACGATTTGAGCAATTGAAAATGGAGAGATTGAACCGTTACCAAGGTGTCAATCTTTATGTTAAAAATCTTGATGACACTATTGATGATGAAAGACTTCGTAAAGAATTCTCTCCATTTGGTACAATCACCAGTGCCAAGGTCATGACTGAATCGAATGCCAGAAGCAAAGGTTTTGGTTTCGTTTGTTTCTCAGCTCCAGAAGAAGCAACCAAAGCTGTAACTGAAATGAACAATCGAATCGTTGGTTCGAAACCTCTTTACGTCGCATTAGCTCAAAGAAAAGATGAGAGGAAAGTTCATCTCATCACTCAACACATGCAAAGAGTTGGTGGAGGTAAGTTTATCCTATTTATTATTATTTTTAGATGATTAACAACATTCATTGATCTTTATGATGAACTGACTTTTTCTTGAGAGCTCAGGAACTGCTGGTGTCAGGATTACCTGACAGAACCCACTGGCGTTAAGGTTTCTGATCTCAGTTCATGATATCGTCTTGTCTGATATTCTGAAACTTACAAAGTTCTTTTCTATCATCGAAACATGTGTTGATTAATCTTTTTCATATTTTATTATTTACAGGAATCAGAATGCCACCAATGGCTAATACCAACTCTGCTGCTGCTGCAGCTCATCCACATGCACATCACCCTCATCATCATCATCCCAATTTGGCTCCAGCCGCTGCCATGTTCCCCAACCACGCTGCAGCCATCGCTTCACTTGGAGCTCTTGGTAATGCTGGTAAGTTTTCAATACCCTTCTGATTCAGTCTGACTTTCGTTAAAACTCATGTTATTTAACCTTTATTGTCGAGACAAGTTTTTCTCATGATGAAATAACTCCAAATCCATTCGATGAACCGAGCAACACGTTGTTCGGATAGGATTAATAAGTTTCTCTGATTATTTCTATCAGTACACTTAACATATTGGAACCGAGAAATTATATTAACCTAACTATTATTTTCGCAGGTCCTCAAGCTGGACATCAAGGAGCACCTCAGCCAGGTTATTATATTCCAACTATGGCTCCTCATCAAATGCAACAACGTAGTTCTTACTACCAACCTCAAGGTGGACCATCAGCTCCAGGTCCACAACAAGCACGAAATCCTAGGTGGCCTGGTGCTCAACAAATGCCACGTGGTGCTCCCCAAGCCTATAATCAAGCCTTGCGTGCTCGTGGTCCATCAATGGCCGCTGGTCAAGGCCCACGACCAAATCAAGTTCCATCATCATCCGGACCCGGTGGATCAAGACCAATCACAGGAGGTGCTCAATCAATGCCTCAAGGTATGGGACCTCGAGGGGCACCTCGTGGAGCACCACCATCTTCCGTCCGAGCATCAAACACTGGACAACAATCTGCTATGGGCAGTTATAAATTCAATTCTCAAATTAGAAATCCGCCACCGGTCCAAATGGCTCCACAGGTAATTTAAACTTTAATCTTTTTCATTAGTCCAACAATACCTTCCTGGTTGACGTTGAAGAAGTTAATCCTCCAGGTCATTGGAGCTTGGAAGATTATTATCCTTTACTTAGGCCGATAGATTGTTCAAACGCTTTGATTTATCAAGTGATATCTTTGAATTGATCTACACGCGATTAAGGAGACAATTGGTGAATTATTATCATATTAATTTTGATCTTCTCATTTTTCCACAGTCTAACATGCAAGTTGCTCAAGGTGCTCCACAACAAGACGTTCAATCTGCAGTCCATGTTCAAGGACAAGAACCACTCACAGCTTCCATGCTTGCCAATGCTTCAGAAGCAGAGCAAAAACAAATGTTGGGTGAACGACTCTTCCCACTTATTCACGACCTTTACCCTGAGCTCGCTGGAAAAATCACTGGTATGCTTTTGGACATTGACAATTCTGAGCTACTTCATATGTTGGAACATCATGAATCATTACGAGCTAAAGTTGAAGAAGCCGTCGCTGTCTTACAAGCTCACCAAGCCAAGGAGCTCGCTGCAATAAAGAAATAAGTTGATTGTGAAAACAAGATCTTGAGAGTGTAATTGATTAGTTTTATCAATTGATTTCACCCAATTACAATGAATGTAAATCGCGAACTGAATTAACTACAATCAACAAGAAGAAAGTAAATAAAAAATGGACAATTGAAAAATTGAAAATTTGAAACATTTAAATTGGTAATAATTTAAAACTTAATAATAAAAAGTGAGGTATAGATGAAGGAGTTCGTAAGTATAAATAAAGTATTAAGAAGCGGCCTTCGGGTGATCAAGTTCATCTTTCAGGTTCTCAGCAAACGCTTTCATCGCTGACCAGGTCTCTTGACCAGTTGGAATAATGTAACGAGCCGGTAGGACGAAACCATATCGACCATCGTCTCGAAGCTCAATTGTGTAAGTGTATTTAATTTTGGCTGAACCTTTGGCCCAATCATCGGCTCCACCGGCAGCAGCATCTGCAATTATTTGATTAACATTTGAATGACAAATCATTTCCACAGTTAATTTTACTTACATAATAGACGAGTTGTACTTCCAACTCGATAACGAGTCCCATGAATTTTGGACAAGGCGGTTGTCGCTATTTTAGCCATGTGATGCTATTGGAAAATAGAGATAAGTTGAAAATAGAATTGAGATGATTCAAATTCTAATTACTCACCAATTCTTGATGATCATCTGGAAGATCTTCACCGTAGCCCCAAGGGTAGAGCCAAACCTGCGAATACGAGTGAACATCAAAAAAAGCAACAATTCGAGGCGAAGCATCGAGAACCAAGTCTCGAATCGCTCTGGTTTCTGGTTCTGAAAAAGCTTTAGACCCTCTGTAGATATCGCTACAAGTATCGCTACTTGTTCCTTTACCGCCCCAATAAAAGCCGAAGTTACGATTTGGATCGACCCCTCGACAGATTCCTAATTGCTTTGACCTTGTCTTTCTCCAATTGCGATTCTAAAAGATTCCAAACAATCAAATTGAATTGAAACAAATTCGAACAATTTTAATCGCTACTTACATGAGTATGTGAGTATTCATAACCATCGGGATTCGCCGAGGGCACAAGCCACCACTCGAAGGACTCAATTAACTTCTTGTCCGTTTCATCAGCCGCTTCATTAGCTAAAGTCGTGGCCATGTAAAGGACAGTAGCGGGGGCGATCCATTCCCTCGCATGAATACCACCCTGGATGTAGATCACGGGCTTCGAAACGTTGACCGAGTTGACATTAGAACCAATTTTGATCACTTTCATGTCCCGACCTTCCCAAGTTTTACCGAAGTTTTCAATCTTAATTATGTCTTTGTTTCGAGACTGAAGACCTTCAACATAACTGTAAATTTCATCTAATCGTCGATAATTTCTGAAGAAATATTCCTCAGAATTTGCTGCTCTCTCGGAAATTTCCTCGGTTTCATTTCTATTCCTTGAGATTAACCTGCGATAGAAAAGAAAATGAAATGAACGATAACAATTGCGACAAAAACTCGAAATAATTACCTGTCGAGATCATCGATTTGGACTTTAGGTTGCATCCCATAGAGAAACAACCCTTTCATCACGGAAGCTTTTTTCTTGGGACTAATCATTATATCAACAGGACGAGCAATTAACGAAGGTTCCAACCAATAGCTTACATCCTATTAAGTTAATTGAATAGAATCAACAAACAATTAAGATTGAAACACAAATTGGATCACAAATTTACCTTAGAATATGTTAGGTTAGTTAAATAGTCGAAACTGTCCTTGGTCCTTGGAACTACTCGGATAACTGAATATCCTTTATAACTGATAATCTTATCATCATCAGTTGATTGAACAAGAGAAATTAAGTTAATTAGTAGGAAAAAGAAAACTAATAAACAATAAGAAAAATTGATTAACCATTTACGTGGTAAATACATTTTCTTATTAACAAACCAATCGGTCAATTCGCTTGGTCAGTTATGGTCAGTTACAAGTTTAGAATAGAAGAAAAAAATTCAACACTAGAAAGAAATTAAATCAACATTAAAATGGTTAATCTTAATTACGTTGAATCGAAAGTAAGACTGAAGAATATGATTGGAAATTCAAGTTCATGATTAACGATCAGAATTGAAGCTCACTTGGCTTTAGAATCTCAGTAACTGGTCACTTCTCTCTCTCTCTCTCTCTCTCCTTCTCTCTTGTGTCCATTTCGCTAATTTATTAATAGCCTGATCATCGAAATAATCAAACCAGATCTAGATTAATTCCAACTAATCACAATCAATTTATCTGATTCTCTTACTATTTAAGGATCTGTTCATTGATCGCCCATCTATCGAGCCAAAATCACCAATCACAAGGATCAGAGCGAGAAAAAAAAACCTCCTAATCAAAAGTGACCCAATTTTTTGTTTATCAATCATCCTAATCTGTTTAATCACTACCCCAACAATCAACAGGTTCAATGAGCTTTGAATTAAGTGTAATAAGTTTGATTTGTGGTTCTACTAATTTAATCATAATTTGTTGGACATTTTTTCAAATATAAACTGGTTTTAATTCAAGGTCCAAAAATGGATCAATCAATTATACAAATTACATTTAAATTGTGAAATACTGATCACTAACGGATTTAAATTTGAACAATTACCACCTCAGTTGAGTAGAACACAATTAGTAGGTGAAAACGGTTTTTCGTTGTGTGTTAATTGTACTCGAATCAAATGTATTATTATCATCGAATGAGTAAATTGGTTTACCGATATTTTCCCTCTCGTTTCCAGGTACATATTCGGGTGTGTAGATGCAAATGGTGTAAACACCACCTCCTGGTCCACGATCTCGAGCTTGACCACATCCGTATTGTTCAGTTGATTTGGAAACAATTCGAGCAAATTGTCGATTCTCATCAGTTACAATCGGATCATCATAATTGTATCTTCTTTCCTCATCTCGATACCAAGATTCAAATACTTCTGAAGGAGTAACTCGATGCTCAGAATCACTATGGAAATGATAATTCTGACCAAAGTGGACATCGTTTTCATCTTGATGAATCGGCGGGTTTCCCTCGTACCAACCATGGACAACGGCTGATTGACGAGCCAAATTAATCAACTAACAATAGAGCACCAAGAGTAAATGAAACTGCGAATCAAATAATAGTTAATTACTCACCGTTACGTTGATTGTTAATTCTGGTGATCCATGTCTCAGTCTAACGAAATTATGAAGTTCATCAAAATCTTCAATTAAATCCCAACCTTGATACTCTTCAACTGCATGAATACGTTCAGATAATTTACCATTTCCTTTGGAAATTGGAACTGAAATTATCTTCAATTCAACTGGTAAACAATTAAAAATGAATGAGAAACAAATTGTCACAATTAAAGTCGATCTCATGATGACACTTACACTCTTAATGATTAACATTGAACTCTTGTCTCTGAATTTTATATTAACTGATCAGAGAATCTAAAAGCTGCACAACAATTAGTGTAAACAATTAATTGTCCAAGAGACAATTAAAATTCAATGTCACATGTGTCGGAATACAATTTCATCATGATTAACATAACATACGAGGCTCAATTATAATTTAGCCAATCATTTAGACAATTAAATCAACTAATGTTCATTTGCATTCATGAGAAAGCTGTTTGACTAACATGGAGCATTCAGAATAATAAAAAAAAAATGGCGCTAATTGCTCAAAATGGGAACTGTACATTGATCCATTCATATTTTCGTGATAAATAATTTAATTTAATTGATCCATTAATAAAAAGAAATCAATATGTATCGAAAATGTTGAAAGACTATCCAAAGCAATTAAAAAGTAATCTCAGCCATTGATTATCAATTAATATCGATTCTGAATTCTTTGGTCCTTAATCATCTTCTTTAAGAATCATTTCTTAATCGTTAAAAATTTGATCTTTTGATTTATCTAATTCTGAAGAGTATCAAGTGCCCATGATATTGATGAGCATGAACTTCATGTTATTAAGACATTAGGAAACTGAATTTCAGGTGAACTGAATCAAATTAGTCTTTTGAGAATAAGAGTTTGATTGGGTTGATTGTGATTTAATTTGATTCGAGGCAACAATGGCAAAAATGAATATCCTTTGCAATAGACAACGAGGTTATGCAAATTTCCGTCGATATTTGTTTTCCCAAACGGTCGAGCTAAATTATTTAATCGCCGATGACCAAAGTGATAGGTCATCACGCCAGTGGTACTACTTTTTATCCTTTTCCGTACTCATTATAACCGAGATACGATTGATCCTTTTATTGTTTCTAGATGAAGTTTCCAATTTATCTTATTATCTTGGCGATATCACGCTGGTCGCTGGGGCTTTTAGGAAACAATTGTTATTCATTTACATTAGCTGGATATCAGCGACATTTACTTGTAGCGTCGTTTTGTTCACGTCACAATTTAACCCGCGATTACAAAAATGGGCTGTTATTGGTGTTATTTTCGACCATTTGACCACTACCAGTGTTCATCCTGTTTCTGATTTACCAAGTTATCTCCATAGATATTTTATCGTAGCGAGTAAGGTCACTTTTTACACTGCCGCTGTTGGTGGATTTCTAATCGGATTACCTTCATACTTCAATTTCCCTTCAGAATATACTTACTACCTTCACTTTTGGACAATAGTGACCATGTATGCTGGTGTACTCGTTATTGGACATTCGGGTAACTTTGGTCCACTTTTCGCTTTTAAAGTTTATCTTTTCGGTCATCAGATAACTAACGAAAAAAAGTTTCTAACAAGACAATTGAAAACTTTATCGATTTCAGATTCTCGTAATGCTGAAAAATTGAAACGATGTGAACAACAAACAAGGAGAATCGTCGCTCAATCATGCAGATCGGCTACCAGAATATTGAGACTTCTGATTGACGGCTATCAGTTTTGGTCTCGAATAAATCATCCTCTTTTCATGGCCACTTTTAACGCTCAATCGATTATACTTTATTTAGTTTTTTTTATTGATATTCCTCGATTCTTGCGAATCGCTCTAATTATCTTAGGAATCCTCAGCTGGCTCAGTGGACTATCTTGCCACTTCATAGCGGGAGCCTATGGACAAAGAAAAGTAAGTTCTTGACCATTTGGAAAGTTGATCAATTGTTGAATCGATTGAATTTCAGATAGATCAGTATTGTGGTGCATTGAGAAAATCAATATTTCATAATATTTCAATTCAAATGAAACTCCGAGTGATCAATTACCTGGAGCATGTTGAGGACCGACAATTTTTCAATATCTTTGGATCAATACAATATTCAACTAATCACTTCATAATGGTCAGTTTCTATATCTTAATTAAGATCACTTTAAGCTGACCATTTCCCTTATAATTGTCTATTTACAGGTTGTCCTAGAAAACACATCAAATCTTTTGCTTTTAATTGCGACCTTAGGTAGATGAACAATTGGAACCAAGGAATTTATTTATTAATAGTACAATTAAATTCGCAATCTTTTCATAGATTGATTAGATTTTCTCATTAAACTATCAAACTAATTGTAAATCTAAATCTAAATTGTCCAAAGTGATCACATTAAAGTAATTCATTTAATTATTCAACGGTATTAAATTGTCCACCATCAAGCTAATCAAATTGGTCTTTTTCTGCTCTATTAACATTTGTGAAAAATTATCTCATAATCGACAAAGATAAACAATTAGATTATGACAATTAAGATCCATTAACAATTAATCTGTCATTAATTTGTCTCTCTCTCTCTCTGATTAAATGTCAGTGTCTTTTATCAAACAGAATCAATTGCATAACATTATTTTAGAGTAAAGTTGATTATCATCAATAAGTTGGTAGAAAAAGATTGAAACAATTATCGTAACAACGATGATAAAGTTAATGACAATTGTACCATCATGATTAACTACAAATAATCAAAAACAATCACGTAAACATCAACAATCAACAATCAACAGTCAATAAGTAAAAGGTAAGGTTCATATGAAGTATAAAGAAAAATGGGAAAAAAAGATGAACCCAAAAACGATTAACTAATTTACTTTTTCTTGTTAATCATCGTTGATCATGTTAATCTGTTATATTGATATTCCAATTAATTCAACGGGTGTGTCAAGATCGTTCACATTTTTCATGTTCGTGGTTTAGGCCTGATTAGGATCTTCCTCCGTCCCCCTTACAGGTAACAGGTAAATCCTTTTCTTAATCCACCTTCACCCTACTCCTCCCACCCTTTCATTATCAGCATCTCTATTTACAGTTAATTGTTGTTCTGGTAAAATGGTTTCAAGTGATTTAATTTAATATCATCAACAATCAACTCCTCTTTTCTCACTCAACTCGATACTCTTATTGTTGTTGACAAGATCAAGGTTCATCAAATGAAATCAACATCAACAACACTAAACATCAACATCATCATCATTTTGTTTCAGTTTCATCTAGTTAACTAACATCATCCTTTTCATCATCATCATCATCATCACCATCAACAACATCATCATCACTGTTGATCAACAATTTAACCAAATCATCAGTAGTTTCTGTGTATTCAAGTTAATCATATCAAATAACTTTTGTGGTTTTCAAAGTTTTCAAAGTTTTCATTAGCAAACTATTCAATCTGAAATGATAATTTGTTGATCTATTTAATTAACTAATTTCTGTTCTTCATTTGTGATTCTAATAGTGCAATTTGATTGTTACTAATTAACCATCGGATCAACAATTAACTTTCTCACTTTTACTCATTTTAATTGGAAATCATAGTTTTCTAATTGTGTTGATTTAATTTAATTTCTCATCTTTTTGTTTCTCATCAAATCAGTCAAATTAACCAACAATTAAAAATGAATAAATCTTGGATTTTGGTAAGTTAATTATCCTGACAATTTATTAATATTGCAATTACAATGGAAAGTAATGTGATTAGTTAATTGCTTTTTCATTTTCCTTAATCAGTGAAAAATTAATGACATTTTACCAAGTCTACAATTAACTTTCTAATTTTTAGATAATAAATAGAATCCAAACAATTAACCCAATGATTTAAATGGTTATGATTAAGAAAATTGATTAAAACAAATAAACTAAATCAACTCCACCCTTGTAATTGTTTATTAAATCATTTTAAAACCAAATTAAAGGACAAAATTGATGAAATTAGGTGAAAAACCTTCCGGTTGTTAACTAATAGTAAACAATTTAAATCTAAATCAAACTATTAATCAAATATCAATTCAGAAAAAAATCAATCAACAAGACTAATGATTATTGGGTATTGACAATCAAATCAATCCTATTAATATAACAAGGGCTGAGAAAATTAAGTAAATCAACATTAAACAATTTATTACCAATCTAATTGTTACTATTAATAGTAAATTACTGATTGTGACTCCAAAGGATATAACAAAACAATCAAATAAATTGATATTAAAGTAACAAACTTGTGCGATGATAATAATTGTTGGTTAAAAATAAACAACATAATTGTTATAACATTGGGATGGAAATTATATTAAATCAAGAATATGATTATTATCATGATGGATTAAGGGTCAATTGTTAATAATCAAAGTACAAATGAACTTGATGATAAACATGAAATCTTGATGAAGTATTGGATTAACGATTTATATTCAGACAGAATTTTGGTAAGAAAAAGTTGTTATTTAGACTCTACGAAGATGGAGATAAGTTTTTCTTTATTGTAACATTTTCTGTATCAAGGTGAGTGGAAAGATGATGAAGATAATGAAGATGATGGAGATGATGGAGATTATGATGCGTGCGGAATAAATTTTGCATGTTTAGCTTTTCCTTTAATCCGGATCAAGTTCCAATCCATTGGGTTAAATCCGAATCATCTTTCATATTTGTTAATTCATATTCTCACTAATAAACTGTGAATATAATCAAATCAATCCTATTTAACATCATCCTCATCATTTGTCAGGTTTTCTCTCTCATCTTAATCATTCCTGACATTAGAATTTACTTTTTCTTTTTCTTTTTCTTCCCCAATGACAGGTAGATATTCATGATAACTTCTTTGTTCCAAATAATTTAGCATCCTCATCCTTTTAACTCTCTCTCTCTCTCTCTCTCTCTAGGATGATCACGATCAGTATTAAATTCCCCTAAATTTTGATTTTATCCCGTAAATTAGTTTGAATAATTAGCTGATTAACTATTTATCTGGTTTGGGATTAATATTAGAGTTAATTGGAGATCAGGGTTGTATTAATCTCATTTTGATTTGATTTGGTTTTCCGTTGCTAGTGGTGTTGATTAAGCTTATCGATTGATCGTTTAGTCAATTTGTTTGTAATCAAAGTAAATTGTTGACAATCAATAGTTTTTCCTTGTCTCATTTATTGTTTTGTACTCTTTTCACTTTCTTTTTTTTATATTAATTGTTTGATTAAATGTATTAACGATTTACTATTTTTACTCACAATTTAAACATTTCGTTAGTATAAACAATTAAGGTGATCGACAATCAGAAATAAAAACAATAAATAGATGAAACTGTCTACATTTAGGGAGAAAAAGTTGAAAAATTAATATTTGATTTTCGTTAAACGATTGAGCAATTAAAGAAAAAATCGTTGATAAAAAAGAGATTAATTACTTCATCAATTGTTGTTTATCTTTAATTCAGATGATTTACTTGAATTCGAATTTCATTTATGCGATTAATATGTCTTCTTTTCTTTCAGATTTTCTTAGTATTTTGTGCTCTTCTCGCTCGAACTCAATGCCAATCAGCCGATGGAATGGAGGGAATGGAAGGATTAGATGATGATGATGACGAAGATTATGATGACAATGAGAGACAATTAGGTGGTTCGGTTCGAGATGCAGTTCGAAACTTTGTCTCTGGAACAGTTAAGTATATTACCAATACTCGATTGATTCCTTCGGTTGTTTCTCAAGCTTTTCGACGACCAGGAGCGGCTGTTGTGGCCAGTGGAGCGACTGGAGCAGCCACTTCAGGTCTTGCAGCTAGTGGTTCATCGGTGGGCAGTGCTGCTGCTAATGCTGCCGCTTCCGCTGCTGCAAATTCAGCTGTTGATGGTGGTATGGCAATGTCCGCTTCTAATGCCATTGAAACAGCAGCCACAGCCGCTGGATCCGCTCTTTCAGCTAGCTCGATGGGCTCACCTATGGCCTCACTTAACTCACTTGCCAATTTCAACGCTCTCCTACCAATCTCAACTGCTTCCAATCAAATTCAACAAGCTGGTGAATTTATTGGAAATGTTTTCCGAACCATGAGGTCAAATTGGGCTCGTCGAAATCAAGAACAACAACAAGAGATACGCAAACGACTCTCCGCCATCACCAAGCGTTTAACCAACTCAAGAGTCGTACTTGGTACACTCCATCGACTCACAGGCCGAGAAGACACCGAACAAGGTACTCCCGTCGCTGGTTTATCTTCAACTGGTGACATGAAAACATCCGAATCTAAAATTCAACAAACTATCGCTCAGGCATATCCACAATTGATTCCAGTTCCATATTTTGCCCCCTTCTAATTACCTTTCTCTTAATCTCCACCACCACCACCACCATCATCATCATCATCATCGTAATTACAGTTGATTATAAACCACGATTCAGATGATATGAACTTTTTTTACCTGTGCTTTTTTACCTCTCTTTTTGTTATAAGTAAATCTCAACTCAACCTTATCAACCACCTCAACAACGATAACCTTCATGATAACCACCACAATTAAACCCAACAACCACCAATAGAATTGTTGAAATGCTGTTGATTAACTGATTTATGACTGACCTTTGACAATTTAAAAAAAGAGAACCAAATTAATAACAAACTTTTCTCTACGATTTCAATTAAAATCGAAGCCAAATTAAACCTTCAAAAAGGATCATCATTTGGTTGGATAATATTGATATTCTCGCAGAGGAAAACGACCAATTTTTTTTTCTAATCCCAACAATTAATGTGATCGATTAAATGTCGAAACAATAAATGGAACAATTAACTTTTTTTTAAATAGTCTCCGTGTAAACGGAAGGCTAAAGAAACACCAACAATAAAACCACCAAAATGTGACAAAAATCAAAAAACCTTAACCCAAATCTCTATAAATATTAATGACAATTAATGATAATTCTAAATCTAAACGCTAATTAATGTAAAAGATAATTTAATTCTTAATTGTCTTTAACAATTTAATCACTTTTTTAATATAAAAAAAACTCCAAATTAATCAACTGTTTCCAATTACTTTTCCACCTTCACTCTTTGTAATAACTCACCTGAGGAAATTGTGTGAACAATCAAAATGGATAATTTTTGTTGATTTCCGTAGATTATAACAATTAGAATTACAATTAACATTTAAATCAGTTCAATTTCGTCCAACTGAAAGCTCACTATTTTTAATTTTCTCTCCTCAATCACAATTTCAATCAATCAATGTTGTTAACAGAAAACAAATTTAGCCCATTGAAAGAGTAACACAAAAAAGATCAAGGTAATAACATATTAGTAGGTCATTCGTAAAGTTTTTTACCGAACCAAGTTGAACTACAACTCGAAGGGCAAATTAATGCCCGTAGGCCATTTCCTCGAAGAATCGAACATGATAAAAATCCAATCCGATTTATTCTGCGGTCGATTTCAGGTCATAAAAACAGAGATGGTAAGTCATTGCTTCGGTTAATTTACGCGCTTTCGAAGTCCATATCGAACATGGATTAACGAAATATTCCAAATGGAAATTGTGAAAATTTCCATTGAAAATTCATGATTTTTGGAGAAAAAAAAAATCGGGAATCGATTTGCCGTTCGAACTGTAGTTCCAACTATTCCAATAGAACTTAGTTTGGTAAAAAACTTTCCGAATGACCTAATATTACTAACGATCATGTTGCTATCAACAATTATTATTAGATAACATTTCCACCATAAACAGGATCATCTTAATCATCATTAACAGTATCATTATCATGATTATCATCACTATCGATGTTTTTGTTTTTCAAAAGATTCTCAATAATGTTACTTTATATGAAGTCGAAGTTACAAAAAAAGTAATAACATTTGAACCATGAAGGAGTTTAAATTATTGGAGATATTAGATTATTAACAATTAAAGACGATGATGATGATGATGATGAAACTGAGTATTCTCTTTCTTTAATTCGGATGATTGGTAATGACTATAATTGTGATCAAGTTAAATAGGCTTTAGCTGAGTCGCTTCAAAGATCTTGAGATGACAAGTGTAACAACATGTTCATCTAATAACATTAGATAATTACAATTAGTCTTATTATTTTAAATATAAACACACGACTAAATTGTTAACGGTGTCGTTGTTTATTGTTATTGATCATCATCATCATCATAATCATGACGATAATGATGATAAGAAAGAGAAAGGAGGGAAAAATTGTTTTTAAAAGATGATGAGGGTTCAGGTAAATACGAACAACAATAATCGTAATTATCAATATTTAGAGGGGAAAATTGGAAACACGATTTCAATGGTCTGCGACCGTAGCGAAAGTTGTTAACAATTTAATAATCTCGATCGTTAATCAATAATCATAATGTTCAATCAACAATCAATAAACGTGATAATGAAAGTTTATCTGTTTGTTGTCTTTGTTTCGATGAACCGTTTAAACTTTTTTATTGCGATTCTGGTTTCATCTTTTTTTTTTAATCACAATTAACAGTTTAAAACTTAATTGACTGATTAACTGTAAATATCCTGTTAATGTTTTTCATCATTTTGATCATATTTGGAGAGAATCACAAATCAATTGATTGATTTCAAGTGATTCTTATTCTGTTCATTTACTGATCTCATTTTTCATGTTTCATTTTTTCATTTCTTACTCTAGAAATAGTTGATTATAATTTTTAGTAGACGACAATTAGATTGTAGTTTTTAAATTAAATTAAAATATATATTCTTGTTTCCTCGTCACATTTGGTTTAGGATATTTAACTATTACAATCCATTTGATTTTTGTTTGATTGATTGTTAGCGTTATTATAATACTTGGATTAAAGTATAATTATAATCTTTATTGGTGGTGGTTGTATTGATTTAATTATGATTGCTTCATGTTTACCAATGTTTTGTTATAAATATTAACAGATTAACTATTAAAGGATTTGCGTGTCTGCATGTTGACGGTAAATTTAGTAGGCTCGAATAGCGGGTGGAACAGTGTTACACTCTTTATCGAGTGTCTCATCGATTACTGGTCGATAAACTAATTCAACTTTTCCATCAGGGTGAATCCAAGAGCGTTTAACATTAGATTCTGAAACATAAGCGGCTTTTCCAGAGACATCCAATTAAGGTCATGAGAACGGGAGATTGGCTGAATTAGTGATGTTACGAATGTAATCAAGCTCGGGTAATGTTGCAGTTCCATCATCGCTCTTACATATCCTATGAAATTAATAAAAGAAAAATAAAAATGTTCAGATATCGTAGATCGTAATTTGGAAAGGTATAAAATATAATAAAGAAAAGATAATTACCCGGTGGCTAATACAGTATTCTTAGCTCTGAATCGATGAAGGGTTCCATCTTCAAGATTAAGAGCAATTACTCCGACACATTCACCTTTCTCCATGAGTAAATCAAGTGCGAAAAATTCAACGAAATATTTACAATCATATCTCAATGATTGACCGTAAAGAGTGTGGAGCAAAGAGTGTCCAGTTCGATCCGCTACACAACAACATCGATGAGCTTGTCCACCTTTGCCGAAATTGTAAGATTGCCCTCCAAATGCTCTCTGGTAGATTTTACCTTCAGAGGTTCGACTAAAAGGCATACCATAGTTTTCCAACTGAATTAAAGAGAGTAAACAATTAATTAATTGGGTTCTTGTTGATTATAGAAATAGAAACAAACCTCAATTACGGCGTGAGGAGCTTCTCGAGTCATGTAATGAATCGCATCTTGATCACCCAACCAATCTGATCCATTGACGGTGTCATACATATGCCACCTTCTTGAACAGAAACATTATGATTACAAGATCATGATAATCATCATCTTCGTCAATGTATTTATAATAATAACAACAAAGAAAAGTTTTGTTCAAGCATCAGATTTGCGAAATGATGAAGATGATTGCTGACGAAATTCAATATTCACTAGTGAAAACAAGTCGCTGATCATGATTAAGTAATCCAATGTAATTAAAACAGATACGAGTTGTTTTTATCATGTTTTTTTATTTCCATCATCATCTTTAATCATCTGGTTTCTGTTTCAATGTTTTTCCATGTTGTAAAAGATGTGGAAAGAGATGAATTACAAATTGTCTCATGTAATTTAATCCATTGATCTTTCATTTTTTTTTTCTTGAATCCGTTTATCATGAGACCTAAAAGTGACCTATTTGGCTCCTGAGTAGCCAAAAATTTCCCATTGAAGGTCAAGGTGAATCATATGATTCTCAGTTGATTGCTCGTCGTTTACCAGCCTTACAATTTTACCAAATCTATTAATTAGTTAATTGTTTCAATGATGATTGAGAGAAAGATTAGAAAAACAAAAAAACACCACCATTAGTAATCATTTCTGTAAATTGAACTATCCTCGGGTAATCAATAGTTAATCGCTGTAAATTATAAGTATTTTAACGGGGCCAACGTGAATTCTCATTGGATTAAGCAAATCGGAATTGCAGTAGAAATTTGGTTAATCGCTTGTAACAATAAAAAGGACTGATAATTTGTTTTCTTAGGTTGGTGGAGATTCATTTTTGATTTGCCTTGAAGAGCATCGTCTTGTTTGTTTCTTTGTCGTAATAATAATCAATTGTGTTAGTACATATATTTGAATATGTGAGAGAGGCAGGGTAAGTGATGAATGAAGATAACGATGATAATGATAGTAATAAATAAAAGATTTTTCTTTGATTGTGAAAAGATGAAGATGATGATGTGTAAATTTGAATGAATTTTTTTTGGTTAAGAATTGCTGTCCAATGGTCGTTTCAACGTCTCCAGGCTGAATTGTCGTTTATCAATAGAGAATTCATCAATCGTGGAACTGGATTCTTAAGAGTTCTCCCAAGTCGAAAGTCATAAACCTTGCGACAGAAAAAAACTCGATCGGGGAAAACTTTCCTCATTGGAAGACGGCTTCGTCTATTGTAATCTTTTCCACTGGGCACAAAAGTATCGGTCAAAGAGAGGCCAATGTTTTCAGCGTCCATTTTTTGTCTCTTACGATATCGACAATATTCATTAAAGGTAAGCACATAACATTTATCATCAATACAGGCAACACTGTTAACATCTTGATGTTTGGAAGCAAATATTTCATCTAATTGATCGTGAGGCTTTCGACCTGGTTCCGTATGTTCAGGTCTATAATACCATAAAAGGCTCATCATCATTTCACCTGAAAGGTAAAAGGTGAAAATATTTGTCAGACAAAATAATCAATTAATAAAATGGTTTGTAAATAACGTACTAGTTTCTGGTGCTTCCCAAAGTGCGCAAATTTTAGCTACAAAATGAAGGTCAGTTTTTCTAGGTCCACCTCGAAGTAGAACACTATCTCGAACCTTAATTACATCTCCTTGTATATGACAAATTGCGGGGTAACAGTCACGTAGTTGAGGCGGTTCGTCGGGCTAACAGAATGAAAGGATTTACGGATAAGTTAGTTAGTTTAAATAGCTACGAATGAAGATAATTAATACAGTTAATTAGTGTTGATATTTACCTCGATAAACACTGGTTTCTTGGAAGGGTTTCCTCTCCATGACCAACCATGAAATAATCTCTTTTTTCCTGATTTCCGTGATCCGCTGGTCTGATCTACGGTTGGTACTGAGGTTGTTGTTGTGGTGGTTGATGATGAGGTCGAGGATGATGTTGGAGATGATGCTGAGCTCTCACCGTGAACCAAATTGGAGTCAATTAAAGTTTTATTTGATTTGTTTGGACGTTTTTTGGTTGAAGACGGTAATTGATCATTCAAATGATTATTGTTAGAGATGGAGATACCTTTCTTATTGTTACTATTAACATGATTATTTGTCGTTGGTACTAATTGCTGATGACCGGATGATAATGAAGAGGAAGATCCTGATGTTGGTAAAAAATTGTTAACAACTGAAGGTAAGGTTGATATTGGTGAAGTGTTTGTTGCAATAGTTGACATTGATGGTGTTGCAATTGTTGACGCTTGTATTGGTGCTGGTGAAGAAGATGATGTTAATTGTGATTGGAGATATTTATTAGATCGATTTGTTAATGTCCGTTGTTTACCAATAGAGATATTATTGTTATGATTCGTACTGTTTTCTTGAAGCTGTTTACGTTGATTTTTTCGAGTCATATTGATTGTTGGTGAATCTTTTCCGTTTTTAGATGTGTTAACGGAAGCGTCTCTCAAAAAGTTATTGTAAGTTGATGAAATTGCGGCTTGTTGTCTACTGTTGTTATTGTTTCCACCATTACTAATTACATTATAATTAGTATCTCTGGTGTGGTTACTGTTGCTACTGTTGGTGACGGAAGCTGAAGTGTTACTATTGTTATTAACACTGGTATAATTACCAGAGCTGTTCACGTTAAACGGGGTAATGGTGATTGAAGATTGACTATGAGATGATGATTGTTGTGGATTAGTGTTTTGCTGCTGCTGATAATTTGATCGTCTATTGGGTTCAGGGTCAGTGTTTGTTGAACATGAAACGCTTTTAGATGTGAAACGACTGCTTCTTGGTGTAACAAATGGACTGATAGTTGCTACGTTTGATTGTTGTTGATGATTAACTGTTAACGGTGAACCAAAGGTTGATGGTGAACGTGAGTGATTGTTATTTGTTATGATTGGTGAGAAATCAACCTGAGTTGAAATGGAAAAACTTGTTGAACTAAGAGAAGCGATTTCATTAGGCAGGTTAGACGGGGAAGCGGTTGATAAAGAGGTTAAATTTTCAACAGAAACGGGCGTTGCTACGGCAACAGGGGCTGGTCCGGGAACAGGGGATATTCCTTGAGGTAGTTCAGGGTTGATTATGGAATTGACTATGACCGAGGATGAGTGTGCTGCGGATAACGGTGAAGACGATGAGAGAGCCTGAAACATGTTAGGAGCTAAACGACCCGGTAGAATTGAGGTTGAACCTAAAAAAGCGATCGATGGACCACCGGAGACATTGGTAGATGAAAATGAAGAGGATGAAGGTGTTGAAATGGTTTGAAGGTGAGTTGGATTCATGTGGTTGGATGAAATTGTTTGTGCCGTGGTTGCAATTGTTGCCATTGTGTCCCTGGCCATTAATGTGGTTGTTGGATTATTGACCGCAATATTGACTGATAAGTGTTGCGAATCGTGAGGTGATTGGTGAATTGTGATCTGATCGTTTGTGGAGGATAAATTGTGATACATATTATTGGCTCGAAGTGAACAGGATAGGTCGTTATTTGGATATTGAAGGATGTAATAGCTGGGCTGTTCATATGAGATAGCCTTAGATGAAAAGGAATTAGTCTCAAACCGACTGGTCCCGGGAGCTGATTGCGGTGGTTGTGGTGGTAGCTGCTGCGGTAGCGACAGTGGTTGGTGGAGGATAGAAGGGTGGGAAGAGGAGTGAGGGTGAAGTTGAAGTGTAGGACGAGAGATTGGATATAAATGGTGATGAGACATTGACACATGGGGCTGAGGAGGAGGTGGAGGTGGAAGCTGAGGTAATGGTTGTTGAATAGGATGATGTTGGGAAAGGATGGTGGGAGGTGTAGGCTGATGATGACTAGGTTGTAGATGAGGCGGTGGAGGATGTTGAGCTATTGGCGGTGTGTGCAGTTGAAGAGTTAGCGAAGAGTGTGAAAGGTGCTGAGGTTGATGGTAATTTGACTGCTTTAGGTTGTGGAATTGGTTGGTAAGAAAGAAAGAAAGAAAGAAAGAGAGAGGACAGGGTGATGATGATGATGATGGAAGATGAATGATTATTATTTAGATGACGATTATTATAATGAAGAGGATAAAAATAAAACGGGACGATGGGTTGGTGGGCAGAGTGATGCACACAGAGAAGTGTTAGTTAAATTTGAAAGAGAGAGATATATATTGATTTTAAAATATGATAACAAGAGGACGGAACAATAATATTGATCAACAAAACATAAAAACGGAAGCTAAGGATGCGGTTAATTGATTATAACAGAAAAACAAGTAGCTGATATGCAGTTAGAGCTGATTTGTGACTTGATTGCAAAATTTGATGCAGTTAAGGGTAAAAGTTAATCTTAAATTGCTAATTTTGTTGATTAGAAGCATTTAAAGTATTGCAACAATAAAATTATTATCTTAAAAAAGTAGCACTAGAATATCGAATCAATAGATAAGTTTCAATGTTAAAATATTAATAACTCAATGATAAATAATAATTATGAGTAAAAATTAATTTTCCATGAGTTTTCTAAACTGATTTCTTCGAGATTGCAATTAGAACCACAAAAAAGGTCTAGAAAAATGAAAATATGGTTGCATGTTGAAGCGAAGCGGAGTGGGACACACAACAGCAGCACTTACAATTGGATTGAATTCCCTGTAAGTCTGATCGGGATGATGAGCCATTTGAGAAGCATAATAGGGAATAGGCTTGTGTAAAGAATAAGCCCGAATATAAGGATCGTGAATTGGCTGCATAATCGGACCGCAACCAATCGAATGTTGGTAGAAACCTAAGTCGAAAAGAGAAAAGAGAAAAATGATTAATAATAATAATCGAAAGTGAAAGAGATTAACATGAAAATGAGTCAAGTACCATATGATTCGGTTGGGTAGTTAATGGAAGCCGCGTGGTTGATATGATGAGGCACTGAAAAGGCACTCGCATAATGAGGTGGATACTGAGGTCGTCCGATGTTGGGAATCTGTGGTACTTGGAGTATAGAATTTGCTGAGTTAATCTCTGTTTCGAAAATTTTTGCCATGGTTGTTGTTCCGGTTGATATTGTCGATTCAATTGATCGACATGGTTTGGACATGGTTCGTCTATCATGTGGATATTGTAATGTTCCCATATTTACAACTGGTGGGTTTACATGAGCGGAATCACTTGAACTAATTTTCGTCTCACGAATCTTGACCACCGTGGGACCAGTTGATTTATTTGAGCCCGTTGACCTTTTAGATGAACCAAGTGATCGACTTTGCTTGTTTCTTTTATCAGAGTATTGTGGACCAATGGTGGAAGCGGGTGAAATATGCTGAGAATCACTGGAACTAATTTTCGTCTCAAGAATCTTTACCACCGTTGAACCTGTTGACCTGGTTGATGCCGATGTTGATCGGGTTGATTCAATTGATCGACTTTGTTTAGAAGATAATCTTCTTTCTGGATATTGTGGTGACCCAAGATCAGGTTCAGGTGAACTGACCTCAACTCTAGATTCACTTGAACTAATCTCCGTTTCAAGAATTTTGAAAACAGTTGATCGAGTTGATCGAGTAGATCCAGTTGATCGAGTTGATTCAATTAAACGACTTTGCTTAGAAGATAATCTTCTTTCGGGATATTGCGATGACCCAAGATCGGGAACGGTTGTTGATACTTGCAATCGAGATTCACTTGAACTTATTTCCGTCTCAAGAATTTTAACCACAGTTGATCTGGTAGATCGAGTTGATTCGGTTGAACGGGCTGCAATTGACGGGCGACTTTGATTAAAATTAACTCTCTTCTCAGAAAGTGAGGCCAAAATAGCGGAAGCATTAAGAGAGGCCATTCGTTTACACGATCGTGTATCAATAATTTCAATCTCCTCATCGATTAACTTTCTCTTCTTTGGATTAACCAAAGAAACCACAGTTTTACATTTTCCTTTTGATTCTCGAGCTTTACTTTTAGAATTAATATTTTTACTTTTCACTGATTTAGCCTTTTGCACTTTAGTTGATTGTTGTTTCCCATTGTTTACACAACCTGTTTTCTTCTTCCTCACCCGTTTATTGGCTTTACTTTCCATAATAGATGATGAGACGGTTGATGATGATGACGAAGAACATTTTTTCTTACGTTTCTTCACCTCACCACCATTTCTTTTACCTGGTCCACTCTTCCGGGCCATGCCAGAGACTAACCAAAGCTTCACAAACACTAAAATTTACAATGGAAACAAATTGTACACAATTAAGAACGTATTGATCATGGAAACTTTAAGGAAATTGTTTCAGGTAAAAATTGAAAACATAATAAATTGAGGTGTTTCTATATTTCTCTCTCTCTCTCTCTCTCTCTCTCTCACTCACTCACTCTTTTTCTATCTCTTTCTTTCTCCTTCTCTTCTCTTCTTTCTCTATAAATATCTGCGAAGTAATAACAAGAGCTTCTTATTAATTCTGACACACAAATGTTGACTTGGTGATGAGAAATTCATTGGATGAATTTGAGAAAATGGATTAACCTTATGTCCAGTTTACTCTTTAGATTACAACTGATTTAATTAATGAATCAACTTACCTTAAATTTTAAGCCTCTAAAATATGGATTATCCAAGAAAAGATTAAAGTTGTATTAGCTTTTGATTAGGTAGATCAAGTTTTAAATCCATTCCATTTTTGTTGTTGTTGTTGGTTTAATCAAATACTTTTATATATTTATAAAGATTTAATCACAATTGAATTAATGTTGATTCAAAGTAAATATCATGTTCACTTGATTAACAATTCACATTAAGTTCTCATTTTCCTTGGAATTGTTTCCAAATTGTTGACAGAATTGATTGACAGAATTTCCTACAACAATAACAACTTAGTTTTCTTATTGATATTTTCACCGGCGTAAGAGCAACAATTCAACAGATAATCCAAAATATGGATTAGCCTTCTCTCTGTTTGTGAAGAGACACTTTTGTAATAATATTGTAACAATTAACGATTTATATATAAAATTGTTTCTTATTTTCAACAGTCACTTTATCCAATATAATAATAGATGATAATCTCATTCTAATTGAGTAACTATACACATATAAGAAGATGTAAGAAAATCAGTCAATCAGATTGTACAAATTGAAACAATATGAAAGTATTATAAACATAACTATCCACAGGTAGAAAAGCTGTTGATATCAACACATAGGAAGAAAGTTTAACTATCGGATTAGGTGATTAGATTAGGACAATTAATTAGTTATTCTCATCGGATTGATGAGTTTACTTTTTCCGTAATAGTTATGGCGAAAACTGGAGCGCCTTCACTGCTGATGTAGCATTTCAAGTAACCCGAATGTTGGAGAGCCAAATTGAAATGAATTTCACTTGAGCGTTGGTTTGAATTTACGAACAATTAACTGATTTTCACGAGAGTTTCTATTGTTATTTGGAGGAGATTAACTGGAGGACAGGATAGTCTTTTTCACTTGAACATTTGCCGAACATAATTCGCACGATAATTGATTGGAAAAAATTGTCTCGAACCAATGAGATACGTGGACAAAATGCCGAAGCAGCGATTGGTGCTGATGAGATAAGATTGATGATCGAAATGAGATTAACAATGGACGTTGATTGGTACGAATCAATAATAATCCTGGAATTGCGATAGATAACATTTCATCACATTCGGTGATTAATTATGATCATCTCGGAATGATAATTGACGCTAATTCAGTTTGTAATGATTCTGGAAATGAAGGTGACATTGATGATACAAGTTCATCTTCATGAGCAAGTTCAAGGATTTTCAATGAATGTGATCAGTGTTTTGAAAATAATTATCAATCAGATTCGGAAAACAATCAACAATGACAGATCAATATTATTGTCCCCTGATTCCTTGTCCAATAATAAATCACCGAGATGTTTATGATTGTGAGGCTTCAAGTGATTTTCAGATTGATTATTCTAATGTTGGCAATTTACCATATGCAAATCAATCATCTCTTGATGGACAATTAAAAGATGAACCTCAATTAACAGTTTGCTTTCAATTTAATAATCTCGATCGTTAATCAACTACCATAATGTTCAATCAACAATCAATAATCGTGATAATGAAAGTTTATCTTTTTGTTGTCTTTGTTATGATGAACCGAACTTTTTTTTAATCACAATTAACAGTTTAAAACTTAATTGACTGATTAACTGTAAATATCCTGTTAATGTTTTTCATCATTTTGATCATATTTGGAGAGAATCACAAATCAATTGATTGATTTCAAGTGATTCTTATTCTGTTCATTTACTGATCTCATTTTTCATGTTTCATTTTTTCATTTCTTACTCTAGAAATAGTTGATTATAATTTTTAGTAGACGACAATTAGATTGTAGTTTTTAAATTAAATTAAAATATATATTCTTGTTTCCTCGTCACATTTGGTTTAGGATATTTAACTACAATCCATTTGATTTTTGTTTGATTGATTGTTAGCGTTATTATAATACTTGGATTAAAGTATAATTATAATCTTTATTGGTGGTGGTTGTATTGATTTAATTATGATTGCTTCATGTTTACCAATGTTTTGTTATAAATATTAACAGATTAACTATTAAAGGATTTGCATGTCTGCCTGTTAACGGTAAATTTAGTAGGCTCGAATAGCGGGTGGAACAGTGTTACACTCTTTATCGAGTGTCTCATCGATTACTGGTCGATAAACTAATTCAACTTTTCCATCAGGGTGAATCCAAGAGAGTGTATGTTTCCTCCAGTGTTGATTAAATGGTTTCTTTGATTGGTTTTCCAATGGTTTCGAATAATCAAATTCATCGATTCTATCTTTGAAATCTTCTCGAGCATGAGCTCCTCGAGATTCTTTTCGAGCCTCAGCACTGTACATAGTCATTCGAGCGTTTAACATTAGATTCTGTAATTCCAAGGTCTCAACCAGATCAGTATTCCAGATCATTCCTCTATCTTTGATCTACGAGGGAATTAAATGAAAAATAAGTAAGTAGGTTAGATAATTTCTCATGTATAGTTAATCTTGTCAATAGATAAATAAAGTTATTGTAGTGATTAACTTTATAGTTTAATCGACAAGATAAATTAAGATTAACTTACAGCTACATCGGGAAGTTGCTTGTAGCATTCGTCGATTAATTTAACTCCTTCTTTGAGCACTTCTCCGGTTCGGAAAACCGCTGCATTAGTTTGCATGGTCTTTTGCATCTTTAATCGTAAATTAGCCGTTGGTATGGATCCATTTGAGTGTCGAATTTTATCGAGATTAGCTACTGATGATTCTCCTGAATTAATACTAAGTTCGTGGATCGATTCTCCTGGTTTATTTTCTTCGGCAATGGTCTTTGCACAGGCTCGTCCGAAAACAACCAAATCCAATAAGGAATTGGCACCTAATCTGTTTGCTCCATGTACTGAGGCACAAGCGGCCTCTCCAGCGGCATATAGACCAGGTATTACTCGATCACCGTTTTTCTCATCATAGTTTATCACTTGACCTTTATAATTAGTTGGAATGCCACCCATATTATAGTGAACGGTTGGGAGAACGGGAATAGGTTCTTTGGTTACATCGACACCAGCAAAGATCATCGCTGTTTCTGAAATACCAGGTAATCGAGTTGCCAATTGTTCAGCAGGTAAATGATGAAGTTGAAGGTAAACATGATCTTTATCTGGGCCACATCCTCTTCCTTCACGAATCTCAATTGTCATCGCACGAGAGACAACGTCTCGAGAGGCAAGATCCTTAGCAACTGGAGCATATCGCTCCATAAATCTTTCACCTTCAGAATTTACTAAGAAACCTCCTTCACCACGACATCCTAAAGCAGAATGAATGAAAATTAAGGTGAGATTCATACTTTTTATTTCATTTGTCTCGAAAGATAAAAAAAATACCTTCGGTGATAAGACAACCAGCTCCATAGATTCCAGTAGGGTGGAATTGGATAAATTCTAGATCTTCTGAAGGTAATCCAGCTCGGGTAACCATTGCAGTTCCGTCACCAGTACATGTATGAGCTGAGGTACATGAGAAATAGGCTCTTCCATATCCCCTGAGATACATAAAAGAGAAATAGAAAAGTTAAAATATTTGGCAAACAATCAACTAGAAAATGAGCTAAGTAGTTAATAGTTAATTTATATCTCGATCTCTGAGATTATTCAATAAATATCATAGATCAATTTGGAAAGGTATAAAAGATAATAAAGAAAAGATAATTACCCGGTGGCCAAGACAGTATTCTTAGCTCTGAATCGATGAAGGGTTCCATCTTCAAGATTAAGAGCAATTACTCCGACACATTCACCTTTCTCCATGAGTAAATCAAGTGCGAAAAATTCAACGAAATATTTACAATCATATCTCAATGATTGACCGTAAAGAGTGTGGAGCAAAGAGTGTCCAGTTCGATCCGCTACACAACAACATCGATGAGCTTGTCCACCTTTGCCGAAATTGTAAGATTGCCCTCCAAATGCTCTCTGATAGATTTTACCTTCAGAGGTTCGACTAAAAGGCATACCATAGTTTTCCAACTGAATTAAAGAGAGTAAACAATTAATTAATTGGGTTCTTGTTGATTATAGAAATAGAGACAAACCTCAATTACGGCATGAGGAGCTTCTGGTCATGTAATGAATCGCATCTTGATCACCCAACCAATCTGATCCTTTGACGGTGTCATACATATGCCACCTCCAATTGTCTGGTTCCATATTCCCCAAGGCTGCATTGATACCTCCTTGAGCAGCAACAGTGTGACTACGAGTGGGAAATAATTTAGTAATCACAGCAGTCGAAAAACCTTCCTCCACAAGTCCAAAAGCTGCCCTCAAACCGGCCCCACCAGCACCAACAACAACAGCATCAAATGTATGATCAACAACCGGATAGTCCTTTGAGATAGAGGCAGATTTAGGGAAACATTTTCTCCTTTCACCAGAGATATGGACATTTCTTTGTTGTCTTTTTTCAATCTCTTTCAATACTCGCACATTGTTGGGCTGGAAAACAATAAGAAAAGAAAATCAATTAAAACCATTGAGAAAAATTTCAACAGCCAAGGAGAAATCAAAAATCACCACAACCAAAAATAGAAACAAAAACAATGAAATCAAAGAAAATTGAAACAAAGACAATCACTTGGTTTTCTCCAGGAAAAGAATTTCAAAACTTGGACTAACCTTGATTCTTTGGATTAAACGTAACATTATAATTTAGTTAAAATAAATTAATTCAATTAAAAATTATTCTACCAGTTAAAACAATTAACCACAATTAAGATGAGTGATCAACAGAAATGAACAACGACTGAAGCGCCACCAGAATAACATTGAAACCGAAACAAAGTCATTTATGTTGACCCCAAGTGACAATTTCTAATTGTAATCAAATGTTTTCTTTTAACTGTGTTGATTAATTGGATAATTTTCCAATTTACCGAATACTAAACTTTTAAAGTTACCCTGAGAATAATTAGTTAATCAGCTTTGTTCCCTGGATTAACCTTTGTAGAGATTAATTAGACTTGAGTGCAAGTGAACTTTGTATTTGTTTACAACTCAAGAGCTCCTTTTATATGAATGAAAATCTAGAATCAGTTTAATTGTGATTAAATGATTCGATTTCTTTTTCTTTGTTCAGGTGATTAGTGTGATGATTGATTTATTTTTTCTTTTGACCTTATGTTTATGTCAGGAAGTTTATCTTCGTCAATTGAAATGAGATACCAGCTGATCGGGTTTTTGGTTTTTGTTTTGTGAGAGTTAATAGTGAGAGAACAAATTGTGATTAAATTGAGAAATTTAGGTTTAATGTAGATTGACATTGTGTGAGAGAGATGGGAGAGAAAGGAGAGAGAGATAGAGATAGAGAAAAGATTGGGAGTTCAATTATCATTAAGAAGCTTGGGCTTCTTTAATGGAAACAAAAAAATTGGTTTACAAAAATCACATGGTTAGATCCATAATGGCATTGACAATGTCATTATTGTTTTCTCGTAAGGCTTTAATTGCTTTACTTCTTGGGACATTGGCTTGACTAATAACTAATTCGATATCTTTGTCAGCAATTCCAGTCTCGTCGACATCCTCATCTTCAATGTCTTCCAGAGTAGCCGATGCTCCTGATCCTGGACCAGCAGCACCTAATCCAGCACCAGCCTCACCAAGAGCTCCGGCACCACTGAGAATAGATGATGCATCGGGTGTTTTAAACTTCTCTGCAGCGGCCATTTGAGCTTTTTGACTAAGATCTTCAATTTTGGCTTCACCGAAAACAATATAGGTATCGGAAGCAGGGCTCTTGTAAACATCAGGTTTGTTGATAACAAAGAGAATATTCTTACTTTTCCTTATAGCAACTCGATTAACACCAGTGATCTGTTTAAGACCCAATTTGGACATTACTTTTCTTGCCTTTTTCTCACTTCGAGATTGTTTACTTTTACTGGCAGCATCTTCTCCAAGACCAGCAATGGCACCAGGCTTGGCTTCACCACCTTCCTCTGGGGCATCTTCCAACTCTGGAACTGAATCCTCGGATTCGGAGTCGGTTGTTGAGTCTTTATCTTTAGTTTCTTTGTCCAACATTATGTATAAACGATCGTTTCAATTATTATCCAAATTAGAAAACAATTAAATTAAATGTACAATAACAAATGAAGAAAACAATCAAAACAAAGATACAATTTCTCTTTCAATTCCCATGCTTAAATTTTCAATCCCGGATAAGGAAATTGACTCACAGGGATCGCATTCAAATTGCATTCGAATTTTTTTTCTAAATTTTTTTTTCTTTTCAATTTTTCCAAATTTTTTCTACAATTTAAAATTGCGAATTAATCTCTTTACATAGATGATCATCATTCTTGTGCACTCATAATCTATGGATTAAGTGGTTAAAATAACTAATGAGCAAAAGTGATTAGTAAGCAAATTGAGTGAACATTAGAGTTGATTGTCAAATGAATGAAAACAATTAACAAGCTCATTAATTGAACTTTTAATTTTCTTCTTTTTTAATAATGAACATTGAGTGAATATTTTCTCTGAATGGAGATTGTAAATTCAATAATAATAGAGATCACAGGTTAGATTTCAAGAATGAGTTTGAAAATTGCCTGAGGGGACATTCCGATTATCGGTGGTCCATTTCCAGAATCTTCATCGATTTAATTATTTCATAATCTAAATTGTCAAATAGTCTTTACAATCATTACAATTTTAACTGTTCGATTATCAGATGTTTGTTTAATCATCTAACTTTTCTGAACTCAACGGATTAAAACTTTTATTATTCTTTCTATGAAAAATTACCATGAAACAATCATGGAATCATTGATCAATATGTACGTTAAATTATTCTAATTAATTTACTTAACTTATCAAAGTTTCAATTAACTCAATTGATCAAGTGTTGGATTATCTAAAATGAGACAACAAGATGATATCAAAGGATCAGGGACTCGAGTTTTCAAAAATAATCGCCCGAGGGTAAGATAACAGTTCATCCTGGAAAAAGGGACTTCGTGGATCATATTTCACACGGTAATCCAATAGGTGAGAATTGTAATTGTTTGAAAAAATTAATTTCTCATGATATCAATCTTTGTACTAATTAAAATATTAATTTGTTTTAAATTTCTAAATAAATATCATGAACCAATCATGAAATTGTTAATTACAGAATTACATGTTTACAATGATCGTTTTCAACTCCAAATGCAACGAATAGAAACTCAATTGATAATAATAAATGATTTCGGAGCAATTTTCTAGAGACACGAGGTTCTTTAGGTAACTTTAAAGAACAATTCTCAGCTACTATTTCCTCATCATGATGTCGAATTTCACTTTAATCTTCAATATGATCATACGAAAAACGATATCAAAATTCATACAAACATAAATGACGTAACTGAGAAGCTCTCATTGTATATTTTTCTATTTATCTCTTACCTTGAGCTTTGTAAATTTCTTCGTTTTCAGGAATTTTTTATAGTAATTTGAAACGATTTTCATGAAGTTTTGTACCAATAAAGACAATATCTCAAAAAGAAAATGTTATTCCAATTAATCTAAAAATTGCTTCATGAATATAAACTTTTCTTCATGCAAAATCAAACGATGAATTTTTGTTGAAATATTTTTATCAAATTCAAAATTATCCAAACTTTTATCAAGAATATCCGAACTTTTTGCTGTTACTTTAGATGATTCTGTTCTACAACTACAGGGAATTTCACCGAAAAGTTTTTCTGAATAACCTTTTTGCTTTTCAAGATTCACACCTCAAACTCGAGTTGTGGAGGTTTAGACAATATTCATTTTCATATTTTGATATCAAGGTCATTCCGATCATTCTGTTAGGATACAGTTTCAGGGTCATTTGATGGTCAGAACCAAATTTAGACTCAATGTTTATGATTTTTCATCCAATTCTCATTCCGAATAATAAACGCTTTGTTTCTGGCACTAAATATGCTCCAAAGTTGTTACCTCGTTAGTAGCCTCACCATTGAGTCTAAAAGTTGGTGTTTCGTCGGCTAATGAATCACCTTTTTCATCCCTTTTACCAGCTGATCTAAGTTTTAATCCTAATCTTAATCCTTTAATCTCTCAATTATCCACTAACTTCAGTTTAACGTGAATTTTTTAATGAAAACAAATTAATCATCATCTTATTTTCTCATTTAAATGATTTAATACAATGTTGTAAAATAAACAATTTAACTCTCATTGTATGTGGCACCTTTGTCCAATTTTTTTAGATCATTGGAAGACCATCAAAGGGAAAGCCTATTCGCCACAAAGCTGTGGACAATTATCCACGACTATTTGTCCACGAAATGTATTAAAACATAGAATCCACATTAACAAGAATATTAAAAATTATTAGTTAGATGATAATTGATTTTCAGAAAATCAGAAAATAAAAATTTATCCAAAAATTGAGCAAACGAAAGTGTAAATTATTTGATTGTGGGTTTACAGGTCATCAAACTTTGGAGGTTCAGGTGATTTAGACATGAGAGCCATCGCTGATTTGATTAAATCTTCTGATTGTAACATTGACATATTCCAATGGATCATAAATTGTAATCCCTCCCAAACACCATGATCACGGGAGTAATCAAGACCAACTTTAGCTCCTTGGACAACTACCGGACTTTTACTTGCAATTGTTGTCGCTAATTGTAGAGCTGATTTGATTGCCTCTTCTTTATCGGGTAAAACTTTACCAACAAGATTCAATGCAAGAGCTTCATCAGCATTGATTTTCCTTCCAGTGTAAACAAGTTCACGAAGAGTACTTTGATTAGAGATGATTAAAGGTAGAAATTGAAGAGCACCCATATCAGCAGCTAAACCAAGTTCCACTTCTCTGACAGTAAAGTAACTATCCTGAGTAGTGTAACGAATATCGGAGAGAGCAATTAACTCGAGACCAGCACCAATACAACCACCGTTGATCACCGAGATAATTGGTTTCTGACAAATGGAAACTTTTTTAAATGATTCTTGTAACATGTTGATCACCGATCTCAATGCAAACGCTTTTCGACCAACATCTTCAGTGTGAGTGGGTACAAACGATTGGAAAGTCTTTAGGTCAATACCAGCGCAGAAAAAGTCACCAACAGCTGATAGAATAGCTACTCGATAATGTCGATCATCATTTAATTTTCCAAATATATGAGTGAGTCCAGAAAATGTATCCAAATTGATTGCATTTTAACTTTCGGTCTATTCAACTGAACATGTAAAATCCTTTCACCGGCTTCCGAAACTTGGATTGATTCATTGATATTGTAATCAGTTAATCGTTCACCGGCAGAGGAATAAAATTTGATACAATTCCGACTGTAATCTGAAATTATAGAAGACACAAAAAAAAGTTAATCAATAAGAAATTTCGAGAAAAAAAATGTACTTACTTAAATGGGAAGACAAAAGTCTATTGATTCGGAGGAAATTCATGATTTAGAAACAGTAATTAAGTCGATCTGTTGAAAGCTGAAAGATCCACAATGATAGAAATTGTAATAAAACAAGAACAGCAGAGACCAAAGTCTAGCTAAATACTGTAGTAACAATGTTTTAGAATCAAAATCAACTAGAATGAATCACAATAATCAAAGGAAACAATTTAATCTCAACATTAAAAGCATCAAGTAAAAATGTAAACAAAGTTCAGAATCTCAAATATAAATGGTTAAGGTGAAGCACTTCAACGAATGGAATGGACTTGATGAAATGGACGATTCTTGATGATTTAATTGCCAAGCTATACTATTTGATCTAGTGTTTAATTCATGAAAATTAGAGTTTTTTTCTTTGATTATCAGATTGACACAATTAATCAATTCTAATCATAAGTAAATCTCATAAAGAAGGCGGAGTTTAGGTGATCAACTCCGAGAATTTATCGCAGCAGAGCGACATCTAGTGAGTATTTTCTTGTATTCTAATAAAAAGAAACGTTTTCTCAACGTTAATTTAGTGATTACAATTATCGTGACTTAATCAACTCAAAGAGTTACTTATAATTATCAAAATGCCCGATGAAAAATCAACTGAATCAGATTGTTATCCCTTTTTTGTTTCCGGTAAAGTAGTAAAGGATTTGGTCGAGGATCAAGTGAACTCGGGATTCCAACTGCAAATATTGATCATCAAATTGTTAAAAATATTAACCTTCCAACTGGAATCTACTTTGGTTGGTCACAATTAACCCTGACAGAGGATCAATTCAATCAATTAACCAAAGGTAATTACCACCAATCCCCAATCAAATACTAAGAAGTAACAATTAGCCATCCAATCAAAGGGTAATGTGATCATCACCAGACAATTGAATGTTATCAACTCTAAATTGTAAACAAATCGGTTTGCTGATTGTTAGAAGGTAAAATTTCAATTGTATTTAACTTAATGATCACTGGCAACAATTACAATTGGCCTTTTATACACTTAAATCATCAAATTAATCCACATACCTGATGATCAAAATGAATTGGTAGATTTGCTGTGAAATCTAATGTCTTCGTAATCTTAATCATAACGAAAATTAAATTTACTAATTGTTTTGTTTTTCTTCAGATCAACAAGATAAACTAAAACCAATTCTAAATGACAATGGATCTAATTTAGTTTCTCCAATTTATATGATGTCAACTGCTTTGGGTTATAATCCATATTATGACAATAAAGAGAAAGCATTGGAAATTCATATTCTAAATAAATTTGATTGTGATCTTTATGGAGTAACAATTAACTCGTTAATTTGTGGTAAGATTCGTGATGAGAAAAACTATGATAATTTGGAATCTTTAATTGAAGCAATTAACAACGATATTAAAGAGACCAGGGAAAAATTATCTCTCGATTGTTGGTTAACTGTTAAATCAAATGATCAGTATTTCATTCAATCCTAATGAACAATCAACTAATCCAAGTACTTAAAAGGAAACACAATTAAGTTAATCGTAAACTTTTAATCTATCAGATTATCAAGTTTCTAAATTCCATTAACATTTATACTTAAATTTGAGTGAAGATTATTTTCAACAATTAAATAGAAATTAATTTACTGTAAATTTGAATAAATTTAATTTTACAAATTAAATTGTTTCTTTTTCCTTGATTGTAAACAAAATTGATTTAGGAAAATCAGGAAGAAATGATTTACCAATATTCTGACAAAAAATTGGATCAACTTTGTAATCTCTTTGTTTTTCTTACAATAAATAATAATCAGATCCTTTTGTGAATAAATTTACAATGAGACAATTAATATAATAATCGATGATAATTGTCAGTTGAAAATGATATAATCTAATATAGATGAAGAAGAAAAAAATTGATGGCATTGATTAGTTAGTTGATTGTTTCCCTCCCATCCCCAGGAATCAATTGTTCCTTAATCAGTAGCTACTCTGGAAAGAAAGTAAATTGTGGCGATAATCACTGGTTCCCAAATCCAAATCAAGTGATTGATTATATAAATTAGTAAATTGTCAATATCCTTCAACGACAAGGCTTATTTTTAGGTCTAATCATCGTTTGTTCATTTTTATAAACATATTGAACTTCGTTGGTAATTTGAAGTATTGGACCGTTTTCATGGATATTCTTGATCACTCCCACCCCACCACCGAGTCGGCGATAATTCATTGAACCTTTGAGATTCCACTGATTTTTATCGGGATCATAGACTTCAAATGTTTTCAGGTAAGTGTTTCCGTCGAAACCTCCGACCGCATAAAGGTAACCATTAACTACTGCTAAGCCAACACCAGATCGTCTTGAGGTCATTGCAACAATTGGCTGCCATTGATTAGAACGAGGATCATATCGTTCAGCTGAACTTAATTCCATCGTATCGTCACGTCCACCGACGGCATAGATCATGTTATTATACACAGCACAGCCTAAATGCTTACGACGGGTACACATTGGTGCAACCATCGACCATTTGTTCAATTGTGGATCGTATCTTTCAACAGTGTTTAAAGGTGATGATCCATCGGATCCGCCGACAGCATATAAATAACCATTGAGAACGGCAACAGCAACACCTAGTCTTTTGGTACTCATTGGAGCTACTTTTATCCAACGGTTAGTGTTAGGATCATACCTTGAATAAAAAAGAGATGATAAAAATTATTAGATCAAATTGTCAGAAAAATCATCAACAAGAACTACTCACTTTTCAACATAATTAAGACAAGAAACACCATCTTGACCTCCGACAGCGTAAAGACAATCATTTAAAACAGCTACACCAACGCTCGTGCGACATGAATCTGTTGGCGCTACATCAGTTGACCATTGGTTCGTGTGAGGATCATATCTGAAAACGAGAAAAACGCAAATTTATCATCTAAATGAGTTAAAATAGTAAAGATAATTTGATATTTTACCTTTCAATTGAATTGAGATAAGATTGACCATCATGACCTCCGACAGCGTAAAGAAGATCATTCAGAACCGCGACACCAACACCACATCGACGTTTACTCATGGGTGCTACCATTCTCCATTCATTTGTATTGGGATCGTATCTTTCAACACTTGAAATGGCATCGCCACTGCACCAACCACCAACAGCGAATAGAACTTCTCCCTTTCGAATTGGTTTACGAGGTCGAAATCTTGATCCAACCATAGTTGCTCGCTCATTGGGAAGGAGAAGATAATTTTTCGCCTCATCAACAAGATCTCTGCACATATCATCACTTTTTATCAATATATCTGAACCAACGGTGCCAACTAAAAATTTAGCCGTCAGTTGAGAAAGTCGAACATGTTCTAGAACCAATGGTAAATGTTGCCGACGTTCAGCAACATTATACTTAACCCAGGACATAATAGCATTGTAGACTTGCTCTTCCGACCTAACATTCAATTCATCACTGGAAATAATATCGATCAATTGACGAACCGGAAGTAATAGAAACTCTTCACTTTCAATAACTTCCTGAAATCTTTCTTGAGTAAATTTATCGGCATAATGGAGTAATTCCTGGCAGGAATGTGTATCGGCAAAAGCTCGGATTCCAAGGCAGTTACTAGGATCAAGTTGTCGCTTTAAAAATTCACAACAAACTTCTTGAATTTCAGTCATTTGTAAAAGACAAGCAGCAGGAAGTAATACTTGAACATTACCTAATTATAGAGAAAATTATTGGTTACATTAATTTTGATTGTGATTCTGATCTTTTTATAAACTTACCTTCTTCTACAACAATATGGGAAGTATAAGCAAAATCAACCAGCAATTCCATAGCATGTTCATCAATGTCCCTTATTTCAACTTCTGCTTGACGGCTTTCCTGAAGTTCACCGGTAAACATTGCATGAAAATATGGACTACATGCTGATAGGACAACTCGATGGGCTAAAATTTTCCTCTTTGAAACAATTAAAACTACATCACATAATTCTCGTCTCTTTCGTAACGAATGTAATGCTTCCAGTGTATGTTTTGGATGTTTATCACTAAAATGTTCCAACCTACAAGGACTTGGTACTCGGTCTGGTTCCGTGTGAATTATATCACCCATTGTCAAGATAATTGTCAGTATATTATATTATATTTATCAAATAAAATCAAGTTTCTTAAATCGTTGGAAAAACAGAGATCACCAAAAGTAAATCAAAACCAAATCAATCAACAAAGTCAGTCAATAGCAGCAAATCCATTATAATGGTATTCAAACATTACTTTATAAATTAATTTTAAATTCGTCACTAAGAAAATATTCAGTCAACAGGTAAAACCTACGGAAGATAAATAAATTATAGATAAATATTAATATATTATATTGAGAAATAAATTATTAAGATAACATGAAATCCATTACAATATTCACCTTTTCTCAAAACAGGCTGAAGACTAAATTAATTGCAGGTTATCAGCATTTTGCAAAAAGTTTTGGAATCTGTAAAAGGAAAAGATATGAAGGATGATGATTAGAAATTAACAAAAATCGATGAAAATTAAACTTAATCATTAAGATAAATGTCAGAAACAAGGTAAGATAAATACTAACCTGACAAAAGTCACAAATATAAATTAGCCAAAAGCGAAAGCTTTAAAGCTACAATAACTATTCACTTACAGATCATAGATCACTGATCAACCTATTTTGATGATTAAAAAATAGAATAGTACTTCGCAATTTATCAATAGTTGATTAGAATAGACAAAAAAATTAACTGAAAACACCAAAAGATTGGATTGTTATTCTTTATCATTGAATGATGACAATTTTCAGGTTAAAGGCTCTCAAAGACCAGAAAACAAAAAAAAAGAAAGAGAGAAGAAAAGAAAATTGATCAACAATTAACCAGCAAATCAAATGGTCAGATGAAAATGGAAAAGTAAATTGTTATAAGATGAAAAAGAAAATCAAATTCTATTAATTAGTTGATTAATTGATCACAATAAGATAATTGTGACAATAGAAACAAAAACAAATGAAAGAAGAAAAAATTTAAATGTCTAATGTTTCATTCTAAACATAGATGGAGCCAAAATCGAAAAAGTTACAAACCAAATGACCGAAATTCAAATTTCTTTCCCAAATTAACAATTAATTGTTTATTTTGAAAAATAATTAATATTGAACGAGGAAAATTCAACCCAATTATATTTAAACATGTCAGTTAAATTAGCGACAGGAAAAAATATCAACTACTTAAAAGGTAACAGTTAAATTCAAAATTCTAAAGTTGTTTCTGTTCACCAAATTGTTGATAAATTTTAACCAAAGGAAAACTTTTGATCAGTAATTAAATCAACCATTTTAATAACCATGACAATTTAATTGTGAATCAACAGAAAACTATCAATCTTTCAGATTAGAACAATTTAATTTGATTCTATCATAACAATTGGTGTAATAATATTACTAATTTTTGATCAAATCCTTTTCTCAACAGAGTTTGTGATGTTTGTTATAGTTAATTGTTGACACGGAAGAAAACAATTAAATTGATTGACTGTTAATCCACAGTAGCAAACAAATTCTGAGATGATTATCATCATCAACTCACAACTAATTTAAACATCAGGAAGTCTGGCAATCATTCAAAAATCAAATCTTTAAAGTCTATCCTTTGATAATCGGGTGAATATAATTTAATAACAAGGACAATCAATGTTTACAATTAACCATCTAATTTATTTCCCAAAAGAAGGAAAAATTGAACAATTAACTGTTCTTGTTAATCTCTGTTGTCTCTACCAAAACAATTGATTTATTAACCAGCAATTAATAGAAATCAGTGAGAAAGATCAATTTACATTGTGTTCCAATCAACGTAATTAACCAACAATCATCTCTAGGATAATATTATTAATAGTTAATTTTATAATTCTCATTCACTTGATTACCTCTTAATTTTTTCTCTCTCTCTCTCTCATTGTTCATTAATCATTCCTTAAGGTTAATTGTTATTCTTAACTATGATTAATCCATTGATGATTCAACTTGATTGTTTATCTTACTAATTATCATTGAAATCTTTCATTTCTTACAATAGGAAAATCCTGTTACCATCAATCGTGATTAATATTGATAATATTCATTTTCTACCTGTGATTTGTAACTTTTTCAATCAATGGATCATCTTAATTGTCAATTGTGATTAAAATGTGACAATCAAACGGCTTTCCAATGACCACTAGTAGGATCATTTCGGGTTTACCACCGTCTTACCTGAGAGATGCTACACCTTATTGTTATCCGAATTTCGATTGGAAAATAATTGATTTCTGTGAACAACAAATACTAATTACTGATGATTATCCTCGAACAGCGAAGTGTATTGTCGTCGGTGACGCTGGGGTCGGTAAAACCTCGTTAATCCATCGATATCGTACCAACGAGTTTGCATTTGACCACAAAGAGACGATTGGAGTTGATTTCGATGTTCAATCTTATACAATATTGGGATTACCTTTTAATATTCAGGTAAAAACGAATCAGTTGATTGTTTGTTTACAATTAGAATAATCGATTTATGTTAATTTGTATCATTTTCTTAAGATCTGGGACACTGCGGGCCAGGAAAGATTTCGTTGTATAACAAGTTCTTACTATCGAGCATCTAACGTGGCCTTAATTGTCTTTGATTTATCCAATATAAAATCTCTTGCGAATACAATTAGATGGCATTCGGACATTAAAAGGGTCACTGAAGATACTTTACTATTTCTTGTTGGTTCTAAGCGAGACTGTGTCTCACCAGCCGCTCTCGAATTTACGGAAACGGAAGCGATCAGAATTAGTAATCAAATGAAGGCTGAATATTGGAGTGTCTCATCTCAAACGGGTGAAAATGTTAATCAATTGTTCAATCGAGTGGCAGGATTAACCTTTCAGGAGATAATTTCAACGCGAATTCATGAGATTGAAGAAGAGCGAATCTCTGGTGATCTTAATCAGTCCAATCAACATAATGAAGGATTAATTGTTCTAAATCAAAAATCACAATCAAATACGTTGAAAAATTGTTGTGCCTTCAAAAATTTTGCATCTAAATGAAATTGAGGCCAAATTGTAATTTCACGAACGCAAAAAACGTCCCAATCAACGATTAACATTAAATTTTCTTAAATTTATTTCATCATCTTGAACAGACAATGAAGTCAATTTAATTAGCGAATCCTTTAATTGTTACATATTGATCCTTAAGGTGATTACGATGTCCTAAAGAGGAGGATAGGTTAGTGACCTTCGATGACTTTTTCGTAAAAATAACTTGGACCGAATGGTAAATGATTATCTCTCGATTGATTTTTACAGAGCTTTAATTAACTCGGAAGTTTTTGCCACAAATCGAATGAAACTTTACAGGTAAACTTAAAGAAATTTCTAGTTTTCAAAATGTTCTTCAAATGACCTTCAAGTGTATTGTTTTTTGATAAATAACCTTTATGTTGGATCTGAAAGGTCACAGTTCCATTGAGTCCATACAAGAGTCTCGTTCATATGGTCATCAAATTTTGATGATTTATTTTCACTTTCACTTTGATATTATTTTCACTGCTTGTGTTGCCATCTATCAATTTAACTACGTTTGTTTTGATTTTTCTTGTGAATTTCAATCATGTGTTTTTATTTATCTTAAAATTAATTAGTGACTTATTCAACTTTATCAAATGATTAGTCCATGAAAAAGTCTCAACTGAATCAGATTGTTATCCCTTTTTTGTTTCCGGTAAAGTAGTTAAAGGATTTGGTCGAGGATCAAGTGAACTCGGGATTCCAACTGCAAATATTGATCATCAAATTGTTAAAAATATTAACCTTCCAACTGGAATCTACTTTGGTTGGTCACAATTAACCCTGACAGAGGATCAATTCAATCAATTAACCAAAGGTAATTACCACCAATCCCCAATCAAATACTAAGAAGTAACAATTAGCCATCCAGTCATAATCATGAAAGGGTAATAGTTTAATTGTTTAGGTAAAATTGGATAACAATGTCTTCCATCCCGATAGTGGCCTTAATGTGTGGATCTTTCAATCCCGTTACGCGAATGCATTTACAAATGATGAGGATATTTAAACAATTCGTCTCGTCAGACGATCAACATCGGATTAACGGAGGATCAGTTGTTCAAGGGATAATCTCACCGGTTAATGATCTTTATCATGTTAAGAGGAAAAATTTGCTCCCAAGTTTTCATCGTATCAACATGATTAATCTTGCTCTGGTCGAAGATCAATTAGATGATTGGGTTGAGTGTAATTCATGGGAATCTGATCAAAAGGACTGGCAAAAGACATTACAAGTTCTTGATTATCATGAATGTCACATGAAGGATAAATTTGGTCCATCGGCACAACTTTGGATGGTCTCTGGCGGTGATCTGATTGAAAGTATGGCGGTTCCTGGATTATGGGCTGATTCTGATTTAGAAAAAATTTCCTCAGGCTATAAATTATTCATTATTCCAAGAATTGGCTCAGATGCTGATAAATTTATCGCTTCACATTCAATTTTATCTCGTCATTCAAATAACATAATAATCGCCAATCATGTTATACCAAACGACGATAGTTCAACCAAGGCCAGGTAAATATCGACATTTGCTTCCGTTCAATTTAAGCTAATTACATTTTCTCTCTTAATTTCTTCCTCATTAATTTAGAGCTGAAATCAAACTAGGAAATTATCCAAGCAATTTATTGAATTCATCAGTCATTGATTACATCAAGAAACACAACATTTATGTGGACAATTAAAACCAATCAACTATCCAATTTGTATATATCGATTTGAAGATGTTATCACTATTATAATTCAAGATGAAAATTAACTATTCGTAATCATGAACTGTTCAAAAGTAATCGTGTTTCTTTGCCAACGGTTACTTTGGTTACGGTTTGTTGTTGTTGTTTTGGCTTTAAATTGCCAAAAAAATTGACCAAAATCAACGAGATAAATTGTCCTAATTGTCTTGATTGTTAATCATGTATCAAGTGACCAGCTTATCGATTGCCGATAAACCATATTACACAATAATCTGTCGTTATATTGAAAAGGATTCTCAAAAGAAGCGGAAATTGGTTCTGCCAATTCGTGAATTAAAAACATCACCAATTGATGTCTTGTCTCATTTCCAAGGTAATTAATGATCACAATTACAATCTAATTGTGAAAAGAAAATTGATATTCTAAAATTAACTAGATAAAATTAATCTCTTTTAGCTATTGGAACCAAAATCCGTACTAAACATGCAACTTTACTCAACTCGATTGACAACAATTTACTAATTAAGTGTTTACTTGTCGGCTATTATCATTCAACTGGATCAACAGAGTCACAATCAATCAAATTAGCAGATAAATTGATGAAAAGTGAAGTTCGGACCAACAATCGACGAGTATCATTCCGAGAACCACCAGAAGCAATTAAATACGATGACATTGATTACGATGAAGATGAAGATAATAATGACAATTTAAAATCTAAAACCAAGGAATCAGTTTCTCCAAATATTGATGAGTACGATGAAGATGATGATGATTTTGCCTTTTAAAGATTAAAACTGAGATGTGATATTAATAATTTCAGTGATACAGACTGATTATCACCAGAGAAATTGTTTAATTTGATTGTTATGCGGATTCTACTGAATATAAAGTCACAATTAATCACTCGGGAGAGCAATCAATTTGTTGCCATGAATAGTTGTCAATCTAGAGTTAATTGTAAGGGATAAGTTTTGCAAGGCAAGTTAATTGTGAACAATAACAAAGTAAATCGCATCTTAGTTTAATTTAGTGTATCGGATGATTAACTAATTACAACACTTGTCGCATTCATTTATTGATTTTGACCAACGAATAAGTTTCTTGGTTTGATTGTCTTAAGCCCTCCGGGCTTATCCTCATCAAAAGTGACCTTTAACCCAAAATAATAACAATAGAAGGTCAAGTAAATTGTATACTATTAACTCTTGGGATCGTTAATTGTTGCACTTATTGTCACGATTATTAATCCGAATCAAATAGCAAATGAGAAAAACAAAATGATTATATTATTAAAGTGATTACAATAGATAATTACAATTTGTTTTGACAATTAAATTCACATTAAAAAGCTATTGAAAACAATGAGATCTACTCAGTTGCTTGGATATAATAATAACCATAAATTAACTTAATTAGATTGACAATCTGTGTATTCCAATGACAATTAGTGTATTTACATTAATGACGATAACCAAAAGTTTCAGTTGTTGATTTGTTACCTTGATGATGATTAGTTTGATTACGATTATAAGGTAAACTAGAGACTTCGAAGAATCTGAAATCAGTTCGAGAACCAACAAATTCATCTTCATCGAAAGCGGGATTATCCTGAATTGGATAAAATCGTCCATCTTTAATTGTATCAATTTCAATATTTGCTCCGTTATTATTTTCTCTTGAAGAAACCTAATTGTCAGGAAGAAAATGAGAAAAGGTAAATCATTGGTAACAATTAGCAAAACTGTCAATCTAATTAACGGAAGAGTAAAAGAAAACAATAACAACGATCAACAAAAAAAGGTTAAAATGATTTTGTCATTTACACGGAAGAAACAATCAAACCATCAATGATACAATTAATTATGATGATGATGATTAAATTCTGAAGAAGATGATAATCAATCAATCATGATGAGACTAAATTGTTAACGTAAATATCACTAATCATTATTGATTACTAGTTAATAATGATAATAATGAAAACTATTTGGGAATCAATTTGATTTACCTAACCAACTATGGCCAACTTTTGAAATTAATTCATTTGATTGTGTTATTATTATGTCACAATTAACTGATTACAACTGTTGATTGTCACCATTATGATTAAAAGGATGGATTTTGATTACAATTAAATAAAAGAAATTGAAAATATTATCATTCATTTAAATGGTTTTCCTTTATTTTTGGTTGACAAAAGATTTTACATTTTTCATTTGTTCAATTTAAACTTTTAGACCTGAGAACTTGGTTTAAGTTAATTGCTACAATTAAGTGATTATCATTTATTGAACCATACCTTGACATTTCGTCCTTTTGATAATTTCCGGTAAATATAAATGACCAGGACCAAAAGGATAACAATTAACAAACAGCAAAATCCCAACAGGATCATTGTGGTCAAGAAAAATTTAGCAACTTGTTGATGGTCAAATGTGTATCTGTTTGGATCACAAATCATAATCATTGATTGATTAGTTGTAATTAGTGAATTATTTTGATGAATTAACGATGAATTGGTTGTAACATTAGGCATTGTTATCGGTGATTTATAAATTGTTTGATTTCGCGTGTACGAGTTATTCAGATTGGTTGATTGTTGTTGTTGTTGTTGTTGATTGTAATCACTTCGGATAACTGGTGGCACAGCAATTAAAGTTGATTGTTGGGTGTTAACATCATCTAATAGTTCATCCGGTGTAGTAACATGATAATAATGTGAGTCCAATTGTGATGTTGTTAATTGTTGATCATCTAAACCAGAACTGTTAACGTTAATTGTTGGTGATGAACCAATGGTTAATGATTTTGATGTCGTTACTTCAATATTATTATTAATTAGCAATGTTTCATTATTATTAATTGTTGATTGTGATTCATTAAATTGACCATGAACGGTGACTTGTTTACTTGTGATGGTCAAAATAGTTAAGATCATTAAAACTAATTGTGAAACAATCGTTGACAATGGTTTGTTAATTGTTGAAACATATTCACCCAAACGAATAGACATTTTCATTTACTAATTGTTACTATTAGTAGTGATATTATGCCACCTCTGGCACACAAATTTACTCTTTCTTTTTCTCTTACTTTTTCAACTTGATTTTCCGAAACGAAAATAAAAATGTATATCTTAAAATGATCAAATTTTCCAAATATTTTATTTATAATTTGAACAAATCATCAGTCATGATTTCATTGAAATCATGTACTGGTTTTAGATCATTTTAAAACAAAATCAATGAATCCATCATCAATGGGAAAATTTCCTCAACGGTGACCGAACATTCATCAAGTAAACGCACAAAATCATCATTATATTCACGTATTTCTTCGGATTGAAGCACATTCAATTCCTCGATGATCTTTTGAATCTCCTTTGATGATTGTTCACCGATGAAAAATGGATTTTTCACAACTCCTTCGGTCACATTAATCCGTTTTAATGGTGGAATATATTCCAAGGGGGTTAAAACAACACTAAGCTCTTTACATTTATATTTTTCAAATAGTTGTTGTTCTTTGCAGTGATTTCATACGATTTTTCAATAGTCGTTGTTTTTTAGCAGATCGTTTTAACCACTTAGGCATAATTAAACTTTCTAAAGTTGATTAAAACTTTTTTAACTTTAATTAAATACGAATAACTGACAACTGACCAATTGTCAATTGATGATTGATTATTAAGTCCATTTTTCGACAATTTCTTAATTAATTTGTTAATTTGGTCAATGACGAATATAATCATCAATGTCTTAATCATCTGCATTGCTATATAAGATTGATTAATTAATTAATCAATTAAAGATGTATCGAATAGTTAATATGACTATTTGTTTCAAGTTAACTCAAGGTTGGAACCAAACGATTTTCCTAATTATGATCCTTATTATTTTAGTGGTAATATATTAAACTGTGGAAAAGTTAAAGTCCTAATCTATCGTTCTAATAAAGTCAATGTCGTAGGCGCGAAATCATTAGATGAAGCAACTAATGTATTAATTAATGTGTTACCTAATTACTCAATTGTTAAATCAAAAATAGTCAATATTGTTGCTTCAGGAACAATAGATTTTCCAATTAATCTCAATAAAATAATTCAATATCCTGAGTTCACATGGGAACCTGAACTTTTTCCTGGAATAATGTTTCGAGTGGGTAAACAAGTGGCGATTTTCTTCTCATCTCGAAAATTCAATATTGTTGGTTCAAAGTCAATGTCAACCCTCGAAAATTTCTATTACGAGTTTATTAATACCTTGAAGACGTGTCAACGGTGATTAAACGTATCCCATACACTCAATGTTAAAATTACATGGTGCTTTTTCGAAAGTTCGAAATTTTCTTAACAATTCACCTACTTCTCTTGAGCTTCGCTCAAGACGAGTAGGTCAATGGAAATTTTTTTCGAAAAATGTCTCCTTCTATGAGAAAAATGACTTCGAAAATTTCGAATTTACGAACTTTCTGTATCTCAGAAACTATTCAACCGATCTTGTCGTGCAATATATCAATCAAAGCTCTTTAAAAGTTATGTTAAATGCATATATTAAAAGCTGCACAAAATCTATAGGTTAAGCAGAATTCCTGTAAAACCATAAATGCGCACTGTACCAAGATAGCAATACATTACTTTCACTAAATCTATCCAAGTTTCAGTTATAATCTATTGTATATTGATCAAATATGAATAATTGTATGTAATACATTTAATGTTTTATATTAAAAAAACGTTTATTATTAAGATTATAATCAGAGTTTAACACATATTTCTAACATGTCTTTTTAAATCTTTAACAATGTTATATGAACATTTAAATTGTTTAGATTGATCATGGAATCGACAAGGACGACGTCCAGTGTCAATATCAACATGATTTACATTGAAATCATTTAAATTCAGATTGGGTAATGAATAAAAGTCCAACAAGTCGGCAGCTTCTTTTGATTTACAAGCAATATAAATCGATGGTTCAGCCAATACTCGATTGTAGATCTTTTTAAGATCCCATCTAAGTCTTTTGAAGTGAATTCCTTCCTCCGTAATTTCCAATCCATGATGATACTTGGTTAAATAAGTTATATTTTTTTGTTCTTGTTTAGTAGGGTTACAATTACAAGATTTTTTAACTTTTACATGATAAATATCTTTTTTGGTTATCATACATACCTCTGCAGGATGAAAGAGACCATTAATATAAAATCCCTGCACATCAAAGTATGCAAAAAATATCCATGATTATATATTCGTATTATGATCAGGTTTATGTAACCTATCGGTTTACGTGAAACAAGTTTACCACTGGTAAAAACTTCTGGTTTTTCATCAGCAAATTTGTTGAGAACTTCAAAATCCATAGTACGAATACCCGAATTATCTTGAATACCCAAGATTTCCAATATATTTTCACAATCTTTTGGATTAGTAGATATAGCCCACTTTTTTTCCAATAAATCGTTTTTATCAGTACTTTTGGACACAATAAACAAATCAAACAGTTGATCCTTCTCTTTTAAATCTCCACAGAGATATTTTGCAGGGAATAAAAGGAGAAACCTTTTCCAAAACGATGAAGTTGTCAGGACTTGTCCCTTTCTTCAACCAAAAGTTCGCTCCAGCAGCTTTTCAATTGATAGATGATAAAATTCAGGTTGTTCTTTACAGTGATAAACTTAACACAATGATCAACTTCAGAAGGAGTGAGAGAAACACCGTATTTCGTGAATTTCCTTGTCTTTTCAATCTTATATCAATACGTTTAACACTTTGATTGAAGCACAAACTAAAAACTATATCATCAACGATAGTAAAAGTTTTCCAATCTGAACTACTCATGATGAGCACTGACGAAATTCTCAGAATCCAACCCTTTTATATAAAGAAAAGGGAGTCGAGTGAGCAAATATGTACACTTTTTACTTGAAACATCCATTTACCATGACGATAAGTGGTCCAACTGGTTCTGGAAAAACTTTTTGGGTACAAAAATTGATTAAAGAAGCACTTTTCGCTTCACACCCCTCACCTAAACACATTTATTATTTATACGGTGAATACCAACCTTCATTTGCAAGTTTTGTTGGTGTAACTTTCATAAAAGGTTTGTCAAATGACCTTATAAACAATATTAACCCTGAAAATGATCCGATATGGATAATTATTGACGATCTCATGCATGAATCATCTAAAAGTCAGGTAATTAGCGAATTATTTACGAAGGCTCTCATCATCGAAATATTTCAGTAATATTATTAGTTCAAAACTTTTTCGTTAAAGGTAATGAAATGCGTAACATCACATTAAACTCTCATTATCTCGTCCTATTTAAAAATCCACGTGATAAATCAATTATTAGTAATATTGCGAGGCAAATGTACCCTAACAAAGTAAAAGCATTGACACAGATATTCGAAGATGCGACCCAAAAACCTTTTTCTTATCTATTTATAGATCTGAAGGCTGATACGCCGGATCAGTTAAGACTATTATCAAATATTTGGAAACCCCCAATTCAAGTATACATTATATAAAGACCTTTGCTAGTAAATATTCAAAAACAAAATGAACGTTTATCTATCAAGTTATTCGAAATTAATTAATGATATTGAATATACATTAGTGTTATTTGCCAAGATCTCAGCTGGGCAAAAATGGCAATTCATGGTTGAAATAAAAACTTTGATGGCAGGAGAAACTCAAGCTTATGGTCCATTGACTTCAATGAAACTCCTCTAAAGATTTTCAAACAAGTCCAAGCTCTCTCTGATGGAAAACAATCTAAATTTCAAGAAAATATTGAACACGAATATAAACCTAATGGTTCATTAAGGTTTTTACAAAACATTAAATTCAGTTTCTCACCTGATTTAATTTCCATTATCAAAAGTAAAGAGTTCGAAGAGAATTTTACTAAAGCTTTACGAAAATGTAATCATCCTTTTGCTGGTGTTCATCAAGAAAATATTATTGTTTGGACTGATCAAGCTTCTGCAGATAATCTCGAGACAGTTGATATCTTTGTTGAGAATTTTCAACAATGTTGAATGATGAATTCACCATATCAGTTAATGCTTCAACAACAATTAATTTGGATCGATGGTTTATGAAGATTGAGTTATTCTTATCTACAAAAGTCCCACGACCAAGTGGTAGATTAAATTTATCTCCAATTGATTTTCTTGCTTTACGAGATTACTGTATTCAATTCAAAAGAATGGACCACTTTCATTATTCACAACACAGTGGAAAATCAGTGGTTATAGTGATTGATGCTGATAAAAAATTCATTTGGAAATTGATGATCAAAATTGATAATGAATAAAGAAATTATTGATTTTATTTGTGCAGGTGAATACATGATTAATCTTGTTCATCTATTTAGTGAATTTAATCACGAGTTAACCCCACAGCCAATTTATAGGTGGTGGTTTAACAATGGAACTTTCGTTATGGATAATATTGACAAACTCGGATTCAAAAATTTAATTATTGGGGACGGATCATTAATATAAAGAAACATAATGATTTATTATTCAAATTAAAATAATGTATCATGACAATCGAAGGTGTAATCAAATGTTTACCAGAACTCATTAAACTTATTGAAATTAAAGATCGAGTTAAACAAAGAAAAATAATATTAAATTGTCAAAGTTGTATTATTTACGCAATCAGTGAAATTATTAAAAACATTTTGAACGGGAATATCCCAATATCAACAACTGAAAAGAAAAAATTGATAAAATATAAAACAGCGCTAAGAAAATTAGCAACAACAAAAGTAAGTCTACCTGAACGAAGGAAAGTAGTAAATCAAGTTGGTGGTGCGTTACCTGCCCTCTTAATTCCAGCAATCAGTCTCTTAGGTTCTTTAATTGCTAATAAAATATGAACGCTTACACAAAAATGGTTCTAATTCCAGAGGATGAGTACTTGAAACTTCAATCAGCAACGAGAGATAAAATATCATACATTCTGGATAAACCATACCCTCCTCAGATGATTGAAAATCAAATAAACCGACATTTGGACAGCGGACAAACAAATATTCAACCAACTACACAAATCAATCAACCTTCCCAAGAAACTTATGACGAATTTGAGTCAGCTGAATATTCCTGGGATAAACCTTTTCCACTTACACCTTTACCTACAAAACCTCATCCAATAATTGAAAAACTTTTACATAAAATAACTCCGAGGAAGAGTAATCAATTCAAATAAAAACCAATACCTGGTTCAAATGTTAATAGAGTCTTAGATTATTTAACAACATCAACACCTATTGATAGACCAGGTCCATCAGGATACAAAACAGTTACACGTGAATTACAGAGAATCGGCGAAGAAGATGTGATAACTAACCCTAAGGGTTTAGCTGTTTTAGAGGATATCCGACATAAACCGAACTTTGGACTTGGGTGAAGCATCTGAAATTCTATATAACAGTAGAAAAAAAGCATTACAATCAGGAAAAGGATGGAATTCGATAAAAAAGTTCTAAATTCAACTTATACTAATCCTAACAATGCTGGTAGTTTTGGTGGAGTTAATCAATTATATCGAGTGCTGAAGGAAAAATATCCAGATTTAACATTAAATCAAGTTGTAAAATGGTTAAATACTCAAGAATCATATACACTTTTCAAAAAAACAATAAGAAAATTCCCTAGATTGAAAACATTAACTCAAAGAGTTGATGAACAATGGCAAGCTGATTTGATGGATGTATCTTGGTTTTCTAAATACAATAATAATGTTAAATACCTACTTGTTGTTATTGATATATTCAGCAGATTTGCTTGGGCATTACCTTTGAAAGATAAATCAGCTCAATCAGTAACAAATGCAATGAAATTAATTCTAGAGAATGATAAGCCAGAAAAATTACAAACTGACCAAGGAAAAGAGTTTGTTAATTCAACATTTAAAAGTCTCATGAAAGAAAATAACATAAACTTCTTTACAACAACAGATGATGCTGTGAAATGTGCGATAGTTGAGCGTTTCAATCGTACTCTTCGTGAAAGAATCTATAGATATATGCACTTCAATTCAACGACAAATTATATCGACGCTTTACAAGATATAGTGAATGGATATAATCAGAACTATCACAGATCAATCAAAGAAGCACCAATCAACGTAAATTCAAACAATGAAGCTCAAATCAGTCTCAATCAAAAAGAAAGACATTTACCAAATGTTTACGATAGGTTGAAAGATGCAAATTATGTAAGAATCGCCAAGAAGAAAAATATATTTGAAAAAGGTTCAACAAAGAACTGGACAACAGAAATTTTCAAGATTATAAAACGAAAGAAAACTCCTCAAACATTTATTTATAAATTAGAAGACTTAAACGGTGAACAGTTAACATCAATCTTTTATCCTGATGAGCTACAAAAAGCAATGAAAAAACGAGGTAGGCCTATTATGAAAAAGAAACGAGGAAGGCCAAAAAAGACAATATAAAGACTTTTGAAGAAAAATACTTATAAATGGATCCAGTAAATGAAATTCAGATTGATTTAGTTTCAAACGCTAGTTTAAATTCTTACCCATCAAATACATTATCATCATTCACAAATGATCTTCATACTCCAATAAAACTTGATGGAGAGTGGGAGGTTGCACTGATTGAGATATTCCATCCAACAACAATGGAAAATGATCATGAAAAAACTGTAAATATTTCACTTATAAGAGACTTTGGAGGTTTAGTTAAAACAAAACAATTTCCATTTAAATACAAATTGAACGAAGAGACCAGTGATATCATAACAAGATTAAATTCTGTATTTGAATCATTCCCAGCAGCTCATCTTGCTGATCCCACAGACCGTATTCAGGAAATGCCAAAAGACAATAAACCAATCTATAGACCAATCATTATAGATGGACAGTTAAGACAAACAAGAATATTCACAGGTATGATTGAGAAAAGTGGATTGTTAGGATTGAATAGAATTAAATTTTTACCCGTTTTTGATGATCCATCATTCTTGAGATGTTTGGGATACGATCAAACTACCTATGGAAAAGATATTCTCAAATTCAGTGAAACGATTAGAGCTACATATGAAAGACAAAATCCGACTAATACAAACTTATTATTTGTATACTCTGACATTGTACGTGAGCATCATGTAGGAGATTCAATGTCAAACTGTCTAAGAGCAATTCCTTTGAGAGGTGGACAAGATGGTATGATTTCGTCACATACATTTTCAATGCCTTATTACTTTCCAGTTAGATTTGGTGATGTTAAAAATATATCGATACTTTTAACAGATGAAACCGGAACACCAGTAAAGTTTAGTAATGGTCGAACATTTGTAACATTACACTTTAGAAAACGATTATATAAAGCGACATTCAACTAATTTGTAACTCAAAATATGAATAGAAAAAAATATTGTCCTGGTGATTGTAATTTTAAAAGCTATTATTCTGCACAAGCCGGTGGAGCTCTGAGAGATATAAATGTTTTTAGAGGGCTTCCATATCAAAGAGGTTATGGTATCGGATCATTATTCGCCAGATTTGGTATTCCAGTTCTAAAGTTCTTAGGAAAACATTTATTAAGTACTGAGTTGCCGTAGGGTCAGACATTTTAGCTAAAAGAAACGCGAAAGAAGCACTGAAAGAGCGAGCAAAAGAAGGTTACAAAACAGCTGCAAAAGAGGCTCTTACTAAAATTTCTGAAAAAATTGATCAGTCCGGTAAAGGTCTATATAAAGGGGTTAGAAAGAAGAAAAGAACAAGAAAAGATATTTTTTCATAATGGATTATTTACATCACTCATCAGTTCCTGCAACAAAAAGTGAATTAGAGTTGTTCCATATACCACCAACTCAAACAGCTATTGAATCTTATTATGAAGTTGAATACAGACCATCTGCGACTTTGGATAACGCTAAAAATATTGATATTTCAATCCCAGCTTCTGACGATTTTACTGACTTGTCAGAGACAATGGTTTATGTTAAGCTTAGTTTAAAAACAAGTACTGATGCAGAAGTAGATATCACCAAGGTTAATATTTGTGATGGTTTCGCTTCTGCTCTATTTGAACAAATTGATTTTTATCTAGGTGCAGTCAACATAGGTCAATCAAATAATCTTTACCCTTATCAAGCATATTTGGAAGATTTGTTATTTGGTGTACCCAATAAAATTGATGTTGGTGCTGGTTGGGATACGGCAGAAAATAGGAAATTGCGAATTAAAAAGCCATTTGACCTGTATTTCCGGTTACATGTTCCAATGTGTACTCAAGATAATCTTTTATTGAATGGTGTTCCTATTCTTATTAAATTGAATAGAGCTAATGTTGATTTTGGTCTTCTCAAGACCCCACCGTCAGCAACTGATCCAGCAATTGATTATAAACTTGTCGTACAAGATTTATCTGTGACTATAAGGCGTGTTAAGTTGTTCTCGAATGTTAGTATTGGTATTCAAGAGGCTCTCGAAAAGAGTTCAGCTAAATACTTCGTTACTCGCAATGACATGAAAAGTTTCATCATTCCGAAAGCTAATTCATCAGTTAGTTTCGAGAGTATTTTTAATGGAATTCTACCAAGGAGAATGATTATTGGATTTGTTGGTGATGACTATGTTAATGGTAAAAGTGTTAATGGACCTTTCTTTTTCTCAAGTCAAGACATCAATTCAATATCTTGTTCGGTTAATGGAAATTTAATTCCTACAAATAACTACAACCCTGACTTTGAAAATAATCTGTACATGAAAGAGTTTATCGGATTGTATAGATATCTAAATCAACATGAAGGTGTGCCGATGTGTGTTATCTCGTTCAAGGAATATAAAGAAAAACATTGTTTATTTGCTTTCGATTTATCACCTGATGTTACAATTGGCGGAGAAACAGGAACATTGAGTCTATTGAAACGAGGTAATATAAAGATTGAAGTTAAGTTCAAATCAGCAACTACAAGTCCTGTTCATATGATTGTTTTTGCTCAATTTGATAATCTGATTGAAGTTGATAAGTATCGAAACGTATCAATCGATTGGTAATGGCTTTAACAACTTGGGATATTCATAAATACATGAAAAAAAATCTATACTTTGGTGGTGTTGGTCCTATTGATCGTTTACCGGTGACATTGATAGTTAAACCGAGATCATTCATAGTTAATTTAGATGAAAGTTGGAAACCTGGAAGTCATTGGGTTGCAATCTATTTTCCTGTTCATGGTCCGGCTTTTTATTTCGACTCATATGGTCGTTATCCTCCCGATACTATCATTAATTTCATGGATAGAAATTCCAAATTTGGTTGGAAATATAGCATTAGAAAACTTCAAGGTGATTTATCAACCTTGTGTGGTTATTATTGTATTGTTTTTCTCAAGTTTGCTCCCAGGTATAATGAGTTTTTTGAAACTTTTAGCGAATGTAATAACGATAAAATATTGAAAAAATTTATTTAAATGTAAAAAATAAAAAATGATAATAAAAATGATAAAAATGATAAAAAAAAAAAAAATTAATCAGTTTCCATTATATTGTGGTTTCCAAATGCATAAGTATCAACTGCATTTATTGACCAACGTTTATCGTCCAATGGTGATAATGTCACTTTACGTAATTCAATTCCATATATTTGATGATTTCTACTTTGCAATCGGTGCATTGTATGTTTGAATGTTTCTAAATTATATAAACATGTTAAATAATCTTCTTTGATTATTTGTTGTTGTAGTACATTTTTTTGTACTCCTTTTGCTGTTTTCTTTTCTCCTTCATCACTGATAATAATATACATTTTTGGTTTAATGGCAATAACTTCATGAATTGGTTTTCCGTTCATTTCATCCTTAAGATATCCCAACATTTTCTTGTGACGATTTGACTGGAGAGGATGATCTTTTGGGTAGTCACAAAAGTCCATTATATTTTTGAAATGATCAAGATCATTGTAAAAGTTTTCTGTTTTTATGTGGTATATAAATGAGTCAGTGTCAGTGTAAATAAGCTTGATATTAGATCCATAATGTGATTTAAACGTATCATAGTGTAGTTGATACATCAATAGCTTTGCATATTCTAAAACGGTGAAACCGAGATGAATTGGTTTGTCCAACACAACAATATCTTTTTTAAGTTTGAAAATCGCTTTATCATCATCCAAGATCATAAACTGATCAAATAGTGGGTTTTTTGAATATTTTTTTGCTATTTTACGATTGAGGACAATTTTTACTTTTTGATGTTTACGTTTATCTTCAATACTTTTTCCATACAGAGAGTTAACCATCAGCTTGTATAAATCTTTTTCAAATGTGTTCTTTGCTTGTTGACGTTTTTGAGTACACATCATTATATATGGTTCCAACCAAGCTGTCTCAGTGAATTCAATTATACGATGAACATGTTTTAATTGGAGTCCTTTTCCAAATAATATTTTAGATTTTTATAATAGATGATATAGTTATACTTATCCATTAAATTTGGCACTAATTTCTCACTAGTTACATTTTTACGTCCTTGATCTCTTAGAAGATTTATCTGTTTATGTTGATATGGACTCAATTGGTTTTCATTTATCTTTATCTTCTCAGGTGCAAGAGGATAATCATCATGATCATCGTGAAGATGTTGTGGGTAAATCAAATCAACTTCAAGGATGTATCCTTTATTTTCTGATCCTGAAATTATTTTATCAATAATCTCAGCAAATTGATAATTTTCAACCCATTTGAAGTTATGAGTCGGTAACTTTTGTTTCAAAGCCCATCCGTATAAGTTGTTCACATCGAGATAGGTGATATATGATCGTTCCATCAAAGGATTATAGTTAGGTGTATCTGGATTATGCCTTTGCGTGGTGAGATTGCATGATATTCCACCACGAATACCTTTTTCAATCATCGTTATCATATCAATATCAGTCAATAAGTCCAGTCTGGCTCTAGTTTTTCTTAGAGCTGCATTCCATGATAGTCCTGGGATTGATACAAAATGAGCTGGATCGAGTTCGAACTCTTGAATGCAGTTTTTTCGAAACGTTTCAAATACAGCTGCTAAGAGTGTGACGTCAACTCTTAGATAAATGTCTTGAAACTCTCCTAAGTTTCGACACTTGAACTCATCCCATATTGATTGTAATCGACCATAAAGTTGTTGATCAATTGATTTGTTTGTTAATGATGAATAAAATTTTTCAATTGGAGGTAAAGATTTATCTTCAAATTTAGACCAATCATCTATATATTCATAAGGCAAAGCTCCTTTTCTCAGTAAATTGTCGATTTTATAAATAGGAAAAATCTTCTTGAGATATGTTCTCTTGATACCATCGTCCAGATTTGACGCTAATGTATCAAGACTAGAAGCAAGAAAGGCATATGAGTCGATGAAAATGAATGGTCTCATAAATATAGCTGAATATTTTTCCATAGTATGAGGAATGACATCGATATTGTTAGTATGTGTTCTATTTATTGCTTGGATAATCAAATGACTATCGAAATTTTTCAAATTGTGAAAAACAACAGGGATTTTGAAATTCCAAAAAAGTTCAAGATTACAGCCTTGGTGAGCAGCACCTCTTATCTCACCTGTCAGATGATGGTGATCACAAACACGTTTATCATTGTCTTTGAAAGGAAATTCACATATCCAACAATATTTTGCTGTACTCAGAACTTTCATGTGTTGTTCTCTGGTTATTGAAAGAGGTTTTTTGTTCTCTTTGAAACATTGGTAAATTAATGGTTTTAATGAAATAAGCTCGTCTATGAACTTACTACTTGCGTTATGTCCACGATAAAATGAAGAATGAATAATATCTTGTTTCCAATCAACAACGATAAGTCCATAACTAGAAGCAATATGACTTTGGTATTCGAATGTGTTTTTAGTAGATTCGATATTAATTGGTTGGATCAGTGTCTCAAAATCAGCATACACAATGAACGGATATGGTTGTAATGCTTTCCATTTTATGAAACCAATTTTACTTGATTCATGTGGGATAATAACATGTTGATCTGAATTACATGTTTCCAAATGTTTCTCAAGCCGTGAAAAAATTGTAAATCCAACCAAACATCTAAAACAATGATATAATCCTGATCCTTGTTGGTTCAAGAGACGGTTGAAGTTTTTGATGAGATAGTAATGACCATTGTAGTGAAACAATTTGATTTCAATATCAAATTTGTATTTACTTAACTGTAAAGGTATTATATTTGTATCATCAATATCTAATGAATATATATTGATCGAGATTTCATTTAACCGCTCAAACTTTGGAATATCAATTATGTCAACAAATCCTTTGAATCCATTGAAATTATGTTTGTAAATGTGTTCTTTATAATGTGATGTTCTTCGTGGGTTATCTTTGTGTTGATATAATGCTGCTAGGACTGACCACATGAAACAATTTTCTTCGCAGTCAATTGAGATGATCGCCTTTTTATTCTGTATCCAATCTGGCAATTCTGATTCACAACAGCCACCACTTTGAGGAATAAACTTCGCAATACGTATTTCTATTGATGATATCTTATTGATTGACCAACCACTACCAAGATGAGTAAATGTATCGACTCGATTATTCACCTCATCCTTACATTCATCCAGTGTTATGGCTATATTATCTCTTAATGTCACTGTTTTCATCGATGATGTAAAATAAGGCTGTATAGTTTTTTCACCGTCTGGTTTGGTCAAAAGTCCATTAACGCAAACTTGATATTTAAAAACACCGAGATATTCAAACACATAAAAAAGCAAATCTTCCATGTTGGTTCGTTGATCAATAAACATTTGATTTGTATCTTTGTAGATTAAATTGTTCACGAAATAAATTAAAAGAAACTGTCGAAAAGCACTTTTCATAATTTTATAGGGAGGAAAATCTACTAAACCATATGTTTCAGTAGATTGACACTGTTCAATATGTTTACGAAAGTTTTTCTCAATCTTATAAGTACGTTTACACTCTAAACACTTGAATGAAACCATTTTTGACGAATGAATGATGATGTTCAAAGATTGTCTTTTATATAATACAACATGATATGGATATTAACACAAAGTTAATAAAAATGAATTGATCTTCTCAATAACGAAACGAATTTAAGATGATTACTTTTCTCAATAACGAAACGAATCTAAGATGATTACTTTTCTCAATAACGAAACGAATCTAAGATGATTACTTTTCAATAACGAAACGAATCTAAGATGATTACTTTTCTCAATAACGAAACGAATCTAAGATGATTACTTTTCTCAATAACGAAACGAATCTAAGATGATTACTTTTCTCAATAACGAAACGAATCTAAGATGATTACTTTTCTCAATAACGAAACGAATCTAAGATGATTACTTTTCTCAATAACGAAACGAATCTAAGATGATTACTTTTCTCAATAACGAAACGAATCTAAGATGATTACTTTTCTCAATAACGAAATGAATCTAAGATGATTAGTTATGATGTTTCATTAGTTCTAGAGGTGTGGTAACTCTTGATGAGAAGTATAAAAAGCGAGGAAGAATCAAAGTTTTATTCATTCAGTATCGACATCATCAACAAACAACTTGAAATGTTTTACGATTCAATTTGTGCTTACTTTCATCTTTCAAAGTTGGAAATGATTCAATCGAGATTGCTATGGGAGCTGGTGACCAGATTTTCCATGCTCAGGCTAAAGTGAACTCGCTTATTTATCGTTTCATCTTTGGTGAGGATCGATTTAACTGGAGTGAACTTTGTTATCTCCATCAGATACATCTCTACCGATGAGGAACATACAATTTTCAATTTTGTTTACCGTTTTTGACTTGTTTAAAGAAAGAAGGACAATCCGTTATCGCTTGTTTAGATGGAAGATCGGCAAGATGCTACAGCTCTGGGATATTCCAACATATGATCTCTCTGGAAAAGGTGTTGGTTATAATGATATTTCTATTGATGGAGAAAGTTGTGGTTACCATGATAGACATGATGAAGAATGTTCACTACTTGTAATCGAAAGACTTCATTTTGTATATGAGTTATATGATGAAACAATAACAATTGAATAAAGTTTAATTTAATCATTTAATATTTGTTTTTCCCGCCATTTATAACTCGGTAAATGATGATGAGAGAGTAAGAGAAAAAGAAAGAGTAAATTTGTGTGCCAGAGGTGGCATAATATCACTACTCTATTTATTATTAATTATTTGCTTTAATATTAATTGTAAACGTTTTCAAGGTTTCACATTGAATGAATTAATTTTCCAAAAAAAAACTAAGTTTAAACAACAATTAGGAAACGAAATGGTCACAATTAAAACAAGACGAAAGTTAATCAAATATAAAAACTTTAGATTGTGATTAAATCGTTGATTTAACTTTGATTATGATTCTGATTTAGTTGATTGAGTTGATCGTAGCGAGGGAGCTGAATGATCAAGACTTGATTATCATTATTGTTGGAACTGAATTAATCAGGTTGATTAACTATGAAGGAAATAAGTGAATTATCATTGTGAAAGTTAATGACTAATGTTTAAGGGGTTGGTAAGTTAATTGTCGCTAGTTAATTGTTGGTCAAAATTAAGCTCATTGATCAATTGGTAAGTTCAATTTAATTGAAATTGTGTCAAAAGTTTTACCAAGAAAAATTAAATCGTTTCCTTTGCTTTTCAATCTGATTGACGTTTCTCAGTTAATTGTTGTAATAGATGATAAACATTTTCGTTTAATTGATTATAATTAACGATATTATTCAAATAAATCATGTTGAATAATTTTGTTTGTTTTGCTTTCATTTGAATCATTTAGTGTGATACAAAATATTAGGTGTTCAGGTTACAATTAATTGATTTATAGTTCGATTAATTAATTAATCATTGATTGTGTGGACTATTTAATCACATTGATTTTGGTTGTTGATAAATTTTCTCAATGCAATAAAGTTGATTTATTGCATGATAATAGTTCACTTGGTATCGTAAATTTTGATTAACTAAGATAATTAGTTAATTGTTGGTTATCCTTTCTCTTTCCTGTGTGTTCATTATTCTGATATGAGAATTGGAGAGATGAGGAAATAGATTGGAAGATTTTTTCAGTTGATTATCTCATAAAAGATGAGGTAAACATGTGAGATTATCTCTGGTGATCTAATTGTGATTATAATTTTAGAGATAAATTTGATTGTAAGAAGCTGCTAAAGTGATCATTAAGATGCATTGAGTTGAAACAATTAAAGTTTGTTGATATAATATACGAGAGTTTGAAGGAAGATTATTAGTGTTTTTGTCTACCATATCACATGTTGTCTTTACTTTCAGATGATTTGTTTAATTGTTGCAATAAACCAGCGGTTAGTTTACTGTTTGGCCTTAGATTTTCTCGTTCGATTAATAAATGTTCTGCCAGTTTCCGATGTTCCTCTGATTTTGATTTAATTGTAGCGATAATTAGAATCTGATGGAATAGATCTCGCTGAGCTTCACTTCCACCAAGAGCAATTAACTGATATTTAATTGGTAATAAGAGTTCAACAGCTTCACCATATTTACCTCGACTGTAGGCAATTAAAGCTTCAAATAATGATTTAACCATTTTCTTGTCAATAACAAAGAGATGATCTTGTTCTGTAAGTGAGGCCACAATTGATTCGGCCACAGATTCGTTACCACTGGCACAACAGGCAAGAAGATAATGAGCATCTTGGAAAGAGCTGACTCGAGATCCAACGTACGGATAAACGGCCTGATAAGTTGATTCCCATTGTTGTTTATAAGACTTTTCTTCAGGTCCAACGATACCCAATCGAGATAATAAGGAAACTGTATCAACCAAGTCCAAGCCATGAGGTTTCTCTTTTAACTGAGGAACTAAAATATTGTCCAATATACGGATCGATTCATCGGGATTATTATCTTCCAAGTGGAATAAAGCTTTATGCCAATAGTTGTGTCGAGTGAGGGTATTACATATCTTCCATTTGTCTTCAGTTTCCTCCAAGAATTTGATACCTTCATCAACACGAACGGTCATTTCAAAAACATGAGCCAACGAATGAGTAGCCCAACCATCAGATGGATTCCATTCCAAAGCCTAAGGGATAAAAAACAAAATCTCATTATCTACAATCAACAGAAAACGAATTGAAATTACAATCAACTTACTCGACGAGCTTGTGCTTCAGCTTTATCGAAAAAGTTTGTCTCGCAAAGTCCAAAGGCGAGGAGTCCATGCAGATAACTAGTTAGAAATTGGTGTCACACAATTAATTTACAATGGAAACAAATTCAAGGTAATATGAGAAGGTTGGAGGTTAAATAGATGGGAAGACGTAATTACCCCTTTAAAGGAATGTCAGATGATTGCCAAAAAGGGAGCACTCGAGCAACAGAATCGCGTAATTGTCTGGGTTTACCTCTCTCCAGGTAAACATCGTAAGCGGTTTTCAGAGCAAGAAGATCGGTTGGATAGGTTAATAATATTTTCTCCCACATTTGCGTGGCTCCGGAAAGATCGCCTCTAGTGAATCGTAAAGTGGCCTCAATGTGAGATTTTTCTCGATCAAGTAAATTTTTACTTTCATTGGACAATTTAATCAATGTGGCAATAGAATCAGCTAACTGAGGATTGGCCAAAGGTGAATTTAAAGCGGAGACTAGCATCATGTTGATCTCAAGGCAACGACCCAATACTAAGTATATGAACATAAAAAAAAGAGAAACAAAAAGATTAGTATGAGAAAATAATGATTAAAATAATAGAGAAAACAATTGATTAAGATTAGATACTCTTGGAAATTAAGATAAATGAAAAGGTTGTTTGTGAGTGCAAAAGTAAATTCAATAGAACCAGAAAGACAGAGTAAAATAATATTATGAGGATTAAAACAATCAGCTAATGTGCTTTGAGAATATGAAATACGACTGAGAATTCATTCAGAATAATATAACCATGAGTCATTAATGATGTAATTAAAATAATTTACCAAAATCAGGATCAGATGCAAACATTGATTTGAAGGTTCCATCCAAGCCACCAAGTAATGGATCGTCATAAAAACCGACAACCTGATTTACCATAGAGAGAAATGATAGAAATGAGTTAATTGTAAGTGAGTAATCAAGAAAATCCAATCAATTTACCTGAGTTAAAGCAGCATCATACATCTTACAGGCCTGATTACATGGAGATGATAATGGTAATCCTTCAAAACTCCATTCCTAATTTTAGAATAGAAAAGAAAAACATTAATTAATAGACTTTAATCAACATGACACTTGTAATTAAGGTGAGCACAATTAAGGTCAACTTACCATAATACCTCGCCAGTGTTCTCGTTGGCTCATTTTTCTGATTAATTGTGATTAAATCACAAGTGTATTAATAAGAATTAAGGAGAGAAAAATTGAAAATATAAATAGAAAACTATTTAGAGAGATTGGAACACAAATGGAAAATGTTGAATAGCAAATCGATTTGATTGAATATCTCAGTACTAATTAGAGACAGTTGAAAACAAAACAATTAATTTATCAAAGTAAACACTCTTAATATAAACGATAATGATCAATATGTCTACTTAATTGAGACAATTAAACTTTCTTTGAGAATAACAAACAGATACAATACAATCAGATATTCACTTTTTCAGTCTAATCACATAGATGGAGTTGAGAGATTTAACTTTGGAGGCGCCAAACGTGATCTTTAAATTACTGTTAATCAATCGATTGTCAAGAATTAAAGTGACACAATGAACAGAATTTCAAATTAATCAAATTAAAAAATAACTTCTACCGAAACAATTGAAGGAAAATATAAATTAGTTGAGAAAATGAAATCTAAAGAAAAGAAAACATTTAAATGGAAAAAGAAAAAAGAAAACCAGATGGCGCTACTGTTTTAGAATAGAAAAAAAAACAAATCTGATTTTTGAATCTTCCATTTAATCAACTGAGGTGTTTTTTAATTCCTTTGCAAATAATTATAATTCTTTGTTAATTGTTGTAATTGTTTTTTTGGTAATCGAACAGCTAATTGGCCCCTTTTGATTGATCTCTTTTTGGTTTGACATAATCACCATGTCTCTAAGTGAAGTAAGTGTTTGTTGTCTTTGTTGATGTTGTTCAATTGTGACATTTTCTTGATTATTTATGTTTTATTTTCTTAATTGATTAGGAATTACGTCGAGATTTAAATCATCTAATCAGTACAACTGAAGGATTACAAGCTATCTTGATCACCGACAGAGATGGAATCCCTATAATCAAAGGTAAAGGAACAATTTAAATAGATAAATGAAAAACATAAACAATTGAGAAAAGAAAAACATAATTTTGGAGATTATGTTTTCCAATTGAATTTCCAATTTAATGGAACTACAATCATTTTCTCTTTTCCATTAGAAAATGATTATTTATTCTTTGTTCTTTTTAGAATACCACAGGTATTTCCTGTTGATTCTCTAACCCATTACTCACCAACCTCCTCCTACTCATATGAACATTTATTGTCACCATTTTTTACTCTCAATTCATTTGTCACTCTCAATGTTTTTCTTAAGCAAACGGATATTGATGATACAATTTTACGTCATCTTGGATTTATCTTCTCCAGTTTTACTCATAAATTACACTCGTTAAAATTGATCACCATTGTAAACACAACCATTAATTCACATTTTGTCCTTGTTTCTCTCTCTCTCTCATCAGCAACCACCGATAAACCTCCTGAACTCTCATTGAAGCCCAACTTTTTACTCTCAACGGCAATAGCATGTGAACAAGCCTCCAAATTGGGATCTGGAAGATGTAAAACAATTACCTGTTTATATGATTCATTTCAAATCATCCATTTCAATCACCAACCCATAATGATCACCTTGATTGCCTCCGACGAAGCTAACACAGGTTTCTTACTTTCTCTTGAGAGTCAATTTGATCCCATTTTAAGCCCATTGAAAAAGATAGTACATGTTAAATAGTAACAATTTAAGTTACCAAATTTAACAAATTGTAATCTCCTCTCATTCTACTCACTTATTATATATGATATTTTCAACTTGAAAGAAAATAATTATTTTCCATTTCCAAATAGTATATTTATATTGTGTTGTTTACTTTTTTTAAAGATTTACTATTTATTGATTAACTGCAACAAATTTATCTTTGTTAAAAACCATTGGTGAAAATAATATTAATGCAATTACAATGTAAATGTTAAAAATATACATATAAATTGATTGTTCTCATTAGTTAATTAGAAAAGTTAAATCATCACGATGAGTTTTAAATGTACAGGGTGAAAAATACAGAGTTTGAATACAGAATCAGTTTAAATCCAGTGTTTATCTCATTCTTTCTCAATTGTTATATTTGATTTAGTTTATTGTGAACAATTAGTGATTCACTTTCTCTTTGTATTATGTTGATTTGTAAATAGTAATTGGTGATTGATAATTAATCCATAAAGTTATCGTAATCATTTTACAATTGTAACTTGGCACTAAAAATAGACAAACAATCTCGTTCATCATCTTGTCCTTAGCAATTTGATTTATCATTTAATTGTTTCAAGTAGATGATTTCAATTTGAGACCATCAACTTGTAATCAGAGTTGATCACTTCAGATGAAATCATGATAGAATCAAATTGAAAACCAAGTCAAGTTGCTCTTTCTCTGGGAATTGATTAATTCTTGGATAAATTGGTGATAATAAATGGATGGAGAAAATGAGCTTCGATCATCATTGAAAAGAAGACGAAAAAATTAGTTAATTGTTGATCTTTAAACGGAATTCACTTGAAGAGAAAATGATGGTTCAGGTGATGATGAGATGGACAATTAATAGATTGTTGTTTTGGTTGATTTTTCTAAACAGAAAAATTGGAAGAATTTTCTGAAGAACTTGTTGTCATGGAGGAATTTGATGTTGTTGATGCAACGGGTGATGGAGATGAAAGAAAGGGAGGAACAACGGGTACTGATGATGAAGAAAATGAAGAAGATGATGAGGATGATGAAGAGGAAGAGGAAGTGTTGAGTGAATGAAGTGACCGTAATTCTGGATTCACTCGATGATGAGGAACCAGTGATGAGATTGAAAAGAGACGATCAAAGTCTTTGGTGTCCACGTTGATCACATGTTGGAATAGACAAGGTGATGAGATGTCCTCTTTTCGAGGTAATTTAAATTGTTCCCGTTTTCCTTTTGATTTGATTGATGACTTTTCCTTTTTACTCATTAATCTTTTGGGCGCTGACAGGGCGATGTTCAAGGGGTCACAGGTTATCGATTCAATGTTCCGAAGGAAATCAGCGGCTGCATCAGCGGAATCAAATGAAAGTCCGGCCATTTGCCGATGGTCACACGATAAGTAAAGCGTATGGAAACACGGGTGGACCGCTTTGTAATCGGTTAGATTGTCGATCACATCGCCCCATAGATTGAAACCAGTCCCTCTTTCCGCGAGACAAATTTTCAATTGTCGTTTACTTCGAGCTCGAGTTTCCCCTTTATCGAAGATGATCAATGGTACACCGGTTCTCTCAAGTGACCATTCATGTGACCGTGGTGAAGAGATTCGTCCTTCGTTGATCAGATCAGTTTTGGTGAAATAAAGATTAGCCATACATCGGGAAACGTATACAAATGTCTTATGGGCCAAATAGAATCGTTCAATTTGATAAATTTCATTCTCTTCGAGTAAAGTTGTTGTTGTTGTTGTTGGTGATGTTCGAGTACCAGTTTCACCCGTTGACGATTCAATTGAATTATTGTTGAGAGCTGATGTTGATTTAGATGATCGTAAACGGGGAATTGAAGATGATTTTGATTTACGTTGACCCAAAGTGGCACAACCATTAGAGGTGATGATCATTGTTGTCGTATTCATGGTGGTCGCTGATGGACTATGAATGAATGGAACTTCATATGGAACCGAGTTCGGTGATTTCGGTGTTTGAATATTCAATGTAACCGGATCTTCGTAGAGATGGATTTTAATTCCTCCTCCGTTGGTGTGAATATCCTCTTGATTCATGGTGATTTAATAGTTGATAATATTATGAATAATATGGTGACAATGTGATAGAAATAATTTAATTTAATCCAATTAACGGGACGTTCCAAGTTGATTATTTTTCCAGCTTCTTTTAACCAAAAAACATTAAGGCTTCAACCAAATCTAAATACATTAAAACAGGACCATAATCAGCATAATTATAAGTTAATTGTTGTCGATGATGAGGATTGTGATGTTACTGTTGACAATTTGTTTTGATTGCGTTTATCCAAAATAATCATGACCAAACAAAGGCACAACAATCAGTTGATTATGTTGATGATAAAATAGAAAAAAAAAGAAAACAGTTAATATGATTGTTTAATTGTGTTTAAATAAGATGATAATAAGTGGGATTTAAGATAATGATGATTAGTGAAAACAAAGATTGTAATTGTTGAGTGAGTGTAATAATATAACAAGTGAAATATAACTTGAATATGATGAGAATTAAATAATTGTTACTACAATTTAGTTCATCATCACCTCCAGTATTGTTGTTGATGATGAACTTGAATTGATACAATTAACTTTAGTGATAATATGGATTAGAATCAATTGATATATAGAGTAACAATCAAGGGACAAATTAAATTGGTTGAAAATCAATTTTAAGTGACCTTAATTGTGAAAATGATTAGGAAAAAAAAGCTCAAGCCATTTAGTTAACAATCAATGTCAAATTGATAAACAATTAGCTGATTATGATATAGATACAAAAGGAAAATGAGTAATCAAATTGATTGGGAAAAAGTTAATTGCTATACTGAATTATATCAATATTGAAATCATTAATTGTAATGATAATGATTAAACAATCCGGAGATCATAACTATTAATGGTAAATGATTAACCTAAACAACAATAATAACATGATTACAATTATCGGAATTGATTGAGAGTAACAAAATAAACAGTAGCTGCTGATTTTTGTTAATTGTGATTAGATTCAAAATTTTGAAATTTAAATTGTGTGAGATCATTTCAAATCTGATTATCGACAATTAAATGACAACAATACAAACAACAACAATGCGAAGTCTAATTTTGAATTGGTTGTAAATGATTTATTGATTACAAATTGTAGAGTTTCTGTTAATTGTGATGCTACTGGTATTTAAATCTAATCTAAATCAGTTATGACGAATTAATCAAATTGTTTTTTTTTGTTAATTTTATCGATCCTTGTGATACTTGATTAACAAATTAAATCTAATTGGGAGGTTTACATTTGCACACAATTTAAGATTTGAAACAATATTAGAGTCAAAACCAAAGGTTTTCAGTTGTTTTTGATTCAATTTGATTTTATCGTTAGTTAATCAATAAGCCAAGTAGCCAATTGTTAATTTCAACAATCAAACTCATCATTAAAAGTTGATGAACAAAAAAATCATGGCTCATTTAATGAAAATCCGTTTGATTGTTGTTAGTTGATTTACCTGAAAAAATGGTTTCAAATTAACAATCAACTGTCAATGTTAGGAAATGATGATGAAAAAAGTGTTATTATTATACAACAATAAAAACATTGGAAACAAACTCAATCCCTCTTTCTCTCTCTCTCACTCTCTCACTTTATCATGATGATCATCATCATTATCTTTGTGATACCTAAGAAAAGCTATGATGATGATGATGATGATAAATCCGTTTACCTGTTGTATACAATTGAGTAAACAATTTACTTGCAAGAAAATGTTTACCAGAAAATTAGGATTAGATTTTGATCCATGAAATTTTTCTCACCCAAAAACCAAACCGCAAACAATCATGAAATAAAACATGGTGATGATGATGATAATGATGATAATCTCTAGAGATCAAAGTGTAAATCACCACCAGCAATGAGAGAGGAAGAGAAAGAGTGAGGGAGGAAAAGGAGATGAAGGAGATGAAGTGTATACACTGAATATTCCCACCGAGTGGAAAGTTGTTGTTATCATTTTTGCTACTACAAAATTATCAACATTTCAGGTGAAAAAAATGATAACCAAATGAATATAATAATAGTAATCATGATGATTAACTAGTGGAAAGTGATTAAATCCTTCTTGTGGTAATGAGTGATACCCAAAAATGAAAATGAAGATGATGAGGTGAGAGAGAGAGAGAGAGAGAGAGAGAGAGAGAGAGAGATTGTTCAAGGATGAATACAAATAACCATAAATCACTTTCTTTAATTTAAAAACAAAATTAAAGATACTTAGTAATTGTGATTCGTTAAACAGACAATCAAGAAACTAACCAGACACTAATCAAATTAAAAGCCACTTCTTAAGATTACAATTAGAATTTAAAACCAACAATCAGATAATTAAAAGATCACATTGATCAAAATTTTCTTCCTCATCTTAATTATTATTTTTAATTTATAACCCATCATGTTATCATCTAATAAAATGATGTAAATGATTAAAATCATCATGATTAAGATTAACGGTTTATCCTCTCGAACCACAATCATTGAACAATTCAATTTAATATCAACTACGTGACAACGTATCAGTTTAAACTGTGTTAAATTAGATTAGACAGAAAACCCCTTCGGGCAATTGATAATATTAATAGTTCACTAATCTATTATCTAATCATCAACCATAAGTAACCAATTTAATGTTAGTTAATCAAAGTTACAACAAATAAAAAAAGATCAACAATTGATTACTATTTTTATGTGTCAATCCAAACACTGAACACAAATTTCCTGGTTATGGAAACTTAATCAACTAATTGCTCGAGCAATTTGATTCATCTAGTTGTTAACAATTCCTTTTTTTTCCTAATTACTTCATCTTTTCAATGGATTAACAATGTAAACTTTATTCAATATTATGATTGATTTAACAAAATTACGGATCATGTTGATAACAATGGATTAAATTTGTATAATTAGCTAATCAATCAACTTGAATTATTGTGGTGTATGAATTTTCAATAATAATAACAATAATTAATACAATTTCACTGATTGATAACAATCAACACTGAATCAACAATTGATGACGATAAAGTTACTACGACCAACAGAAAGTAATTGAATTTAAATAGTGAAATTCAAGTTAATTGTGATTAGAAAGCAACAAAAAAAAACTCACATGAACCTTTCCCTTAAGAATCAAATTGTCACAATTTGATTATAATTAACCAATTCAATTTACTAATTTGATACCAAACCCTTTTTAATTGTGACAATATTGCAAAATTTTCCCTACGATCATCACACAATCAAAGAAAAATCATCAATTTCTGACCTGAATCCACAATTTAATTAAGAAATTGAAATAAGTGAAAAAAACGATGACAATTTAAACTGGATTAAGTTGAAATTTGTGAATCAAGAAAAGTTAATTCAATTGCAATTAAAGCTGAATCATAAAGCTAAAAATTAATTGTCTTATATACTTTAAATCATCAACCATCAAAGTAAAAAAAGTTTTTACAATTAAAAATGATTAGTACAGTTAAGATGATGTAGGAGTTGATGATAGATTTACAATTAAAGTAATAAGTGATTAAGGTAAATTGTTATTAATTTGCAATCTGATATTTTTAATTCAGCAATTAAAAGTATTCTCTCTTCTTTGATTACTTAACTGATTAACAATTAAGTGAAACTTTTATATATATTAAGGAAATGATTTATAAATTGTCAGTGATATGAGACAAATGAAACTTCCGGAGGAAAAATAATAAACAACAATTAGATGTTAATTGCTATGAGAAGCGATCAAAATTTTCCAATGTAAAAACGCCTTAGAAACAAATATAAATTATTCTTATTAAATCATCATCATGTAAATCATCATGATCATAATGATCATTAAGGAAACAAGTTTGCAACAATTAACCTTGAGACAAGAAAAGAAAGTTAAAAGTAAACAACAATCAAGATAAAAACAACAACAACAACAACAACAAACCAGAAAAAAGTATTAAAAAGTAACCAGAAAAATATTCACATTGATCAAACAGAATACGATCAACAATCAACAATCAAGCAACAGTAATCAGACATAATCCAGACAATTTAGAAACAAAAAGCAATCAACAACAATCAAAGTGCTTCCTACTAATCATAATCATCTTCTCACCAAATGTTCACGGTTAAATTGACTGATGTTCACTTTCCATACACAACAAACGCCAACAACTTTCATCAATTTTTTCTTCTTCTTCATGAAAACAACATCATCTTCATCTCATGATTATCATGAAACAGGTAATACTAACAAAGATTATGTCGGGAATAGATTTGCATCTCAATCTTGATTTACAGGTAAATCTGAGAGGAAAAAAACTCAGGTAGGAGAAACAAAAACACTGAAACCAGTTAGTCCTCCATGTTAACAACATGAAATCAAAAGTATCAACGGCCAACAACCTTGAGGTCAATAAAAGAGTTGATAAGATGATAGGTTGATGGGATGATAATGATGATGAAGAAGATGAAGAAGATGAATCAATATATACAATGGTAATAATCATCGATACAATTTACTAATTGTTACCATTATTATCGGTTAAGGATATGGGAAGATATTTACAAATCCAATGGTAACCTTGAATACGATGGTAAACAACATTTAAATTAATCGAAATTGTTTAGTTAAATTGTTCAATTTAATGATAACAATGAATGATGATTAATAACGTTTTAACCTTGAAATTTAATTGTTAGTTAAATTATTCGATCATAATTATATTTATCACTATTAACTAAAACAATCAAAATCTATTGTGGTTAATAATATGAAAAGATAAATAAATAATTTTTCCCAATTGTTTATTATCACTCTTGCTGTTGATTGTTCAACGGGTTGTTAAGTTAATTGTGATTTAAAACTTTTTGATTGTGGTGAAACTCATTAAAAAGTTTTAATCGTAATCATTATTATCAATATCATTATATTGTTTCTTGTTACAATTACAACAATTTAATCATAACTGTTTACAATTTGTCTCCAGGGTGACCTGATCTCAATCAGATTATAAGTCAATTAACAATCAAGGATTTTTAAATTCACATTCATTTAGTTAATTGTTGTTGGTTAACGTTCACAATCAACAACCGTGATTATTGATAATTTATTTTGATTAGATTTCTGTTCCAATATTATTAATATAATAATAATAATGTTTGTAATGATTAAGATTGTATTTTGTTTCCAAACTCAATCAAATTAACAATCAGAGTCA